ATAAAGTAGAAGAGTTAAAAGTTAAGCGTGTCGCGAGAAATTAAAAGAAAACGCGAAAGTGTCGCGGATCCGTACGCAGCTTCACCGTCTGCGCAGCTTCCCTATCAAGTACGTTACTCGCAGTACTATCCATGGCGTTAAGGTCGATATTTCTTCCTGGATCCGCGTAGTGACCCGGCTGGAGATGGTTGAGGAGAAATGGAAGATGCTAACGCTGGAAGTCATCTATCTCAGAGACAGCCTTTCACTGGCCATATCTGGAATTCCGGGCAATTTGCCGCAAGAAGACCTGGACTTGCTACGGAACGCACGGGCGAGCTACAGATGTGTCATGTTTGATGTCCATGTACATGGGCACCCGCCAAACGGGGATCTGCCAGGCGTAGATAGACCGGACACTGTGCGTGAGGTTCTAGATCGGAACTACAATTGGATAGCTATAGAGTAGAGTACACTGCTTCTTAGCCGTGGATCATCCTTGCTTCGACAATGAACTGTCATCTTCTCCCCTTTCAAAAGACTCCATGGCAGCCCGCAGCTGATCGACCAGCTCAACCGCATCGTCAGGATGCTCGGCAGCATTAAAGATGTAGTGATCAGGGCGCACCAGTACGGCTTTTCTCTTGTGGGTACGGTACCACACATCATAGTCACCCTCCAGGTTGACGTACTGCGCACTCGCGCCTCTCGAGACATGAGCAACTGTCACGTCGTACTTGACGAGCACCTGGCGCTGTCTCGAGTCGAAGAGATGTTTTGGGAGGCGCTGGCCGGTGATGATGGTCCGACCGCCCGGCAAGAAATCCCCCAACAGCGCGACTCGGCCCTGATGCAGCACACGGCCTTGGAGCATTGGACGGCCAACGCATTGCAGCTCGCCTGACCCCAGCAAGCAGCCTCCGGTGATCCTGGGAAATTCTGGCGGTTGAGCAACTTGGAAAGACCCAGCAGCCTGTGGAGATTCAGACATCATCTGATAAGCCTTCTTTAGCGCAGTACCAATGCCGATGGACAGTTTGGTAATGTCTTCAACGTGTGACTTCCGCTCCTGCTTGTAGGTGTCCAGGAGCTCCGGTCCGACCGTATTGTCCAGCACGGCAGAGAGCTTCCAAGCCAGATTTGCGGCATCTCTAGCCCCTGAACACATGCCTTGGCCCATGTATGGAGGCATAGTGTGTGCTGCATTGCCCATCAGGAAGATACGATCCTCTCGCCAGTGCTTGGCAATGCGAGCTTCGAATGCATAGACGGAGTGCCGTCTGGTCACCCCGTCCTCTGGTCCTACACCCCACGGGGCAAGCAGCTTCCAGCAAGTGCTGAGTTTCTGCAGCTCGTCAACACGCTCGCCCTCTTTGCGTGCAAATTCCCACCGCGACCAACGACCTCCCTCCCAGCGACCGGCAAGGTACTGCCTGCTTGAAGAGAGTACGTGGGCGTTGCCCTGAAGATTGGGGATGTCCAGATCTGGGTCAAAATGCTCGAAGTCGATGACCAGGTGTTCCGGATGCGAGAAGGGAATTTCAGTCTGTGGAATGCCCAGATGCCTCCTCACGAAGCTGTTGGCCCCATCGCTTCCCACAACGTATCGAGCCCGGATGCTCTGCGTCAGGCTCTGGTCCGAAGTATTGATCGACGTCACGTTGACTCCAGTGCTGTCCTGCTCCAGATTGCTAACCTGATGACCCATGATAACACGGACGCCCAGATTGCGGGCACGAATGTCGAGATGATCCTCAAGCTCAACCGACGACATCATGTATGCCCTCTTCCAGCCACTGCCATCGCCATCGGCTGTCTTCAACGACTGGAGCGTCTCTCCCTCAGCTGAATGGACTTCGAACTCGGTGAGAGCGCGGGCAATCTTCTCGACGTCTAAGGCAATGCCGATGTCTTGCATGATTCGCATGATTTGACCGTCGACATGACCGTGTCTGGGAGCGTTCCATCGCTCTTTGTGCCGCTCGTAGACGCAGACACGGAAACCTTTCAATGCCATGAGGATGGCAAAGACCATGCCAGTCGGCCCATAGCCGACCACACCCACATCGATATCGGCATCGTCGTTGTGCTGATTCTCTGAGCGGTAAGCCATTATACTGCGAAATTAGCGGCATGAACTCGAGCTTTCCTGAAGCACTGCACAGTAATGTATAGTCAAGCCCATTCGATCTGTCATTCACAGATGAGGCAGATTGCCCGGGCGATCAGACTTAATTCTGTCCCACATGCTGACAAGGGCTCGTCTCAATCACCGCTTTTGGAAACTGCCGGTCGTACACATTCTGGTCTCAACATGCGTAGATTTGGAATTGCAGACTGCCAATGATGGAGACTCGATTGTAAAGCTAAACATATTTGACATGCGGTCTTCGATCCTCCAAGCAGTAAGGTATCATTCAATACGGTACTGCAATGGCAGCCATGGCTTGGTTGCGGTACAAGGCTCGTTCTTCCGGCGTAGACTCGCGCTGCTCAAGCTTGGACAATTCGACACTCGAGTGCACCACGGTGCTGACACGATGGTACCGACGTTTCATGAATGCCTCAAACGCCTGTTCCACGCTGCCATAATCGCGAATGCACTGCGCCAGCACGGCCGAATCCTCCAGCGCCATCCCTCCGCCTTGCCCCATGTGCGCTGTGCTGTGGTGGCATGTGCTGCATCGCCAATCAATATGGATCGATTTCGATACCACCGGTCGGGGAGAAGAATCCATCGAAAAGGGCGCGCGATGATTTCTGAATCTGGCCTCAAGCGACTGCGCAATTCTTGCAATGCAGGTGCCGTCATTGACTGGAGCAGCTCCCTGAAATGGGCAGCAGTGGAAGCTTCGGTCAGGCGCTCTCCCTCGGGAACAGTCATCACACTCGCCACGTAGACAATGTCTTCGGGGAGATAGTAGAACCCCAGGCGTCCTTCGGGGCTCATGTACATGGATTCGGGTTGAATCCGAGGCCCAGGCGCCATCCATCGCATGCTGAACTGACCAGAGTATTGCGGCTCAGGGCCATCTGGAATGATAACGCCCCGAGTCGCCGACGATACACCGTCAGCTCCAACCAGGAAGTCTGCTTCGAGTATCTCGCCGCTGCTTGTTGTTACAGTAACCCCATCCATCCGATTGTCGATCGCAGTGAAAGTTGTGTGTGCCTTGATCTCCACTCCGAGTTCAATCGCAGCCTCAGTCATGATCTTGATCCACGTCGGTCGATATACGCCAACCGTCTCTCTGGTCTCAGAGCCGTAGGGGTCACTGGGACTCTTGGCGATAATATCTCCAGCGGCATTGCGAAAGTCCAAGGCTCCATTCCCCTTTTCGAATGGCATGCCCTCTCTGTACAGCCTTTCGTACAGACCCAGCTCTTCTGCTGCATTTGTCGCGCGCCCACTGACGCCGATGGAGGCACCTTCTTTGGGGTTTCCTCGTTCCAAGATCGTACAGAAAACACCAACACGAGCCAATGCAATCGCACACGACAAGCCTGCGATGCCTCCGCCGATGATAATCGCTTTCGATGCGCAAGGCATGTTTGGACGACGACGGCCTGCCTCGATGGCGCTCCTTTGAACGCCAAAGATATGAAGCAGCGTCGGACTGACTTACTCTGAGAACATTTCAGCGTTGCTCCGCTTGTGCACCTGATGGCGAGTACGACTCGTCGGTCATCGGTGGGTGTCAGCTCCGGGGAGGTGAGGAATACAGCACATGCCGTTATTAATTTTGTGTCTGTCCCACATGTCCCTGTCCCACATGCGTTGATCAATACTCTTCTTCACCGATAGTTCCGCGCAAGCTTGTTTCCAATTCCAGCTTCCTTGCGTATTCTGGAGATTGCGTACCGGGCTTGGGCCTTGATCCACATTTCGTCGCAATGGAGAAAGCTGTGATTATCAATCAGCATGTCTCCGTCGATCACCAGCTTCTCGACGTCGGCACCAGAGCAAGAGAATACAACAGTAGTAACAGGATCGATCCCGCCGTTCAGGATCTGCTCAGAGTCGAATGGTACGCAATGAAGGCCAGACGTATCGATCACGACGAAGTCTGCTTTCTTGCCCACCTCCAAACTTCCGATCTCGTGTTCGAGCCCCAATGCCTTGGCGCCATTGATGGTCGCCATGGCGAGGACCTGCTCAGCCGTCATAGTGGTGGCATTCTGTCGTGACCCTTTCTGAATAAGAGACGCCATACGCATCTCAAGGATCATGTCGTAAGTATTTGCACACGGGGCTCCATCCGTGCCCAGACCAACATTGACCTCGCCAGCCAGCAGCTCTGGCACAGCTGCAATGCCTGATCCAAGTTTGCAATTGCTGCTCGGATTGTGTGCTACTGTGGCTCCAGTCTCTCGCAGGAGAGGGACGTCCTTAGGAAGATCCAGATTCACCATGTGAGCGAGCACGGTCTTGCGGTTTCTCCCGATCAGGTTGGTCCGTTTGCAGAACTCCACTGGGCTACAATCGTAGCTATCGCGGTAGATTGTTAAGTCTTTTGGGGCTTCCGCGCAGTGCATGGTGAGACCCATGCCATGTTCCGCGCAAGCATCTCCAATGGCCTTATGAGCAGACTCGGCTGAGCCGCGAGGGGTGACAGCTGCCATCCACACATGTAAGCGACCTCCACAAGCGCCGTGGTAATGTTCGCGAGCAGTGAGAGCAGCGTCAATCGACATGTTGGAGATGTCCCGGTCTCGAGGATCCGCAATTGCATCCGTCTTGGTCGTCTCTTGCACCTTGACAAGCTTCCCCTGAGGACATTTCAGCAGTCTTCAGTAATACTTCAAACTCTTCCTCCACATACCAGACACGCTCGAATCCCCATCTCTTCCACCGCTCGAACGGCATTTTCAAAGCCACTGGTCGGCGTCAGGAGAGCCTCCAAGAAGCATGTCGTTCCACTCTTTAGCATCTCTGCTATAGTCACCCGAGCAGCGATATAGCCGTCGTCGCCCTGATAGTTGGCTTCCAGGGGCCAAATGGCGTCGCACAGCCATGAATGTAGCGGGAGGTCTTCAGCTAATCCTCGTAAGAGCGACTGGCCGAGATGGGCGTGCGTGTTGATGAGGCCTGGGATGATGATTTTGCCCTTGCAATCGACAATGTCGGTTTCACCACTCCGCTCATGATGTTGCAGAATTTGGCTTGTCTTTTCAATGGCAGCGATGCGTCCGCCCTCTACCAATATTGCTCCGTCCAGCCATATTGTCCGTTCCGGGTCTACCGTGATGATGGTGGCATGAACGAATAGCATTGCCTTTTTGTGCCCTTTTGCGCCGTTTAGGTGTTCGAATGAAGTTGTCTTGATTCTGTCTCTTGGAGATCCTGTGCCCCAAAGCTGGCGATTGTGCTCCTGAAAAAGTACGTTGTTGCCAGTGACCGATTGCGACTGCCAACCCATTTGATGGCGGCAGTCTAATTCAAATTCAGTCTTGTATGTAATGAGGGCGGCCAACTCCCTCCTGCACTCCAGTAAACCTGCATGATGCATGGAAGAAAGGAGTCGCAGCTTCAGCTCTGCCCGAAGGGCGAAGTACGAAAGCATCGGTCGTCGGGCAACTCCAACCAATCACATGTCAGAGCCTGGTACGAGACTGATAGCGCTTGATAAGGCCACGGCCAGCAGGATTCAAGATAGGGCGATGGGCGATTGTAAGCATCTTCGTACTGGACGCTTCGATGATCTGGGAGCTCTGTGGGTGTGGCTGTCAGCCATTGATAGTGGGAGATCTAGACATACGCCTCTGCTCGAAGAGCGTAGTCGTAGACGTTGAAGATATAGGTCAGCATAGAGGCATCACCTGGTTCAACATCTGGAGGGCTACTGATTGACGAAGCTTCTTCATATTTCTGAGTCGTTGGAATATCAGACAAAGGTCGAACAAGATGATGGAGGACGGGAAAACAATCATGGCCGTGGGAAGCACCACAACGTCGACAACATCCCACGAAGCCAACGAGCAGGGCATCGTCTCCAAACTGCAACTCCACCAAAGAGCAATCGAAACATGGACATACCTCACCTCAAAAGAAGTGTGGCTGGGCGATTACGACTACTGGTACCTTGTCACACCCAACATCCCGCCCTTCAACCGCAAATACAAGGACAAGGCGATGCCCTTCTACGGCCTCCACGATGAAGTACCCATCCTGTTGACCATCATCCTCGGGCTGCAGCACGCACTCATCATGATCGGATCCGTCGTGTCGCCGCCGCTTGCCATTGCCTCTGGTGCATTCAACCTGGACTCGGCTCAAACTTCATACCTCGTTTCGGCAGCTTTCATCACGACAGGCATTGCCACAGCCATCCAGGTCACTCGACTGCACATCAAGGGTACCCCTTTCTACATCGGCACCGGTCTGTTGTCAGTTGTCGGCCCTACATTCGACATCATCGCTGTGGCCATGTCGTACAGCGACATGCGGTACAAGAACGGAACCTGTCCAATCGCTTCCGATGGGACACATCTCCCCTGTCCAGATGCATGGGGCGCTGTGCTTGGAACGATGCTTTGCACGGTGTTGATCCAGATGGCTATGTCCCTCGTGCCTCCTCGATTCCTGAACAAGATCTTCCCCAAGACTGTCACAGGTTCGCTGCTGCTCCTCGTCGGCGTCTACTTGATCGGCAACGGCATGCAGAACTGGGCTGGTTCGTCCAACTGCAATGGCGGCGAAGGCTACTACGCATTGTGCCCCAGCATCGATGCCCCAAAGCCCTTGCCCTGGGCTGATCCCAAACTCATCGGTCTCGGCTTCAGTGTCTTCATTAGCATCGTCGTGGTTGAGCAGTTTGGTGCTCCTCTCATGAAGTCTGCCTCGGTCTTAATCGGCCTCGCAGTGGGTTGTATCATCTCAGGGGCTACCGGCTACTGGTCCAAGCAGAACATCGATTCAGCTCCTGTTGTCACATTCCTCTGGGTTCACACCTTCAAGCTGTCTGTCGATGGAGCCCTCGTCCTGCCGCTTTTGATCATGTTCATCTGCGAAGGCGTCAGTTGTATGCCGGATATCCTCGCCACTGCTGAGATCTCTGGGGTCGATGTCGAAGGTACTCAGTTCAATAGTCGAATCCAAGGCGGAATACTTTGTGATGGATTGGGCAGTCTGATTAGTGCGTTGGGTACCGGGCTGCCTATGGTCTCGCAAGCTGGAAACAACGGTGTCATTGTCCTGACGGGATGTGCGGTGAGTCGATCGATGTCTTTTGAACCGTTCGATCCATCATCATTGTACTGACTATGGCATGTAGTCTCGTCGAGCCGGCTGGGCGGCGTCTGTCTTTCTCGTGTTGATGGGTTTCTTTGCCAAGTTTGGAGCCGTATTCTCAGCCATGCCTCCTTCAGTGCTGGGTGGCATGCAGGTCTTCCTCTACAGCACCGTCGCCGTCGCCGGTATCCGTATCCTGGGGATGATCCAGTTCACCCGACGAAATCGATTCATCCTCACCGTCGCCCTCGGCATTGGATTCATCGACATCGTCACTCCGACGTGGTTCAACAAGGTTTTGGATTACAGCTGGCCCAACGTGCATCTGCAAGGCTTTCTGCAGGGCGTGAATCTCATCGTGGAGACGCCATTTATCATTGCGGCCGTCGTGGGGGTGATTTTGAATCTTTTGCTACCGCAAGAGAAGAGCGAGATGGACCAGATGTTGTTTGGCGCCGCGGATTCTCGAGTCGTTTCCACTTCCCTTCCTCGAACAGAGGATCGTGCGGCAGATAGCCGGCCATCCATGTCTTGATCACTTGTTAGAAAACATGTATTTCGATAAGAGAAAGCAAATTTGTTGTTGATGTCCAGTGCAACCTTGAACCACCCAGTTCCCTCGTCTTGCGCTGCACGTGGCGATGGCAAGCTCCAAGATGAAAGAGACGCCGTTGAGACATGGAAATCCCTATTCACCACGGGGAGAGTCGACATACAAGGCCAGCCAGCAGTGAGATGAGCACAGCGTACAGAGGCCGCGTGCGGACGGGGTGTTTGGCTTGTCGTGCAGCAAAAGTCAAGGTTCGTCCAACGTTTAGGCTGAGCAGAAGAATCAGCTGATCCACTCGGACTTTCGTTCAGTGCGATGAGCAACACCCGGTCTGTCGGCGCTGTGTACCCCATATGACCCTGCCAACTGGGTGGCATTCAAGGAGATGGCTTTGCCGTTCATCCCGCAGAGTATTGTGCTGGCGAAGGCGACCGAAGCCGAGCAGGAAGTGCATCGTGCACGGAAGAATGCCCTGCCTCATGGTCGAGCCTTGCGACTGTACGAAGAGGCGTGCTTATTGCTGAAGACAGATCTGGCCCGCCTGACCGCTGAAGGCAACTCCTTCGACATCCTGCTCGCCGCCGGCTTCGTGCTTGCTCTAGTGGAGATGATGCTGCCGGAAGAGACAAGGACGGGTGTCCTGTATCAGCCAGTGGATACTGCATCCACAACAATGCAAGAGATATTGGCTTCACACTCGTCGCCGTCTCCGCTGACGGCAAGGCTGGCTGCCTGGTTACTGATCTGCCATGCGGCTGCTCGTCGTTCCGGGAACCGAGGGTTGCTCTCCGAGTCAACTCGAGAAACGCTGAAAGCGATCTTCGCCCAGTGTACTCCAATCCCGCCTCTAGAGTCAGCCAATGCCGCTGACCCAGATCACACTCTTCTTGCTACGCTGACAGAGCCTCTGTTCGCCTTGTACGTTCAGACGCAAGTCATCTCGGCGCAAGTCGCAGATCTTTCGCACTATCATCGAAGCCGTACGACAGGCGAGGACCAGGAGCAAGTCACAGCCATAATGGCAACGTACAAGTCCCAGCTGGATCAACTGTGGTTCCATCGTCCAGCGCTTATGCGACACGGTGCCGGAGAACTGCAATCTCGAATCACGTCAAGAACTGTAGCAGAGGCGCTTGATCTGCAGTGTACGCTCTGCATTCTGACATTTGACACAGAGATGGTCGAGATGGGCCGTAATCTGTCTCAAGAACAGAGCACCACCCTAGAAGCCTGCGCTCAGTTGAGGCAGATGCAGAGTATTATCTCCGCATGGATGGATGCTCATCCGAGGCGTTCTGTCCACTCAGCCTTCCTTCGAGCTCTATTACTCTGCGCCATTGAAAGCACAGATCAGGATGAGTCGCAGTGGGCCGTGGCGGCCATGCGGGATATCCACGATCCCATCTGCTACAGCGACTTCTTTGCCAACTTCTCGGAAGGCTTGGCAGATACGCAGCGCCGCATGGGCCGGAGAGTGACAACGAGGTGGTTCGGGTTGCAGACTTTTAGCTTCTCTCTGCCATTCCTGTAAGCCCATCAGAGACCGTCGTTGAGAGGAAACATCCAAGTCATCTCGTTGCCGAGCAAGTCCGAGTTCATCGACTCGCTCCAGAAGTTGTCCCAGTCAAAATCTGCTGCCATGTCGATGTTGAATCCTGGGGCGTCAAAGTCAGTTTTCACTGGTTGCTGACTTCCCACTGCTGACTCCAGGGTATCGGCAAAGCTGGCAAGAGGTTGGCTTTGACCTTCGATGGCACGGAACAGGGTCACCAGTCTCTTGATCTCATTTCGAGCCTGATCAGGACTCATTCCTCCGTGTTGTTCTGCTTGAAAGCTAGCACGAACCAGACAGACGCACGCAAAGGCGATCATGGTAGAGAAGTAGGAAGGCAGCTTGTGAATCCATTGGGAAGCTCCTTGCCAGAGAGTGAAGCATCTGATCACCGAGAGTGCACAATCGAAAGCATCCTGGTTCGATCGGGCTGTGCTAGGGGTGGAAGCTTGACCACGAAAGACGTGCGAAAAGAGGAACAGCCGTCCAGAGTGGTAGTAGAAGTCGACCAGGATATGCTGCAGCTCAGTGTCGACGGCGTCCTGCTCGACACTCAGTGCGGTCTTCCAGTTGTTGTACCACGTGGAATACGCCCCATCCAGTCGATTGATCTCCACCACATTACGACTCGCCGCCGGAGAATGAATGTCTGCTCCAAAGGTCTCAAAGACTCGTCGGTTGATAGACCACAACTCGATTTGACAAATCAAGAACAGATCTGCCGGCGTTGAATACTCGCTCTGGAGCAGCGTCGCTGGATTCTTCAAGCTCCTCCATTCGTGCGTCATGGACGGTTTACCGTAGACCAGAGAGCAATGGTGGTCGCACAGGAATGTGAGGAAATATATTCTGGTCCGATTGTAGCACGCAACGTCGGTATGAGGCATCTTGGTGATGCATCTGTGGAGGTCGAGTTGATAGCCGATGCGGACAGCTAGACATGTCGTGAATCAGATCAAGATAGGACTTACGGCCTCCTTCCAAGCACTTACCTAAACCTTGAAGAGTACCAGCAATGCCTCGCAGCCAGAAAGCTCCAACGCAGAGGGCAAGTACGTCGTCAAAGGAATTGCTTTGGGCGAACAGCTTGCGGAAAACTTCTTCCTGCAGGCCAGACAGACAAGCTGGATATTCATCTGAGTCGGTGCAGAAGGCGGCCACGGTACAGACGGCAGCGGTCAGTAGAGTGGATCTTGCACGAAGAGCCGCTACAGTCGGGACTGGGCCGAGCGGCTGACAGATGAGCGGATCCAGATACTGTTGGAAGAAGCCCAGGTGCTGTTTTGCCTGCTTTACGGAGATGATGCCGCGAGAGATGATATCCGGCCATGACGGCGTCTCGATGCCATCCACTCCTTGGCTGAGACTGGTGATGGACGCTGCTGGAAAAGCCCCCAAGCTGCATGAGAGATCCAGCTCAACGTTGATGCGGTGTCCGCCTGGGCTGTAGTGTGCTTGTCGAATGGGAGTCTTCGCTACATTGGGACTTTGTTGAATACGGACTTCGGCGGGCTGCTCACTTCCTGACAGGGCCTGCTCGAGCCTGGCAAGCCGCTGCTCCATGTCCTCTTTCCATCTGCTCCCAAGTCAGTTACGACGAGGCAATGCGAGGGCCTGGGCCTCTGCCCTTACGTTGCATCTGCCTCCAAGAGCGTCTGCAGGCTCTTGTTGACTACGCATGGCGTGTTGTGAGCTTTGCATCGGGTGCAGGGCGGCTTCGATTGTGTCATATGACATTTGATCTGCCCTTTCCTTCAGTCCACTTCGAGGGAAAGTGTGAGACTGTGAGACCATCGCAATACCTTGAGCTTCCGGCAAGTCACACACGCCGTGATCTTGCGACTGATGTCCGGCAGCTTGCGGTCGCCAAAGGACTCGCGGAGGGCTATAGCAGCCGATCGCTCTGACATTGTGGGAGATGCTCGCCGTCACGCAGTCATGGATTCAAGGAGAAGCAAAAGATGGATTCTGGTGAGCGACAAATCGACGTAGAAAGTTGGACGGACATGTTGCCGTCGGCAGGATTCGCACGGCAACATCACCGCCGCTCGCTGATTTGGCCGAATCTATCACGGCCTACCCAGAACGTCGTCAATGAACCAGATATTTCCGGGCTTCAAGGTATTCTCCGCACATGGGAGAGGGAGTAGACATTTGGAGTCTTTGTCGGATGCCAAGGATTGTGCATTGATGACACTCGTTGTTTTGTTTACTTCTGGCGCCCCCATAAATTTCTGGACCCACTTCTTTGGGGGTCACGTTCATCAAACCTTCCTCCTCGTCTTCTCTAACCCGTCTTCCAGTTCCTCCCAGCTTCACCAACAACGAAAATCTTCGAAAGCATATGAGAATGGCGGATCTGCAAGCATTGATGTGTCCCTTTCAATAAAACAATCCCCGCTTCCTTCCCCCGAATTGGACCTCATTTCTCGGCTGCAAAGGTCAAAACATCACCAAGACATGTCCCGAACCGACTTCAAATCTGGCAGAACCAGGCCCAGTCTCTTCAGGATGAAGGCCGGTCGTGGTTACAAGCTGCTGCTACTGAATTGTCCGAGTTTTGGATGACTACTTCGCAGAGCGACGATGATGGACTGCTGTACATCTGCCCCTACCTCTATGGAGAGATATTTGGTCAGTCTGGAATCCACGCCATACGACGGCCACGCACGAGGTGAGGTGGAAATTCACGTGCCCACGAGACTACCCATCTAGAACTTGATCCAGAAGCTACGGCGAGACGTAACAGCTTCATTGTTATGAAAGAGTTCGAGAAGTCTCTTTCCTAGGTTTGGTCTTTGAACAAGTCACGCTCCAAGTTTGCTGGATATGAGACAACACTTTTCTACTTCCGACCTTGCTAAACTCTCCATTCACATACCACCCATAACTTGTTCCACTCGTTAGGCAGACATGGGCGTTTCCAGCACCAAGCGCAGGGCTAAAGTGCTTCGTATCGTCATGCCGAAGAGATCTGCCACCAGCTCAGCGGCAGTTTCTTTGCCAGAAGGGCCGCATTGCTGGTTCTTCGCCAAGCTGCCTGCGGAGTTTCGCGAGAAGATCTACGTCGAAGTCTTCAGATCATTCCCAACGCTACTTTTGCAGCGCAAGAGGCAGAAGAAGCATAAGCCGAATACCATTCAGTGCACGGTTCCAATCGGCCGGAGACAGAGGGACAAGACTTCGCCAAACTGGAGCAAAAGCAACACTGGCATATTGCTCGCGAGCAAGGCATGTTACAACGAAGCATCCAAGTGTCTTTATGGTAACTTGTCCATCGTATTCGACAAGCCTTTCTCGATCAACTACGCCTTCCTTCGTACCGTCACGGCGCCTTCGCTGGCATGCATCAAACGCATCACAATTCAGCACCGGACGACACTCCTTGGGCGAGGGGGTGGGAATACCCAGCAAGCTACCAAGAACGAAGCCTCCGAGACGGTCATGTGGGCTCGCATTGTGAGCTGCATGACCGGGCTCGATTCGCCCCACATCAAGCTTTCCGTTCAGCAGTATCACAACCATATCGTGCCGTCCTTCGATGACGACTGGGGTCGAGGCGATCCTGACACCTTCTACTCCGTCAACCAGCTGAACAGCATTCATTGGCTTCAGCCTTTACGGACATTCTGTGCTCTTCAACCCCAGCTCAAGAAAGTCCGCGTCGACAGTTGGGACGAGCCACATCACCACATGCGGGCTACCACGTTCATGGGCTACAGATACGACAAGGCCGTGTACTCGCTCCCGGGTCAGACGTACGAAAATGCCCACGACGAGGTGCGTGGGAAGTGGTGTTGCTTCTACAAAGCTCTGCATGCTTCCATGGGCCGAGCCATCCGGGACATCATCTTGGGGAAAGAGGAGCCTTGGGCCGAGCATTTGGTTGTGCTGACCAAGTATGAGATGTTCAGGCTGGACCAGCATGGCAGTACGGGTCTCTTCAAGGATGATGCGGAGGAGGCCAGAGCTATGCGGAGAGAGATTGATTGAAAGGCCGGCAGGGGGAGGACTACAGGTGGCTGAGATTTGCCGGAGCAGCGTTGCTAGGCATGTACCGGCCAGCCTTTGGAAGAGATACTTTCCTACAGTACAGATTTGGGTCGAACGAATCTACCGTCACATCATTGTTCCATTTGAGCTCGAGAACCCAGACGATCTCCAGGCAGTCTGCGATGATCTGTTGGCTGTTCTGTCAAGCATCATTGCTTGGACCCAGCTGAACTTCTGAGTTCTAAATTGGTAATTTTCCAGCGTTGTCATGTCGGCCAAAGTCCTCTCGGCAACATGCTGTCTGGAAGGTGTTAGTAGCGGACCTCGTCGCATTGTTCTGTACATAACCCACGATTGGAGATATGCAGCATTTCACACATATGTCTCTTGGCCTGAACACCCCACTCCGCAACCCATGTGGCCGTCAACACTGCTCCAGCATCATCTTTACTTCATGCGATCTTCCTCCCTTTCGCCCTTTCGCCTTCTCTGCTAGCAACTGCAATGCCATTCCCACTTATCGTCCCTGCAAGGCCTGTTTCGATTCGCTGCACAAGTTTCAGATTCTCCCGCTTGAGCTCTGCAAAGTCGTCGTCGAGTTTCTGGTGCCAAGGGTACAGAACGAAGACTTGAAAGCCCAAGGCTGAAGTAGCAATGAGGAAGTTTGTAATGCTGAATCGTCGCGCAAGGAGAGGCATCGTCGTAGATGTCGGGAGATTCAGAGGCAGTCGGTTGACAACTCTGTGTCTTTAGATGTCTCGATGTACAGTTGAAGAACGTGCGCTGACGGGGAGCAAGCGAATGAGTAACCAGATGCAAGAAAAAGGAATCACCGAGACGGCCTACCTATCCTTGGATAAGGTCGACGCCTTTTGTACTCACTTGTCAGTCTAACGACGAGGTGAGGTCGGAGATGCACCGAGAGCCCGACTTCGGCTAGAGATGGCGATAGAGAGAGCCAATGCAATCCGTTGTCTTGTCTCGCGTATTGTCTACGACCAGGGTGGGGGGAGAATAGCGCCAGAAAACATTGCTGAAGTTGGGAATGGCTCGGGACAAGGCTGATATACCAGGATGTGTCGGAGAGAAGTGCGAGTGGCCTAAGCGCTGTGTTTTGAAAGGGGCAATGACGACATGAGCATCTCCTTCTCCTTCCTCATGTTCCTCACAACAGCACAACAACAGTACACACTCTCCTCAATCTTGCTGCACGGGCGAGTCCCTCCTCTTATTGATACCCAACTCTTGAATGAACAAGTCCGCCGCCCGCTCGCCAATGACAAAGGCCGTGTTGCCGGTGTTGGCCCCCACATTCTCCGGCGGAATACTCAAGTCCGCCAGCTTCAAGTTTTGCAGGCCATGAACACTCAATGTGTGGTCGACTACTCCGTTTTCCTGCCTCGGCGCCATCTTGCACGTTCCCAATGAGTGCCAGGTCGTCGACAGGATCTCGCGGACCTTCTGCTCGATCGCAGCGTCATCTTCCTTGCTGTACTCGATCCTCTCGTCTCCCTTGGCAAGAGGTCCATCAGCCTTCTCGATGACTGCGGCTTTGCTGCCTTCTGGGAAGTTGGGATGATTGATCTTCAGCTCTCCTCGGAAAATGGGCATGCGGCGCCACATTTCTCGCGACAGCTTGTATGCCCAGACGTGCTTTTTGACGTCATTGTCGCCAGGATCTTTCAGCCAGCCGGTTTCAAAGTCGGGCTTGTCGGCCATGGACTTGCCGGTGATGTGGATGTGTCCTCGGGAGAATGGGTAGCCAGTCCAGTTGGCTTGCGAGACATATTCGGCATCGTCTGGCAGGATGGAGTGGTCTCCGTAGTAGCTGGGGGCTGTCAATACCAGGAGCAAAGCGTTTGTTTCGGCTTACCAATTGTACAGTGCCAGTATCATCAGAGGTCGATCTGGGACATCTTTGAAATCCTGTCTCACACATCAGCATACTTACGCAGCTTGAAGAATACTCGAGACAGATACATACCCGGTCCCACGCCTTGCGGAAGTCTGGCCCAATTGCATCAACCTCCTCTTCAGTCGGTCTGAACTTGCCCTCTGCGAAGCACGTCAGCATTTTCACCATTAAAGCTTGCGTTGTTAGAATACGCACGACCATCCATGGCGTTCGTTCCAAGAAGTTCGTCGTTCATTCGGATGGCTTCGTCATGTTGAACCTGCCGTCTTGGAAGCCGTTGATACATTCCCGGGGGTGGAGATTTGTGCGATAGGCCCAGAGCGACAAGTGGTGGTCCTGGTACTCTTCGCCTACGCCTGGCAAGTCCTCGATGACTTCAACTCCAGCTTTCTTCAAGATTTCGGGATTGCCAACGCCTGATCTTTCCAACACGCCAGGAGTACCATTGGCTCCAGCAGAAACGACAACTAACTTGCGGGCTTTGACTATTCTTGGGCTGGTATATCCAACATCCAAGAACTCTGGATTGGCCATGTACTTTGAGTTCGTCTGATACTCAACCCCAACAGCCTTCTTCCCGTTGAAGATGACCCTGAGCACCTGCTTTTCGGTCAGGACGTGGAGATTAGGATATTCGTCGCCTTTTAGTTTGGGATGGATGTAGCGATGAGCTGCATCCTGTCTTCGCCCGTTCGGTCCCACATAGCGATAGTATCGTTCGGCGGCATTGTTGTTGTCGAGGTTCTGAAGATCTTGCACTTCCGGATATCCCATGGCCGCGGCTGATTCAATGAAGGCATCTTCCGACCGCTTGCAAGTGTATGTGCCCTTGGACACATTCACTGGCCCTTCGAAGCCGTGACGGTCTTTGTCGCCCTTGCCGTGATACGTCTCCAACTGGAAGAGAAGTCAACCCAAAAACCTCGACTTCGAACCAAGAGCGTTCTTACCTTCTTCAAGAACGGCAACATGTCATCGGCAGTCCATCCATCCGCCTTCCACGAATCGAAATCCGACCGCTGCGCACGAGTGTACACCATCCAATTCATCGCCGAGCCACCGCCCAATGTACCTCCAGAGGGAACGATTGGCCCACGCCCTGCAAGCTCTTTCGACTCATTGCCCTTCCAGAACAGCGTGATGTTGCTGTTGGGGAAGAGAGCACGCGGATACAAGGCCGGATGCACAACTCCTGGCAATCCGTAGCTGTTTGGGCCTTGTTCGATGATCAAGATCTTGAGGTTGCGATCGGCTTCGGCGAGTCTTCCACCTACAACACATCCTGCGAGTCCGCCTGGATTCGACTGTCAGAAATGTCCGTATTTCTTCTGTGGATTGAAACTCGCCTCCTGCGATGATCACATCGGCTTCGAAATCAGCTGGCAGACGGTGATGATAAGGCATGTTTGAGCGGGTTTTCTTAACCAGCAATGAGGTCACAAATTGTAGAGGTCGTTTGAGAGTACCATTCTCCTACCTGCCGCAGATTCCACGCCATGACGACTATAATGGTCGGCCATATGGACGCAATCGACGCATGCCCCTCTTCCTCTGCTCTCTTACCCCTCATGCTGGTCACTGGATCTGATCTCACATCTTGGGAGTGCAATGAGCTGAACGGTCGAGCATGGCGGTTCTTGCGGCAAGTTGATACTATCGTCGGGGACTTTCTAATTCACCTCGACAGCGACACATTCAGTGCAACGGTGCTAGCTGGATGCCCTGGTAGCACGAGGAAACACTGCCAAGGCTTTCTGGTTGTAACGCACTATTGTAGCGCTGTACTGCAGCCGATACGTGCCACGTCTTCATGCACAGACAAAGCCTGGGGGTACAAGATACTTATAGTGCTTGAGATCTCAGATCTTGTTCTCAACCCCGCATGATGAGAAGAAAACTAATATTATCGAGCTCCGGGAGGGTTACGCGGGCAAGAGCCTCACTCTCAGCCCGGTCCGCGTATAGCCAGAGCTGTCCGCGCACAGCAAGCCCTATCCACGTATACAGTACGCACCCAACACCTCGATCCTTCGGAAACGCATCACAACTTCTTGTTCGCGATTTAAATGGACGATCGGGAATGGTTCGACGGTGGCTCGACTTTATTTAAAAGCTTCGACCACATCAGGCCGCCATCGATGCACCTTGTCTTGATCTGTTCAGCCACCGAATGGCGATATCGCTCACTTGCCTGCGGCTGCTGTGGCCGCTGCAAACTCGGAGACGAGACCCGGAATAAAGAATCTATGTTTCAACTTGAATGGCCTTTGTTCCAAAATCTGGAGGATGCCACTAAGACAAAGAGACAGTGGGTGGTCTGAATGGCCTTCACTACCCTGCATTGTTCTCACCTGCCATATGACACGCCTCTGCCCCAAAGAAGAATTCACGTCACCCAAATTCTCTCCTACTACGTCCTCGAGTCCAGATTCCTGTCGAAAGCGTCCCCAACGATTACCATGAGCAAATCTACCAACAAGAACCAACAACTGCCTCTGGCTGGCCCAGAACAATCCCCATCTTCGAGCAACGACTCAAGTTCAGGCCACGCCCAGAAGCGACTGATCGCTCCCGAAGACGAGCAAGCGATGAAAGACGCCATCGAGAAAATCTTCACCGACCTTCCAGACGCACGGACTGTTCCAAGCCTGAAGAGCGCACTCATCTCTGCAGGCACCTACATCCTCAGCGAAGGCGTCGTAGACTACCCTCTTCCCACCAACGGTAAGTTTCGTGCCCTGCTCGACGACGACACGATCTGGTGGAACATCGCCGCCATTGGCAACTTGATCCCAATGTACGATGGCTTTCGAGGGATCGAATGGGACGAGGCAAGAGAAGACAGCTGGGAATTGGTCGTCGACTCTACCTACGAAGTGCTTCATGAACTTTGGAAGCAGAACCCATACCACGTCTGGTACGGCGAAGAACTCCTCCAAGCTGTCCAAGAGAGATTGCTGCAGAAGGTGACGGTGCTTCAACTCAACGTGCCCAGCATTGCTCTGCTGAAGACTCTTGCCGTGGAGAATCAGCATCCACATGCCCGCCTTTTAACGTTTATGCTTCAAGTGTGTCGTGATCATGCCAATGTCAAGATTTTTGGTGTAGAGGGCTGTGGGCAAGCTGTAGATGAGGCACTCGCTGCCAAGTCCCCGCCTTCTGCAGTCAAACGTGCTCTCGACAGGCTGCGAGCCATCAGTACTTCGCCCCAAACATGATAACAGTTCCTGTCGATCAATCGACGGGCTCTGGCAAAGCGATCCTCGCTAGCGTATCGGACAGTGTGGAGCCAGGAGCATCAGGGTTCCAACTTAAACCCGCGTAACGACCCTAGTAGGGCGAGCTGCAGGTGAGGCTGATGATCCCGCAGGACCTTGAAAACATTCCAGCCAGTTTCTCTTGCACTTTTATTTCAATCCATTTCCTACACTTCCCCTTGCTATGTGCTAAACGCGTTTGTTTAATCTGCTTGGCCAGCTACTCACTTACACTCACTAGCAACCAAATACCTCACTGTTGAGCCATTACGACGACTTCATGTTGCTGCCTTGGCGTTAATGTTGCTGCCTCGACAGGATCAGGTACCAGAATAGCATTGGGCCACAGGGTGCTGCCTGGCATTGAACATCGAACCATTCTGCTCACCCTACTGGTTCATTCACCCCATTGTGGCATTGAGTTTGCACGTTTCAGGTACGTACACCCACGTTCTGACGACAAACCCTCTCTGATCGTTACGCCTTACTCAGCCGCCCGCCGTATTCGTTTTCTGCAATAATATGAGATCGATGCCGTGAATTCTGGCAGCGACGCTCGTCCTCACACTCTCGTTCACAGCATGGCGACCAAGCCTCCCACATCCTCGATCAAGAGGCGGCCAGTGCCGGGGTCTTCGACTTCGCAACCACAACAACCTGCCACAGCTCCTGCAGGTCCCTCGAGACAAGACTCCTCGCTCGAAAAGACCGATTTGCTCTCCGAAGGCCACGAAGACGATCTCCCGCCGCCTGCTTACGGTGAGATATATGGCGAGATCCGCAATGATGCCGACGGCATTGGCACCAGCGCCAATGTCACTGACGATGGCCGTGTGAACATCCGCATCAATCAGCTCAATCGAAGTTTATCCCAGGTCTTCACTCCAGCGCTACGACAGCAGATCCAGGCCATCCAAGACAGCGAACCACCACCCCCTGCCTACATTCCCCCGTTTCTAGGCGGCGACGAGAAGACCCCTCCGCCGCCACCTTTGAATGTTGTCATCCAAGTCGTGGGCTCGCACGGCGATGTGCAGCCTTTCGTCGCATTTGGCAAGGTCTTGAAGAACACATACAACCACCGTGTGCGTCTGGCCACCCACCCCAACTTCAAGAAGTTTGTCGAGGACAATGGCTTGGAGTTCTTCAACATCGGCGGCGATCCTTCACGGTTGATGGCTTTTATGGTCAAAAATCCCAGTCTGATGCCCGGGTTCCGTAGCCTGGTAGATGGAGATGTCGGTCAGCGCAGGAAGGATGTCGCCGAGTATCTCCAGGGATGTTGGCGATCGTGCTACGAAGCCGGCGACGGAATGTACGAAGACCTGGACGAAGAAGAGGAAGACGATGGTCCTACGGGAAGACCTTTCGTGGCCGACTGCATCATCGCCAATCCTCCCAGCTTTGCCCATATCCACTGCGCCGAGAAGATGGGAATCCCACTCCACATTATGTTCACAATGCCGTATTCTGCGACCCAGGCCTTTCCCCACCCATTGGCCAACATTCAGTCTTCGAATGCCGACGCACAACTAACGAACTTCATCAGCTATGCTATGATCGAGCTTCTGTCGTGGCAGGGACTAGGCGATGTTATCAACCGCTTTCGCAAGAAGTGCCTTGGCCTCAATCCAGTGAGCAAGATCTCCGCTCCTGGTATGCTGCAGCGTCTTAAGATCCCGCACACATACTGCTGGTCTCCAGCTTTGATCCCCAAACCGAAGGATTGGGGTCCCCATATCTCCATCGCTGGCTTCTACTTTCTCAGCTCGCCTGACTATACACCTGCTCCAGAACTCAACGCTTTCCTTGATGCCGGCCCACCACCCGTCTACATTGGATTTGGAAGTATCGTGTTAGACGATCCGGATGCGATGACGAAGATCATATTCGAGGCTGCAAAGACGACTGGTCAGCGCGTCCTCCTGTCGAGAGGCTGGGGAGGTATCGGAGCAGAGGATGTCCCCGAGAACGTCTTTCTGCTTGGCAGCGTGCCCCATGACTGGCTGTTCAAGCACGTTTCTTGCGTGGTCCATCACGGTGGCGCTGGAACAACATCCGCTGGCATTGCTGCTGGCCGGCCTACAGTGGTTGTTCCATTCTTTGGAGACCAGCCCTTCTGGGGCGCTATGGTCGCTCGAGCAGGCGCTGGGCCTCCTCCTATTCCATCGAAAAAGCTCACCGCGGACAGGCTAGCCGATGCTATCAACTTCTGCCTCAAACCAGAGAGCCTGGAGCGTGCCAGCGAGCTTGCGGCCAAGATCGCAGAAGAACGAGGCTGCGATGTGGGCGCTCAATCATTCCATCAATACCTCGAGCCCGACCGACTTCGCTGCACTCTGGCGCCGTCTCGAGCTGCTACATGGCGCATCAAGCACACCAAGGTCAAGCTGAGCGCTTTTGCTGCTTCCACCCTGACAAATGCCAATCTCGTAGACTTCTCTGACCTAAGACTCTTCAGGCCACAAGAGCATTACACCGACGAGGGTCCCATGGACCCCATCTCTGGGCTTGGCCAGGCAGCCCTGAGAGCCATTGGTGGTATGAGTTTGGGTTTGGCTGAAATACCTACGGAGACGGTGAAAGTCTTCCAGCAGTCTTCTCGTCCTGATCGAAAGCAGTCACAAGCATCGGTGCCGACACTGCCAAAGTCGAACGATGCCTCGTCAAATGCAGGCGAGGGATCGACCCGGCCACTCTCGCCGGCACAGAGTCGATCGAGCTTGAGATCACGCCCGTCTCTGTCCCATCTTCGCAATTCCTCCAAGCTTTCCGTTGCATCATCCCTGGAGTCGAGCCCTCACTCCAGTGTACTGCCTCGACAACCGAGCTCCGTCGTTGGAGACAGTACCCTCAGCCAAGTCAGCACCCAGACAAGGTCAACGTCCAACTTTGATGACACTGGTCGAAGTCTGGCCAGCACTCAGACGAATTCCAGCACGAAGAGCAAGAACCGTGATATGATGCGCCATGGGGCACACAAAAGTAAAGGGATTGGACGTTTCGCCAAGTCCTTCTTCTACTCTCCCATGGAGATGTCAGTGGGGATTACCAAAGGCTTTCACAACGCGCCCAAGATGTGGGGAGACGAAACTGTCCGTCCGCAAGAGCGAGTCACGGATATGAAGTCTGGCATGATTGCAGTGGGGAGAGAGTTCGGCCTTGGCTGGTATGATGGAGTCACTGGGATAGTCACTCAGCCTTGGAGAGGCGCACAGAAAGAGGGAACTGCCGGCTTCTTCAAAGGAGTTGGTAAAGGAATCGGAGGATTCATTGTCAAACCAGGCGCTGCTTCCATGGGTATGATGAGCCACACGCTGAAAGGTATACACAAAGAAGTGCAGAAGCAGACCAACAGCAACATGCAGAGCTACATTGTTGCATCCAGAGCAGCGCAGGGGTACGAAGAGTGGCTGCAGAGCTCCGACGAAGAGAAAGAAGATGTCATCGAGCGGTGGAAGTTGATTCAGAAGTACATGAAGAAGAACAAGAAACATGAAGAAATGAGGAACGATCTGCTAAAACAGCAGGGTGGTAAGGCGAGGACGAATGGCGAGGCTCGCCAAAGCTATCACCGGACTACGAGTTCCGTTCAGTCTTCTCCGACGGCGGATGCACATAATTTGGATATGGACAGTGTCATGCTCGGCATGGGTGGCACTCAGCCCTCTGTACGACCTCGCGGAATGTCAGCCTTGGACTCGCGAGAAGGAGCTGCAGTTGACGGCTACTTCCAGCAATCGAACCAAGAAGCACCACGGCGAGAGCTGGGACATAATGCTCGTAGCGAGCAAGATGCAAACGTGGAAGGGACAGCTCGAGCAACCATCACTCCATTCCAATATCAGGGACAAGAAGAGGCGAACGGCCAGGTCTGCGAGGAAGACTTGCGGAGACCTACGGCGAAGGATGGTGCCGCGGCTCAGCAGCCCCTAACTGAAAAGGACAACTATGAATCGCAGCTGAATCGTGCCATGTCGCAGAGCATGTGGCGGCAAGGCCAGGAAAGCAGTTCCAGCGAGATCGGGTCCGTTCTGGGTCTCGATGACTCTGAAGACGAGGAATTCGAGCGCTCGGTAGCAGAGACATCGACGAATGCGCCGGAGAAGATTACAGTCGTCGCAAGCGGATCGTCAACTCCTGGGCAACCTCCGACGTACGATCCCGGTCATCTTGCCGGCGTAACGCAGAGTGAGTTTGAGGCCCAGAGGTCGAAGGGCAAAGGCGGCGAGAAGACGGCACAGGAGAAAACGGAAGAAGAGATTGTCATGGAATACATCAAGAAGCAGAGTCTGTTGGAAGCGGAGCACCATCAGACCAGGAAGGGCAAGGGGCGAGCCACGGCGGCGGAGGAGGATGAGGAGGACGAAGAGTTGCAGATGGTGTTGAAGTTGAGCATGCAGGAGGCTGGACTGCAGAATGGAGATGTTCCAAAGAGCTGATCGGTTGAGTATGGGTTTGCTTGACTGGAACTGAGATACCCGAGCAACGTCGTTAATTGGCGATATTTACAATATTGTTCAGCGTCGACAATGATCGATTCAAAGTGATGGTAGGCTTCTTGTTGGTGATTGAATGATGTGGTATCAGTATTCTGCTGTCGGAATGGTCAGTTTTCTTTAATATCCGGAAACGGGTCATTCATGGAGCATATGGCCCACGTCTTCGTCAGTGCTCGTATTCGTATCCGTATCCAAGACAATACTTGGTTGTAAATCTAGGCCACCGTGAGTGTTTGTTATTCAGCTGAGCAACAGATCCTGCCGACGTCATCACCAAAACATCCAACTGTTTTCTGCCGCAACACTCTTCGTCAGCGCTTGCTTTACCCGACGATCTTGAGGGAGTCCACTCATTGGCCGATGTAGATTTTTCAGAGCCAGCAATGAAAAGCTGCTACGCCTCTGTGTCCAAGCGGTGACATGGCGGATCGTGCCCGTAAACAAGCTGCGTGTCTCCCCTGCAGACGCAGCAAGACGAAATGCCATTGGCACGCCGATCAGCGTCGCTGCCAGAGATGTGCTCAGATAGGCTGCGAGTGCACTCGTGGTGAATATCACGTTGGACGGCAGAAGGGCACGAAGAAGTAGGTCAGCCGACAGGACTCGATCGAGCATGTAGAGCTAATTGCTATGTCCAGCAAGAGGGTCGGTCTAGATAAGGCTCTGTTCCAGATAGAGCAGGCTGTCGAGCGAGCTTCATCCGCAGATAAGCGAAGCATAGAGGATGAGAAGATTGTTAAGCGTCTCCGGGCACTGCTGGGTGGCGTAGAAAGCATTGAGAGCTCACTCGATGAAGAGTACCATAATGGCGACGACACTGACGATAGAGTCGAGACTGGCGAGACGAACGGCATCATCGCCGACCACACTCCTTTATCTGGCGATAGCCAAGCTATTGAGTCTGCGGAGAGTCCCCTTCAACTACTCGCTGCTTCCCACCGGGCTTCCAGACGACCAACTACCACCACACAACCAAAGGACGCTTCAAAGCTTGGGGCGTTCTTCGCGCCCGCTCATGTTAGTCTAGACGTTGGCGAAGACATCGATCCCATCAGCCTAGGATTGGTGTCAGAGGAAGAGGCAGAATCGATGATAACGTTGTGAGTTGCCGCTCCTTATTCAAGCACCACGAACTTCACTAACATGCCCCAGCTTCCACACCAACCTCTCGCACACGAGATGGGGCCTGGACTCACGGATATACGACATGGCATTCACTCGATCCAGGTCAGCCTTCCTTCTCACCTCCGTCATGGCGGCATCAGCCCTGTTCATGCCACACGCAGGGGCTCTGTCCAAGCGTCTTTCCAACCACATCAAGCCGTTGGTGTACAGAGTGATCCATGAAAAGCACAAATCTGTTGAGATTGTGCTGGCCTTCATGGTCAATCTGCCGTGGATGTTTCCTGGCGAGCGCAGTGCTGATGACGAGACCTGTTTCTATGTTGCGACGGCTTTGCAGATAGCGATCGACCTGGGCCTTCACAAAGTACTGGCTCTCGATCAGACCGCTCCATCAGCTTCGAGACCAAGTATTGGGCGCGGCGAGTCTCTTGATGCCAGGGTTGCATTGGCCATGGATGGGTTTCAGAACACTGATCCCTCATCGCAAAGGGGGCGGCTACTCTTGAGGGGCAGAGAGCGGTGCTGGATCTCGCTATATGCGGTCGAGAGAGGGTAAGTTCTAGTTAATCTGATGGAAAGCGGTAGGGCCTGACTTTCCTCTTCAGAATGTGCCTTGCTCGAGGAAGACCTTTTATAACCCCTTTGACTCGGCTGATCAAGGAATGCGATGGGTGGCATCGATCCGACCTCGCCGACAAGGAAGACGGACCTCTTCTGTCGATTGCAACTATGAGGAGAGATCTGGTACATAGAGACACCTACTCATCCCGATCCATGCTAACGAGAGCAGGACGGACTCTTCACCGACGTACGGACGTTATGTGACAGCTCGCAGGGCGTTGCTGGAGATGGGTCACTGGAAGCTCAGGCGTATCGCATCCTCGCCTGCTCAATGTATCACTGCTAATGTCCCACAGCATCCAAAGCGCCATCGAGCACTTCTTCAACCAGTGGCACGCAGAGTACGACTCGTCGATCGGCACAGGGCCTGGTATGTACCACATATCTGCTCAACACAGATGATAAGCATGGCTGACGAGCTATATCTAGACAACCGTCTTCCTCCTTACATCGAGATTCTCATTACTCACACTCGACTGTCCATCTATGGCGGCTTGATCAACCACCCAACAGCTCCACTCGAAGTTCGGCAGTTTTTCCGCACAGCAGGACTATCATCAGCACTAAATGTCATGCGGGTAGCCATCCAGGGAGAATCCAGACTGCTCTCGATGCCCAATAACACATCCATCATGATCTCTTTCGCCGCCTGCTTTGCCCTCACGCTCAGCACCTATGTCACAGGAAACACCATCTTGGCGCCGAGCATTAGAGAAGTCATCGATCAATCGGCTGGTCTGTTGGAAAGAATAGGATCTGTAACTCCCCACCGCAACGGTCCTTCAACACTCTACGCCAGACAACTTCGACAGATATTGAAAGATCGAATAACTACGGCCACTCAAGGCACAGTTCCGAGTGTAGACCCCGTGGCAGCACCATCGATGCAACAAGAGCCCCTAGCCGACCCAATACAGGAGTCATCGACATGGCCGGACACGTTTCAATTCTCCACAATGTCGGACATGGAGATCTCACAGGTACTGAATCAGCCCGGCAACGGTTTCGAGCCGTATTTTGATGGAATGTCGTGGGATGACTTCAACAACTTTGACTGGCTACAATGGCCAGAATCTATATAACACAAACAGGAGAAGACACCCAGGACTATCACCACTTTTCCGCCTTCGCCAGCCACGACCAGTTCTCAGCAGGCGCTCTGTTTACCTTGATATCAAGCGTCTCCTCGATGGTGTCGCAGATCTTGACAGCGCCCTGGATTTCCGCCTTGCCGTTGCCGAGATTGTGGCTGCCATACATATGACCCTTGGCCTGGGCCCAGACCGATCCGCTGTGTATCCAAGTCAGCAAACTACACTCGAGATGAAAAATGTCTTTCTGGACGTACCCAGTTGCATAACATGCAAGGAACTCCAGCAACCCGGTCTCTTTGGCATTGAGACGAGACTCTTCCGCCATTAAATCGCCATAGACTGCATTAATCGCGAACTCGGACAGATCTCCGCCAGAGGCAACCGACATGTTCTGCAGCACTCGGTCGGTGTGTTGTGCGTAGATCTTAGAGAAGAAGTCCATCCCTCGGGCGTCTTTCTCGGAGCGAGAGAGATGTTGCCGTAGCGATGAGTCCTTGTCGAGTTCGCTTTCGATTTCTGGAGAGTCGGCCAGCAGTGCTTTGCGTAAGGTAGTACAGGCGTTGATGCCCTTCAACAAGATCAGCACATATTGCAGGAGACTAGTATTGACGACAGACCTTGGGGAACCCAACCAGAACACTTGCTTTCAGCAGTGCTTCCCTCATCTTCCTTGCTTTGACAATTTGATCTTCTGCTTTTGAAGTGGTTGATTGCACGTATCTCCAGGTCGAGCTGATGAGTTCCATGCGGTCGTTTGCTTGGAAGACAAGCGCCGCATAGACGTACCATGGGCTATCTGCAGCTTTTGGGAAAAGTGATTCGAGCTGCTGGAAGAATTCGTTGGTGAGTGTCATCTTGATGTCGCGGATTGATGCTGTCTCTGAGTGTTGAACAGGCTTCTCAGGAGCTGATGATTCTATATCTATACAGTTGATTCCACACTTCTGGATCAAAAAGCCCGGTGACGCCAAAACGGATACCTATCTAGGCTGGTCGCCACTCCACTCGAGCCGGGACTATGACTTCAAGTGTCGGCCCCTAAAAGTAGCTCCGGTCGCAGCCTTTGGGAGATCAGCCCAGCAGCAGACTTCAGTCCGCCCCAAACTCACCTCATAAAATCCTCGGAGTCCAGAAGTAGCTTCCGCGCTCACAACCCGTCCTTGCCACATCGAACTTTGACGATCCACGAGCAAATTCTGCCTCTCTAGCATCGAACCGACACTTCCGCATGCGGGATGGCCGGCGAGTTATGCCATCATCCGCCGGAAGGGTTAGTGGCACGGGAACAATAAAGCTATCGTGGCAGGGCTGAGGCCGGATGCAAGTATAAAGTAAAGGCTAAGCTCTGGGTCATGATGATGTATACGACTGCACGACTGCACATTCCCCTCCAGACGAGTACAACACGACAACGACAACGACAAACATCAATCGACTAGATATGGCCTTCAGAAAAGACTTTGAAATCTGTGACTCCGTGGATGAGGCACTCCGGGACATCAAGCCTGGCGTCACCATCATGGCTGGTGGCTTCGGCTTATCAGGCATTCCGGAGACGATGATCGAATGGACGAGAGAGCAAAGCCATCTCAACTGAGGCAGGCGACGACAATTGGGGTCTCGGTCGACTGTACGAGAAGCACAAGATCTCCGAACAATGGCTGTCGTACATTGGGCGAGCACATGTGATGGAGAAGGCGTATCTGTCGGGCGAGACTGCATTGCATCTTATTCCTCAGGGTACCTTCGCAGAAAATATCAGATGCTGCGGTGCGGGAGTTCCAGCATTCTACACTCCAACCGGTTTGAATACCTTGTACGCTGAGGGGAAGCTGCCAACCAAGTACGACTCCAACGGCAACGTTCTTAAGTACAACGAGGCCCGAGAAGTCAGGACATTCAATGGCAAGGAGTATCTTCTGGAAGAGGCGTTCCCAACTGCAGACTTCGCCTGGATCAAAGCCTGGAAAGCCGACAAGATGGGCAATTGCGTCTTTAAAGGCACATCGTACAACTACAATCGCATCATGGCCAACGCTGCTCGCATCACCATTGTCGAAGCCGAGGAGATCGTTGAGCTGGGCGAGTTGCCTGCAGAATCGATCCATCTTCCTGGTCTGAATGTCAACAGGCTTTTCAAAGGAAAGAAGTGGGGCAAGATCGAGGTGTTGCACAACGATGATGACAGCAAAGAATCGAAGGAGAAGAGCGTTCGAGATGTGATCGCCCAAAGAGCTGCCAAGGAGTTCGTACCAGGCTCTTCGTGTAACCTGGGCGTCGGCATGCCCGTGCTGGCTTCCGATTACGCTTCCAAGGACGGGAGACATGTTTACGTGCAGTCTGAGAACGCCATCATAGGTGTTGGTGGATACCCCAAGCGAGGCGAGAAACAGAGCGACTGGATCAACGCGGGCAAGGAAACGATTGTGCCTATTCCAGGAGCCAGCACCTTTGGCAGCGATGTCGCCTTTGGCCAGATTCGAGGCGGCCATCTCGACATGACTGTGCTGGGAGCATTGGAATGTAGTCAGTACGGCGATGTCGCGAACTACAGTAAGCTTGAACATATCTCCTTCTCGAGACGGAATGCTAACATCAATCTCCAGTGATCCCCGGTAAGATGGTCAAAGGCATGGGCGGCGCCATGGACCTGGTAGCCAACCGCGAAGCCACCAAGATCATGGTTGTGCAGACACACTGCGACAAACACGGCAACCCCAAGATCAAGGCAAAGTGCGATCTGCCTTTGACAGGAAGCCGATGCGTGCACATGATCATCACGGAGCTGGCTTGCTTTGATGTCGATCACGAGAAGGGACTGACCTTGAGAGATCACAATCCCAATACGAGTATTGAGGAGATCAAGAGCAAGACGGGCTGCGATTTCAAGGTGGCGGAAGGGTGTGGGCCTTGGAAGGTGTAGAGCATCTTGGGTTGTGTGAGATTTTCAGGTCATCTAAATGGGCATCAGCATTTGGGCGGCGTTGTTAGAGTTTTCAGAGCGCTTCTAGATACAACCATAGAGACTGTACAGGTATGATGAGTCTATATCCTTGACAGCGCGGACATGTTTTCCGCCGCCTTTTCTGCCATGACAGACGCACTATTAAATGGGAAGTGACAAGTTCAAAGGGTAACAGTAAGTCACATGCACAATACTAATTCAGCTCTGTTGGATCTAGAGGGCAAATTTTCAAGTTTGATTGGATATTAAAGACCACACATGGTGGTCCAGACGACAAGGAACGAATTCCGGCGGGCGATAATAGGGATACGAAGGTGTATAGAACTGGGGAGGATGATTTGGCGACATGACGTGGAGATGTTCGAGAATTCGGGCACCAATGTTTGTATTTGTATATAGATGAATGTTAATTATGCCCAAGATGATTTAATACGGTACAGGATGTAGAAGAATTGAATGCAATAGCCCGGTCACTTCAAATGATCCCATCCCTCGTCGTCAATCCTCTACTTCTCGTTCGTGCAGCACACCCCTGAACTTTCAAGCATGTCCACAAGGCGACGAAGCCTTGATTTTCTTTTGCGACTTTTTTTCCCCTCACATTGCCATTACAATCCCCACTGCAACAGCAACAGTTGTGAACCATACAGAGCTCTTGAAGCTTGCAGCACTTCCCGTAGACGGCTGGACCCCAGGGCTGGTTGTCCCATTCGTAGTACTGTTGGTCGGCATGCTCGTTGCTCGAAAGTAGTTTGCCGCGACTGGCTGACCTGCCGCGTCTGCGAGAGCCTGGATACTGAAGTTGTAACGATTCATAGATCCAGCGCTCAGGTTCCTACCGGCATCAACGGCAGGAAGTGTGAAGTTGGTCGGCTGGGGGAAAAGGTACAAGATGTACGTGTGCGGCGCATCTGTGGCGGGAGGCGCAGGGGACACTTGATTCTTTGGTCAGTGTTCTTTTAAACCTCATCGATCAATCGCGTCATACGGACCATATGCTGCCGTGTCGTTCGCTGAACCTCCCAGAACCGCGCCTGGAGTCTGGGTCACATTCGTGCGAAGCCAGTGCAGGTATGTTGTAGTGTTGGTTCCAAGACCTGGAACTAGGTCGGTAGTAGGGCCCGCAAAGTCGGCGTACGTGATGGACAGGTCGAACATGGCAATCATGTAGGGGCCTTGCAAAGTCCGGTTGTAGGAGACTGTTGGGGCATTTGCGATGGCTGGAGGGTGCGTGTAAGTAGCTATGGTCGCGCAGACTGAGGTTCTACACTCACCAGCTGGCTGGAACAGTTGATTTGGCGTGACAGTCGTGCTGTTGTAGGCTACAGCTAGCCGGTTGTCGGTGGAAGGCTGGAAATTCGGGGGCGTTTCAGCCCAGACCTGGAGCGGCAGCGCAAGTGCTACGGTGAGCAGGTGAAAAATTCGCGTCTTCATCTTGGAGTATGTGTACGACAATCTTAGACAAGTTCTCTCAAGAGAAAGGCAAGCCGTGAGTGACGACTCTGTGTCTTGCAGACGCACTCGCTGTTCATATGCAATCTTCATACCCCTATACCGCAGCACCCTACTCATACACCGGATCAGGCGCAGCACTAATATCCGGCCATTACGACGGCAATGCTTGGTTATGAGAGTTCTCCGTGGGCGTGGAAGGACATGGTGGCGGCTGAGTGATAGCCTTCTCCGTTGTTTCAGCAACGGTGAGTCTATAACTCTCTTCGCCATGACCAAAGTGGCTGTCGTGCAATCCCAGAATGCTCTCAGACGGCATAGGGCAAACGCAGGATGTGATCTGGTCTTTGAGATTGCTTTGTGTCACTCGGACATCTCGCCATAGAGCGTGAAGTTGAGGATCACTGCAACGCGGTGGCGTTCGAAGAGTAGCTCAACCGCTCCAGCACTGCCTCCAACGCTAACGCGCGCGAGGGCATCTAAGCAGGAGATCTCTTCGACGCCCCTGTAGCCACAGGTCATGATCTCGACACCATGCGCTGGCCAGGTCTTCGAATCCCGCATCGGCAGCACTGCAGCCTGATTTCACCGACATCTCCACAATGTTCTGACGAATCCTTCCGATCTCCCCAATCTCCATGCCAACTTCTAGGGCGAAGCTGGGGCAGGGGTATCGTTTTTGGCTTCAGCTTTGAGCGTATCTGAGCCGCATGTATGAGAAGGATGTGCCTCGATCTTTGAGGTGTCTACAAAGTCACTTCAGTGCTGGATATGCTGAAACACACCACATTTTGACCACATCAAGTCTTGGAAAGCACTTCGCTTCTATAGCATTGAAGCAGGGCACATTCACAGAAATAGCCAGACTCCGCTGCCACTTTGTTGCCTGACCTTGAGTCTCCCATGGAGACGCAGCGGAAGGATGTTGGGGCCCACTTTCGCTTCGGCGAAGTTTCGTATCACAACCCGAGAACATCACCTCGCGATATATCGGCTATATAGCCCTGAAATCTTGTGGCGTCGGACCTCGACTGGTGCCAAGGACTATTGGACCGCTATAGGCCTCTGTGATGACTCCGTGATTACGAAAGATCGCAAGTTGCGTCTGTTCGGCAACGGCTTTCTGAACGGCTTTCACAGTTCTACCAGGCATCCTCCCGTGGCCTGAGCTTCTACTAAAACCAACTCGTGCTCCGTTCCTCAACTTCTCGCTCCGTCCTTCTTCCACCTGCGGCAGCTTTCCCTCTCTTCAACCCCGATGTCGATACACCACCGTCTAAACTAGTAGGCAAATCATGCCTTCGTCACATTAGCTAATCTTCCGTTGGAACTCGGCATAACCGACGTCTCCTTCTCCGGGCACGGGACTTTACAGCCTTGCCGGTAGCGGCTACATACCTGGCACGCGGATGGCTCGCTACATATAAATAACTATACTCACACTCTTTCAGTACACGAAGAAACATTCTTACGACATTACGCACCTTCTCGACTTGTGACAATGACTTACCTATTGACCGCCGGGGTTGCACCACAATGGCTCGCAGAACAAGCTGCCAAAGGAATCGACGTGGGCCCGCGCAATGAAAGCCAGAAGATCGCCGCCAGCATCCAAAAGATGCAAGAAGACTTCAAACAATTCAATAGCCTGGTACTGGAGGGAATCATGCTGCGTCCTGGCGACGATGCCAGCTGGCAGGACTTTCTCACACTGCTGAAGAAACGCAAATGGGATGGCATCACGCTTGGAGGAGGAGTGCGGACGACTCCATTCCTCAGCGATTACTTCACCGAGCTGATAGCCGCCACCACTCGAGAGCAACCTCAAGCAACGTTGCTATTTCCCCTTCTTCCCGAGGATATTGCCCCAGCAATCAAGAAGCACATGCCGACGGTGGATTAAGGTCTGTCTCATCTTCCATCTCCTGTGAGGAGCGACTGGATCTGACTCCAAAGCCCAGATATCTTGATCTACATGAAAAGCTCGACAGTCTCCGTCAGTGCACGAGTGGCTAGGTCCAACGAAGAACTCATGAGTGAAAATGGCGAAGCTGTATCAGGCAGCTTGTGTAACATTAGTTCTGGGTAGTTTGTACATCTATACTCTGTTATTAGGTTACTGCTCAAACTCGACTCGATGTGCATGTTGCATCATGGATGTCCATGCTGAGCACTGGGACGAAGCCAGGAGTACTTGCAAACAGGCTTAGCCTCGCGTTATGTCGGGTACTGCAGCTGCACGGTATCGTCGAGATTGACGAAACTGCCAAGCCGACACCGCTTCACAATCCTCTTCGCGAACTCAGCGACATTCCAGACACTAACGTGGGTTTGTAGGGCTGGGCGAGCAGCACTACAACGTCTGCAGGCCGAGGGTGTTGCCAACGCCCGGCTATAAAGCCTTCATGATAGCAGGTAATCTGAGCGTTGTGTCTCGCAAGCTCATGAAACATGGTTCTCACTCGACATATCCTGGCGCTGGCCACCTTGGCTACAAGCACTCTGGCTGTTGATTGTCCAGGGGCTGACACAGCTGGCACACCCTGTACCGATGGTGTTTTTGTTCTTTCTGCTCGAGGCACCGATCTCAACTTCAATCTACCATTTCAGAATGGTCCCAATTACACAGAGCAGCAAGGGCAGCAAGATGTGGCTACTGCCTTGGTTGACAAGGCAGGGGGATATTGCCGGTCCTTACCTTATGCCTCCAGTCCCTACCTGTTATACTTTGTAAGCTCTTAACTCGATTCATCAAAAAATGCAAAGTCCATAGAATGCTCATGTTATCATAGCCCAGCATCAATTACGGAATCAAGCAAGGCCAAAGCACCATAAGAGAATATGTGGATCGATGCAAGTCAACCGTCAACCCCCGTATCGTTCTTCTTGGGTATAGTCAAGGTGGCCAGACCATGACTTCAGTCCTGATTGGAGGACAAGGCTATCCAACGCTTGAAGACTACAAGCAATACAGTAAGCTCCTTATCAGCACCGCAACAAGACACGAGCTCATCAACCCAACAGTCACCGGCGGTGCGTTCTTCGCCAGCCCGTCTTTCGTTGCCAACTACCCCATCGATGGTGGCAACTCCACCACAAGCGGTCTATTTGCAAGAGGACCCGTCAGCTACAACTATTTCAGTACGACGTACAGCAATCGCCTTCGCAACTTCTGCCAAGCTGGGGATGTATTCTGTGCGAACGCAGGGTTCAGCGATGAGGCTGGACGGATCCATGAGAATGCGGTGAATGCGTACAAGCAGGAAGCCATTGATTTCCTTTGGCCCCTTGTTTGAGCACAACTATTAGTTCTCAACATTGGTGGGCTGAAGGGGCTGCAGAAGTTTGCTCGATTGGGATTTGGCGAAACCTCTTCATTGTGTTAGAAATCTCACTCTGGCTTCTTCGCCCAAATGAAAATGTGATCCTCCTCACGGCTTTCCACCTCAGTACACAGTCCAGCTTCTTCGCCTTTTGGCAAATAATTCTCTCTCTCAACTTTGATCACCTCGAAGCCTGCTGCTCGACTTCTCTTCACGATCTCCTCAGCGCTGATGCTACTCCCCGTCGACTCTCTACCCAGGAACGTGCCACGCCACAATTCCCCCTCAAAAGGCTCGGTCGCGAAAATGAAGAGTCCCCCGGACTTTAACCAGCTATAAGCCAGAGGGAGAAACGTCCTGATTTCATCCTGGGTGAGGTTGGATATGATCGAGAAGTACGCTGTTACAGCGTCCAGTGGCGCCGTAGGCTTCCAGTCGAAGGCAGAGCTCTGCACGAATATTGCTTGAGGTACTTACTCTCGGGCGATCTCAAGCATGATTGGAGAGACGTCGATTCCCGTCACAGAATGGCCGGCTTTGATGAACGCTTCGCACACCGGGCGTCCAGTTCCGCATCCTATGTCAGCGACACGAGAACCCGAAGAAAGTCTGGGCAGAAGCCATTCGAGCGAGCGTCGCTGCCCAGGAATGTCCCTGAAAGCAGTTTCATAGGCCTTGCCCACTGAGTCCCAGAAGGCCGCGGCTGAGGACGCTGTATTGGCCGACATTTCTGTGCGAAATCTCGTGTTTGATGGCTGTAGTCGCTGAGCAGCAGCAGCTTTATATGGATTTGATGGCAGTCTTAAAATATTAGATAGCTGCCCCCGTCAGCATTATGCTCATTGGAACGAGAGCATTGTGAGATTGGAAAATGTTCCGTTCAGCTCCCAAGCTTGGTAAATGGTGCGAGGGAGCACTCGAGTTATTGAAATCTCACTGGACCGACCAATGGGTCTCCAATAGGTCCAGCAGTCATGATATGCTGAGCATCAAGTTCGTTGAAGCGAAGTCCTACTAGTACGAACTTCATCAGGCAAAAGTCAGGGGTCGTCGTCATTTCGTGAACTGTTCACCGCAACGCACATGCCTGGCAGAACTGGCAAGCCCGATCGTTCTTTGCGGTCCGAACCCCAGGTTTGATTGCTATCCTGATGAGGAGTATGTCTTCCGCAGTGTCTTTGACCTGCGCTCCAGCTCAGGCGCGAAAGGCGTTCGTTGCCCCATGACAAGTTAATGTAAAGGACTCTTCTATGGCCGAAACATGGAGCTCACGTTGCCGTCTTTCGGAACAGATTCGGGTGATGTCATAAAGCTGCCGCTGGGGCAGCTGGAAACAGGATGGACGACAGCTGCCGGAAGATCGGATGGCGATGGAGCTTCGAATGCGCGTGGAATCCTGCCCACGTGTGCTGTTCAAGTCCTGCTTTCCACGTAGACCGGTGACGGCATTGAACAGCAGTCCGGGACCTTGATAAGAGACGAGCTTCTTGCATTACAATGTACAGCCTGGATAGGAAAACGCCTGCTGTACAGCCATGTCAACTCAACAACCAGCTGATGGTCATGATCCAAACAGTCAACAGCAAAGCCGTATAGCCAAGTTCGGCGCCAAAGCGAATGTTTTCGCCCAGAAGATTGGAAAGCCTATCAACAAGTTCTCGAACAAGCTGGGTGCTGAGGCCTTCTTCCCGGCTTCGCTAGACGAAGAAGCCGATAAGGTCAGCACAAGATCTGAAAGTATTCCAACGAGAAGCTGACCTCAGTACAGGCGGCACGTATTCTTCGCAGCTTCTGCATCGACGGCTTCGAGGCCCCGGATCCGAAGGAACATCATCATGGCGACCACAGTAAGCAGAAGAAGTCGCTGCAGCACATTCCACCGGAAGTCATCCGTGGAGCGAAGGGTCTCGCAATTTTCACGGTGATGCGTACCGGACTGCACTGGTCAGGTGCTGGAGGAAGTGGTGTTATCGTGCAGAAGCTCCCAAACGGCCAATGGTCTCCCCCTTCTGGCATCCTGCTGCACACCTTGGGTTGGGGACTGGTCGCAGGCTTGGATGTGTATGATTGCGTGGCCGTTATCAATAATGACAAAGGCATGGAGGGCTTCACTCGAGCTCGTGCAACCCTTGGTGGCGAAGTTTCGGCTGCCGTTGGACCTCTTGGTGGAGGCAGACAGCTGGACTCTGAAGTCGTCAAGCGACAGTCCCCTGTTTGGACATACATGAAGAGCAAAGGCCTTTACGTTGGAGTTCAAATCGACGGAACTGTGATCGCTGAGCGAGACCGTGAAAACGAACGATTTTACGGCATCAATGGCCTTCGACATGCGCGGATCTTAGCAGGTGATGTGCAGATACCGCCAGGTAGCATGGTGCAGCTGTGGGAGACCTTGCAGGCTGCTGAAGGAGAGTCGCACGATGCCAACAAGCTTCCTCCGCCAGGCGTCGGTGCGCCGGGAGATTATGATGTCGAGCCGGCGAGCCACGATAAGATCCAAGAGCATGAGAAGCGGTTTGATCCAAGGGACAGAGTTGATCAGCATTAGTTTGCATTCATAGCGTTCCTTATGCACTTCCAAGAGACCCTCACGCCATAGATGTCGCCCTCCTTGAGCTCCCGCCCTTCACACTTTTGGATGAATTGAACAAGAGGGCAGGCGAGCAGTGCAAGCGTATGGAGCAAGTCATTATACGTAATGAGTCTAACCTTTTGGTATTGCCCATGAATATAGTTGATCCAACTCGCCGCATCGCATGCTCGATCAGGTTCAGGAGGATACCGAGACATGTCGATGATCAAACAAGCCATGCTCTCCGCGCGCCTGGGTGAGATCTCGAAATTCGCGAACTGTTTGGTCTTGGCGAAGACAGCTGAGATGCTGGGAAGACCAAAGGGGCGGATGAGCGAGGCTGAGAGGCTGGCTTAAAATGCAAATTGTGTTTGGGAGCCACCAGATATCATGGATGTGATGTCACCTGAGTTCGTGAATTGTTATCGACGGATCTAGTAAGGTGAAGAAATGGTTGTCGTAAGAAGCAATAGTCGTCCTCAAATGAAGTAGACGTGGCGAGGTCTGCAGATGGATATATTTACAGCCTTGCACTGATCATGTGCAAGCCGTGGTGCACCCCCGTGAACACTCGCGTTCGCTCTCTCTTGTTGTATACATGCCGCACATGGGGTGAACATACTATATCCTGCGAAATATGTAGGCTCGTGGAAGACAGTCGTCAAACTGGGCACCACAGACTTCTAGCGTACACTGGAACGACGTCTTGAAGGATGAAATCTACCTTCACTTCTTGAGTAGCTGGGGAAGACTTTCGGGCCATTCATGAGATGGTGAGATCTTCTGTCATTATTCACAAGCATGTGATGCTTCGTCGTTGTATCACGAGCGTGAACGAGTCGTTCAAGTCGTCAGTGCCACATCTTTAACTTTACCTGCAAGTGCATTCCTGCTCTGCTACAAAGACTTACAAATACAACGCACAACAGCTACGCGGAACATCATAAACGATGGCGATATCAAAGTTGGACCTCGTGTTGAGCTTCACAGGCCTCTGCCTCCTCAACCTCATCGCTGCAGTGGACTCGACTGCGCTTGGTGTCTCACTCCCGGTAAGCGTCTGGTCTACCTTCTTCATTTTCTCCTTCACTGACACCGGTACAGACAATTGCCAACCCCCTCGGCGCCACGAGCACCCAAGCCTACTGGGCAGGCAGCAGCTTCGTACTTGCGTCGTCTGCCGTTCAACCAATCTACGCCGCTTTCTCCAATGCATTTGGTCGAAGAACCCTTACCCTCATCGCATTGGCGCTATTCACCATTGGCACCATCGTGGGATCTACTGCACAGAATGTGGCGTCTCTGCTCGTAGGCCGTACCCTTCAAGGAGCTGGTGGCGGAGGCTTCCTCACCATGACTTATGTGGTTCGTTGAGATACTTTCTATTCTAATTAGAGACGTTGACTAACTATATCAGGTGTTGGTCGACTTGTTTACACTACGTAAACGAGCAAATGCAATCGCCCTTATCGGCCTGGTATGGCTCGTTGGCACTGTCGTTGGCCCGATAGCTGGAGGTGCATTTACAGAGTATGTGACCTGGCGCTGGATATTTTGGATATGTCTTCCGTTCGCAGGGATGAGCATATTCCTCATCGCATTCCTCCTGAAGACGCCACACGAGCCACTGCAGCTAGGCCAGGCTTTGAAAATGGTCGACTGGGCAGGCGCTGTGGTCTTCACCGGCTGTCTCACAAGCTTCTTGCTGGCCATATCATGGGTAAGTTTCTCTCTTGCACATTTTTGCTTGCGTAATATTAACGATACTCTCAGGGTGGGTCCATGTTCGCTTGGTCTAGCTACCAAACGCTCGTTCCTCTCATCATCGGCGCCGTTGGCCTCGTCGCCTGGCTGTTCTACGAGCACTACGTTCCAACATCGCCAATTCTGCCACTCGTCCTCCTCGGGAATCGGACAAACCTCGCCCTTTTCACTGGCACCATATTCATGGGCATCATCCAATACGGCCTCGTTTACTACCTACCGCTCTACTATCAGCTCTCCAAGGGATACTCACCGTTGATGTCTGGCGTGGCCCTACTTCCACAATGTGTCTTGTCCGGCCCTACCACTACAATTACCTCAGTCATCATATCAAAGACAGGAAAGTACAGGCTCGTCATCTGGATCGGCTGGGCGCTTCTGTCCCTTGGATGTGGTCTGCTGGTCCTTTTGACGAACGAAACGACAGTGCCTCAATGGATCTTCCTCAACGCGGTATCAGGACTTGGTCTCGGATGTCTGTTCACCAGTCAATCTATGGCGACACAAGCAGCGAGTGAGCCCCAACACATGGCTATCGCGGCTGGCCTGAGCCCGTTCTTCAGGGCTCTAGGGCAGACTATCGGGATCGTCATTGGAGACTCTATCTTTCAGAATACACTAAGGTCATAACTGAATGGGAGTGATAGTCCTATCTTGAGACAAAAAGCAGACGAGTATTCCAACAATATCACTCAACTTGGTGCAGTACTGGATGGGCTGCCAGAGGAATCCCAGGACAGGGCGGATCTCCTGGCTGCGTTGAACCCAAGCTTTCACGCGATCTGGTGGACTCTGACCGCATTTGCTCTGGCATCACTCGCGCTCTCATTGTGTATTCCGCAATTGAGCTTAGACCAGTCTCAGCCCGTCGTGCCGAGCGAAGAGCCGGGGAATGATGTTGAGAGAACAGCAGAATCCAGAGGCGTCCACCAGGAAGCTGAGATCATTGAACTACAGGAACGCCAAGGCGCAGATGAAAGCGTCTAGGGTAAGTGTGGGGATCTATGGCAGACGCCTAGGCCCCGACCAAGATGTCTCGTAAGATGGCATACTTCCAAGTGTAGTGATAGGCATGCAATGAACTCACTTCATTAATCATTCATGGCCATCTATGGTGCTCACTCTCCAGGAAGCTTTGTCACTCCGCTCAGCACCGAGGCTCCCGGGCTTGTCAGAGGAGATATGCTCGTCCATGACACCGTCACTCGCTGCCTGGCACTTTCAACAAACTTTTCGATCATCTGTGCATAGCCAATCCCGTTCCTTTCGGCAGCAAGAGGCAGGTCCGACCAGCCAGGGCAAAGGCCAGCGATTGCGTTGATCTGGGCGCAGATATAGCATCAGCTTCAAGTCGTGCCGAGCACATGTTAGAGGGTTCGCCTACCTCCAAGACACAAGGCTCTGCATCGCAATCCCAGCCTTTTGATCGAATGTCAATCCGGCCGCCGTCGCGACATCCCATGGCCACCCATGCCCGGAAGGCGAGCCTCTCAACCTTGAGGACCTCACTGTCCTCGCGGCCATTGACGGCCCGCTCGATCCAGTCTTTACCTTCTTCTCCCTCGATCTTAGAGACCCAGGTGCAAAATGGAACCGCACCTGCCTATAGCAATGGAAGGGCCAACACCTGTGTCTGCATTAATACATGCAGCTACATGGGGCCATATCATCTCCGTGACACCGAGTATCTCCGTCTTCGCCCCCGTGCCCGCAAGCGACACGGACAACTCTCGACCGTCCAGGAATTGCTCCACCAAGACATATTTAAGTGGAAATTGGGCTCGTAGACTCTGCACTGCTCGGTTGGCGGCTTCTGCATTCCTGGCTCTGGATGTCTCGCATAGCCCTTTCGACGTGCCTTCTGCATTAAGCTTTACGAAGAGGTCAAATGATTCACCCTTGCCGCCATGGTCTTTCAGGCCCAGCGTCGACATCCATTGCGAATGTTCAAGGCCGTCGAAAGTATCCTCAGTCTTGATCAGCATCGAAGGCGCCGTAAGCACTCCAGCGTCCTTCAACACCACTTGAGTCAAAGCTTTGTCGTGCATCAGGCACATCGTCCTTGCGTCAGATAATGCACACGGAACGCCATATGCTTCAAGTAAACCTGGGATCTGTGCGACCCTCGCTGAGCCTCGCAAACCTTCCGCAATATTGAATGCCAAATCCCACTGGTGGTGCCTTCCTGCTGCGAGAGCAGTGGTCAAGTGGAATATGTTGCCAACCAAAACGGGCAGATGTCCCAAAGATTTGAGAGCGTCTGCGATCGCGATGATGGTCTCACCTTCGGCGAACTCGGCGACGGTTTCGGCAGGTACATCTGGGTTGTTGGGGTCATAGTCGGACTTGAGATCGTAAGTGAGAGCTATAGTGAGACCCTTCGCTTTCGCCATGATGTGGTGCGAGAGGATTGGGAATTGCTTGTCGCTTGCAACAATGAGTTGGAGACGTTTGTTCCTTCGTGGGAGCGCGTGTCGGAGAGGTGAAAGAAGAGTCCAGAAGATCCAGTAGACTTTTTGACAGCAAGCGCGGAGATGGTTCCGGGGTGACACAGACCCGCAAACAATATTTTTCACGGACTGTTTCCCGCGGGTTCTCACAAATTGGCGAAACTGCCCCTCACTGCTTTAGCGGTCAGTCTCACAATGCAGTGCATTCGCATGCTCTTGGGTTGTTGTGACAGAGAAGAGATTGTCTAAGCGTTCGCTCGGTGATGCGGCATTGAATGAAAGGGTACGGCCGAGTGAATGATTTACGCATGTGACACGGAGTGAATTTGATTAGCGCGACGCTAGCGTAAAACTCCTCCTCTTAAGTCGCACCATCCCATCAATAACAAACTCACCAACTTCGCAACACCAACCATCGCAAATCATGGTGCAGACTCGTTCTGGGCTCGCCACGGTGTTCATTGCGCCGCGCACCAGGGCGAAGAAGCGTGTAGGACCATTTCGCTTCCTCGACTTGCCAGCCGAGCTGCGAGTCTCCGTGTACGAACAAGCGGTTCCGCAAACACGTGTGGGGGTAGAAGTCTTTCGTCTGCACCATCTCGCCCACACTTGCCGACAAATACGAAGGGAGTCGATCGATACTGTCTGCGCGAAATCGAAGCTGGTCGTTTGGGCCTCCTTAAACCGATCCAGCTCATCATTCGAAAGCTTGAAGTGCTTACAGCCGATCACCTACCGGAAATTTGAGGAGACATTTGGAGACGACTTTCGCTTCTGTCAAGTCGAGTGGCGAGTGTACAGCACCCTGAATAACAAGTCCGAGGGTCTCTATTACCCTCTAGCACCGATGCGTGCGCAAAGGTACGCAACATGGGATGTGCTTTTCGAGTTTGACATGGAAGTGGAGGAAAATGGCAATCTGTACTTTTCAGCACTGGAGCCGAACTCCTTTGTTTTAGACAGCACGGCATGCACTCTAGCGGTCCCAAGTCGCATACCGTGGAGTGCTAGGCGCATCGCAAGCAGAGAAGGCTTCAAAGGCTTCACTCCCAAAGACTTGAACATCTTGCGCCAGGCGAATTGGTATTAGAATGACAGTTTGGATGAAAGGACTCATTCAGGTGGATGACTACTGCAGTCTCGAGTTTGAGATGGTTGAGGAGAGAGGCAGTGGAAGACTTGGCAACGGGGCATTGTTACGCTTGTGGTCACACTGCTATTCGAGCTGAGGATTTCGAGCAGGGAGAGATTCAAACAGTGTACGGGTAGGGTCACGGCGACTCACAGTATTCAGCATCTGCCGTCACTGTACAAACAAGACGAATCACACATGCCTGCTCGACTGCGAAGACGAGCATGGGATGGGACTGCTTATAGCACTCGTTGATCGTCCTCGTGCGCCTACCCCAACATGCCTTACGTAGTCATCCGAAGCGAGTTCCTGATCGTCTATTCATCCCTCTTACGGCCGTTAGAAAGCTTCGGAAAGGACGAGTTCTCCTATTCGCACAAAGTCCAGATGTTCCCAAAGATAATGCCGCGGCATTAACTTTCACAGCCTGAAATTCCGAACCTGGACTTTCGAGTTTGATCAGATAGCGAGTTCACTCACTTCATCACGAACGCCGCCCAACGGAGAAAGAGTGCTAGAACCGATCTAGAATGGTTTTTTATAAAGTGCTATGGGCGACGACTACGGCCGCAACCGATTCGCAGAGATTGTGCAATCACGCGCAGCATGGAACCTGATCTGATCTAACGCGATGCCCGCTATGCGCCAAAAGCATACTAAGAGCAGTCTTTAAAACCTGGGTGCATCCTCTCCTTTTATGATATAGTTCCTCATTGTACTCTCTAAGGCCTTCCAGTTGCTATCGCTTCTGGCAAAGTCCCGAACAACCACAAGGCTGTCAACAACCAAGGATGGAGCGCTTAGAGCGACTGATGTCCAGACCGTTGGCAAAGCCATACAGGAGCAGCGAAATCCAAGACAATGGTCCTCCTTTCTTGAACAGGGACGGGCATCTTGACTTCTCACCCCACGACATCGAGAGTGAGCAACACAGCTCCACATCTCCTGAACCAACAAGCTGACGAAGAGCAACAGATCCAAAGAACTGGTCCCGCCCACGAAAATGGTACATCTCCAGCGTGTGCTTCCTCGCCGTGATCAACGCCACATTCGCCTCCAGTGCGCCGACGGGATGCCTTCAAAGCCTCAGCGAAGGCCTGCACGTCTCTGAAGAAGCTGGCGGTCTGGTCGTCACACTCTTCCTCCTTGGATACGTCGCTGGTCCGTTGCTCTGGGCACCGCTTTCCGAGCTTTACGGTCGACGGTGGATCTGTTACACAACATTCATATGCTACTTCGCGTTCAACTTCTTATGCGCTTTCACACCGAACTTCGCGGGGCTTCTGGTGGGACGATTCCTCACAGGGACTTTCGTCTCTGCTGCGATTTCCAACTCACCGGGCGTGCTGGTCGATATCTGGGGACCTGCTGACCTTCCGGATGTAATTACATTGTACGCTGTGATGAACTTCGTTGGACCTGCGCTCGGGCCCGTCACTGGTGGCTTCTTACAGATCACTGAGAATTGGAGGTGTGTCGTCGTTCCCATTGACCTATCTCCCAGCATGACTGACATAGCATCAGATGGGCCTTCTATGAACTGATCTGGCTGTCCTTCGTAACTATGCTGCTCTTATTCACAATCCCCGAGACCTTGCCCTCGATTGTACTCCTCAACAAAGCGAAACGCTTGCGACGCGCAAACTCCCGCGGCTACGAAGATATGAAAGCTCCCGTCGAGACTACAGACCGCACTGTCGTGGGCATTTTCAAAGTCGCCCTCATACGTCCTTGGATCATCTTATTTGATCCAATCTCGCTTCTTTGCGCAATATGTACGGACCGCAAATCACTTTGAGGAGGACCGACGCTAATATCAACCCCACAGATGTGAGCATCGTCTACTGTCTACTCTACATGCTCTTCGCAATCTACCCGTATGTCTTTCAAAGGAAACGCGGCTGGAATGCTGGGACTGGTGAGCTCCCTTTGATTGGAGTCGTCATCGGCGCCTGTTTGGGTGGAATATTCGTCGTTTGGGCAACGCACAACGCACAGAAGAAGAAGTCGGCAACAGTCTTTCAGCGCCGTCCTGAAGAACGCTTGCCCATAGCCATGGTTGGGAGTATCCTCTTTCCGATTGCAATGTAAGACTTCATATTCCTCCCTTCGACCTATCGCTGCTGACGAGATTCCCAGGTTCTGGTTCGCATGGGCCGGCGAATACAACAGCATCCACTGGATCGTCTGCACCATCGCAGGCGTCTTCCTCTCGGCTTCGATCATGCTCATCTTCGTCGGCTACCTCGGATACCTCAGCAACACTTACCTCATGTACACCGCCTCAGCCTTGGCCGCCAACACTGTTGCACGGTCAGCGGCCGCAGCTTCAGCTCCCCTCTTCACGACGTACATGCTTGATGCAATGGGAGTTGGAGGAGCTGGGAGCTTGATCGGGGGTGTGGCGTGTCTGTTGGCTCCGACACCTTTCATCTTCTACAAGTATGGACAGCCTATCATGGAGCGGAGCCGATTTGCCCCGACAGCTCCGAAATCATCTCAAGAGCCGGGAAAGAAAGACGAGGAGGCAGGCAGTCACCAGGATACTGGCAACGATGTGGAGAAATCTGAGACTGAATCGGCCACCGACCATTGAAAAGACATGTCGGGTTCGATGTGGTAGAGTCAAAAGTGTCTCGTGGATGAAAAACACAAGGCAGACATAGTTTGTTTGCTCGTGAGAAGCTGATTGAAATGGTGCTTGTGAAATATAGATTTAGTCCGCTACTCAGTCATTTGACCGGCGTACAGACAGGGAAGATCAATCCTTGAAACCGCTGAGACTTAGAAACCTCTCTGGCACCTGCTGCCGCTACTGAAAGACTGGAGTCAATTGGGGAGTTTGAGGATGGAAGAGAGTACAGAGCTTTCCGGGCTGCACGCTGAGCCCCCAATGGCAAGTGAACATGGTCCACGATATGCGTTCCGTATTGCCAACTGTACAATCTATACTTCTAATATACTGTTACACTCCTTTCCAACAACGATCTCAACAATAGCTTCCATTAACACCACTCGCACTTGGAATACCTGCATCAGCAAGCGCGCTCCAACTCCAATAATCCTGCAACTTGCCTTCCCCGTCCACCGTATCTTTATCATTCAACATCTTATAATTCCAGAAAGCCCCTCCACTCGAATACTTCTGATACGCATAGACCTGCGTATCATACAGCGTCTTGCGATACGCCAAGCTGTTGTTATAGTTGCTCTGCAGACTCCACTCGCCGATGAAGACGGGGAACTTGCCGTCGCCCACGCCGATGTATTTCGCCTGGCCGCAGATGGCCGGGGCGACGTATTGGGAGTAGATGCCCGCGGCGGCGAAGAAGTAGATGTGGCTGTCGATGACGAGGTTGGTGCCGGCGGGGAAGAAGGGGGACCAGTACTCTTCGCTGAAGAAGGCATCTTGGAGCATGAGCGGGATGCGCTTGTCGACTTTGGCGATGCGGGCGAGGGTGCCGTTGACGTAGGTGTTGATCCAGTTGGTACCGTTGGCGGTTAGCCCTTCGGGGGTGGCGAAGGCGGCGAAGTTGTCGCTCGGCTCATTGATTGGGGCGACGGTGAAGGCGTAGGCTCGCTGTTTGATGGTTAGTATTGAACAGGAAACGATGTAAATGGGCTACTGACCCCTGACGTCTTGATAAAGTTGAGAATGCCATCGATCGCGCGGAAGGAGTAGTCGAGGTTGGTGGTGTTAAAAAACCAGGCGTTGTGACCGAAAGCTTCTCCAATTCCAAGAGTATTGACGCCTCCTGGGAGAGAATGCGAACCAATAATGATGTGCATGTTGTACTTGTCGATGGCATAGTTGGTGATGCTCCTCAAATAGGCTTGTTGGTTGCCACTGTAGAGCTGACTCCCGGGCATCTTGACCCATGCGGCGTAAGTGGTGGGAATGCGGATGGTGTTGATGCCGAGCTTCCCCATCTTGTCGATGTCCTTGGTGGTGATGAACGATGCATATCGGGCTTCGAGCTTGGGGCCACAGACACTGAACCAAACAGCCTGGCACCAAGACCACTCATCAGGATAGGCATCGCCGATGTTGTTGGCCCACCAGTTGAGGTCGTAGTTGGGCTCCTGCTCAAGCCAAGCGCCGAAGTTGACGCCATTGGCTTTGTACGTTGTCCAGTTCAGGAAATTCTTGTTTTTCTGAGATGGCCATGTAATGGAGTGAGTGAGCCTCTTCAGGAAGTCGTCCACTTGATCGAATGCCCATTGGTTGCAGCTGATGATGTTGCCGTGGCTTCCAGCGTTGGTCTGAAGGGTTGTACCAAGTTTTGCAACAGAAGCTACTCGTGGTCAGATCGTGATCCTGCACCATCTCAAACAAGTGTATACTCACAAGCTAGTTTTTTGGCTACAGTATCGATATCTGTTGTGACGGTGGTAACAGCGTTCTCGACTCCGCCAATAAGAGCTGTGACGAGGTCTCCGAACAGACTAGGAACAGGTGCTGCGTGAGCACTGGCAGCAAGGCCAAGAACGAGTGAAGATTGAACGCGCATATTCTATAGTACGGAATGATCGACGAGGTGAAGTGAGCAGCGAGTATACAAACCTGTCTGCCGGGTCGTCTTATATTGTCTCACCAGATTGCAACCAGGAATGCCTGTGGTTCTGGGCCCGATCTGACCTGCCGCAAAGACAGGCATCATCGATTCTTGGTATGCCCTTCTGGGAGAAGGAGATCTGACTAGCACAGCACCAAACGATAGTCTCTCATCGTATCGCGGACGCCATGACCAAAGAAGACCTCACGGCCGGCGGAATCCGAGAAGCCCTAGAAGCTCGAGCCATTTTCAGCGCCACGAGGTGAAGGACTTGCACGAGGCTGAGAAGCCAGATCCTTCTCGCCAATGACTTGACTGTGTTTGATCTCGCTTGCCTCGTTGTGGCGTCTGCATTTCAGTTCCTGGCGCTATTTGGCGGCGTCTGGTCCGGCAATGGCTCGGGAGATTTCGTAGGTCGATGCTAGCGTACCACGAGGGGCTAACGTTGACCGAACATGAAATGACTGACAAAAGTTTCGCTTATTACAAAGATTCACTGTCGGTAGATGGGAAAGGGACATCAAGCATAGGCAGAAGCGGTGGGTTGCGGCTTTGGGATCTGCAGGAGATCAGTCAAAGCCCAGACTGGGAGGCCCAAGCTTACGCCGATATATGAATTGGTAGCGCATCATTCCATCTCCAACAACCCATCTGCATACGTTGTTGTCCATCAGTTCACGCCTCACCGTCTAGTTGAACACCACGGTCTTGCTGCCGTTCAAGAAGACTCGCTTCTCGCTCCACCACTTCACAGCCGCTGCCAGAGTCTGACTCTCGACATTGCTTCCCTCGTCCACCAGTTCCTTCGGGCTCATGCTGTGGTCGACCCGTGCAATCCTCTGTTCGATAATCGGTCCCTCATCCAGATCCGCAGTCACAAAGTGTGCGGTCGCGCCGATGATCTTCACGCCACGATCGTATGCTTGGTGGTAAGGTTTGGCGCCCTTGAAAGAAGGTAAGAAAGAGTGGTGGATGTTGATAATCTTGCCACTCATAGCTTCGCAAAGCTTCGGCGACAGGACTTGCATGTACCGTGCCAAGACAATCAGATCGATGTTGTTCTGCTTCACAAGATCCAAGATGCGACCTTCTTGGTCGGCTTTGGTGTCTTTGGTGACTGGTAGATGATGGAAATCGATTTCATAGCTCTTGGCCAAAGACTCGAACTCCGCATGGTTCGATACGATAAGCGGGATCTCGATGTTCAACTGAGAAGTCTTCTGGCGGAACAGGAGATCGTTGAGACAGTGGCCCATCTTCGAAACCATGATCATGACTCTGGGTTTGTGCGCTTTGGGCACGATGTCGTAGTCCATCTTAAGATCGGATGCCAGTTCGCTAAAAGGCTGCGCCAAGTGTTCCGTGGAATCGGCATGGCCAAAGTGCACTCGCATGAAGAATTTCTGGAGCTCTGGGTCGGAGAATTGCTGCAGATCGAGAATGTTCAGATTGTGCTTTGCGAGCACACCCGTGACGGTGTGAATGATTCCTGGCTTGTCCGGGCACGACAGCGTGAGGATGTGGTCTTTGGTCATCTTGGCGGCGGGCGAAATCTTTGTTGAAAAGGCGGATTGCTGTACTTGAACAAGTGGTTTTGCTGAAATGTTATGAACCAGAGACGATTTGTTGAATGGCAGTCTTGCAGCGAGACGCAGTGCTGCCATCAAGTGCTGCGGTGTTGAAACTGCAAAGTCGAAATGTCGTTCGATGATTCATTTTTCGGCTGTCGTTTCACAATCCAGACTCAGTGTGCGCACAGACAACAAGGAAACTCTTTCCGCGCCATGCCGAAAGCGGCCGTGGAATGAGGTGTTTCGGTTGGGAATAGACAGGACTTTGGAAAAGTTAACGATTATACTGCGCTGCGTCATATATAAATGTAAGATACATATAGCGATGAAGAGATGCGGAGGGGGGAGAAAAGGAGGTCGCAGGAGGATTGAGATTGTTATCGAGGATTCACTTGCCCTTTCGAATTTGGCTAGCGTGTCTTGGCTGAGTGCCTGAGGCCTTCAGCGGAACTCGGCGGCTGTTTCTGCAAAACTGCGAGGTTGGGCTGATGGACAAGAACAATATTTGACAAAACATCTTGAAATACAATGTCATTCACATTCTAATTGAAATATTCCCATTGAATGGCCAGCGACGAAGATGGGTTTCGTGCCCCACGCTTCGACGGCGAAGACGTATCCCCGACCACAGAGAGGGAACTCAGAGGTTGGTACAGTACTGGGCTAGCCGCTGAGATCTTTGCCGTGTGCGGTGTTGGTAAGCATATATGTATTTCAAACATGTAGTGTTCCATTCTGACTTTCTTGCAGGATCATTTGCCCCGGTGACTCTCGAGCAGCTCGCTCGCGAAAGCGGCGTGTTGCGTTCGGACGGTACTACACCATGTATCCAACCCAAGGCATCAACAGGCGAGCGACTAGCTCATGTGCTCATTCGAGCAATAACCAGCAGAGATGACGATGAGGACAGCCAATGTATTGTGCGTCCGTTTGGCCGTGATATGGCCACCTCCAGCTTCGCCATGTACACCTTCTCTATTGCCGTATTCGTACAGGCATTGGTCTTGATATCCTTCAGTCCAGTGGCCGACTATGGTAGGTGGATCCTCGCACCTTGCAAACTCGTTGTTGATTAAGTGGCAGGTACACACAGAAAACGTCTGGTCCTGATGTTCGCCTTCACCGGCGCAACAGCAACAGCGGCCATGGTCTTGGTCTGGCCGCAGGTCTACCTCCTTGGCTCGCTTTTCATCATTGTAGCCGTTGTGTGCTTGGGGTCGACTTTTGTCTTGCTCAATGCCTTTCTGCCTTTACTAGCAGCCCGCCATCCAATTGTACAGGCACAGTCAAACGGCTCAATCGTGCAGCTGCCAAAACTCGAAAGCACTTCGCCTGAGCTGAAGCTCTCGACTCAGATATCTGCCAAAGGGGTCGGATTGGGCTATGCGGCGGCAGTATCTGTACAAATCCTCAGTATCCTACTGCTGGTACTGCTGAAGAAGGCCAACTTTGCTGCCGAGTCGACACCCCTTCGCTTCGTGCTCCTGCTTGTCGGGACATTCTGGTTTGCGTTGACACTGCCAGGAGCTCTGTGGCTGCGCAACCGTCCCGGTCCATCTCTGCGTATCTCAACTCCCTGGAGTAGCCGTCTCCCGGCTGCCTTCCAATACCTCACTTTTGCCTGGCGCTCTGTCTGGAACACTGTCAGAACAGCCACGAAGCTACGGCAAACCTGGGTCTTTCTCATCGCTTGGTTCCTACTTTCTGATGCCATAGCGACTGTCTCCGGGACCGCTATCCTTTTTGCTCGCACGGAGCTTCATATGGGAACTATCGCTATCGCCCTCTTGTCCATCACAGCAACAGCTTCAGGAATGGCTGGAGCGTTTGCTTGGCCCAGGATATCGAGAAGGTTTGGGTTAGAGACCAAATACACGATTTTATTCTGCATGATCATGATGGAGATCATCCCACTCTATGGCTTGCTTGGCTTCATCCCGTTCGTCAAGTCGTGGGGTGTCATTGGGCTCCAACAAGCCTGGGAAATCTACCCACTAGGCTTCGTGCACGGCTTTCTCATGGGAGGCTTGTCATCGTACTGTCGAGCCTTCTATGGTGAGATAATACCACCTGGATCCGAGGCAGCGTTCTATGCCCTGATGGCCATCACGGACAAGGGAAGCTCGGCCGTGGGACCTGCTATTGTAGGAGCTATTGTGGATGCACTCGGCACCATTCGACCCGCTTTTGGATTCCTGGCAGTCCTGATTGCAATGCCGATGCCGCTGATCTATATTATCGATGTAAGGCGTGGACGGGAAGAGGCATCCGCCTTGTCGAAGCACCTTGGTTACGATGCTGGTGGGATTACGATGAACGATTACGACCTAGTGGACGAGAACGAGGCTGGAGAGGGTCTTCTTAGGGAAGAAGAGACAACTTGATTGGGGGAGGCTATCGGCTGGGAATGGTTACAAATCGTCAAGTATCCATAAGGATGCATCCATGTCGCCTTCGCCTGGTAGAGCCTTGGGGACAGCCGTACGCCGCTCAGCTGCCCGTCAATCGCTCAGATATCGCTCCTCCATGAACCCTCTGGTGGCATCCCGAACACCGCTACGCCTTCTCCTCACGTCGGCAATATTAGCCCGAGCTCCCCCCTCACACTGGGTAATCTTTGCTGTCGACAAATCTGGTAGTCCGTTAGGATTGACCGATGGATCTATGGATGGACTCGAGAGTGGAGCCTCGCACCGATTCTCGGCCCGAGCGGATGCTCTCTTTCGACGCCGTATTCGCCTGGCTCCATGCTTCGATGATAAATAAAGACAGATGAGACAGTATCGATCATATTCTTCAGCACATCAAAACTCGTTTGGGATATGGGGTCTGCTGCACACAACGAAACGCCGCTGAGCGTACAGCTCGCTGAAAAGCTCTTCTTATACGGCATCGCCTCCGCGTCGAAGTCAGACCTCGATCTCATCATTTCAGCCTTTATTGACACAGTTAGTAGTCTCCCGTGGCCTTCATTAGAGTCTCTCCGATCGGATCAGCAAACTGATGTTGAGTCCAGCTTGGTTGTATCCTCGTCGGCAGACCATATCCATCTGTCCAAGTTGTCTCTAAGACTTTTGGACAAAGCTTTGGCACTTCATTGGTCATTGGCGCCGGTTCGCAACGAACGACTGCGCTCGATGCCACCATGATCAATGGCGTTGCAAGCCACGCGGTTGATTACGACGACATAGTCGACGGCAGCCATCCCTCGGCTACACTGGTTCCCGTCATTCTGGCGCTAGGTGAAGAGATAGGCTCTTCTGGGGAAGACATCATCGACGCCTACATCGCCGGGTTCGAGACTCATCAGCGCTTTTTGACGGCCCTGTTCCCGCACCATTACAACAACGGCTGGCACCCTACGGCGACGATGGGGACATTTGCGTCTGCTGCTGCATGTGCGCGCTTGTTGAAGTTCGACGTGCTACAGACCGCCACTACACTATCACTTGCCGCCAGCATGGTTTCCGGGATCAAAGCTAACTTTGGAACGATGGCAAAGTCCTTCCATGTCGGGCAGTGTGGTCGGAATGGCCTTCTCGCGGCGCTCCTTGTCAAAGACGGCTTTGATGCCAATCTCTCTGCACTCGAGCATCCAGCTGGCTTTTTCCAGGCCTACGATGGTCTTGGAAACGTGCATCCGGATCGGCTTGTCAACGACTGGCCGAAGCAACTCGCCATCTCCCGCGGTCCATGGGCGCTGAAACCATATCCCTGTTGTGGTAGCACTCACACGGCGATTCGCTGTGCCCTCAAACTTCGCAAAGATCACGGCGATGAACTTGATCTTGCACGGGTCAAATCAATCAAGATCGTAGTCCACGAAGATCGTATTCCACACACGAACAGACAATTCCCCGCGACTCCGCTTGAAAGCAAGTTCTCCATCCAATATGCCACGGCCAGGGCACTTACTTCGGGCGTCGTGCGACTGGCACATTTCGAGGGGACAGCGTTCTACGAAGACACGATCCAATCTCTCCTTCCTGTGATCACAGTGGAAGCTCGCCCGCCCAGCGACAGGAGAGACATTGACGAGATTTGTGCCGGCTCTGTGAGCGTAACACTGTTGGACGGCAAAGAACTTCTCGTCGAGCTTCCTGGTATTCTAGGTCCAGGCTCTGTAGATCCGATGACCGAGGACGAGCTGTGGGAGAAGTTTTCCGACTGTGCTTCCGGAGCCCTCGATCGGGACATCAGTCGACAGGTCTTTGATCTTCTCGTCAAGCTTCCCGACCAAAAGGATCTCGGAAATTTAGCCAAGTTGCTGGAGCAGGCGCATTGAGTTAATCGGGTCAACAGCATCTGTAATTATATATTTACCTGAAGTGGCGGATTTTGGGTCGACCAGGTGCCAGCCAAATATGCGATGAAGATCTGTTCGATGCGAAATTGGGGTCGACAGAGCGAATGTTCCCAGAAAAGTGCATCATGACAGAAGGTAAGTCTATTCTACATCCCTCCGGAGCCCAAGGGCAACGCCTAGCAATACGTCACGCATCTACATCGCAGAAGTAGGCTATTAGCCTGGGCGCCAAGCAATCGATACGATGCTCTCCGGAGGGGTTGACGGAGAAATATACGCCGGCTAAATGTCTTCCCCGTACGATTTAGTACTATAAGGTCCCAAAAAAGGAATGGAAAGGGAACACTCGCTGTGGTCTCAAACAATCTCTGCCAGCGATGAAGTCTGGACTCCTAACCTACGCCTTCGCTGCAAACCTGGCGGTCCCGCTGGCCCTTGCCACCGCCATCACCAGACGAGCCCTTGATACAGCCGCCCTCGCAAACCAATACTTCGGCAACGACAGTCCCTGGTATAAAGACCGGATCCCCTTCTTCACCTGCTCCGACACATCCATCCAAGACGTCTACTACTACCGCTGGAAGGTCTTCCGTGCACACCAGCGAGATCTGGGCGAGAGAGGTTACGTCTCAACCGAGTTCCTCGACGATGTTGGCTGGCAGCTGGAGCCCTGGGCTACACTGAACGATGCTACCGGGTTCCACATTGGCGAAGGCCGCTGGTTGCGAGATCGCCGGTTTGCGGACGACTACATTCGCCACATGTACAATGGTGGCAATGACCGGCATTTCACGGATTACACGGCCGATTCAGTGTGGGGCCCATATCTGGTTGATGGCGATGCTGAGAGCATGACTGTTCATTTGAATGCCATGATCGATCTTTACAATCAGTGGAACGACAGCTTTGACACCGAGAAAGGCTTGTATTGGAGAGAGCCTCTCGCTGATGCAACGGAATACACCATCTCTAGCATCGATGCAAGCTGTGGTCAAGACGGCTTTACTGGAGGCTACGCATTTCGTCCTTCAATCAATTCGTACATGTGGGCGAATGCGGTCGCAATCAACAAGATCGCTACGCTTGCTGGGCAGGGAGACGTTGCGACAGATTTCCAGCAGCGAGCAGATACATTGAAAGAGCGTTTCCAGGCTGATATCTGGAACACTACTCTCGAACACTTCATCGACCGGTATCAGCGGGATACAGACTGCGTCAAGTACTGGGAGCCTATCCGAGGAAGGGAGTTAGTCGGCCTGGTGCCATGGATGTTCAGCATGCCAGACAACAACAGCACTTACAATCCCGCTTGGAAGAATCTACTCGATTCGGACAAGTTGAAGGGGCCGAATGGCATGCGAACGAACGAGCCGTCTTACGAGTACTACATGCGGCAGTACAGGTACGATCAGCCGACGGGGTTGAGAGAGTGTCAGTGGAACGGACCCGTCTGGCCCTACCAAACAACACAAGTTCTTCTTGGCATGGCCAACTTGCTCGACACGTATGATCAAAATATCGTCACCAAGGCAGATTTCGTCGGGGAACTGAGAAGGTACACGAACATTCACTCTCTCAATGGTGGGCTGAACATCCAAGAAGACTACGAGCCTGATAAGGCTGGGCCTATCGTTGGCTTGCCTCGATCACATCACTACTTTCACTCCGGCTACAACGATCTAATCATCAGTGGTCTTGTCGGTATTCGACCCAGGGCAGACAGTGTCATCGAGGTCAATCCAATGGTGCCTGAAGGATCTGATATCAGTTCGTTCCGCATTCAAGATGTCCCTTACCATGGCCACTCTGTCGCTGTTCAGTGGGATGCCAGTGGAAGCGGGTTTCAAATTGAGGTCGACGGCGCAGTTGTGGCCTCTTCCCCATCACTTGGTCGACTCACTGCAGACATTTCTTCAGCGACTGCACCCATCATCACACGACGCATTGCCAAATCGATCCAGCTCGTCAGAGGCGACTTTCCAAAAGGCTCGGCCTCATCAGGAAACGACACTGAACGCATTCACGATGCCATCGACGGTCGGATCTGGTTCTTCCCCGAGCTGCCAAACGGCTGGGACTCCGATGCCTCTGATGCTGGCTCCGAGCAATGGTATGCGATCGACTTTGCCAATGGCACTCAGGTCAATTCTGCTGAGCTAGCGTTCTTCGTTGACGGCGAGAACTATGCGCTGCCGAAGGATTACTCCATCCAGCAGTTCGACGGCACCAACTGGGTAGATGTTTGGGGTGATCGGCCTCAGCTTGTTGCAAACGGTGTTACGGCCATCGAAGGGAATGCCGTGACAACAAGTAGGATCCGAGTGGCATTTACACAGCCGGCCGGGAAGAAGACGAGGCTGGTTGAGTTTAAGCTTTACTGAAGTGAATGCATCGAAGAGACACACTTCTATACACGAGTCTGCGCCTCGTCGTTTCTTAAAGATCTCCACCGTCTGATTGGCTTCTTGCTAACAGGATCAGATCACCGGTCAGATAAGTGCAGCTCCACCGGCTGATAAGCCAGCCGACCGGGCAGGCAGATAGGGCAAAGAGATAGTACACCGGCTTTGTATTGCAGTGAAGAAGAGAGCTCCTGGCCGTTCTTGAGAGTACCGTGGAACCATTCACTGAATAGTAGGTCTTGGAGAGCCTATTTCCGTACGAACGCTACTGCACGATCTACTACTCCTTTATACTCATTTCTTGGCAAACCTCTAGCACACCATGACGAGTACCGTCGACGAGAAGACAGCCTTTCAAGATGGTGCTGTCAACGACAATCCATCTCCAGTTGAGAATGGCGTCTTGCAAAATGTTCACATCGATGCTAAGGAGGAAGGGAAGTTGCTAAGGAAGCTGGACATCTTCCTTGTGCCAATCATCATGTTGGTGTATCTGTCTTGCTTCTTGGACAGGAGCAACATTGGTGGGTCTCAAAAGCGTCCAACGAAAAGCATCATGATTGATATGTCCCAGGTAATGTCAAAGTCGCCGGAATGCCAGAAGACATCCACGCCACGAACCAACAATTCTCCACCGCCGTGTCCATCTTCTACGCTACCTACGTTGTCTCCGAGACGCCATGGGCTATCTTGCTGAAGAAGCTCACCCCACGAATTCTCATGACCGGACTCGCCATTGTATGGTCCCTCGTCACCATCTTCTCTGGCTTCATTCAGAACATAGCTGGTCTCTACGTCGTCCGCTTGATTCTAGGCGCTTGCGAGGGAGGCCTGTTCCCTGGGCTGAATTTGTACTTGACCATGGTCTATCGACGAGAAGAGCAAGCGAGACGAGTCAGCTACCTGTTCGTTTGCACGGCGATCTCAGGGGCATTCGGTGGTCTGCTAGCGTATGCTATTCTGCACATGGACGGCGTGGCTGGCGTAGCCGGGTGGAGGTAGGCACCGTATCGACTTTCGTTGTTGCCATTGTTCTAACGAGCTGTTCAGATGGGTCTACATCATCGAAGGAATCTTCAGTATCATCATCGCTGCCATGGTCTGGTTTGGATTGCCGAATAATCCTTCCAAGGCGTACTTTCTCAACGAACGGGAGAAGGAGCTGATGGAGCAGAGATCTGTGCAGCGAGCGGCTTATATGGGCAGTGAGGAGTTCAGCTGGGAGGAGATCAAGATTGCTCTCAAGGATCCAAAGGTTTATTTGAGGTACGTTTTCTCTCGGCACGAGTATTGTTCTGCATTGCTGACGGTATGTTGCAGTGGTGCTGTGCAGTTCTGCCAGGACATTTTGCTGTACGGCTTCAGTACCTTTCTACCGTCGTAAGTTCTCCTGCATAATCTTCCACAGCAATGCATCTAATCTTTGTTACAGAATCATCAGAGAGATGGGATATGGAACGTACGAGACACAATACCTTACTGTCCCGGTCTACATCTTTGGTGGAGCCATGTTTGTGGCATTTGCCTTCCTCTCCGACAAGTTCACTCTCAGAGCCCCAGTGAGTCGCTCCAAGAATCTCGACCGTCGTCAATCTGACATAATGATCAGTTCCTCATCTTTGCCAACTTCTTCGGCATCATCGGCTATATCCTCCTTCTCTGCGACGTCCCCGTCGGCGTTCGCTTCTTCGCGACTTTCCTCTGCGCTGTTGCAGTCTACACAGGACCAGGCCTCAACCTAACTTGGCTCAACGTCAACGTTGCACCACATTATCGACGAGCTACAGCAATAGGTCTCCAGCAGACGATCGGGAACTGTGCTGGTATCGTCGCTGGCCAAATCTATCGCAGCTCACCATACGTTCTCGGCAATGCGTTCTCACTTGGAGCAATTTGTGTGAGCCAGCTGGTGATTTTGGCCAAGATGTGGTATATTCGGTCTTGTGGGAAGTTGAAGGAAAGAGTTGCGAATGGAGAGGTAGAGGACACAAGAAAAGTGAAGACTGGAGATTGGGCCTTGGACTTCAAGTATCACTTGTAAGATACCTCAAAACACGTTCGTTTGATCTACTACGATCTATTTCCGCAGCACATCTTCTTCCTTCACATCTAACACCACCATATGTCCAGGTGCATGGCCAATGACGATACCAGGAGTCTTCGCTTTCATGACTGCTTCCTGGGGAGTAACACCACAGCCCCAGAAGACAGGGACATAGCCACCGTCTTTGCTCTCTTCCTCACTCTGTATGACAGGCTTCCCATCAGCCAACACCGGCGCGTCGCCCCAGTCGAAAGCGCCAAGATCGTGAATCCCAATATCTCTCATTCCATCCCAGCCCCATGCAATCGGCTCACCATGCGTAGTGACATATGGACGAGTAATATCCCTAACCCTCTCGACTTCACTAGCTCTGTACATCCTCATCGAGACCACGTACTTGCCACCAACAAAGCCACCAGCAGCACAAAGCGGAATGTTCGTCGTGTACATAGTGACATTCCTCTCGTGCAACACATGGGGAGGCGTCAGGCCAGCAGCAGCCAGAGCATTCTCAAAGCTGTACGAGCAGCCGATCAAGAGCGCAACGTGATCGGATTGCCAATGTTTCTCAACGCTGGCGATGCTCTCCTCTACCAGCACTCCATCTCGATAAATGTTATACCGCGGTGCGTCTGTCCTGATATCAATTCCAGCAGCGATCTTTTCGTTGGAGACTGCCGATGCGCAAGAGACGAAGCTGTTGAAATCGCCAGGAGAAGCTGATTTGGCCAGAAGTGGGCACGGGACGGGATTTCGAGCGCAGAGGATCTCGAAATCTTTGGCGGCTTTGGATGGTAGAACGATCAGGTTGGCTTGGAGGTAGCCTGGTGCCATTCCGCATGTTGGTCTGTCCCAGGTGAGATTGCGGGCTGCCAAGCGGGACTCGAGACCTGTTTGGGGGATTTCGATTGTTCGTGCGGGTGCCATGATGTTGATTGATTGGTATCTTGATTTGTCGTTTCTGGCTTGGATTAAGCAATGATGAAGTGATGATAGAAACAACTCGATTGCAGCTGAGTGAGATATCACGGCGATAGGCGACTTTGGCCGAATGCTTCGGGCAGGCTGGGATGAAGCCGGGCGGTCACGGAGTCAAACTTATACATTTCACAGCACAAAGCCCAGTGGAGCTCCACACAAGAATGGCTATCTCGGTTGAGGACTACATTTGCCGGAAGTCATGCTGCTGCTACCCCTGTCGATTGACGGCATGAATGACAGGCTGGAAAGGATGGTCGCCCTTTCCAGCCTGTCCACAGCGGCAATGTTCCACCTCACCGGCCAAAGCATTGCTCCACGTTTTGCCAGCCACCCCCAGCGCCTACACGAAAATGGTTAGACAAAGCCAACCGCACACGGGCCTGACACATGAACGCCAAGACTAAAGTGAATGAAAGATGAAGCATCACTGCAATATGCGATCTCATTCTATAAAACTAAGTCTTCACAAAGAATAGTTTTACATACTACTCGGGATACACTGCACTTTGAGCGATGTGCTTCACTTTGTCCACATTGTTCGAGAAATCATCGACCTTTGCCTTGGCCCGGGCAAGGGCATCTTCGCCGAGAGGAAGTCTCAAAAGGTCACGAGTCGCTTCACCGTCTCCATGGTACGTCACAGCTTCGACGATTGCATTTGCAGCTCGCACAGGATCTCCTCGCTCTTTGCCACCATTGCCAATGACTCTCTGCAGAACGGCGTCGACGGTGGTGCCCACGTATGAATTGGAGAGGTTTGGGCCTGCCCCAGCGCCTTGAAAGTTCGTACGAAACGCTCCTGGCTGGATGACAAGAACACGGATGCCAAAGGGAGCAAGCTCTCCGTACAAGGCTTCTGAGGCACCTTCAAGGGCGAACTTGCTGGCAGCGTATAGCGAGAAGCCAGGAAATCCAGTCATGCCGGAAGTGCTGCTGATGTTGACGATCGTGCCCGCTTTCTGCTCACGGAAGTGTGGAAGTGCCCCTTTGATGGTGCGAAGAGGTCCGAAGAAGTTGGTCTCCATTTGATCATGAATCTCAGTCTCACTGCACAACATCTTGTTAGAGTACGGATGTGGTTGTCGATTTCTTCGAACTTGCCTGAAGTCTTCCAATGCTCCTCGCAGAGCATAGCCTGCATTATTGACCAAGACATTGACGCCATGCTCTCTCGCAGCCTTGGCAACTGCAAGCTCAGCCTCTGGAGTAGACACGTCAAGCTTGAGCCATATTCCACCTTTTTGTTGAATTTCAGGATTCGAATTCGAGGCCTTGATGGGGTTGCGAGCACCAGCAACTACACTGTGTCCAGCGTTCAATGCTGCGAGAGCAATTGCGGCTCCGAGTCCAGATGAAGCGCCGGTGATGAGCCAGGTGTATGACATCGTCGGTAATGAACTTGTGAAATTGATGACTACCAGCACAATGCATAGTGATCAAGAGAACCATTTTATATCATTCGACCATTGCTGTTGAGGCTGTGATCCTGGTTGGAGCTCGCTCCATACATCTTCGCTTCTAGGACGGCATATCATGAACAGGGCGGCGATGCGGCCGCATAGTCGCCAATCACAGAGAGTTTTTGCTTCATTCGGCATTTGTTGAGTAGTGGTTATGGATCCATGACTAAATTTGGTAAACGCTGTTATCGTAACTCCTGCAAAGCGGAGGGAGCGGACGCAGGATCCGCACTGCCATGCCTAGAAGCTGGACATCCCGGGAAGATTGCTGTTTGCCGTGTTTGCTGAGACGCCTGTTTCTAATGATTGGAATGTGACCGGGTCGCCATCAGTGACTGAGATGAAGTTGTACAAGAACGGTTCAGACGTGCTAACCCCGGTCTCGAGCGACGAGCGAGTCGGCGATAGGGAAATACAGCATAGCATACGTGCAAATCGTGTCTGCGACATACCCTAGACCACAACTCTTTGGATTCCTGCAAAGAGCCCAGTATCATTCATGGCGTGCAGTTCTGGCCGTTGGATTGCAAGACCAAGTCGAGAGTCTTTCCATTGCTAGCCGCGACACCGACGCTGCCTCTACCATTGAAACACTTTGAATGAATACTGCCGCGATCAGGCACTGACCTCGTAGTAAGGTCATTCTCCTACAAGGTCATCGCACGCAGTATGTCTCTACCGGCAAGCTCTCGGAATCGTCTTGCCGATTGAGCAGCTCCAGCTTCGGTCTCTCCTCCCACCACGGCCGAACATAGCCGAAGCACTGCAACAACTCCTTTATCCACAACATATCTCACCGTATCGCTGCTCAACGCTAGGGATATCTCGTAGTGGAAGCCAGGATGAGGATATACAAGTCTCCAAGAAAAGACATTGACATCCCCAAACTTGACCTTCTCACGCTTCTTTTTGGTTGCACAGTCCGAACGCATTCATTAATTTGAATTTGGCTGACTCTCGTATTAGACTCACCATGGGGCCAAGCTGAAGAGTCACGAAAGATCCACGTCGATGCCGCTAATCCGGACAACTTCATCACCAAGGCAGAAGCAAGGATCATAGTCAAGCGAATAGCATACGTCCTGCGGAACAATTACGGTATAGGTGCCAATGGCCAAGGCAAGGACGTCGTTCTCACTGTCATTAATGGCAGTCCGTTTGCTCCCGTCTTCTTTTACGGAATCCTAGCTGCAGGCGGCGTCTTCTGTGGAGCAAGCACCGAGTCTCAAACTGGCGAGTTGGTACGTCAGGCCACGGACGGAGCAGCGAAGCTCTTAGTGGGATCTCCTGAATGCGAGGGCAAGATATTGGCGGCGGCGAAGCAGTGTGGTATAGCTCAGCAGAACGTTCTAGTTCTAGATCCAACGACGCCGAAGCAATGGCAGCTCACGTCTGTGACTACCAGGGAATGTGTACTTTCCAAAGCCAATGGACAGGAGATGGACTGGCAACGCATCACGGACCAGCAAACTCTGGAAAAGACTTCAACGTGTCTGTTGTTCTCATCTGGCACGACCGGCTTGCCCAAGGGCGTGCTTGTTTCACACTCTGGCCTGGTGGCGAACAATGTCTGTACGATGGATCCTGCAGTTCGGTACAAGGAGAAGTGCAGACGTGAAGGGAAGAATTTCTCATTCGATACAATCGCTCACTTACCCATGGCGAACATCGCCGGCGTCAGTCTCTACTCGACCAATCCGTTCTACATGGGCGGCACAACGTACTGGATGAAGAAGTATACATTCGAAGACTTCATTGAATACCACCGGCGTTATCGTCCGGCGTATCAGTTCACTGTCCCTCCAATCTGGCTTCGTATAGCCAAAAGCGACAACATCACAGATCACTTCGACGGATTGCAGGTAGCGGTGACTGGATCAGCCCCTATCGGAGAAGGAACTATGAGAGAGGTTCAGAAGAAGCTGGGCAAGGGGAAATGTCTGATTGCTCAGACTTGGGGAGCAACCGAAGCTAGCGGTGTCATAACTGCCCTCGACTGGTCTACTTTCAAGGATCAAGGAATCTGGAGTGTGGGAGAGCTGTGTCCGAACGTTCGTCTGCGAATCGTTGATGATTACGACAAGGACGTGGACGAAGGCAAGCCTGGCGAATTCCTCCTGGGCGGACCCATCCTCGCCCAGGGATACCACAACAGACCACGAGAGACAAGTGAGACCTTGACTGATGGGTGGTATCGTAGCGGCGATATCGGGGTCTGCAAAGATGGTCATGTCTACATCCTGGATCGAAAGAAGGAGCTCATCAAGTTCAAAGGGGCTCAGGTGGCTCCCGCAGAGCTTGAAGCACTTCTCAATTCACATCCAAAGATTGCAGACGCTGCTGCGATTGGTGTTTGGAGTGACGAGCAACAGACAGAGGTGCCACGAGCATATGTGGTCAAGAAGGGAGGTATCTCCGCCGCTGAAGCCGCTGACTTTGTAAAACGTCAAGTGGCAAGCTACAAGCAGTTGCGAGGAGGAGTCTACTTTGTTCACGAAATTCCCAAAAGCGCTTCCGGGAAAATCTTGCGGAAAGATTTACGGCAAAGAGCAGCGGCGGAGCGGTCGTCGAAACCAAAGCTATAGAGATAGAACTTGGACTCTTGCGCAATCTTTGGCATGAGCAATTGATCTGTGTTGCACTCTGCACTGTCTATACACCCATCACTGCTGCCACGCCATTCTCATGTGGCTCTGTTCTAGACCAATGAGTGTTCTCGGTGCCAACAGGCCGCATTTCCGGGCGACCATGAGAGCTGTCGGGCGATGTCTCCGCTCTGTCACATGTTCCCAGGGTCCGAGCACAAGACAAGGCTGGGCAACAGAAAATAGACATCACGTTGACGGGCACGCCTTTTACAACGCAAGCAATGCTACAGCAATGGCATCCACGGAGTCCAATGGCCATCCAAGCCTGGAGGAGATCAGAGATATTCCAAATGGTGCTGTGAACGGCCATGTCCCCGACGCTGAGGTTCCCCTTGATCAAAGACCAGCTCTGTATGACTGGAAGACGACGAATGAGCGAGGCTATACGATCAGGGAGACGCTGTCCGGGAACAGGCGGCCGCTCAAAGTGATCTGTGCCGGTGCTGGAGCATCTGGAATCTGCCTTGCAAAATTCATCCAAGACGATGCGGAGAACGTGGACCTAGTGGTGTACGAAAAGAATAGCGACATTGGAGGGACTTGGCTCGAAAATAGATACCGTGAGTCCGAGAGTCATTTCCACTTTTCCCATAGCTAACGAACTTAATGGCCAGCGGGCGTTGCTTGTGACATTCCGAGCGTAATCTATCAATATATCTGGAATCCTGAAGTTTGGTCAAGCTACTATGCCGGCGGGCCAGAGATTTTGAGCTACTTCCAGAACACGGTCAAGAAATACGGCCTGGAGCAGTTCATTAAATTACGACATCAGGTCGAGCGCGCTGAATGGCTCGAGGATGAGGGACTGTGGAAGGTAACCGTAACTGATCTGAAGACTGGCGATCAGTTCGTGGACCATGCCGAGATCTTCGTGAATGCGATGGGTTTTCTCAAGTTCGTACACTGGCTCTCGTGAAGATAAATATATGCTGACATGTTTTATCTAGTGATTGGCATATGCCCAAGATTGACGGGCTGGACAAATTCGAAGGCGTCATTGCCCACTCTGCAAACTATCCGGAAGGATTAGACCTGAAGAACAAGCGTATTGCAGTGGTTGGCAATGGCTCGAGTGGAATTCAGCTTGTTGCAAATGTCCAACCCGAGGCTGCTCATCTTTACACTTGGGTCAGGTCTGGTACATGGCTGACGCCAGGCTTCGCCCAGAAATGGGCGGGAGAAAAGGGGGCTAACTTTGACTGTGAGCCATATGTGCGCCCCAATTTCGAGACAAAACACTGTTTTGACATGTATACAGACTCAGAGAAACAGAGAAAGATCATGCGTGACGACCCAGAAAAGTACTTGAAGTACCGCAAGAATGTCGAGACCGAGATGGTCGCCGGCTTCGCAGTCTTCCACCGAAACAGTCCTGAGTCGAAGGGCGCCCTAAAGGTATGCACGTCTTCCGCTTCAGAAAAGTTCATGCTCATGATAAGAACAGTACGCATCCACCGAGATGTTGGCGAAGTTGGAGGGCCACGAAAAGCTCGCTGAAACTTTGATACCTAAAGACTTCCCGGTGGGATGCAAGAGGCCAACGTAAGGGATCACTACTCAAGCGAACCAAATCGTGGTTAATGACTCTCTCCCAGGCCAGGTAATGGCTACTTAGAAGCCCTGACTCAATCAAACGTCACAGTCTTTACTGGCTCGGGACTTGAAAGGATTACTGAGAGTGGGATCATCGACCCGGGCGGGAACGAGCATGAAGTGGATGTCATCATCTGTGCTGTAAGTAGAGCTCGTAAGCTTTCAAAAGCCCACCACATTGATACATGTGCAGACTGGATTCAACACCTCCTGGGTACCCAGATTCCCAATCATAGCCAAAGGCATCAACTTGCAAGACATCTACCGCGAGAAGCCTATCGGATATCTGGGCGTCGCCGCTCCACAAATGCCCAACTACATGACAGTTTACGGACCGTACGGACCTCTCGGCCAGGGCAGCGCTATGCCAATGATCGACCTCTTCATCAAATACATCCTCCAGATGATCCAGCACATCCAAGAAGAAGACGTAAAGAGTGTCACCCCAAAACAGGAAGTCATCGACCAGTATGCCGAACACGCAGATCTCTTCAACGACCGTACAGTTTGGAACGCCCCTTGTCGAAGCTGGTTCAAAGGGAACAAAGTAGATGGGAGGATCATGCTGCATCCGGGAACCAGGAATCAGTACATGATGATGATGTCTAAACCGCGTCTGCAGGACTATGATTTCGAGTATCGGTCGAAGAACATGTGGGCGTGGTTAGGGAACGGTTTCTCGGAAAGAGATTGCAATGGAAAAGACCTGACTTGGTATCTCGGCACGGTTGATGATGAGGATAAGCAGCGTGAGTACGATGTGTCTGAGTTCTTGCCGTCGTAAGCATGGGTTATCTCAGATATTCTACTGCTTCTCAGCTGGAGTGTTTTTCTCACATACAAACCTATCATATTGTATACTATCTGGGAGCTTTGTAGCGACTGAGGCTCGATATAAAGGGGAACATTCATTATCAAGCTTCTTGTGTCTAGTCTTTGTTGAAGTCGATGACAATACGCCCGGCAACCTTTCCATTCTTTAGCTGGTCTACGCTCTCTGCCCAGGCCCCTTTTCCTCGAACCTTTAAGAGTCAGCGATGTCTCTTGAAAAGAAAAAAGGCGAGCTTACCTCGTGAATCGGTTTCAGCAACCCCCGACGTGCGTACTCCAACGCAGAGGCAATGTCTTGCAGAGTGCCGACAATCGTACCTTGAATCGACATCTTCTTCATGGCCAGATGAGTCGGGCCTGCAACACCGGTCAGCCCCTGAAGTTTTAAATATAATGTCACGCTTTTCGTACTGTCTCCAACAACGACATTCTGATCAGCAGGAGGAAGGCCGATGCACATCACCTTGCCTCCTACTCGATCTCCCAGGAACGAAATGGAATCTATTCGAACGGTCAGTCGATGGACAACGAAGAAAAAGTGCAAGCGGAACCTTTGTAGGATTGCCATGCCGTGACCAGGACCCCATGAGCACCAATCCCGTCCGCAATCTTTTTGATCGTTCCAGCAACATCTGAAGTCTCTCTGAAGTCAATGAACTCTTCGGCGCCATGTTCTATACACAAAGTCTTCTTCTGCTCGCCACCATCGATAACAATAGGTCTCATTCCCATGGTTTTGGCCAGCTGCACCCCTTGAATGCCAACACCTCCGCCACCACCAGGGAACACAACCCAGTTGCCAGCTTTCAGACCCGAATCTACTAGGGCTCGATGCATCGTGGCTGCAGAGCACATTATCGGACCGGCGACTTCGTCCGGGACGCCATCAGGAATCTTTGGCGTATAGATAGCCGGAGAGACTACGTATTGCTGATAGCTGCCAGTATTCGAAATGCCGGTGTGTCGAGCTTGGGAACAGTACTGTTCGATTCCGTTCCAGCATTGCTCACAGTTGTGGCAAACGTTCCAAATGGGTTTAATCCCTACCAGGCTATCAGCAAGTAGCAGTCTTATGTCTGGTTCCACGCTCACCAGCTCGATCTCCTACTTTCCACTGATTTTGGTCAACCTGAGGGCCGAGCTTGACTACCACACCTGCACCCTATGTTCGTCTTAGCGAGTCCAGACTCAAGAACGGGAACCAATTACTGACCTCATGACCAGTAGAAACGACTCCGAATGAAGAAGGCCGTAGTCCCAAGTCACCGGTCATGTAATGGATGTCCGAACCGCACAGACCGGTACAATTGAGCTTTAGCAAGAGCTCACCAGGCCCTGCAATTTAACAGTCAGCAGGCTGCATCCTGTACTGGTTCTAATGAGCACTATGGGAAGATATCAGATCTCACCAGGCTCAGGAACATCGACCTCTTGAACTTCGAGCTTGAAATCCGGGCCTTCGTTGACCGTGATTCCGGCGAAGCATTTCTTGGGGACTTCCTCGCCTGTCATGATTGCTTCAAATGAGTATAGTGTAACCAATTACTTTGATCGAATCACCTTGATGATTCAAGGAGCTTGTAGACTGGTACATGCAATCGACCAGCAATCGAGGTTTCGTGGAGGCCATGTTCGAGTGTCGGCTATATCAGCCGTGCAGCCACCACAACCGGCCTGAAGTCACGAAGAGCAACAGAGCGTTGACATGATGAATGTCTCATGAGTGTCGTCCATATTGATGGGACTTTCAGAGACTACAAAGTTGAAGGGCATTAGTATCAAATTGTGTCTGTCACAGTAGATGTGAGATTTGGTACGCCTTCCGCTTTTCGGGTACCTGAACGAAGAAGGAATCACGGCCCCTGAATCTGAGCAAAACAAGACCTCATCTCGAAATACTCATATCTTTGCGCTCGCTTCCATTGTGCCATTTCTCGCCGCCGCCAACTCCCTGGCCCACCCAGCGACTAATGCTCCATTGTCGAACGTGGAAAGCAGAAAATCCATGCCTTCGGCAGCTCTCTTCCTTGCCACCTCCTCACCCATACCCATGGTCCCTACTACCTTCCCATGCTTCTTCGCCGTCGTTCTGATTTTGTCCAGGGCGTCCAAGAACTCCGACTCTGTGCCGTCGATGCCTGGCGACATTCCAAGAGAAAGCCGCAAATCGGCAGGTCCGATAAAAGTACCGGAGACCTCTGGCATAGACAAGATTTCTTCCACATTTTGCAATCCATCTTTGGACTCAATCATTGGCAAAAGTGCTATCTCGCCCGCTTTCGCCCGTGCAAAGTACCCTCCCATTCCGCTTCCAGGTCCGTCCGGATGTGCGAATGGAGCATAGCGCGGCCCAAACGACCGTCTTCCTCCTGGGGGATAGATGGCTTTATCAATGATTGCTTTCATCTCTGCCGCGTTATTGACCATCGGCACGATAATACCTGCTGCTCCACTATCCAAAGCCCACTTCAACCACTCGACTCCATGAGATGGAATTCGCACGAGTGGAAACTTAGTCCCTGAAGATGCCGTTGTGTATGCAGATACCATCTGAGTCACAGCATCAATGGTCATCGGAGCGTGCTCCATGCTAAGCCAAAAGATCAGAATGTTGGCTGCAAGCTATATCCGCAAGGAGAAACGTACTCAATCATGACAAACTCGCCATCTGCAAGGCCGGCCAGCTGAGCAATGATTGGTGTCGGGATCGTCAACACCGTGCCGATGATGGCTTGGTTCGACGATTTGATTTTGTCCACGAAAGTCTTGGCCATGATGTGGTGGCTGACAGTTGGAGTGAAACGTTGCAGTACACGAAGCTGCTGCCAGGTATCAACACGTACCGTCCAGTGTCGGGTGTCTCGATGAAGATTCAGACCCGACGGCGTGGTAATGGGATGATTGACGCTGATGGTCTGTCTACTTCTTGGGGGTTAGCGTCCCGGCGTCCAGGCGTGGTGTTGGTATGCTCACACATTGGCCGAGCAGAGCCGCATGCTCCGGAAACCACAGCCTCCGCAAGTAAGGCCCTCCAGATCTACGTCCCACGGAACTTGATTCGCATGGATCACGAACCGGATCGACTAGCTTACCGTCATTCTTCGAGAAAGCAATTACGAAGGCTCTCATAAAATGGCTTGCCCCCTCGTTGTTTCCTTCGACCGTCGATCCCCGTAGAGCGACCATTCAGCATACACCCACTGCCACCGAAGCCAGAATGTGGACATCCGGCGTGCTCTCTCTTCTCATGGCAGCGACAACGCTGGCCAACCCACTCACCTCCCGCGCCACATGTACAGACACGGACAAGATCAATGCCTGCAAGGCTGAGATCCAGACCATTCGCTCGCACTCAGCGGCTGACGCTGCGAAAATCCCCCTTGCACCACTTGCATCCCGCACTTTCTACATCACGTAAGGCTCACGATCATGATTCTTAGCGACATCGTACTGACGAGGTGCAAGGCTGTCTGAGGCAAACTTCACCATGTTACCTCCAGTGAATGTGGGCTTCACTGCGGAGACAGTCCGCGCTGAGCTCGTGCTTCTTGCCACCCTCTTGGATGCTGGTGTCCCTCAAGGGTCTGACTCCTACATCGTCAACTCCAACGGTACCGTCACATCTGACTTCATCCAAGTACGTTGTTGTTTACTGCTTCCAATTTCAATGCGCTGACAACTGTCTGTAGACGGATCGTTTGGTCTTGCCGGCGGTACAGGTCCGGGAGATTCATGAGTTCAATGCTGCTTGCCAGATCACAAAGATCACAGGTTACGTCAATGGGCCGCTTGTCGACTTCGTCAAGATCTAAAAGCATCCTATATGTAGTCTTGTACAAAAGAGTCTCCTGTCCGTCATCGGTGAAAACACGTAGGATTGCGCACGCAGCTCCCCGTGGCGAGGCTGAGACGTCCTGATTTGCCCGGAAAATATTTCCGGCCTTCCAGCACCACAGAACAACATGTCAACCGAGAACCGATCACATGCACGTGGCACAATGCACGAGACCATGCACTGCCATTCGTCGTTTGTGCAGAGATCCACACTTCACACTCTAAAGCTCCGCAGGCGCGAAAGCTGATCGTGACCCCCACGAATATCGAAGCATTGGAAACAGAATGCCTGGTGCACTCATCAAGAAGCTGACCATAACGCCTCTGGGCAACTTCATCGGCGCTCAAGTCGAAGGTCTCGACTTCTCAGAACCTATCCCGGACGATGTTGCGGCAGAGCTGAGGGCAGCTTTACACGAACATGGCGTTCTAGTAGCAAGGGCAACGAATGTGACCGACGAGACGATGATCGCCCTTGGAAAGAAATGGGGACCATTGGACAACGTGTTGGCGCATATCAAAGCTGGCCGAAGAATGCGGTTTGAACACCTTCCCGAAATCTTCGACGTGAGCAACCTTGACCCAGACGGCAATATCATTACCAAGGATGACCCCGTTCGAACATCCAGCAAGCGAGGTAATACGCTCTGGCATGCAGACGGCGCTTACAATCCTCGAAGATCCGGCATATCGATCATCAGAGCTGTTGAGCTTCCGCCAAAAGGAACAGGAGGGCAGACTGAATTCTTGGATAGTCGCACAGCATACGAAGATCTCCCTGACTCGAAAAAGGAAAAAATCAAAAGCTACGTTGGCATGAACACTCTGCTGTGGAATCGCCGGCTCGCCAATCCAGATATGCCAGAGTTTGACCTTGACTTCACGAAAGTCCCGCTTTCGAAGCACCCCATTGCTCAAATACACGAGCCGACCGGCCGAGGAAACCTATATATTGGCTCATACAACCACCACATCGAGGGACTTTCGATTGAAGAGGGTAGGAGGATCACCGATGAGCTGTTAGAACATGTAACACAAGAGAAGTATAAGTTCACTGTTCATTGGGAACAGGCAGGAGATATAGCCTTCTGGGACAACACCGCTGTGCTTCACAGGGCAGCGGTTGGGGAGTATGGTGAGAAGTATAGGCGGGATATGAGGAGGATCAGTACATTTGACGATAGCAAGTGGGCATGGGGAGCAAACGATCCAGCAACAGCGAAGCAGGTTGGATTGACGTGATCTAAGTCTGATATTCCACACACAAGTATGCCATGGAGATAGGTTCCAGTCAAGAGATTCATTCAAAGTTTTCCTTTGCTGTTTGCATGGTATCCTTGCCAGTTTGGAGCTCGTCTCTCGTGGAATGACTGGACACCATGTCTTGCCTCGCTGGATGGCTTCATCATGGAATCGTAGGTTGATTTGATCAGGCCATTTCGTTCACTCTCTTGCTGCCGGGTAATCTTCTTGATGGCGGCGAGAGCCTCTGGCCCGCAAGCATCAAGGTACCTGAGATACTCTTCTACTGCCGCATCATGTCCAGCTGCATCGTGGACCACGGCATGTATAACCCCTGAATTCACAAGTTCTCCTGCCTTGACTGGACGTGCGGTAAGCATTGCCTCCCGACCCCTTGAGACGCCCCATTCGCGTAGTACCCATTTCATGATGGCAGCAGGAGTCAGTCCAACCTTGGCTTCACTGATGTTGAAAGTTGCGTCCTCAGCAGCAATTCGAATATCGCAAGCAAACTCCAGACCAATGCCTGCTCCGAAAGCCGGTCCATTGATCAAAGCAATCGTCACTTTAGGAGAGGTGTCAATTGCTTCGAAGAGATTTTGTAGAAGCGTCCACTGCCGTTGTTTTGCTTCTTGATCATCGTCCAGCACGCCTCCTTCTGCACCTAGGTCCATCCCTGCGCAGAAGTACTTCCCTTCCGCTGTCAACAATATTCTGAAAATTTTCTGGTCTTTCGCTCCTTGCTTGTAGATAGCGGTCAAGTCTTTTACCATCTTCGTGGTCAGGACGTTTCCCTTCTTTGGACGAGCAAGGACGACTTTGACATCAACGCCATGCCGGTACATATGTATGGTCTCGTCGTCTCTTTCCAGCTCCCATGACTCCGTGATGTTCGCCATTATGTCGATTAGTAACGTGTCAGTAGCTAGTTCCGGTTATGCAGGTATCGATGAGAGAAATGAACTCAAATCTTCGGACGCATTCTCCGAGATCTAGTAGAAACGCTCCCAACGGCGATTGTGGACGTAGACGTTGGGTTCAATGGGTTGTTGAATACTTTGAATATAACGAGGACGTCAGTCATGCTTGACCTATCTAATGTGCTCCATTCACACCATTCGTCACATTGGCATGCAACCTTATCCTATCCGGCCCATCATGAACGTTATATTTCCTGTTCTTAATCCTCTCTTCCTCATCAGGGCTCAACTCGAAACTATAGAACTTCTTCTCTAGAACGGCATCGTTCATGTAAGGAGCAAGGTCGCCGTTCTCCGCAACCTGGTTTCTCGTGAAGCCGAGCCCCATGAATGCGAACATGTTCGCCGAGTTTTCGTACTTGATGTCGTAGTCTTCATACCGAGGGGTCTCAATCATCTCGCAGTAGTGTAAACTGCTTCCAGGCCACACGGCATTGACTCTACCCGTTTCGTTGTTCTTGTACCAGCTGCGGCAGTTGGGATCAGACCAAGTACTTCCAGCGATCCAGACTTGAGTATGGCTGTTGAAGGCGTCGGCAACTTCCTGTTTCGGTGAGAAAGAGTGGATGCGCTCTTTTTGCATCTTCTGAATGATCTGCACAATGTAAGCGCCGACTGCTTGCAAGGGCCCCATGACGGATCCGTTGGAAACAGGGAACGTTGGCCCTTGGAATATGTAATAGTTTGGCATGTCTGGCACAGCAAGGCCCATGTACCCTTCAGGTATCGTCTTCCACTTTTCTTGCAACGTCACTCCGTTTCGACCTTTCATCAGGTACCGCGGGACCTGCATATTGTCAGTCTATGTCTGGTGGCGAAGGTAGCCCTTGCTGCACTTACGTAGCTGACATCGAAACCAGTCGCACAGATCAGAGTGTCAACTTCGCATTCGTCTCCATTGGTACCTATCACTTTGTTTCTCTCGATTCTGGTGACAGCTCCTTTGTGTAGTTTGACATTTTCGGCTTGAACTGCTTTCATGAACGGATCGCCTGGGGTAAGACGTCGGCACCCAACAGAGAAATTTGGAAGTAGCTGCTCGAAGATCTCCTGATTTTGGAGGTGCTCGCCCATTCGCTTCTTGAAGTAGTCTCGTACCGCTCTCGACTCTGCGCTGTGCTTCATCATGGCCTTGATACCCATGATGCCGTTGAGTCCTCCTTCGATTGATCTAGCGGTGACAAGTAACTCATTTGTGTCGTCTCGTAGCTTTTGTCGTTGCTCTTCGGGATCTAGAGACTGCCAGTCAGTCTTTGTCTTCCGAATAAGAAAGACCACTTACATTCGTGGTTTTGACCGGAATGACCTGCGAGCTCTGCAAACCAGACGGGCGTACGGACGAACACATCCATGTGCTTGACCCCGGTGGTCTGCATAGCTGGTACAACCTGTATTGCAGACGCCCCTGAGCCTAACACGGCGACCCGCTCTTGAGACCACTGCTCTGGCCCGTATTCATCTGGCCACCGTGCGGTGTGCACTAGCCTGCCCTTGAAATCGTGGAGATTCTCCACCTCCTCGGGATACTTCCAAGAATTCAACAGACCATTGGCCCCGATGAGAACGTGACAACTGTCCGAGAACTCCTCCCCAGTCTCAACATTCTTGAGTTTGACGTGCCACTGCCCGTCATTCTCGTTCCACTCACAACTTCGAACTGAAGTGTTAAAGCTCATGAACCGTCGAAGCTCGAAACAGTCAACGACACGAGCAAGATATCTGAATATGTCGTCTGATGGACTCAGATACTTGGGCCAGTCGGCATTCAATGCGAACGCTTAAGTGTAAGCATGCGAAGGAACATCACATGCGCATCTGGCAGACCTCAGTTAAAGTACGCCGTGAAAAAACGCAAAGGTTTGCGGTACCCAGGGTATCGATTCTGCAAGACCCGTCAGCACGGATCGTTGGAAATGACATTCTACTCATACTTCCAGCCAAGTTCCTCCAATATCTCCATTCTTCTCATAGATTACATGCTCGACGTTGGTGCAATCTCGCTGAATGAGGTATGCCATGAGAATGCCGCTGACTCCAGCTCCTATTGTCAGGACGCGAACTTTACGATCGTCCACCTTGTTGAGCACCCGGTCAGGGATGGTGTAGGATCCCTCCGAGTGTCCCAGTCGATAGCCATATTTGCCACCGGGCTCGTCATCGGGAATGTGCTCGCCATTGGCCTCTCCGGAGGTAGCTTTGTTGTCGAACACCATCTTGGAGGACAGAGTGCTCTCAGAAGCAGTGTCAAGGGCCCCGAAAGCTGTCCTCGAGACGTTTTATACTATTAATCTGGTCAAATATGATGTTGGGAGAAGGAGGATCTTGTTTGGGCACACAGCCGCTTTTCCGCAAAGCTCACCTGCTGTGTTCGATTGGCCACTTTCACGTGTCCACTGTCGCTCTGGCGTGTACTTGATAATACTCGTCCCACTCTCAGCTCTGAATAGCACAGCAGAGAGATGAGAATGAAGATATTGACAAGTGTTGGCGAGAGTGTCGTCAAGTTAGGAATGTGAGCTCTACCTGCATGTATAGCCGAAGTCAAAGTGAAAGCTTAGAGGCTTGTATGCGGAACAGAGACAGGTCAATCTGTCACAGATTTTGAAGATTTCTCACTACTGCTACGTTGAACAAGTATGTTATCAATGCCATGTAGTCGCTGAAAGAAGCACGTAACGAGAAAAGTTATGGATGTCAATTTCACGGCCTCTTCTGCGAGATGCCAGCCTCCCAAGGGTCATTGGGATCGTTTTCTCCCCAGCTGTATGCGCCTGTTGCTTTTCGTCAATGGTGGACTTCAGACTGAGTATTCGGAAGAACTTACTGTTGTCCTTGGTGGTGGTGCGACGCATATCACGCACATATTTCTCGCCGTAACTGCCGGTGGATGTTGCACGATGCAAGACAGCGGTGTTGTCCCACATGACCATGTCGCCGTTATTGTCCCAGTAGATGGTTAGGATGTACTTCTCCTGGATGAGGTGATCCCAGAGCCTGTCAAAGAGTATCTTGCTCTCCTCCCAGGTCTTGCCGTCGAGATGATGGGCGTAGGTCGTCATGTATAGATTCTTGCGTCCCGAGCCTTCGTGAGGGGCGACCAGTTTATAGCGTGCCATTGGCTGATCCAAAGGCTCGATGTGCTTGAAGAACTCCGGCGACCCTAGCTTTCGGTTGTGCATGAGTGAGTTGTTGGTGATTAAGGGTTCAATCTCGTCCTTCAAGTCTTGTGGAAGTTCGTCGTATGCCGTCCTCGAGTCAAGGTACTGCGTTTCGCCTCCGCTCCCTTTAGGGGGAAGCTCTACTGCACGGAGCAGGGAGTACAGAGCCCGACGTGGGTTATAGACCATATCCGCGTGCCACAGGAAGTTCCCCTTATTCCCTTCCTTGCGGGCTGGATCTGCGTCGGTAACAATATTCCCCTTGTCGTCGACATTGCTCACGTCGAAAATCTCAGGTTGCTCAGGGAACCGCATTTTCCTCCCTGCCTTGATGTGCGCGGATACATCATAAAGGTTTGGGTCTCCTAGAGACTTCGAAAAGTCGATGTGAGTCTCGTTGTTGAGATGTGCGCCTCGAAACACAAGAACACCAAATCGATCTGCCCCTTTCTTGATCTCTTCAAGTACTTCTGCTGGCACTGGTTTGGAAAAGTCAACACCCTCGACGGCAGCGCCAAATGTTGGGTGCAGTGGCTTGAAGGTCAAAGATGGCTCTCCCAAGGATCCCATTCTGTGTTCGTCAGTTAGTTGAAGTCCCTTGGATCTGACCCTGATGGATGTATCTGGAAGAAAGATCGTTGAGTTCGACGAACATTCTAGTAGTGTTCATCAATACTACTCACGTGTCTCTGAACGAGAGCTACGCCGCATGTGTGGTGACGTTCTTGCTCATCCATCGCCCTCGGGAGCATTTTCCGCCTACTGAGCCTCGCCTGGACTTGCCACCAAGCATGACGAATTGTCTGGGCGTGATGTCTGCTACTGCGAGTCGTGCTGCCTCATCAATCAGATCTCACTATATCTTAACATTTATCATTCGTCTCCAACTCTTTCGAATTCCACTAGAGCCATGGAAGGACAAACTGCCGTGAACGGCCACGCCGAGATCGAACTTGACGTTCTGGTGATTGGTGGTGGATTTGGGGGTTGCTATCTGTTGAAACAGCTGCGAGAGAATGGATTCAAGACTAAACTCATTGATGCGGCTCCTCGACTGGGTGGCGTGTGGGCACACAACAGGTGCGTGACGAGAGCTGCATCAGCCAAACGTGGAACCTAAGACAAGCCCAGGTACCCAGGAGCTCGGGTGGATGTCGAGATGCCATGTTATAGCTATTCTGATCCCGCCATCTTGAACTCGTTCATCTGGACAGAGAGATATCCATCTGACAGCGAATTAAGGCGGTGAGAATGACTGCTTGGCCTCGAAATATCAATTGTGCTAAAGTCAGGCTCTAGCTACTTCGACCACGTCGACAAGGTTTGGGATCTTTCCAGAGACGTGGAGTGTAACACCCAGGCCGTACAATGCACTTATCAAGAGCAATCTGGCAACTCTCGCTGGCATGTTGAAGTCAAGTCTGGAGAGGTGTATAACTGCAAATGGCTCGTCAGTGCCACCGGAACGTCTTTCAAGCAATATATCCCAGAGTGGAAGAACATGGACATGTATCGCGGTGTGATTGGCCATTCCTCCCTTTGGCCAGAGAATATCGACCTCACCAACAAACGTGTGGCTATCATCGGCGCAGGCTCGACAGCTTTACAGGTCATGCAGGAAGCAGCCAAAGTAGCGACGAGCGTAACGCAGTACATTCGAACCCCTAATCTGGCATTACCAATGAGACAGCGACAAATCTCCGAAGATGAGATCTACGCATACAGGCCCCAATTCCCTCATCTAATGAAGTCTCTACGCAACACACCAGCTGGTCTTCCAACTGTAGGTCAAGGAAAGGGTACGTTCGACGTAAGCGACGAGGAGAGAAGGACAATTTGGGAAGAGGGATGGAAACGTGGTGGTTTCAACTGGTAAGGATCGTTAATCCAGGTCGTCGTAAACAAAGCCTAATCTGGTACAGGTCCATCGGAGGGTTCTCAGATACTTTACTCAATCGCGAAGCCAACAAAGAGGCCTATAAGTTCTGGCGGGAGAAGACGTTACCGCGGGTGAAGGACCAGAAGAAAGCAGCCTTACTTATCCCTGAGCAACAACCTTATTGGGTAGGCACTAAACGCCCCAGCCTGGAACAGGATTATTACGAATGCTGTGATCGCCCAAATGTTTACATCACCGACTCGCCAATCGTGGAGTTCACCGAGACTGGAATTGTGTCGAAGGATGGTGAGAGACCCTACGATATCGTTGCGATTTGCACTGGATATGATGCCGTCACTGGAGGCTTGCGGACAATGGGCATTACCGGGCGAGGTAAATACCAGTGCTCGGCTAGAATGACACTTGATGCTGATAAAATGCAGACGGCTTAGCTCTGGATGACAAGTGGCAATCAGGTGTCTCCACCCACCTAGGAATGATGGTCAACGGGTTCCCGAACCTGTACATTATCTATGGGCCGCAGGCACCCACTTCTCTCGCTAACGGACCGCCATTCCTGGAACTGCAAGTCGAATGGATTGTAGAAGCCCTAAAGAAACAGCGAGACGAAAAGCTCGACTCGGTGGAGGCCAAGCAGAGCGAAGAAGACAAGTGGAAGCAACAGACAGCCGATCTTGCCAACATGACTCTGGCGATTGAGACGAACTCGTGGTACATGGGTGCCAACGTCCCTGGGAAGAAGCGTGAGTTTCTGATCTACATGGGTGGTGTCCCGACGTGGCACTCTGCAGCTGTAGACGCGTTGGAAGGATGGAAGGGCTTCGAAACGTCGAAGGCGCAGTTATAGGACTGCTTAGCGAACGAAGACAAGTTGAGACTGAGTCGTCCGGGACCAAGCAGTAGACGTCTAATACATCTTGGCAAATTCGTCGGTCCCACCAGACGCGGTAGACAAACGCAAGGTGTCGCACCCTTTCACGGTAGCCGGGCAGGGTCCAGGCGCGCACCCTCAACGCGACATGTAACGAAAGACAGAATCCGAACCATCATCCATCCAGCCAGGTTGACTCTGGCCGAGCGCCCCTCGTGGTCCAATATGCACCCCGCACGTCCGTCCAACTCAGTTCGAGCTCCTTCACCTGAACATGGAAGAAGATCTGCCGGCATTCGCCGCATGTACGCGGAAAGGATCCATCATGCGCACTGAAAGGGCTAGAGTCTGGGGAAAAGACAGGCGCTACGCACAGCCTCGTCCGCGCCTTATCCCCGCATGTGAAGGTACATCCTTGACCGCATTTCCGAAACCTACTTGGCGTATGCCCGAGTGGGAAGACCATGCAGATATACTCACTACACCTGCCGCCTGCATTAGCTCGAGCGCTGCCCAAAGTTGGACTTTCGTTGGAGCGTGTTTCACTGCCAGCCTTATATTCATCCGCTGCTTGGGACAACAACCATCATGGCCGACGTTGAGAAGACAGCAAGGTCCGGCGAGGGCCATGGTCACGCGCACCATGGCGAGCTTCCGGAGCACCTCGAAGAGATGAATAGAGTCCATACCAACATCGACGTAATTGAAACAACAAGCGAGAACCCTTACTTCGAGATCAACTTCATTGGAACATATGCTGCCATCACTCTAGCCACATGTGCGGCTTTTGCTGGCTTTGTCATGCCAGTAACTGCACTGACGCTGATAAATGCAGCCGTCGGTGAGGAAGAAATGTGCATTGCTCACTCAAGAGTCATTCACTAAAAGTTTTCAAGGGCCCTCGCCCAACTACGACTGGATCGCGCTTGCCTGGGTCTTGACCTCATCAGTCGGGTTCACCTTGGTCGGTCGACTATCAGACATATTTGGGAGGAGATATTTCTTCGCCGGCTGCTCTGGTCTTGCCACGATTGGATGCATCATTGGCTGCACAGCTGATGGCATCAACCAACTGATCGGCGCGTCGGTTCTGCTTGGCTTTGGGGCCGCTGGACAGATCTCATTCAACTATGTGCTGGGTGAGCTGGTACCTGTACGGCATCGCTACGCGGCAAATGGATTTGTGTTCCTCGCGACATTCCCATTTGCCGGCTTGGGTCCGTACATCAGTCGACTCCTTATCGTGAACAGTTCGGACGGCTGGCGATCGATATATTATCTGACTCTTGCTCTGGGTGGGTAGCAAAAAGCGAAACTCAAGACGATTGTATGCTAATCAGCCGTCCCAGATGCTGCCGCCACTCTGTGCTGGTTGGGCTTCTACCATCCACCAAAGTTCGAGAAGCTGCACCGTAACCGAACAAAGATGCAAGAGATTAGAGAGTTGGACTTCGGTGGCATAATTCTCTACACAGGCGGCCTGCTCCTTTTCCTGCTTGGCCTCTCCTGGGGTGGAGTGCTGCATCCCTGGGACAGCGGATACGTTCTCGGGACGCTCATCACCGGTATCGTGGTCTTGATTCTCTTCGTTCTGTACGAGGTCTTCATGCCACTGCGTCGCCCGCTAATTCCAATGCACCTGTTTCGAAACTTCGACTACGTCATGGTCAATATCTTGTCCATCGTCGGAGGCATGGTTTATTACGCAGCGAACGTGCTGTTCCCAGTCATGGTTGCAAGCCTGTATACCACCGACATCGTTAGGGGCGGGCTAATCAGCTGCGCCATCGGCGGTGGTGTGTGCTGTGGTCAATTCATAGGATCTTGGATTGCTGTCCCGGGTGGCCATATGAAATGGAAGCTGATCTTCGTGACCGCCGGCCTCACGGGCTTCACCGCTGGTCTCGCTGGAAGCACTGAAAACGAGGCTGCGGGCTCGGCTTGTGCTACCCTTGCTGGAATTTGTGTCGGTGTCCTGGAAGTCATGGTCTCCACGACTGTCACCATCGTTCTAGATGATCAATCCGAAATGGGCACTGGAGCAGGTGTGTTCGGGAGTTTGAGAGGTGCAGGAGGTGTCTTAGCCAGTAAGTCAGCATACTGGACTTTGTCTACTGACCAAGATTTGCTAATGAAAGTTCACAGCCGCTATCTACTCTACCATTTTCATGAACAGGCTCGCCGACAACATCAAGGACGATGTCGCTCCAGCTTTAGTTCAGGCTGGACTTCCCGTCACATCTGTGGAGTCCTTCTTGACAGCAGTGCAGTCAATGTCACAGGCCGCAATAGAGAGAGTTCCTGGGGTCTCCCCCACGATTGTCCAAGTGGGCATTGCCTCGCTCACCCAAGCCTATGCTCAAGCGTTCAAGATCACTTGGCTCGCTACTATCTCGTTTGGAGGATGCTCGATTATCGCTGCCTGCCTTTCAAGAGACATTGATGACAAGTTGTCGCACGATGTCATTCGCAAGCTTTCGGTTGGGTACACAGGGAAGAGGGGAAAAGACGTACCAGCTGCTGTTGATTCTAAAGAAGATGTGGAGAAAATTGAGCGAACATAGCCTTGGTGGCAATTATTATCTTGATCACAGATGAAAGAAGTTTAAAATTGTGCAGATCTTTTGCAAGAGATTAAAAGTGCAAAGCAGCATGTTGTATGCTTTTGGCTCCCCATCTAATGCGCGCGAGAGTTCCTGTAGACGAGGACAAGCAGGGTTGAAGTTGGTCGATAAAGATCCCTGAAATCGTCTCAAGCCCTTGCGCCAACCTTTTGCTATCACCCGCTGATGAGAAATGATAATAGGGAGACTGGAGTCTCAATGATTTAAGCGTAACATGGATTACAACTACACAAGAGGTAGTACGATCAACAAATACTACTTCGGCTTGTCTCCAGCCAGCGTGATTCGATGCATGCTCCTCCGGAAGCCATGATAGTCGTTGATAGGGTTATGCAGCACTGAACGATTGTCCCATAATGCAATGCTTCCTACATCCCAGTGAAATCGACAGGTGAATTCGGGCCTGACTTGATGCCGATGTAGATACTGCAGCAGCGGCGCACTTTCTTCGGCAGTCCAGCCATCGAAACGATCCGTATGAGCCACGTTCACATAGAGACTCTTTTCTCCCGTATCTGGATGAGTGCGAACTGCCGGATGGTATGAAACAAGTTCTTCTTGCGATACTCCACTTCCTTTGACTCGATCTTCTCTCGTTTTGGATGTATCCGCTTTCGCCGAGGTATGGACCGCTGTCAATTGCTCGAGGATGGTTTTAAGACCGGGCGAGAGTGCAGCATAGGCCGCCACTTGGTTTGCGAACAAGGTATCACCGCCGTAGGGTGGCAACTCTCGTGCAATAAGGATGGTGCCTTTGGGCGGCTCTTGGAGATAGACCGTATCGCTGTGCCAGATTCCACCGAAGTTGTTCTTCTCATCCTCCCGCTTCAGTACTTCTATGATCTCCGAATGGCCTTCGATGCCTTGCACAAAGGGGCTGAATTGGAAAGTCAGGAGTTGTCTTGGGTGTGTGATCAATCCTTTCCATCGACTTACTACGGTGCCGGCTTGCCAAAATGCGCGCTAAACTCCAAGAATTCTTTTGGTTGTAGAGGTTGGTCGCGGAAGAAAATGACTTTATGCTCCAGCCAGGCTTGGTGGAGCTGCTTCATCTGAGCATCGTCCAGACGACGGACATCGAGTCCTCGGATTTCTGCACCCAATGATCCAGAAATTCGGTTGACTTTGAAGTCATTGCTGACGGTGGCGAACGACCATCGAGCTGCCTGAGCTGCCTGAGCTGCTCTCGCAATATTTAGCAGTCGTACCGACGACGAGGCCATGATGTTGCTGTTCGACAATATGCTGTATGCTGCGAAGGCATCACACTAATTGCATCACTTCAATCTCACCATGCCCGAATTTGCCTCCGATATTCGGTGTTTAATGCATGTACGTGCCGCTGACTGGACACCTGACGTCGAAATAATAGACCCTTGCCGATCTCACCTGGCTCCAACCATGTGTGTCGGAAAAAGCAGCCGCTACCCTGGCATGCATGCATTCCACGTTCCCTTGCCCCGGACTATCACGTGCAGATGGATCAAGTGGTACTAGTCTGACTTCATCGGAAGAGAATGATCATATTCAGAAATGGCATCAATATGTTTGAAGGTACTTTGGCAGTAGGGAACCAGCAATCTAGAAGACCGCCATTGCATTAGACACACTGCCAACTCCACCTACGACACTCAGTCAGCGGACTTCCAGTCTCGAAGTGAAGACACATACCAGCGACGTTCGCGGGCGTACTCGCAAAGAAAAAGGTATACTGCCCCTTCTGACGGCAGACTTGAGCAAGCTCCTCCAGATCCCACATCTCGCCGATGGGAAGGCCCCAAAGAGGAAGCAGGATACTGTGCAGGACGGGATCTTTGGGCGGTGGCCACTTTTCGAATCCAGGTTGATCTCCTGCCACAACACTGAAGTAGTTGTCGTGAAGGAAGTCAATCACTTCTTGGGTCTGTTCGACTCCAACGAATTCATGATTCAACCCCACCACCTCGCCTAGCTTGTTACGTTCGTCTTGGTTCTTCTGGAGATATTTGTCGACCCAGCCGGTCCGGAGGATCAGAATGTCGCCATATTGGAAGTCGACCTTTTGAGCTTTCGCGCAGTCTTGAATCTCCTTGAAGGTGATCGGCCGGCTTGTAAATGGATCGTAGGACTCTTTCAGAAAATGCCAAATGTCAAGGAGGACGCCTCTGCCAACTACAAAATTCAGTCAGGAACACCACGTTGATTGCGTTCAGAGCCGCTCTTACCGATACCGTGTTTGGCCCATGGTTCCATGCCCATCTTAGATGTCGTCTCGATGTCATGCTGCGTAATCTGTGGAAAGAGCAGGCAATCAGAACGAGCACTGGGATATTATGGCGAAAGTAGCAATTACATACGCCGTTGTAGAAGATCCATTCGTCATTATGTTTAGTCGCCACCTGGAGCCGTGTCAGTGCTACTCGTGAGAAGTCGGCAGAACGAAGTCACACATGTCGAAATCCATCCCACTAGTCCATGATTAGCCAACGTCCATAGACACATCAAACATGAGATCCGCACCTGTGAGCCGCTCTGGGTGTTCAACTCATAGAGATCGTCATTCCCAGGACCGCCTAGCGGCTTGATTGTATGCTTGAACCGTTCTCTACCAAATACTGGAGGGTCGGGCAGATCCGCACGGAGGCTTCATCACGATCAGCGACTTATTGAAGTTGGAATCTACTTGATGTACTTCAGATTGACAACTTGACCTGATTTGATGAGCTTAGCGGCTGCGGCAGTGCGTTCAGGGGTCAGTAGATTGAGCCTTCCAAGCTGGTGCGTACAAGAGATTAGCTAAGCAGTGGTCTGGGGTCACGGTTACAGTCTCACTTCATCATCTTGGCCCCATAGCCATCTGGCTCCAGGAGGGTGGCCAGGCGTGTCGTCAATTTCCGAACGCTTCGGCAGAGACGAGGCAGATGGATCGAGCCGCATTATGGCAGTTCATTCAAGCTTGAGGACACGTCACTGCTTCCACGAGTGGTAATGGTTGGAACAGAAAGTACCTCTGCATTTTGTGTTACACGATGTATACAACAGCGCCGCGTGAGTGCCGGAAACCTCGACCCGGAATTGGCACAGCAGTCTCAGAGGCTTCGACCATTGCAGGATTTGAGCGATCTTTTCCACATTGTTACTGAGCCGGGGGAGTCTGACTGTCGAGACTACACTTCACTAGGCCAGAACGGTGAGAAGTGTGCTCAATCCTGTGCGCTCGCATTGGACGCCAGGACGCAGCCTTACGCCACCGAACGCCACCTCCACAGTTTCCCCGCAGTAGTGACTGGGGAAGCGGAGCACAGCATTTCCCTTTGACGCACCCCAGCTCCCTTCCATCTCCCAGCTCTTCCGTGCTACGACTGTCTCACCAGGCATAATGGAGGAACAAATGGAACATGAGAACAGCACTGCTCCTGATTCCCCCACCGCCGCCCGGCGTGCGAGGAAGCCAAATGGAAAGGAGCTTCGTGGCAGGAATCGACCCAGGGCCTCGCTGGCATGTGCGAATTGCCGCGAACGGAAGACAAAAGTGGGCACATTTGGTGGCTACAATCTCCGCCGGAAAACACACGACTGACAATTTTGCAGTGCACCAAGACAGCAGACCCAAAGACGTGCTCTTCATGCAGCGCACTCGGTATCCCTTGTATCATTAGTCATCTTGGCGACCGCAGGAGAATCCAGTCCAGGGAGCAGTTCACCGAACTGCAAGAACGCGTGCATCAACTGGAGGCTTTGCTTGTACAGCAGGCTGGAGGTGGTAGAGGAGGCGATGGTGGATCGCCCGGCCTTGCCGTCGACCCTCAACTAGGCTCGGATGATGCTTCTCTTTTCCAATCTCAGCAAGCAGATGCTACTGATCTACTCGGCGGCGAGTTGCTAAAGTACGCAATCTCTTTCCTCACCCGTAGAGCCTGTTGCGCTGACACGGCCGTAGCCAAAACGAGCCAGACGGTGAGGAGTTACCCATCACTGCCAATGATGGAGACGACCAGTCGTACCAGCAGCAGCACAACCCTATCATTACCCAGCATAACGCACAACTAGACTGGTCTGTCAGTCTGGACTTCTCAGCGCCGAACAATGCTGAAGGCAATATCGCCTGCAACGAGCATGCTCAGCGTCGAGCCAGTACCACTTTTCCCGGACCGACCCAATACAGTCCAGAGCAGGCGGGCTCAACTGAGGATGATAACCCAACACTGGAATGCGATGAGGAGAATGGAAGACCGCGATTCTATGGGCCGACGAGTCAATTACACATTCGATCCAATTCCTTGCCTGTAGACCCCGAAGCAGATTCAAGCAACTCGACCTCCGCCAACGAGCTCAAGACAGATTCTAGTCGCGTCAAAGAGGTCCTCATCCAAGGATTTTGGGAGAGTCAGCCCTTGTCACAGGCCATTATCGAGAGAACACGATTTGAAGACGGACGGAAGGCTGGTCTACGATCTGAGTACTGGTCTCCCTTTCTTGAAAATGCTCTCTTGGCTTGCGCCAGTCGTATGAGAACCTCTCCAGATATAAGAGCTCTAGGGCCGAGGTATTGCGAGCAGGCTACTTCAAAGGTCATTGAAGAAATGCAGAGCCCACAGATCGCCACCATCCAGGGCTTCTTACTTCTCAGCGACTACGAGGCCACCCGAGGGCGAGATAGGTTGGGTTATCTATACTGTGGTGAGTCTGAACAGCTTTGTCACGTGCTATCTCACCGTGCTAATCATTCCACGCATTTTCAGGTATGGCAACACGCATGATTTTCGACTTGGGCCTCCATGGAAGCTGTTCAGCATTGGTGGCTCAGGGACGCCTAACGCTGGCAGACAAGATATCTCGACATCTGTTGTTCCTCGGTGCTTATGTCTACGACACTCTTTGGGGGTTATACCTGGGCCGTCCCAACAGCATCCCAGCGAGTATGCTGAAGGCAGCACGGTGTCGTGGCGATGACATGAATTGGTCCATCCCGATATCGTTGGAGACATGGGTTGGACTAGCCTCTGAGATTGCTGAGGCTACTGAGGTCTTGAACAACAACGCTGTGCCTTTGGCGCCGTCAGCTATGGACCACCTCGCTGATCTTGACGCGAGGATATCAACACGATTGGATCGACTCCCATCCGCGCTCACATTCGATGCAGACCAGATATCCGAGCTCGCCGTGGATGCTTACGGCCTCCAGATCCAGCTTCGTGGAATTCGTGTTGTCCTCCACAAACGACTCAGTCAAACTATGACGGCCATCAGTGCAGAAGGAGTCGCACCCGAGAATCCTGCTCTGGCGCGGTCTCGTGCTATCATGCATGATAGCGCTGTCATGATCGCGCGATTGATCTCGACCTACCAACGGATCTTTGGCATCGAAAACGTCATAACAGTTATGCTGGACAACATGTTCGTCGCCGCGGCCATGCTCGTGACCTACGTGCTCAACCTCCAACGCACAGATTCTTTGCAGTCCACAGAAAGCGATATCATGTGGCTTCACTGTCTTTCTGACATGTTCCAGAGAGCGAGAAAACACTATCCAGTAACCGCACGCATGCTATCAACACTCTCCCATCTTGTACATGGCACGTCCATGGCCGGAATCTTTGGAGAGACTGCACAGACTAGACAGCTTGCGAGACAGACAGATGGAATTGCACCTACAAACGATTTGCTTGGCAACTCAGATTGGTCCATGGGGTTTGGCTTTGGAGCAGACCGTCAAGATGGAGAGCAGGACGCTTCAGCCTGGTTTTTGGACGGACTCGGGGAGACTACGACGGCAACTGCGGCGCCAGACATGGATCCAAGGAATATGATGACATGGCTATTGAGCCCAATGGAGCTATGAGGAAGCAAAATCGTTCATTCTATGTACTGATAATGTATATTTCTGATGGCATCCACCTTCCAGGATTCGTATACCTACTACAGTTTCCCCTGAAGTCTAAGATTGTGCAACCGTGGCATCTCAAGCTCCAAGAGCGCGGTGTTGACATAGCTCATGTCCAGCTGATCGACGTTGGTGACTCCCATGAGACGCATCGATGTTTGAATCTCATCGCTGAGGACTATCTCATTGATTAGCTTCAAGAGGCTGTAGTGATGAGACTCAAACTTACTCTCAATAGCTCTGCATACACCTCCAGTACCATATCCAGTAAGCGAGTACATGAACGGTCGTCCCAGCCCAACAGCTTTGGCGCCCAAACACAGTGCCTTGATGACATCCGTGCCTCGACGAAAGCCGCCATCGACGTAGATATCAAGCTTGTCGAACAGTTCCGGATGGAACAACCGGATTTCAAGAAGTGTGTGCAATGAGCTAGGAACATAGTCGAGTTGACGCCCTCCGTGATTGCTGAGATATACGCCGTCCACTCTTCGTTTTGCTGCTTCGACGACATCCTCCACGGTCGCTATTCCTTTGAGAACGACGGGTCTGTCCTTCCCCCAAGCTTCTCGAATCCAGATCAGGTCGTCCCACTCTAGCGTAGATGAATGTGCCCCGCGAGGAACAGGCCTATCAAGGTTTGGATCTGGATCCGGGCTTGAATTGGCTTGGAATACGATGCCAGAGTCGTGGTCGAGCCGCGCCTTGTATCTTTCGTCCTCTTCTCGCTTTCCAATAACAGCAGAGTCTACAGTCACTACTAACGCAGTGAAGTTGAGCCGCTTGGCGTCGGCGATGTGCTTCAGCGCTCCTTCACGCTTGTTAATAGGGGCGTAGAGCTGAAAGAATAAAGTGCCTCGCTTGTTGCCTACGGCTTCCTGTTCGCTCTGCAGACACTTGGCAAGCTCTGCGTGGCTGATCGAAGAATACGTGCTCGGGCAATGAGGAATGTTGTATCTAGCAGCACCACGTGTCAGGCATAGTTCGCCATCTGGATGGCCTAGCTTTGCTAATGCTGCTGGTGCAATGAAGACAGGCAACGAGCTACGAAATCCCATGATGGTCTTCTGTAGAGATATCCGCGCAACATTGCGTAACACTCGTGGTCGAAGCGATACTTTGCTGAACGCAACTCGGTTGTTGGTGTGTGAAGAGAGCGTGTCCGTTGCTGAGGAGTAGTAGATCCATGATTTCTCGGGTAGAACCTTTTGTGCTTCGATCTCGAAGTCGTCTAAGTTTTGCAGCACTGAGAGTGGGTTCTGCTTGGGGCCTGATGGCTTCTTGTCTATTGATGGCGTTGGCGCCGCCTTCTCGGATTCTCTCTCTTGGGTGAAGTCGACGGGGCCGAGATGTTTGTCTGTAGCATTCAAGTCAGTACCAGGGAGACGTCGTGTGCGCTTCTAGAATGAAGACCTTTGGGGAGATGTGCGTCCAGCGTCCCTTCAGGGTGTACTGGTTCGTATTCGGCCGTGGCGTCCTGGACGCAACATCAGTAAGAAGATTGTAGGCCGAAAGGCTGATGAAGCTCACTTTGCCTGCATGGCGGAGAATAGTATTTGCACCTCCGGGGTGGTGGTCAAGAAAGTCGGTCACGTCGTAGACATTGCCATCGATGATGACCCAGCACGAATCTCTGGATGCATGACTGCGGACATCGGCCGATGTCACCATGGCAACGTAACAGAAATAAATAGTGTCACTTTCATGGAATTCTGTCAAGGCTTTCGATGGCTGACAGACGACACAGACTTCTTATACCGGAAAAGTACACCGAGTATCCAAAGCGGGCTGAAACAAACCCCACTTGCATGTGACACGTCATCCAGCCGGATCAATCAATGCTCAAGGCACGATTCAATGCTGCCGGATAACTAGATGAGATTGGATTATGAAGCCTTGTCTCTCATGTGAACCTAAAGCTCAAGGGAATGTCCTCTCATGCGCCCACCATACCTATAAAAAGGTCAATTGTGCCGGAAGGTAGCGGGAAGCGTGGAAAGAAGACTGACCTCCATTGACGGGAAGCGAAATGCCAGTCACAAAACTCGACTGAGGAGAACTTAACCAGTAGAGTCCTTCAGCGACTTCTTCTGGTTGTCCTTGTCGTCCAAGTGCCATTTCCTTCGTCATTTCGGCGATGTTCGTAGTATCGTCGTCTCGAACCTCTCCCAGCAGTGGCGTCTTGATAACCCCTGGGCACACAGCATTGATCCTGATGTGCTCCCTTCCATATCGCATGGCGTCGGCTTTTGTGAACCCTAGGATAGCACATTTGGATGCGCAGTATGAGGGCAGGTTGTCATATACTCGCAATGCAGCCATGGACGCTACATTGGCAATCGTGCCTCTAATTGGAGACGGGCTACCCTCTGGCTGGATCGGCTCTTGCTTCAGTAGTTGTATGATCTCAGCTCGTTGACAGAGCCACATCCCGCGGGCGTTGATGTTGAACTGAGTGTCGAAGTCCTTGGTCGAGAATTCAGGTGATGTTCCTGGCATCAGAACACCAGCAACGTTGCAAGCATGATCTATGCGGCCAAATTTCGAGCCGGCTTGACTGAAGAACCTGTCGACCGAGTCCTCAGATGTCACGTCGCAAGTCTCATTGACTACCTCGGCTCTGGGATTGATCTCAAGAAGTTGCTGCTTGGTGTCCGCGAGACCCTTTGTACTGATATCGCCGATGATGATCTTGGTGCAATCTCGTTTCACGAAGAGCTGAGCGGTGGCGCGGCCAATGCCTAGTGAACGAATGTCAGCAAACGTGAACAGACGAGCTAGGGTCGAGCTGCTGACCGGACGCCGCTCCGACGATTACTGTGACTCCAGGGAATGCCATTGACAAATTTGATGGCTTTCTACCATCTCCAACAAATGTTGGCCTGGAACCCCACCGGGAGCATTGATTGTGACAGCCTTGTTGCTGGTGATCCACGTGGCAATCTCTTGGCGAAGGTCTCCTTTTCCGGAGATTCGGAAAAGGCAACCGCAGCCAGACGTCCAAAGTTTGCACCACTATTCAAGACGACGTTGGTGATCAAGGCACAATAGTGGTCGTGAGATTCCTCGACAGGTTACTTGAGCGTTGCAATCCGCATCGGGTTACACAAACTTCGCGTGCATTGTATGTATGCCGTTTGTGAGATCCCCGAATACATTCGACACTGACCGTAATTTTGGCAGTTCCATTACACATCTGAGGTAGTTCTGAACGATTTGATCATGGGCAAGTTCAGCATTACTGGAGAGACGGTCTTCGACTATTCCGCTGAGGTCGTCTATGATTTCGTCTCGAATCCGCACAACTGGGGCAAAACGTACAAGGGATCTGCTGGCATGCAAGACCGGAATCTCAAAGTTCCCCTGGAGCTCGGTGATACATGGACTGAGAAGGTCACTCTTCCTCCAAATATGTATCTTTCCACCTGGCGATTGATCACCGCCGAGAGACCCAGAAAGTTCGCCTTTCAGCAAGTCAACAAAATTGGCATGAAGGAAGATGGAACGGGTGGCGTCGATGGCTTCACAACAATTACTTACACCTTCGAGAACAATATTGGGGAGGGCAAGACACTTTTTACGAGGAATTTGACGGGTGAGCTGCCAAGGGGAGTTGGAATACCGGACGATCTCCTAACTGTATGCTGTCGGCCTGATGGAATTGAAAGGTATCACGACGCAGTTAAAGCAGAGCTTGATAAGGAGCATGGCAAGTCCTCGTAGTTGGAAAATGCAAGATGTTGGGCTGTTGCAGTTCTCAGACGATGATTTGGCTTTGTGCTGGATTTTCTCACATGGATTCGAACGTTACTGTCCGTCTGCTTCAAAGGCATTGTTCCACCACAAGCAAATAACTACAAATGCTCTAGTAGAATAGAATAACGGCCAGACTTCAGCCCTACCACCTACTGGACTCGGTAAGGGTGATGGCAGAGCTGAAAAAAGGTAATTAGACGAACGTCTTACTATCTCCATCCGGAGACTTCTCGCAGACTTTCCACGAGCGGGTCGAAGATCATATAAACAGTGTCCTCTAGAAATGTGTCGTTTTGCCGAAGATAGACACGTATCAATCAGTACTGTATCTGCAGCACCAACAACATGGACGCAAAGACTGGTAGTGGCGAAAACTGGTCTCGCGTGGCGGAAATCTTCGCTAGGGTCGCCGACGAGCGTGACCCATTGAGCCCAAACGGACGAGGAAACAAGGAGATGCTGGATGCTGTTGAAGCGGTCTTGCCTTTAAACCAGGCTACTTACATACTAGATGTCGGATCCGGGCCAGGGCAAGTCATCAAAGGCGTTTTAGGTGCCGAGGAGCAGAAGCCACAGATCCCAAAAGATGCTCGAGTTGTTGCGACTGATATTGCCGAATCTTTCGTCAAGATGCTCAAAGATACCAAGCAGAAGAATGTCGACGCTGGCGAAGATATCTGGAAACGAGTCGAAGTCACACAATGGGATGCGAAGGATCTTGTCGAAGTTCAAGATGATTCAGTCAGTCACCTTCTGGCCGGATATTGCTACGTTGCCATGAAGGACGAGGGGCGAGGAATTAAAGAAGCTCTACGAGTCCTCAAACCAGGAGGTTGCTTTGTTCAGTCAAACCTGGGAGATACAGAGTGGGGATCACTGCCAGACTTCGTTACCCAAGTCAGGCCTGAGAAACAGCCACACTCTACCAGCGAGAACGCCAAAGGCTGGTGGACCACTGAAAAGGTCAAGAAGAAGCTGGTCGATGCCGGATTCAAGAATGTTCAAGCCAAGGAGTTCCCGGTGTCCATGCACATGAACTCGTACGAGGAGGTTATCCTGTTCGTGTGGGAAGGCTTTCCGTACATGAAGCCGCTCACAGAGGACATGAGCGCGGCAGAAGTGGCACAGGCCAAAGACTTGACGTTGAAGTACTTGAAAGAAAGGCATCCAGCTGAGCCATTTAGGTTAGAAGGCACAGGTATGGTTGCATGGGGGACGAAATGATGATCGATCGCTCGAGGCTACCAAGGATGATGTAGTTTCTGTTTGATGGCGTGAACGCTTTTCTCAAGTTTTAGGGCTATTCTATGGATCCAAGGAGCTGATACTGCCTCCAGGCCTGATTCTTATCGACTTGATCAAGAAAAGCTGTGATGCTCTTAGAAGTAGCCGCAGGAGTCTCTAGCGGAAAGAAGTGCATCCCGCCCTGGACCTCGACGTACGTTCCATTCTTCACCAGGCCACAGATTGTCTTTAGAAAGTCTGGTGGAGTAGAAGTATCTTCTTTGCTTGCTAGACACAGGGCTGGTACCTTCACCTCCTTTAATCGTTCACCAAAATCGAAAGTACTCAACGCTCTCCAGACCGCCGCCCAGTTGGCGACTTTCGTCGTCTCTAGCTGCCTTCGAACGTATTGAACCTCCGTGCCATTCGCTTCGAGTGTCTCCGGAAGGAACCACCTAGTTAGAGATGGTTCATGCATTGCTTCCATGCCTTTCGCCTCCGCGATGGCGGCCCTTTCTTGGAACGGCCCATACACTCCCTTCGAGAGCGTCCCGATGAACAGTGCGGATCGAACAAGTTGGGGATGATCCAGCACGAACTGCTGAGCGATCACTCCTCCGTACGAAATGCCTCCAACGCCGACTTTCGTGAGGTCGAGTGCTGTGCATAGCTGTCTGAGATCTTGTGAAAGCTGTTCGACAGAGGTTGTGATAGGAGCGTCGCTAGCCCTGCCGTGGCCCCGAAGGTCGTAGGCGATGATTCTCTGTTGCTGGCCGTGCTCGTTTGCGGATGCTGCAATTTGTTCGATGATGCCAAAGTTTCAAAAGTTCTTGTCCATCGCTGCGGCATGAATGAGAATCAATGGACATCCCCCTCCTGTTGTTTCAAGCACCGAGGTGACATGATCGCTCAGCTGGACTTCGTGAGTTGTGATATGGACCGACATCTTTCCAGATCATGGATGAAACGGTGTGATGAGAGGCAGACCAGATGCAATGTACGTCTTCTATAGGACACACCTTGACGTTTGTTACAAGAATCAATCCTTGCTTAGCTGAAACTTACCGCAGTAGCCGGTCAAATCCGACTTCTCGCGAGGTTTCATGCCGAATGTGCGAGCCCGTTTCGGGCCGAACGAGTGGAAACGATTGAGGTCCCGAGGCAACAAGATCTTCGACGAGGAAGGGAAGAACAAGCCAGCGATGGGGACGTCTGTCAAAGTATATCTTGTCAGTATAGCGAAAACATGTTTGTCAAAATAACCTGTCAACTGATGGCTTGCGGTTCCACACTTGCCAGCATCCGCAGGTTCAGGAGTAGCTGAGACACCACAGTATCTCCCAGCCATACGGTTAAATGCAACTTAGAGACTGCTCCAGGGATACGAACGTGCTAGAGAGTTTGGAACCAGTAAAGTGACCGACACATTTGGGGCGAGTTCTCTAGCATCGACATCTCAAGCAGAAAGGAGCTTGATTGAATGAGAAAATGAGCACATCTCCCCTCGGGCAGTCATGGGCTTCCCAGAGACGAATGGGCCCAGTCTCAGCGATAATTTACTCCTTTCGGCCGTTTTAAACTGATATCTCGCTCTTTAGATCACCTTTCACAAGCTCATCGGCTTTAAGCCTCGCGCCAAGGCTTAAATCCATGTAAAGTCCATTCACTCACTGGATTCCACACGTTAGAATCAATGCATACTATTAGCACGTTCGCAATAGCCGTTCGATCGTAAGAGCCGATATGAGGCTGTTGCAGGCTTCAAGGATGAGTTTATGGCTATATCAAAACCTCCAACATGGCGATGCGACCTCCAGAAGCAAAGTCGATACCCCTGAACCGTCGACGACATGTCTACGACCACGACTTTACAGAAGCCCGTGAGCGATGACCCTGCAACCTCGGCGGTTGATGGGAAAAATGAAGTGGGCGATGTACCGGGAGCGTCGAGCCAGCCAAAGGCGCCCGTCTTCCCAGAAGGCGGATGGAAAGCCTGGCTGGTCGTCGTCGGCTGCTGGTGCACTTCATTCGCGTCATTTGGCATTGTCAACTCCTTCGGGTATGAGATGAATACATAGCCCGTCGTAGTATCCAGCTGACTCCTACCAGGGTCTACGAGACCTATTACCTCAACTCCTACCTCCAGTGATACTCACCCTCGACCGTCGCGTGGATCGGTTCCATCCAGACCTTCGCCCAATTCTCTGCAACTCTCCTCAGCGGCCCTCTCACCGATCGATACGGGCCTATGATTGTCGTCTGGCCTTTCTCCTTACTCTTGGTCGTCGCCATGATGTTGACAAGCCTATGCACCAAGCTCTACCAGTTTATATTATGTCAAGGCATCTTGCTGGGGCTCTGTTGTGGCTTGATCTTCGCCCCGGCACTGGCGGTAATTGGACAGTACTTTTTCAAGAGAAGGGCATTGGCCATGTCTCTGGCGTCCACAGGGTCACCTATTGGAGGCATAATCTACCCGATTGTTCTCAATAACCTTTTGCCGAAAGTTGGGTTTGGCTGGGCTCAAAGGACGTGTGGCTTCATTAGTCTTGCTCTTTTGGCGCTCGCAGCAGTTTTGATCCGCCCGACTGGGATGAAGAGAAAGAATAAGCTGTTCTTGCTGGAAGCATTCAAGAAGCCACAATACTCGTTTCAGGTGACAATCATCCCCGTCTTTGACTCATATCTGGTCTGACTTCTCAAAGGTCGCTGCGCTCTTCATGATCGTCCTTGGGATATGGACGCCATATTTCTACATCGCTGAGTTCGGTATCGACCACGGTATGGACAGAGGGCTTGCCGGATACCTATTCGCCATGATCAACGCCGGTTCTTTCGCGGGTCGAGTCGGAGGTGGGTTTCTGGCCAACGCTCTGGGTCAGTTCAACGTCATCACTGCTGCAGCGTACACGTCTGCGATTCTGATCTTCTCCTGGCTGGCAATCTCTCACGCTGGAGGAATCATTGCCCTTGCGGTACTGTTCGGCGCCACTAGCGGCATCATCATAGCGTTGATGATGAGCACTGTAGCCCACACGGCTGATCATCCTTCGAAAGTGAGCTAGAACCATACTTATGACCGTCAAAATGCTGATCATATTCCACAGATTGGTACATATCTAGGACAATCGACCTTCGTGATCGGTTTCGCCTCGTTGGCAGGCACGCCCATCACTGGAGCATTGATCAGCCAGCATGGATTCACGGCGGGAATCATCTTCAGCGCTGCAGTGATTATGGCCGGTGCAGTTCTCATCACATTTGCCCCGTACTTTCATGCGCCGGAGAAGCTCGTGGCCTAGAAAGTCGGTTGTGTCAGCTTCCGAATGGAACGAGACTGGGCGTAAGGAGTCGCTGTCCCAGGCTCACAACACGAGGAAGGCTCAGGCCTTTTTATCGTATAATGTATTTCAGTTGCCATACACTATCTCCACATGAAAGAAACATCGCTCTCCATGCCATTGCCTTCACCAAACACCTTGTTCAAGCCAGAAAGAGAATTCAGAGATGATAGGGTATCATGCCAGAGCCCATAAGAACCCGATAGAGATTGCAGTCCCAGAGATCAAGTACCAAGAGAAAAGATGTCAGATGAAGCCTTGCCCTTGAGCTTTCTCGAGGACGGATGTTGCAAGCATTTGTCCAGGGGAAGCAGCTGGGTGAGGATTTGCTAGCCGCAGATCGATTAAAACCGCAAGTTTGTACATGTGATCAGGTATGTCGCCATCCAATGAGTCGAAAGAGGTCGTGATTCGAGCAAGACTGAAGTGTATGGTTTCAAAGCCGACGTGGTCTTCGCAGGAGAGTCCTAGAAGTCGATTACTACCAAAATTATGACTGGTCGAGTAGGCGGTCCAAAGTCTTTGCCGGGTACAAATCTCAGCCTTCGGGAAAATCCCCGCCACTGGATCAGGATTTGTTTCGCCGTCCGAAATGGGAGACTTGGAAAAAGCTGCCTCGACCAGAACCAGATTGATTGTCTTTGCCTTTGCCTTTGCCTTTGTCTTTGCCGCTCGATCCGTCACTGGGGCCTTTGCTTGTATCTGGCCCTGGGCCTTCCTTCATTTGAGTGGATGCCGTTTGAAAATTTCGAACGGGCCACAATGGGCAAGGCCACTTAGGACCATCCTTGCTCGTGAGCGGTCCCACTGGGCGGGACGTATCCTTTGGCGGAAAGGGCTCTGCTCCTGTGAGATCGAAATCGCTGTTTCTTTTAAGCATGGAGCGAAGATGCTCGGATCGTTGCTGAACGTAGGGAACAAAGTTGAGTTGCACGTCCCGCGAGTGATCGTCGTTATCGTTGACGTCCACGACCTGTGGCATACTTTGGCTGTTCGCATTGCTGTCAAACACAGTGATGCTTGCTATTGTTGCATCTCCAAACGTAGATTTGTGTGTGATCAATGGCCAAACAATCTGCCTAATCTCGGGCGATGCCAGGAGTTGGACGTAAGCTAGTGTACCGATCGGGAGCGTGATGCCTGGCCATCCAGGCACCGAGGACAGACCGTTGTCTGTGAGAAAATCTGTGATTACCTCTGTTGCCGATGGGCTCACTGACCTGTATGGGTTTGCTAAGATAGGCCACCACTTCGGTAGTGCAGAACCATGGTCTAGAGACGGTGGATTTGGAGAGTCACTAAAATATTCGGCAGAGACGACATCGCCCCAATCGCGAATCGGCGGTAGACTGTCTGGCATCGTCTGGCTCCCCGGTACGGCTGGGTTGGCGTTTGGATCTAGCCCTGGCGGATATGGCACACTCGACTCGAGCTGGGCTAGTAATTCGATCAGCACACGCAAGCAATCGGCAGCGCTTGGGCAACGTACCAACTACACGTCGCTTGTAACTGATGAGCGAGTGGAGTTCCCCAACTGTGTTAAGCTGTCATGACTTAGCTTTAGTGAAGCGGTTGAAGTATCGATCCTGGGACCGTGCACTTACTGCTGCGATTTGGTCTTGCGTTTCATACCACTCATGTGGAAACGCAATTGACACAGGGTCAACTTGTTGTGGTATGCCTTTGTCCTCAGCGGATTCTATAAGATCTTCGAGACCGACATAGCCTTCCAGGAAACGCAAAGACTCCAAATTCACCGTCGACATCTTCCTGGTGAGTCGCCAATTAATGTCTGTCAAGTTCTTGATTTCGACTGGCGCATATTGTGGGGGAAGAGTTCCTACACTCCACATGGCATCCTGGAGTTTCTGACCTTGCTGAAGAAGCGCAATTCGCTTTTCACCTTCGTACAACGGGTCTATTCGCAAGCTAACCGAATCCAAGGACTGTGAAGGGTTGAACACGCCAGCCTCTTCGTTCTGGCTGACACCCCGTTGGTCATGGATAGATGATGCCGGTTGATGGATTGAAGATCCGGAAACTGCAGGAATGGCATTTCCAGTAGAACTTTGACTTGGCCGCAGAGGTGGTTGCCAAAGCGGAGTGGCGTTTTCCCCCTTACCTAGATATAGTCGTGGCTTCAGCTTATGTGGCCAGTCATATCGCCCGCGCGATGCAACGTCGTCTTCATAGTTGGAGTTCTCGGACCTGATCTTTGCGAGCCTCTTTTCAAACGGGGCTGCGTGCACTAAAAACCCTGGGGTATCGTGTCCGGGTTGGGATCCCGAAGTTAGCGTCCACGAGTGGTAGACAGTTATCGAGGTGATGACGCTGACACCGATGACATGTTTGTACCGGATGAGAAGTCTGGCAAACTGTCTGATACAGGGCGTAGCCAGCAATGCGTTGTAGGCTTCACTTCCGATGGGAACGGTGACTGACGTTCCGGGGGTGGCTAGCCGATGGCCAAACATATCCATGACTCTTGTGACGACGCGCAAAGTGTCTCCGCGGTGCTCCAAGTGGGGCACGTGGAACCAGGCAAGGGGTTGCATTTTCTCAATGCGAACCTTATTCTCTCTTTTCTCGCGGTACGTCAAGAAGCCAACGTCACAGAAGTCAAGCAACTCGGGCAAGTCTTCAATAAGCCTACTACGCGCAGCCTCGCGGGGGTCGTGGTTTTCAGTCCACACTGTAAAATATCAGCATATGTGCGCCCATTCAGCTGAATGGTGTCTACTGACATAGCACATGTGCATGTATATTGTACAGAGCACTGTATCTCCCTCCCGTGGGCTTGAGATCTCAGTAACAATTTCGAGCCGGTGAACCATATGATCACACATACATTATTCTGTCGATACTCAATCGGATTCTCGTACGGCTCGCTGTGCACTTTTCTAATGGCCGTCCACCATCGCGAATTGTTGCTGTCGATAGGATACAAGTCCCTGACAAACTCGAGTCCCTCCACACCTCGGAGCTGATGCAAAGGCGCGACGTATGTCTGGGACGTTGAGTGGAGTCGTGGAAAGCCGTGCTCGACCCAGCCCCATCGTTCTAGGCTTGACCTGGGCTGAAAAGGGGACTGATCGATATTTTCGTCATCCCACATCTGTTCCAGCAAGACTTGGCCTTGGGCTACCAGGTTATTCCATTCCCCCGCCGAAGCGGCTGGATGGAGGCTCCCTCCACGAGACGTGGAATCCATCGAAGAGCTTCGATATCCTGGGTTTGGAAGCAAAGCTATGGCCGTAGATCTCGCCGGCCGGCACTGTAACCGCTGTCGAGCACGAGGTAGGTGTTCAGTCAAAGAGTAGTCGGGCGAAGTGGTTCATAGCAAGGCACAGTATGTCGAGAGTCGTAGTTCTGGTTGGTGATCGGTCGAAGGTGTTGAGAAACAAGTTGTAAAAGAAAGAGAGAACGATTCGAGTCGAAAATATAAGCACCAGGGCAGACAGCAAACCCATCACGAAGTCACGCCCGTGGTCATTTGCTTGGAGCTTGCGTTGTCAAGGTCGTGACTGCCATTCTCAACGAGCATGACGGGCACGCAAAGGTCATCCTGCGCGCTGGTGGGTATGGCACCAGGACAAACGCTGGTGTTGCGAACAGATGATCGGTGCCTGTGCACCACGTTGAGTTGCTGTCGATATTTGTGACCGAGAAGAGCATGATGTAGTCCCGCCAGAGCACGCCTCATGACGGAGCCATGCCGTTGGAGATCCTGATCGAGGTGCGAAGAGCGGTTCGTGACTTATCGTGGCAGACATGCGTAGCTGACACACGTTCGGCGTTCATGGAGCCTGTGCTCGAGCAACATGGGCATTCTTCTGACTTGAGCTGCTGTGGCTATGAATGAAGGCGGGAGTGATTATGGCGGTCAAAAGCGACCCGCAGCACAGACCGCCGGCTCTGATAAAATCTATCAACTCTATCAGCGTCCAAAATCTCACACAGAATGAATTCTACTTCTCCTCATTACAGCCATCTATCCAGCTCAATCGTACCAAATGGCATTCATGCCAAATCCCGGCTCCTTGATATCCAAATGCGCCACTCTCCCTAACACCTCACCCTCCCATCTCCAGATCTCCACAAACCCTTGCTCATCATCACAGAGCGCCACCCACTCATCCGTCCACGGACAAGGGCTCACGGCGTTGCTATGTCCTCCACTCGTTGGGGTAGGTTGCAGCAAGATCTGCCTTTCGATCTGGCCTTCTTTACCGAGCTTGAAGGCGCTGATGTAGCCTTGCAGTTTCGGCGAGTTTGATCGAGCAGTGGCGAAGAGGTATTCGCCGGATTGAGAGGTGAAAACGACATCTGAGCGGTACATCTTTGGGTGGAACTTGGCGAAATTGGGCGGTATCAGATCATATGCAGTTCGGCTGTAGACGGGCAATCGGGTGGCTGGGTCGATGACATATACGCAGAGGCGGTTGCCTGCTTCCATGAGAGCGTACAGATAAGCACCAGAAAGATGGAGTTCGACCCAGCGGGGATGATCGCCAGGCGAAGGGGCTTCAACGCTGCCGACAAGGGTGAGTTGACCAGTTTGCATGTCCTGCGAAAGCCAGTCAGCCAAGGAGACATTCAACAGAACAATCAAGTCACCTTTTTATGGCACCAGATCTTATTCGCCCACATGTCCGCCGAATACAGATACTCCTCAGCCTGGTCAAAAACCATTCCATGCACAGCCGATCGCTCGTCCAACTCAGCATTCTGGATGTTCTCCCTCAATCGTCCAGCATCATTAACGCTGAACACATTCAAGAATCCGGCATGGTCATAAAACGGATTCCCATAAACACAATACGGCGCCTTCTTCGCAGCCAGCACAAAGATAGCCCTCGTTTTGGTGTCTGCATCATTCGCCCGCGGATGGCCACCGATTGGCAAGGAAGTATGATGCGTGATCTCGCTTGGGCTCTGGACAGTATACGAGCCCCATCTCTTCATGCCAGCGCCGTAGATGTTCTTTTTCGCATGCTGATGCCCAATATGTCAGTCATACCGCCTGAACACACCGGACAGGGGTTCTTCTTACATCGAAAGTCATCCACGAGATCGGCTGGTCCTCGGGAATCTCTGTTCGCTTGACAAGCTCCAACGCATGCGTCTCATCGTCGAAAGAGACTGTGAAAATGGCTCCTGGTGGCGTCCTTCAGAGTCTCGTCAGCGAATCGCCATCTTCCTATATCATCCATAATTGGGCATCTCCCGCCAAAAGTCCGGGTTGAAAAGAGTCCAGAGTCCAGACGCATCTTTTGATCACACGATAGTGGACATTTTGCCAACAAACAAGTGGATTCGGGCTGCAGGTGAGGTCGAAATAAAGGTACGTACCAGGTACCGATCATCAAATGGTGCTTCATCCTGGCGGCGGGGCGGGTAAGGCAGGAATTTGAAGTGAATATAAAAGCCCTTCGAGCGGCTCTGAACATGCAAAAACTGGATCACATTTCGAAGACGACATGGTGGCAGACGGGGTGAAGTCTTTCGAGGAAGAACTCTCTCCCGTGAACTGAAGCCGAGAGTAACGTGGGAAGTGGGTCTTGCACCGCGGGAGTGTCCGCTGAGCTAAGCCGAATCTAACAGCAGCGTGAACTTTCCTGCCACCTCCAATCGCCTCTCCAGCGGTGAAACCCCAGCCTCGTTCAAATATTGATTGAAACTGGTCCCAGCCTTGCTTCGACGCTGAGAGAGAGACTACAACACTCTCGTTCACTCCTTCAACCACCAGATCAACACCGCTCGCAGGGGAACACGCTCCATTCCCCGGTTCACTCACCCACCCGCACGAGCACACGACCACCAATCCCCGCCGTACACATCACCAATCCCCGCCGTACACATCACCAATCGGAGCAACTCACCAATCACACCCATACCGACATACTAGCAACTGCAGCCCTACAAACCACACATCACTCCAAATGGGTCTCTTCGACGGCCGCTCCTACTCTTCTAACGACATCTACCTCAACCCGAACAAACACTCCTCCTCCACCACCCACCACCGCAGCTCCTCCCGCAACCGCGGCGTCTCCCCAGCGCGGAGCACAACCTCCAAATCAAACGGCTACTTCGCGCGCCCCTCCTACGCGCGCTCCGCCAGCGGGGGCTCTTTCTTCGGCGGCGGCGGCGGCGGCAACTACAACTCCTCGAGGGGCATCTTCTCCTCCAACTCCTCGTCATCGTACTACAAGCGCCGCCCTCGCGACGGCTACATCTCCTACCTCATCCACAAATTGCAACGCATGATCCGGGATTTGTGGTCCTACGCACGTCGCCACCCCGTGAAGGCGTTCTTCGCGATCATCGTGCCGCTGTTGAGTGCGGGCGGGGCGATCCATGGGTTGATGAGGCAGTTTGGGGTCAGGATGCCGTTTGGGTTGGATGGCGCGGCGAGGCGGATGGGAGGTGGGTATTATGGGAGTTCGGGGTATAGTGAGAGAGGAGGGTTTGGCGGGAGTGGAGGTGGTGGGTGGATGCAGAATGCTGGGGGTTTGATGCAGATTGCGAAGGCGTTTATGTGAAAGTGGTGAAGAGCTTGGGACGAGAAAGAGCTTGATAACAGTTGAGGAGGGGAATGAATGATGTGTTCTCGAGTGGTCTGTTGGACACGATGGCAGCAGGATGGGAAGAGCATCGAGATGGCGGAGGACTTCTCGACGAGGGCGGTTCATCTGAAATGACGATTTGAAAAAGGACTACAGGACCAGCGCGAGCTATAGCAAGATGACATGTCTGTGATTGCTGAGTGCGGATACCCCTTAGGTTAACGATAACGACACGAAATGAAGACCAAAAAAGTTTTACGTTCACATTCGACGTGGGCACAGTGTCAAGGGTGTTGAAGCGTCTCGTTTTAAGACTTGCTTGACAACGCTACATGCCACCTTCATTTTCAACTTTTCATGCTCTCGAAGGAGCCAACCTCCTCCCAATGTTTCCAAAACACACCGAGCTCACAAACAGCACACTCGCGATCCAAGTCGCAACGCCCACCGACTCCTGGCTGAAAAGCCCCAGAACCAGATCCTCACTTTTCACCGCCTGTAGTGTCTCGTTCAGGCTTTCTTGGCCTGCAACCTGACCTTGGATAACTGCCCAAGGTGAAGGCGCGGGTACTAGAGTAGGGTTGATGCCCAAGAGGACAGCTGTCCCGCTCAAGGCGACAATCGTAGACAAGATGAATCCTGGTGGAGACCGATCGATCAAGTACCACACAGCAGGATTCGCAAGCGCCAGTGTTAAAGACAGTTGCAAGGTCGACTGCCAAGGTAGCTTCCTGATAGCAAAAGCAATGCCCACAAAGGCGCCAATTGATCGAACGACATCCAGCCAGGCATTCACATCGCGTCCAACCTTGCGAGGTTGTCCTTGGCCATCTTCTTCATCCCCGTCTTCGTGCCAGAGCATGTCTGCCCAAGGTAACGCCTCGCCCAGAAGTACGCCAATGAAACCCCAAGTCGCAAGGTAACTCCATCTTGACCTGTCGAGGTTGACAGCCACGGGAGCCAGTTTTTGTCGATCGTGGAGGTGGCTTATGAGAAGGCCATACAAAACACCTGTCCCGAATAATGCAACTACTCGTCCAGCAAGAGGCAAGAAGTATCCTTTGAATCCCTTCCGTGGTCTGTATGAAGCTTGCTTCCGTATTTGCACCTGCGGCTGTGTGCTTCTCCTCCTCACTCTGCCATTCGCACCATCTCTTTCAAACGCCGAGTCTGGTAGACTGATTCTCGAGAAGTCAAAACTCCCATGTCTGCTATCCGCTGGGGTTTGCGCGCCATTGCCCCAAGGTGTGGGATTCTCAGTCTCCGTACCGAAGCCAGTCGGCTGGTAAATGCCAAAGAGCGTAGAAGCTGTAAGGTTCAGGAATGAACGTGTTCGTGAGGGTGTCGCACTCCCGTTCCCTGAGTCGGCCATTCTGCTGGATGTATGCGACGTGTCAAGCTTGTCGAGCTTCTCCGGGAAGTTCATTGCATCGGACGGTGGTGTTGGCGGAGCCGAATTGGGTGCGGAAGAGAGTTCGAAAGGACGGCGAGGGCGAGGCTTGAGGATGGGTTGCGAGTCTTCGTCGTGGGGGATTGGGTGGCTCATGTTGGCAAGGGACGAGGCTGAATGTGGCTTTTGGAGAGTGGTACGATTCCTCTCCGCGTTGGACAGGTGAGCACGCGCGCAGCAAAGTGAAACCGTGCGTCGTGCCGCCGTTGACGTCGGGTCTGAGCGTTGACTTTCTCGCTTAAGACGGAAGTGAGAGCCGGATGTTGTGAAGTGTTGTGATATATGTCGAAGTGAATGAAGTGAGGTCAAAGAGACGTTGAGGCACGAGAAGAGGAGAAGCTGCCGCAGCGGAGTGGGCACTGCGTCACGCCTGCCGTAAGAACAATGCTCGCTTTTTGCATGTGAAAGGGCCCACGGTCGGGATCAGCCGTCCGCCTCCGCAATTACGCGAAACCTAATGGTCAGCGACTGGAAATTTCAAGACGGCACCTCTTTGATTCCATCAATCTCAATCAAATCAACAACATGGCCGCCAACGGACAGGCAGACCGCGCGGCGCAGGTGCGGATACAGCTGAAGACCAAGGATGGAGAGATCGAGTTGCCGCAGGAGACTGGGCCTATTTTGGTGTCAACAGGTAGAATCGCCTTCACGAGCAAGAATGGACTGTTTACTAACATACCTCTCTAGAACTCAAAAGATACCAACTCTCGACACTGGTAAATCGACTCCTCGACACGGAAAAGCCAGTACCACTGGAATTCCTCATCAACGGCCAATTCTTGCGAACTTCCCTGGACGAGTTCCTGACACAAAACGGCATCTCAGCAGAAACCCTTCTGAATGTGGAGTATGTCAAGGCTCTGGTGCCTCCATTGCATGTCGCGAGCTATGAACATGATGATTGGATCTCGTCTGTGGATGTTCTGTCATTGTCTTCTGAAGCTGCGCAATGGACTAGTACGACAGACCCCATCCAAAACCGCATACTTTCAGGATCGTTTGATGGCAGTCTGCGAGTCTGGAACACGAGCGGAAATGCAGTAGCGACTGGCCAGTGGCACAAGTCTCGCGTCAACGCCGCCAAGTTTCTCTCACCAACTCAGGTCGTCAGCGGTAGCGTGGATAGGTCTGTCCTATTGTGGGACTACAAGGATTCGCAAACCTCAACCGGAACCCTGAAACCCAAACTCGAGCTTCTGGGCCACACGTCCTCCGTAGAAGATGTAGCCGTCCACGCCCCATCCTCACGAATCCTCACAGCCTCTTCAGATCATCAGATCGGCATCTGGAGCACCAAGAAATCCGAAGGCCCAGCGGCCCTAGAACCCACCACCACCCCATCATCCAACAAACGCCGTAAGATTTCCGGACCAGAGATCACCATCCCTCAACGCGGTGCCCTCTCCCTTCTCCCAGGCCACCGCAGCTCCGTAAACTCCATCATCTTCGACTCCACCGACCCCACAGTCGCCTACTCTATCTCCTCAGACCACTCCCTCAAAACCTGGGATCTCCCCACCACAACCTGCATCGACACCCGCACGACCGCCACAGCCCTCACATCCCTCTGCCATCTCCCCGACCACGGTCTGATAGCAGTCGGCTCCGCAGAGCGACACATCTCCCTTATTGACCCCCGCGCCAACGCCACAAAAGTCGTCGCCATGACGCTTCGAGGCCATTCGGGCTGGATCCAATCCCTCGCCAAAGACCCCTCCTCATCATACCAATTCGTATCAGGATCCAACGATGGGACGTGCCGGATCTGGGATATTCGCAGTGGAGGGAACGAAGCTGGCGGCGAGAGGGTGGGACATAGTGTTTTTGTGATTGAGCGGGAGAGTCAAAAGGGGGCGAAGAAGGCTGAGACGGGGGATGCGAGTCGGGTGTTTGGTGTGGCGTGGGATCAGGAGGTGGGGATTGTGAGTGGTGGAAGGGATAAGATGTTGCAGATAAATAGAGGGTAGTGTGAGTGAAGAATGGAAATGGAAGAAATGTGGGGGTTTGCCGTGTTCAGTTCCTGCCTTGAGGTGAAGAATTCATCTGTCCATGGACGGTGCCCGTCACGTCTCTCACCCTGGAAGGATATCAATGACTTGTCTTTAGCGAAGTCTTCCTCACCAATCCATTCGTCCTCTTGCGGGCGGTATCAATCACACATCCATGCTACCATTGGCGTACTCCTCCAACCCCGCCAGCAAATCCAGAGCCTCATCGAACCCATCCTGCACGATCGGGGTGTCTCTTCTCTTCACGTGGGCATAATCCTCCGTGTTGGCAGCATCCACCATCATCTCATCAGCATCCGTCTTCGAGGCCGTAGAACTGTCGACAGACATGCAATCGCCACCAAGCGCCGCCTTCGCCAACATGATCGCCATGTCATTCTCAGGCGATACTTCATCTGCTTCCTTCTCACTCACGTCTTGCTTCATGTTGATCTGTCCCGTCATTGCCTTCCCTCCGAAAGCACGCAACAATCGCGCGTACACGTCCCGTACCGTCATCCCTCCCACATTCTCCAGAAATACACACTTGTCCTCCCCAAAGGACTCTCTCATCCACCTCTGAACATCCCAACGCACCGGCTGCTCGACCCAAACCACCACTTGAGGAACCGCGATCAAGAGGCAGAAATAATGAACCTCAAACATCTCCAAGAACCCCGTAATGATGAACTGTCTCGCGCCCTCGCTGACGAGTTGCGTGATGCGTGGGAGGAGAACCTGCTCGACTACGACTTTTGAGGAGAGACACCTGGTCTTCCGCTCGACGAAGCGCCTCAGCGTCAGAGGGTGCAGCAATCCCAGCGCGCGGCTTTTTGCTTCTCCCTCATCCATGGCGTCGACGTTTCTCAGCCATAAGAGGAGATCGAGATGGATGAATCCTTGTCCAAGATCGCGGGCAAGTTGGTGGCCCAGTGGGAGGGCGTCGTGGCAGTTGCCGGTCAACAAGATGATGTCGAGTTTTGGTGGAGGTGGAGGAGGTTCATCGGTGCGGTCGACGCTGAAACCTCTCATGTTGGAGTACAAGTCCGCGGTCGGCCAAGCCTCCCGTGGGTGCGTGCCGATCCAGCCTGGGCGGGCTTGGGGGAAGTAGCGGGATCTGGTCAAGTTGAGGGTCGGCATCAGCGGTGGTGTTCGGTGGCGGCGGGCGGGGTGTTGGGGATGACGATGGTTTCTCGAGTGTGTGACATGGTTGTGCTGTTGTCGGTGTCGTAAAGGTTGAGGTGAAGTCGAGTGATGGAACTGAGCGGTTCACATGTCTAGCGTGACGCTGGGATGCGAAAAGACAAGCCTCATCCGGAAGGAGCGACTTCGTGAATGGGAAGGCGCGCGTAGAATTGGACGTCACCTCTTGTCGCAGGTGCAGATGGACACTTTGCTGTCATCTGGAAGTTGACTGTTAGTTCTTCGGCCAACTCAATAACCAAGGCTGCTGTTCCATCGTGGCTGAATGTCTTCCCTGTCTCACTCGCCTTCCCGAAGGCTCACATCTTGCGCCTCGCCTGTCTCTCTCGAGTTCGCCACTTTGACACTAAGTGTTGCGTGTGATTTGCCGTCCATTTCGGGAAACGCTGCGCAATGCTCGCACCCGACTTGCCCGTAGCCAGCTGCTGATCTCTCCAGGGATCTAGTCCTTGCTTGTATGCTTTCTCGGCCGTTTAATACTCCATTCTGTTTGCGACTGCTCAGCCGACGGGCGATTTGTTTGGGAAGGGTCTTTCTTTGTGAAGATGGAACCTATCGTTGACGGCGAGTCCGCCGGGAAATGAAAAGGGCCATGTTGCGAGCCATCGGCGACCATGCAAACGCCATGAGTACTGCAGCTGCGGTGAGACGAAGGCTTAGCACCCTGTAGGAATGCCCATGGACGAGGAATTCACGATTCGGTGCGACCAAACGCTCTCAAGTTAGCATGGTCCATGGTAACAACGTGGAAGTCGTGCCACACCCCCAGTCTCGATCTCACTGCCACCATGACATGATGGTGAACAACGGTGTGGATCGGTTTGTTGTGCAGTGTCGATCAAATATCGTGATCTTTCGATCGCAAGTCGAGCCATTGAATAAGAAATGGGGCGACCGACATCTTTCCTGCAGGTCGGCATACCAAGGGCTCTTGGCATATGTATAGGTTGCGCTGAGGAATGGCGACGGACTGTATGAGCTGCGTCGACCACATTTGATTTGCGAACTGGCATAGTCTACCCCTTTCGTAGACTGCAAAGCGATATTACGAGCATACCCGTTTGGTACAGATCTCACGTAGACAGAGGCTGATGGTGCCCCTGCCTGGCCCTGCCTGGGCAAGCAGTCTCGTATCTTTCACGCGCGCTGGTTGGGTGCATTCCTATGCGGGTCAAATTCAGACCAGGTTCTCACCGCCATGTCGTCTCAAAGGACTCTAGCAAAACGGCACCCCACAGATTCAGTCGGCCTCCTGCTTCCAACACACCAGTTAGGACTTCCTGCCCGCGTATACATCGTGTATGTGAATGCATACCCTGTCCTTTTTCATTATCGCCGCCGTGAGTCTCATGACCATCACGCTTGATTGGACATCGAGAAGTATACCGTTTTCGCCCCTGCCGGCATGGCTAGATGTACAGTGTGAAACCAGCGCTCGTACACAGATGCACAGTCCCGACTATGCTTCGCTAGAGCGCATCCCACTCGACAACGACAGGATCTCGTGCACTAGCGTTTCACCGATCGCACGGACACCGGACAACACGCCCAATAAGGCATTGGTCCAAACACAGGCCGCAATCTGTGGAGTGTGGCAGCGAGCCAGCCTCGAGTAGCTCTCTACGCGAGCCGGAACCTCGACCTCTCCCCCTCTCATTGCGTGTCAAGCTGCTGCTTCATTCAGCATCAAGACCACTTTGCTCAAATAGAAAGGCTCCAGGAAACCTTGATAAGTCCACGCTGCCGGCAAGACTGCGCCATTCGGGGGCTTCTTCACAGTTCTTCCACTCAGAACTCCGCCCAAATTTGTGTCTTCTTCACCGTGATAGGCAGGCCATGCATTAGTTGGCCTGTGACAATGTGGCACAGCCGCAGGAGCAAACCGACATCCCACAGCCGCACGGTCGCTTCATGTTCCCACGCGGCACAGGGAAGCGGCCGGCGCGAGCCTGCTCAGCCGTCCGCCCGCCCGTTCATATACATGTCTACGGACCTTCGATCTCTTACCTTCGTCTTGGTCTTTCTCAGCACTGGGCGACATCTAAGGTGTATTACATTTCAGCATTATCGCAGTATGGTTGTAAGTTGTGAGCAGTCGTCCAGTATCACCGGGCATTACGTTGAGTGAACCTGAATCCTTTAGCGCCGCCCAATCCTGGGGAAAGACATACAGGCTACGCCACAGCCGAGTTCTATTAGGAACAACCAAGTCACAAATGGCCAAGCTGTGTCATCTGCCCTCACAAGGTCATCACAGGAACCTGTTGCAACCGTTGAGGGAAGCAGCTCAGATTACGGAGATGCTCGCCAGCATACACCACCGCCCTCGCTCACCCCGCCGCCTTCTTGTGACAACGCCAGTAGTCGCTCTGCCTCGTCTGACGTGCATTCCGAGAGCACGCAAGCAGGCCGTAGTGACAGCACCGTGGACCGCCTCGCTGGACTCCGCATTTCTGGCAGTGTAGACACAAGCCCGGCCACAGCTATGCTGCAACCCCCCGGTATAGCATTCGATGCAACTTCTGGATCGAGACGTGCGTCAAGACCATCGAGTCCAGGACGGACTGCCTACGTGGTCGAGAATGAGCAACTACCAGAGGACGACTTCAATCGAGGACCACTGCAGCCAAGTCTGGACAGAACAAGACGTCTCGCAAAGGCTTTGGCATGTGCCCTGGGAAGCGGCGCTGTACACACTGAACCCGGCTCCCATATCAGCCGTCTCTATGCCAAAGCACGGGATTATGCAGACTTTCGATGCCCCTCGACGCGCACCGTCGGCTTCGTGGGGCAATCTGGAGTCGGCAAGAGCAGTCTGCTCAATTCACTCCTGGATAGAAAAAACTTTCTGAGGACGGTCAGTCAGCTTCGACTTCGACGTCTACATTCTTTCTTGAGTTGTTCGTCTGACTCTATAGCTACAGGGTAACAGTGGCATGGCATGCACGTGTGCCATTGTCGAGTTCCATTACCGGGAGGCCAACGACTTTCTGTTAGACGTGGTCCATTTCGACACAAATGAAATGAAAGGACGACTCTCGGAGCTCCTTGGTTTTTACAGAGCTCATCATCTTGAGCCCGCTGAGGGACGCACGCAAGATCCAGGCGTGCTAGATAACATCGCCACCCGGGCAAGCCTCGCTGAGCACACTTTTAAGGCCATGTTCTCATCTCCACGTCTGGAAGAGCTGCTGAGCGGGAGCGAGGCTTCAGCCTTGGCCACGCTGCTGCATTGGCAAGAGATGTCGACCCCTACCATAATCGACGGTCTTGTCGCCTACTCTACTCAGGAACAATGCTCACACGCACTCTTGCGGCTTTCGTCTGAGCAGTGGCCCTCTGATGAAGACGGGGGACTCGTGAAGTCGCCGTGGCCGTACGTCAAAAAAGTTCGGTAGGCTGCGACATTCCTCATCGAGACGATCATAAAGAAGAGAAACTGATAACTGACCTGAACACCGCAGCGTGTACATGAAAGCACATATCTTGAGCAAGGGGCTTGTCTTGGTTGATCTACCAGGTGCGACGTGTGCTATATCTTTCGATTACAACACTGACCCAAATACATTTCGCTCCAGGTCTCAACGATTTGAATTCGGCACGTCGTAACGTGACGGAACGATACCTCGTTGACAGAGAATGCGATGACATATTTGCTGTTTGTCGTATTGGCCGTGCCACAACCGACGAGTGCGTTAAGCAAGTGTTTGAGCTCGGTCGCCGAGCAGGGTTACCCAGTATTGGGATTATTTGCACATGTTCAGACGTGCGTGTTTGCCACTTGTGTTTAGACCATTGGTATTTACGTCGCATAGGATATCAGAGAGAACGAGGCCGCAAGAGATTCGCCACGCCCCCGGGGATCTAGGATCGCCAACTTAGCAAAGGACCGGGACAACGCCAGTGCCGAGGTCAAGGATTTGTATCGTGACCTTGGACTGGACGATGACTCGACCGACGATGAGGACTGCTCGCCCGAAAGAAAGGAAGACATGTGGCGCAGGCTCCGTCGTGCCAGGTAAGAACCTACGCATATGCTATTAGACTACTGACTAGCTTCTTTCACAGGCGAACGCTTGATGAGCGCCAATTCGAGTACGTACAGATGATACATGCCTATAAAGGCTGTGACAAGACCGTGAATGCTGATAAATGTGCGAGAGCAGGCTGAGTGATCTCATGATCAACGGCCGCAACGACGACGTGCTTCGTCAGCTTCGAAACGAAGACAATCTGGTCTCCCCTAATCGAGCCGTGCTTGCATTTTGTATCAGCAACACGATTTGGTGGAAACATCGAAACGATCTAGACGGCCAGTCCTCGCGATGGCTGGAACTCAGTGGGATCCCTCGCCTGCGTCAATACTGCATTGGTTTGGTTTCTCGTAACCAAATCAGTATTGCTATGTCGTTCATCGAGCTGGACGTCTCTACGTTACTATCAGACGTCGGTTCCTGGGTACTGACTGGCGCCGGGAACTTGACAGGTGAACAGCGACTACGGCTTCGTGAGATACTCGATGAGTTTGAGACAAACCTTAGAACGGTACGCAACCCCCATCCAGTCGAAGACTTATTCTAGACGAATACCTTCTAATCAGAGTGGTTCACCAAAGAATGTTCTTGGAAGAGCAGCGCAGGTCTCGCAGATCATCGACCGATTCAATCGCGCTTGCCGGGAGACTGTCCTTGATTGTGAGTCAATCCGAGAGGTAGAACTCCCCGAAATCGAGCTGAAGTTGATGTGTGTGATGTCAAAACCAGGCCAGCACAGCGAAGTTTGGAGCGCTGCGGCTACCGACAAAGTGCGTGATTGGTCCGGTGTAAGTCAATACCTACAAGATTGATCGGTACTTCATGTCATACAGGAGGCTTCAGCTCACATAGCGCACAGTTTGCTTGGAGTATGTACAAGGTGGAGTGCTTGATGTACTTGAGGCGAAGTTGCCTTGTTGACCTTCATTCACCGTAGATACCTTTGCTGCTTTCTGCCGCCGACATGGAGAGTTCCGACGTCCCGGTGGAGAACCCCTGTCCTGGAATCAAGAAGCCATGTCAGCGATGGTTCAGGATCTTGCCAACCCTACCAAGTCGCTCGATTCTGTAATCACGAATCACGAGAAGCGTCTTTTGGATAGCATCGAGAATGCCGTCGGCATCCATGCCCTAGGTGATGGATCAACCACACGCCCCGCCGAATTGAAACATTCTAACGTCTTTATTATCAGGCAACGATCTCAGGATCCCGTCCGAGGCTATGGAAGCCCTGCTCACGCTGCTGCCTGCTCGACAGCACCTCATGAGAATCAGCATCGCTTCTTCGATGGAAAATTTCTATACCAGTTACAAGTGGGCACTCGCCACTCTAGAGTCATTGAGGGTCGCGACCGAATCTAACATACTTCTCAGGATTCTCAAGCATGACCTCACTCAGCCATCCCGAACGGCATTCTTCGGGCAAGCCCTCGAACCCACATACCAAGCCTGTCAGCAAGATGGCGGTAAGCTACCTTCGCGCTCCACCGTCAATCGTATTACCTCACTGACCGATCCGCTTCACCGCATTGTTGTAGGCAGTGGTCTCCGCAATCGTAATATCAATCGCATTTCTGCCGCCATGGGCGATCCTGGCGTTTATGAAGGCATGATCCGGCGATTTCTCGCGGGCTTCGACCTGCAAACAGTGACATTGGAGCAATGTATGCGGAAAGAGTTGACGCAGCACGTCAATGCACTGGAGCGGTCGTTGGATATCTTGCGGACTGAGCATGCAGCACAAGAGAGCGAACGAGATCCCGCTCTTCGAGGACGAGTCCATGAGGCACTGACCAAAGCCGTTGAAGAACTGGCAGAGGCGAAAGCACGAGTACAACATTTGTCTCAGAGAAGTGGTTGAGGGTCGAGGAGTTTTTCACGATAGTGAGAATGAATCAGACACCGGCAAAGCCCAGGCACTACAAGCCCCGATTTCTTGCCATCTTCGTGTCCAATGATTGTGATGCCTCAACATGCACTAGAGTGAACTGCGAGCGGCGGGATAGGTTTAGGAACATGGCCGCCTGCACAGGGGGTCAACCGGTAGTTGTGCTGTGATATTGATTGAGGACCCCTCCCTCGGTCCGCCGTCTGCACACAGGGGATTATTGCACGCGAGCAACGAGGCGGATTTGCTGTCCCCCGGGTGACGGCGCCCTGTCCTTCCATGCCTCGGCGTGCGGGAGCAGCGTCACCTGGAGTCAGGGGATCTGTCCGGCACGAAGATGTACTGTATGGAAGAGGACGTCGCGAGATCGACCGGTGCAAGTGCGGCGGGGCGGGCCGAACCTCGCTTCTGGAAACCCGCGGCGTCGAAGAGCGAAAAGCCACAATCCAAACGGCGTCACATGCAAGTAGACTTTTCTGAGGCCAATCTCGAGTGGATTGCTCGACAACGGCACTCACACCATCACACCCCTCACCATGGCGTCTGACGGCCCGCAGAAGATTGGTGAGTAGAGACGACAGATCCCGTTCAATGCCACCACTCACGCTCCCATAGCCATCCTGTCTGTATATGACAAAACCGGCCTGCTCGATCTCGCCAAAGGCCTGGTCAAACAAAACATTCGCCTCCTCGCATCCGGCGGCACGGCCAAGCTGATTCGGGAGGGTGGCTTCCCGGTTGAGTACGACCGTCTCTCTCATTTCCTACCTTCTCTCACTTCTAACATCCACACAGAGATGTCTCGGCCATCACCAAAGCGCCCGAGATGCTCTCGGGCCGGGTCAAGACTCTCCATCCAGCAGTCCATGCCGGTATCCTAGCCCGTGATCTAGCCTCAGACGAGAAGGACCTTGCCGAGCAGAACATCAACAAAGTGGACTATGTCATCTGCAATCTCTACCCATTCAAGGACACCGTTGCTAAGATCAACGTTACCATCCCTGAAGCTGTCGAGGAGATTGATATTGGAGGCGTGACTTTGATCCGAGCGGCTGCGAAGAACCACGGGCGTGTCACCATTCTGAGTGACCCAGAGGACTACCACGATTTCTTGCAAGAACTGGAGAAGGGCGAGGTGACGGACAAGCAGCGGCAATTGTACGCTCTCAAAGCCTTCTCCCACACTGCTGACTACGACAACGCCATCTCGGACTTCTTCCGCAAGAAGTACGCCGGTGACGGTGTTCAACAGCTATCCCTCCGATACGGCGCCAACCCACACCAGAAGCCTGCTTCCGCATATGTCACCAGCGGCAAGCTGCCTTTCAAGGTTCTTAACGGCTCACCAGGCTACATCAACCTTCTGGATGCTCTCAATGCCTGGCCTCTTGTCAAGGAGTTGAGTGAAGCTCTCCAATACCCAGCTGCCGCCTCTTTCAAACACGTCTCACCAGCTGGTGCTGCCATTGGTGTGCCGCTGAGCGATGTTGAGAAGAAAGTCTACATGGTGGAAGACATCGAAGGCCTTGACAACTCCGGCCTTGCCCAAGCATACGCCCGTGCCAGAGGTGCAGACCGCATGTCCAGCTTCGGTGATGTCGTTGCCCTGTCTCACGAAGTTGACGTCCCGACCGCCAAGATCATCGGAAAGGAGGTCAGCGACGGAGTTATCGCCCCAGGCTACCACCCAGACGCACTCGCGATCTTGGCCAAGAAGAAGGGAGGCAAGTACCTCGTCCTTCAAATGGATCCAAGCTACACACCAAACCCACAAGAGCTCCGAACTCTCTACGGCATCACACTCTCACAACACCGCAACGATGCCCAGATCTCCCCCAACACAACCTTCAACACAATCATCGTCCCCAAGGACTCCAAGCCCCTTGCAGAGCCCGCCCTCCGCGATCTCACGGTCGCCACGATTGCTCTCAAATACACCCAATCCAACTCCGTCTGTTACGCCCTGAACGGTCAAGTCATCGGCCTGGGTGCTGGTCAGCAATCCCGCATCCACTGCACCCGCCTCGCAGGCGACAAGGCCGACAACTGGTGGATGCGATTCCACGAGCGTGCCACCACCATCAAGTGGAAGCAAGGCAGCAAGCGCGCCGACAAGAGCAACGCCATCGACCTGCTCTGTTCAGGCATCGTCCCCGACAGCGGTGCTGAGCGTGAAGATTGGGAGAAGAACTTCGCCGAGGTCCCCAAGCCTTTCACGGCTGAAGAGCGCAAGGAGTGGCTCAGCAAGTTGTCCGAAGTCGCCGTGTCTAGCGATGCCTTCTTCCCATTCACTGACAATGTCTACCGCGTGGGTCGCAGCGGTGTGAAGTACATTGCTGCGCCGACTGGTAGCCAGAATGACCAGGCCTGCTTCGGTACGGCCGAACAGTTGGGCATCACGTTTGTGGAGCAGCATATGCGGTTGTTCCATCACTAGGACACCACTTGCTTGAAATGATGTCTGTCATGAAATGATGAACTTGGCGCGGACACACCATCATCTTACCTTACACATTCAACACCAAAATCGGAGAAGAATAAGATGTCGTCGATTTCCTCGAAAGTCTCTGCTGAAGCGAGGATGTCTGACGTGGACGAGACGGCCAAATGGCGAATATAGATAGCGCTAGCATCACTAAAAAAGCATTCGAATATCCATGCACGACTGGTTGAATATGTGATCATACAATTCTCAATCCGCACCAAGGGTATCGTTTCCTCTACCTACTCGTTATCAAACAACCTCTACCCCACCGCCGCCATCATCATACAAGCTAAATATCCCAATCTACTGCTTCTTCTTCCCCTCCTTTCCCTCCTTCACCCCCTCCTTCCCACTCCTCTTCTTCTCATCCCTCGCCTTGTCCATCGCCTCAATCTCCTCGGCCTCCTTCCTCTGCGCATACCACTGCCCCGCCTGCAACACCAACACCCCAACAAGCACCAGCGCCAAGATGGTATTACTCGCCGCGAGAACCCTCAAACTGTCCTCCCGGCCGATATAATCCCCTTCATTTCCCTCCTGGATCTTGCCTACGAGACTCTCGCCTTCCGGGAGGGGTTGTCCACCGTACGCCCCGGCCGTCACGGTCCTCAATCCCTTCACGATGTTCGCGATATAGACCGTAATCCCGCACATGTACAACACCAAACTCGCGCCATCGAAGAGCATGTTCGCCTCGCTGGGCTTGTACAGCTTCATCATGAATCCCAGCAAGCCCGTGCCGATGACGATGTGCAGCATGCGGGAGATGAGCGGCGGGGAGGCGTGCAGGAACTTGAGGTGGTTCTCTTGTAGGGTGAAGTAGGGGTCGCGCGGGGAGGTGCCCGGGATGGCGTCGGAGGGGAGGGTGGTGGGCGTGGTCCAGAGGACGTGGTAGTCGTAGGGGAAGAGGGCGAAGAGGATGCCGAGGAAGAAGCAGGTCGCTGGGATATTATATTAGCTGTTGTCGCGGGGAGAGGAGTGGTACTGAACGTACGTCCTACGATGAGGAATGTCGCAAAGGGCGAGCTGTTCTTGGGCGCCATGGTGGGTGACTTCGCCGTGTTGTTGATGTGGTGGTGGTTTTGCGACAGCTGAGGTGGAAAAGATGGAGCTGGAGCTGGCTGGGATTCGTTCGCGATGCACAGCGACGTCAATCAATGTCAATCAATGTCAGGGTGTGTTGCTCGTCAACATGGCCAGCAGATATTGATGGAAGACAGGTGGTGCTTCTTCTCGGCTTAATTGGAGGTCTGGACAAGATACATTACTAAGATTGGATGGCGGCGGCGGGACGACCCACTGATAAGGTCCTTCCACTTTCGGTATCGACGGTGACATACCTTCTTCACACTCAATCTGATTGACCCTGGACGTCTCTGACTCCCGAACACCCTCCTCCCATCAGAAGTCTGTATCTTGACCTGTGAAGCAGTAGCTCACCTCAGGCCATTATGCCGCCCACTACTTGAGCGTTTACCCAAAACGACACATTCTTGAGGGGATGCTGCGCCTCGAGGCGATGGGTCTTGGACCAACATGAGGAAGCGAAAGCTGGCTGATGAGGCCAGCGATGAGCCACAAAGCACGCACCGTTGCAACTCAGAAAGGACACAAATATACCGGCGTTGACAATATGGATGTCTCTGGGCTTGCTACCACACTATAACACACTTGATCCCCGAGTATGAACGGATATGGACTCTCTCAGCACTGTGACTGACCTCTATGATCCACTGCCTCCTGGACATGTCCGCCTCCTAGACTTTACCAACGCCCAGTATCAAGATGGCGACATCTCATGCTCGCTCTTCTCCGCCTGCCTGGACTCCGCGCCAGACTATGCCGCCCTGTCGTATGCGTGGAAGGAAGAGGGCGAGTCGGATCCCGAAGGCCGCCTCATCGTCAATGGACTTGCAGTGGAAGTCCAAAGTAACCTGTACAACGCCATCAGGTCGTTGTGCAACACGATGCGCGCCGATGAGCTAATGCTATGGGTGGACTTCATCTGCATCAATCAGGCCGATCTGGATGAGCGTGGTCACCAGGTCCAGCTAATGAGACGGATATACGAGCAAGCGACGTATGTCGTTGCATGGCTGGGCTTGCCTCACCGGGACGAACAGATACAAAAAGCTATTGAATTTATGGAGTTCTTCACCACCGTGCACAACAATCACCCTGGAGCCGAGCCCTTGGCGAGCTTTTGATCCAGCTCTCGATCGACAAACCCGGCTTCCCCGACGATGCCTCTAACATGGACGCATGGGAAGGTCTTAGGTATCTATTGAGCCGAAGATACTGGACCCGGACTTGGGTCTATCAAGAGGCCAGCGTGCATCGTGTCGTCTTCTTTTGCGGCATACACCACTTCTTCTTCCGACAACTGATCGGCACGAACGCAATTGCAGTCCATTACGGGCGACTGCCAGGTTATCCCGACCGCTTCAGATTCGCCAGTCAGGACAACGGCTTCGTGTACAATATGATTCGAGCATGGAACCACCGCGCACAGCGGAATCAAAAGCCTCACAAATAAGAGCTGTCGACTTTGCTAGCGCTCGTCTATGGTCTGCGGCCAACAGACGCCACAGACCTGAGAGACAAGATCTTTGCTGCGATGCCATATGCAACGGATCTGTCACGCTCAGGCCTAACCATCGACTACAGTCGAGACCTTCTCGGCGTGTACACCGACATGGCGGCTTTCTACATCGTGCAGAAACGCAGTCTTGAAATCCTAGGCTACGTCTACACCAGACCGGAATATATCAAAATCGACGAGAACGACGTACTATTCAAGCCCGACCTCCCCTCCTGGGTCCCCGACTGGCGCTACCGCATCGACGTCCGGCCTCTCAACAAAACCGGCATCGTCGGTCCAGACTATAGAATCATCTACACTCCCTGCCCCGGCACCTTGGTCGGCGCCTACACATCCTCCGACCGCTCCCTCTTCATCCGCGGCTTCGTCGTCGACAGAATCTCCTGCCTCGCCCCGCCAGGCACAACCACCGCCAAAAACGCCACCGAACTCGCCACGGCCAAGGCCTTCCTCCGCGAACACGACCCCACCCTTGCCTTCACTGACGAAGAATTCCTCCGCACCACCACCGTCGACGCAGATTACCGCTGGGACAACGAGGAACGGACTCACTGCAATATCCGCCGACCGCATCCGTCGACGACAGAATTGACAGGCATCGATCGCGAACTCCATGTCGAGAGGCAGGAGACGGTGCAGCACGTGTGTATCTTCCATCAGGTGGGTTCGACGAAGGAGGGAAGGAAGTTGGGACTGTTTCCGCATGCGGCGAGGGAGGGAGATTTGGTGGTGGCGTTGTCTGGAGGGAATGCGTTGTATGTCCTCGGTCCTGATCAAGGCTTGGACAGGGAGAGGGGGGAGATGAGGAGGTATCAGTTTATTGGGGAGTGCTATATTGACGGAATGATGGATGGGCAGGCGATGGAGTTGCTCAAGAAGGATGGTGGAGGGGAGGGTGGAGTGCAAAGTCGGATGTTCAGATTATGCTAAGAGCTACAATTCTTTTCCATCACCAAGCCTCCACCACATCACCCACCTTAATCACCCCTCCCCTTCCCGCTTGCTCATCCCCCTCCCTTCTCAAAGCAGTATGAACCCCAAACAGCACCCTCCCACTCCCAAACCTTCTCGTCTTCGCCAACGTGACAAAAGGCTCCTGATTCCTCTCCCCACTCTCCTGATCCACGCATACCATCTGACAACGACGACAACCGCCTAGAAAGTCGAATTCCACACTGCCGCCACTATCTCCACCACTTGCTCCCGCTCCACCGCCTCCAACTCGCATCCCGCTCCACGTATCTTCCACCCATGGCTGTTCCTGTCCAGGCGAGAGAAGGGGACTCTCCGCGAGGACGATATTCGCGCGAAAGACGGAGGGATGCGGAGCTTTGCCGTTGGTGAGTTTGATGGTTTCGTTGAGGCGGTTGAGGGAGGAGCGGGTGATGGTCAGGATGGGGGATTCGTTGCTCAGGAGGATTGGTTGTGGGGCTTGAGTGGTCGTTCTGGGTTTGAGGTGTGTCTTGCTGTGGCGAGAGGAGGCGGAGGCCGGGAAGCGGGCGAGGGTGCATGGAATTCCTATTGCGCGGGTGAAGAAGTCGGCGATTGACGAGGAGGTGTAGATTCGGGCTTTGATGGGGTCGCCGCAGACGTTGGCGGCGTAGGGTTTGAAGGCTGGGGTCGAGAAGTAGCTGGGGTCTTTTGAGAGTGGGATCGTGAGTTGCTCCGTCTGGCCGGAGATCTTGATTCGTAAGACGCCTTCTTGGAAGTCCAGTTGTGGTCGGATAAGGGCCATGCGTGGGTAGGCTTTTTGGCTTAAGGCTGCGCCGGTGCTTTGGTTGATGATGCACCATTCTCGATCCCAGGCGAGACCTTCTGCGTGGACGTCCCAAGACGTGTTTGAAGCTACCTGCCAACCACCGCAGCTTTTGATGGGGTAGACTGTCAAGCTCTCGATGTACAGTCTCGATTTGTGCGATTCGTCGCCGAGTGCCAAAGGTGAGGGCGGGTTTGAAGTGGCAGGTGTCTTGTCCACGAAGAACTCTTTGACGAACTCGATGAACCTCTCCACATCACTTCTAGTACTCATGGCTCCTAGGCTGACCCGGACGACACCAGATGGTTTGCCATTGAGGATGTCGCTTTCGCTGCCGCATCGAAAGCCTGAGGAGAAGTTCTCACGCATCTCCCAAGGTGCCAGGTTGAGATTTGTCGCAGTACCGCCAGGATTACACAGGCCTCCAGTCCGAAGATGGATGTTTTTGATCGAAGCGAGCTTCTCAATTTCATTGTTGCTGACCCAGCGTCCTTGTCGATCGAGGAGGTTGAATGCGACAGTCGGTCCTTGCTTCCCCGTATCACCGTAGCTAGAGTCATTGTGGGTATAGATCTTACATGCTGAAGTTCCATTCCCGTGTCTTAAAGATTTCAATCCATCGTAAAGCCGTTTCGCCAGTCCCGCAGTATGTTTGGCGACATGCTCGAGTGAGCGAAAGATCTCTTGGTGAGTCTCCATGGCGCACTTCAACGCAGAAATGCTATGCACTGGGAGTGTGCCATCCTCGAGTCTTTCATGGAGTGAGGCCGACTTCTTAGCATGCCACTGCTCCTTGAGGCATACAACCATATCGACAGTGCCGCCACCAAAGTACCTTCTCCGGTCGAAGACATTCGCGGCGTCTTTCTTGACGATGAGCGCTCCTAGATCTGGAAATCCAAACATTTTCGAAAAGCTCAACACAGTGAAGTCGTGCGCCTGGTCCGGGTCATCCAAGCGAAGAGGTGAAGTTGCAGCGTAAGCAGCGGCATCCAATAAAGTGTACGTCCTCGGTCGCCTCGCTCTGCATCTTCTGCTCCATTCTAGTGGCAGTCTCCTTCCGTTCATGTTCGATTGGGCCGGATATGCAAATAGTCTTGTCGTCTCGTCGTCCTCACCACCTTCATCTAGCCAAGCCGCAAACTCCGCATCTCCTTCAAAACACCTACTTCCTTTCATAGCCAGCTCTCGGACTCCTACAAGACTCGTGTGAGAGTCAACATGATAGCCAAACCAGAAACCATCATCCACCTCCCTCATCGCATCTGCTACGAGCTTAATAGCAGCAGTGGTATTCGCAGTAAACACCAAATCGAAGTGTTCTGGATCGGCATGAAAGTGCCTTAGACACTGCAACCGTATAGACTGAATCATTTGCGTAGATCTCTGGCTCGAGGGCGAAGCCGAATGCGGGTTCCCGTACAGATTCGCCATCATCTCGGTGTGAAAGCGGCCCATGAGCCGCTTGCTGTAGAGGGTGGTGCCGGCATGATCCAGATACAGCGAGTCGTCGCTTAGCATGGAATACTCGTCGTGGCGCATGGAGGAGATGTATTGGTCATACTCGTCCAGATCCATTTCCCGATTGGCCATGGTGATGTCGGTATCCAGATTGGTGTAACGGCCAGGGCTCACCCAAACTCCTCCCAAGGTAACTCCCACGGCAGACGACCAGCCCACAGAATCATTGAAATGCTCAGAAGATGCAGGAAGTGTGTGAAGGAAAGAAAGGAGAGAGTAGTGGTGTGGATCTATTCTATCAAGGTGCTGTGGTCGTCGGCGAAGGCCGATAAAGAGAGATGCGTCAAGCGGGCTGGGAACAGGCGAGGCGGATCCGAGCGCTTGGTAATTCGTTACCGTCACGGGATTGACTATAAACCATGTGAAGTTATGTTTCCTGCCCAGTGGTTAGAATGAATACGTGCGTAGCATTGTGGTGAAGGCGTTGGAGATGTAGTAGTAATTGGCGCCCATTGATTGGATATATAGGCGAGCGATAACGGCTGATAACTCTAGCGTCTGATCCCCTGTCCTATCCTGACAACAACCAACAACAACATTCCGTCGACAACTTCACCTCGAATTCCATAGCCCAGGTCCTTGCGGGAGAACGAGGAGAATCCGCAGAAGAGACAGGACGGCGAAGACAAGATCATCGCACTGCCTAGATGCTTACTCACCTTAGTCTACCGTAGGGCGAATCCTTAGCATCACCAGCATCACCTACTACCTTTTCAGCTTCCTCATCGACAGCGCCGCTCAAAGTATCAAGGATCCCTCGCGTTTGCTCGAACCTGGTAGGCAGCACGTGGAGGAGATATAGGTGATGAGGCCGCGGCAGCCAAGATGAGGACTAGAAAGAAGAAGGATATATATCTGAAGCTATGCCGTGAGAGCACGAACAAGGTAGGGACAAGTCCTCCATCATGGCACTCATTCATACTGCTGTTGCTCTCTCATTGAGCCTGATCAGGCCTGGTCTTGCGTCTCCTCGGATCAGCAATGTGGACACGTCTCTCACTTTCCTCTACCTAAACAACCTCAATGCTTCAGACGACGGCAATCACGCTGGTGCCATTCTGCTAGAACCATCCAGCAACGATACCGCCGCCTGCGCCGCCATTGGAGAATCTCTCATATCCCGCTCAACGTCACAGGCTCACAGCTCCGACTTCTTCTACTCCCTCGCATATCTAGAGTACTCTGGACAATCGCCTCAAGACCAGCAATACCAGATCCAGGACGGTGCGGTGTCCATTAAGAAGGCGAACAACAGCCTAGCCTTTCAAGGGGAGCAGCCTGATCAACAGCAACTCCCAATACTGTGCACTCATTCTGGCTTGTACGATACTTCCAAGCAGCTCTCCGTCTCGTCCAACGGCAATACCTTCACAGGCTTCCGCAACCCAAAGTCCTTTCGTTTCCTCGGCATTCCATACGCAGACCCGCCCAATCGCTGGGAGTACTCCACAATCTACAGCGAGAAAGGCCAAACAATCGACGCCACTGCTTATGGCTCAGACTGCGCGCAGGCATTCGACCCGAGCAGCACCGAAGATTGCCTTTTCTTGAACATCCAAACTCCATATCTGCCACGGACAAACTCTTCGACCAATCTCCGCCCAGTGCTCTTCACAATTCATGGCGGAGGCTTCACAGGCGGCTCAGGCCAGGGCGCGGATGGCGGCAACCTCGCTTCCAGACACGATATCGTCAGTGTTCAGATCAATTACCGCCTCTCCACTCTCGGCTTCCTCGCCATCCCCAACACGACGATAAAGGGCAACTTTGGGATAGCAGATCAACTTACGGCCTTGAGATGGGTTCGTGAGAACATTGCCAACTTTGGTGGCGACCCAAACAAGATCACCATCATAGGCGAGTCTGCCGGAGCATCTTCTGTTCGGACGTTGCTTGGCTCACCACCCGTCATTGAAGAAAACCTCGTAGCAGGCGCGGTCGCACAGTCGAATCTCGGCGGCGGCGTCACGCTGGGTCTCTATGGAAACTACGGCACAACATTCAGCTCCTACTACACCATCGATCAGTCCTACGCCGTTGCAGGACAACAGATCTTCACCGCGGCAGGATGCACTCAATCCACCGTCTCCGCCCAGATCGAATGTCTGAAAAAGGTCGATGCGCAGACTCTCCAGAACCTTTCAGCTGTCGCTCGCTATGTCGTGCAAGATGGGACATACGTTGACACTGAAGAACTCATCGTTTCGACCAGGAACTCCAGCACCGCTCATGTCCCCGTCATCTTTGGCACGACGTTGAACGATGGGGCATCGCAGGCGACGTACCCACAGCCTCCAGTCACATCTCTCGTGGATGGCATCGTTCAGTCTCTGTACATCAGCACGGATTACGCTCAGGCTATTCTGGACAGTGGATTGTTCCCAGTCTACGACACTGGAAACGTGACACTCGACTCGTTCAACATCTCGCAGCGTGTAGCGACAGATACAACGTTTCGATGTATCGACGAAGCCACTGTATACGCTGGAGCGAAGAGTGGGGCATTCGAGAAGGCGTGGTATTACACCTTCAACAGGACTTATGAAGGGTAACATCCTCTCCCCATCAATATACTCACCATGCTGACATGTGCAGCTACGACCCTAACAACCTCGGCGCCTCAGGCCTCTCGCGCGGTCCAGTCTCCCCCGACTACCCCACCGGCAACCCCAACCTGCCCTACTTCCGTCTCCACGGCAGCGAAGCCGGCTTCACCTACGGCGTCCAATATCCTCTGCGAGACACCAGCGACCTGCTCGCCTCGCAACTCATCTCCGGGTACTTCGCCAACTTTGCTCGGACAGGAGATCCCAACTTCGACGAGGAATATCTGCGTGTTAGGGGGTATACAGATGAATTGAAGGGTGTGCAAGAGAGTGGGAAGTGGGAGGCTGTGAGTGGAGAGGATGGGCCGAGTTGGGAGTTGGATTGGCCGAGTCGAGGGGTGGTGTTCCCGGAGAAGGAGCAGTGTGCTTGGTTGAATTATTCGATTGGATATTATATGGAGGATGGGAAGTAGACTGAAAATACGAAGAGGGCATGTATCGACATCATGATCATAAAATTGGAATATGAACAGCCATCTAGTAAAAGACCCAGAAATCCAGTACCCAAACTCCCAGAAACAAACCCCGCTTCGTTCATCATTATTAACCATCAACAGTGCCCATTCGATGCCAACACAGCACTCGGAACATCAGCCGAATGTCCGTTCGTCTTGGCAGCATCCAAATCGCCATACTGCTGCTTCCAGCCTTCAATCATCGACGTCGAAACATTCGAGCCGCCACAAATGACCAGCACGATCTTATCCTCTGGACGCACGGGTCGACTAAGCGCCTTCTTCAACCGATTGCCGTAGCACAACGCGACATTGACGCCGCATGCAGCTTCGACGAGGATCCTCTCATCCTCTGCAAATCGCCAACATCCCATGGCGGCTTCGGCGTCGCTGAGCACGACGCTCTTGACTCTGCCGGTTTGGTGGCCTTCGGTGGCGAGTTCAAAAGCCCGGTCGGCTGCCTTGGCACATCCCAAACTCGTGGCGATGGAGGTGATTTTCGGCAGAGTTATGTTCTCTCCCTTCTCCAGACTGATCGGCAAAGCGTCCGCCCCGACAGTATTCACGGTCAAGACTTTCGTATCCCGCCACGCACTGCCTAGGTCCTCGATGCCTTGCATGATGCCGATGAAGAGTCCACCCCCACCGCAGCTGCAGACGACATACTCAGGGGGTTCCTCGCCGAGCTCTTCGAACTGATCACGCATCTCGTCGACCATGGTCGAATGGCCGTCCCAGATATCCGGATGGTCGAAAGGAGAGACGTAGATGGGTTCTTCACCTCTCTCATAGGCCTTCTTCATGACGACTTCCCTCATGTAGGCATCTGCCTCTCGGATCGAAGGACCGTGTTGAAGGACTTCCGTCGCGCCGGCGGCTTTTATCTTGGCGATCATGTGTGGTTTTGTGGTGATTGGGACGACGACCTGCCATCACTATCAGCACAACCATCTCATGAAAACCATACACGATCACGACGTACAGTACTAGGCCTCCCGACAAAATTCGCCCCATAAACACACCCCAACCCAGCATTCCCCCCACTACTCGCATAAAAATGCACCCTCTCGGGATCCTGCGCCCGCTCCATGGACTGCAAGACAAGATTACCCAACCCACGGGATTTGAACGAGCCCGAGGGTTGTAAATTCTCGAGCTTGAGAAAGATTCTGCTTCTGCGACTTAACGATCGTGATGGTCGAAGGAGGAGATTGAGGAGGGAAGGGGGGATTTACGTACCATCCTGCTGCTTTGGAGAGGGGGGTGCTCTCGACGAGGGGGGTCTTTCGCCAAGGTTTGTTACGGGTTTGGGAGGAGGGGGCGAGGGGGGTGGTGTTCTTTGCGGCGCCCATTGTTGTGGGAGATTACGATCGATTGATGAACTGAAGGGTTGTTGGATGGAGATGCTGCTGTTCCACAAAGAGACTCGATCGACTCTTATATCAACCTCCACCTAACGTATCCAGACGAAAACGATATGGAAGTCAAACAAGATCGATAGGGATGGCGATAGCGATAGGAGCAGGACGAACGGAAAGAAGACAAGCTCCCACGACGAGAGAAGAGCCGCTCGATAAACACAACAGCAACCCCAGTGGTGGACAGACGTAGTAGGTAGAGAAACCTTCCAAACGAACTCAACCCTGGGACCTTCTTATATCCCATCCCGTATTCTTCCCTCAGCCAAAACCAACCAGCAAGGTCGCAGTCCAATCAAGTCCAAATCCACTCTGCCATGCAACCAGTCCGTCAACCCCGTCCGCATCCATGTTAATCCTGGAAGGCCTGAGAAAGTCTAAAAATTTCTAGCTCGGAATTCCCGCATACGCCCTATCGATGCATGTGGTTGTGCTCACGCCTACCCTTCTCGGTTCGCAGCTCCCGATGCATGTGTTATTCTACTTTCGGTCGTTGGATCCCCAGGCTAGACTGATCAACACACCTTCCACTTCACTCTTTGGCTACTACTTGAACGAACAATGGCTTTCACACCATCAGTGTCTGCTGATAACAATGCCCCGCCTGCTGAGACATCCACCCCTCCATCCATGTCTCCAAAATGCCGAGAGACTCCCTCGACGATAGCTACAAATTTTCCGCCATCCCGTTCTAAGCCGACTCCAAGCGACCAGGATGCTCCATCTCACCACTGCATCATCAGATCAAAGGCCCGCCAATTCTCGTTACCCCATACTTACCCTATAACTTCCCCGAAGCAGGCAAGCGCGAGCGACATGGCTTCCAATTCACCCTCCAGGATCGCTTCGACCGGAGCACGTTTTTCTGTTGCATTACCCCATAGATTATTGGGGGCGGTATGGGGTAATGTGAATTGATCAAAGATTGGATAGGATCGATTAGTCTGATGAATACATGTAATACATTGGCTAGATTGTGCCATCCGCCGATACAATGGTGCATGCTTGCGCATTCCCTTCCCTTGCAACTCCAGTGCTGTCCAGGTCTCGCGATGCTCGATAAGAAACGACGTCGTCCGAAAAGTGGATATCGCGGATTGGGTATTGCGGATGGCGGAAGCCGTTCGAGATCGGATGCCTTTCCAGGTCAAAGCATCCATCCATCCTGCCCATGAATGAAGCGAAAACACACTCAGATCTTACAAGGTTCGTCTCGTCTCGTCTCCTCTCCGCTCCGTCCTTTCCCTATCATCGCATCCAGGGCGTTGGCCAAGGTGTGCGACGTCCGTCACGATAAGCCAGCAGAGAGCCCTCCTTCACTGTACAGTACTTTCCCAGCATTGTCCTCATCATTCGAGTGCTTGATACATCATCCATCTCTTCCTCTTCCTCCGCCCCTTCTCTGATGGCGTGCTCACGGCCTCCAAAACTTCCAAGCCTCGCGATCCCTCCCACCACCTACCAGCTCTTCCACCCCCTCCCTCCCCTCCGCCGTCAGAAACATCTCCAGATCAATCTCCTCCTCTCCAATAACCGCCGGATACAGCACACCCACTCCATCCCCACCCAGCGTGGTTTGGTACTTCTTAAACCCTTCGTCGTGGAGTTGTTGCGTTAATCGTTCGAGAGGAGTTGAGTATGAGGTATTATGCGTGCCAGGCTCACCATTGAGCTCGGCTGCGTCGCCGTTCGTGGTGGAAGTCGCAACGTCCGGTCTGAGCAGTGTTATGGCACAGCCGCCTCCACCAGCACCTGTCAATTTCGTCCAGCCGACGCCGCTCTGGTCGACGAGATATCTCAGCCTTTCCAATCGCGGATGCGACACGCCCAAACTCGTCAAGAGTCCATGGTTGATCCCCATCAACTCGCCCAAGTGCTGTATCCCTTCGGGGCTGTCACTTTCAAAGTCCTCGCTCGTGATCCGCTCGTACACACTCCTCGTGATGCTATCAATGGCATCCAGACAGTTCTCCACCACGGTAGGATGTAGCCCCTTCAACGCCGCGACTTTGGCAACCTCTGTCGCCGTCGATTTCTGCACGCAGGTATCCACCAGCAGTAGAGGCAGTTCGGGGAAATCGCGCATGACCGACACCGACGGCGGTTTGGCGTAGTCTTTTCTCTGAAACAGCACGGCATGTCCATTCGTCGAGACTGTATTATCCACTCCACTGGGGTTCCCATGTATCAACATTTCCGCGACAAACGCCCACCTGTTGATCCTCTCCAGCTGCTCTTCCGCCTCTTTGCCCTGCTGATCTGGGTGTGGCCCTGCCAAAGCACGACATTGTATAAGCAGCGCAGCCGATATACACACGCTGACACTCGCACTGCTCCCCAGCCCCGCCGCGATGGGGATTGTACTGCGCATGGCGTATTCACACCCAGGACTCCTCTCACTGCCCAGACTGAGGAAGAGATACAGAAACGCACTCGCCGCCGCCTGTCGTACCTTCACCTTCTCCGGACTCTCCTCCCCCTTCCCCACACCCATAATATGCGGCTGCATGGCCTCGACCAACTCCCTGTCCAAGCTCGTCACCAGATCATAATACCTCTTCTTGCGCGCGGGATTCGCGAAGGCCTTCCATGGCAAGTCGGCGATGTTCCAGGTGTGGTCGAGGCCGATGTCTGTGAAGCGCAGGGAGACGGTGCGCTGGGATTTGGAGAGGGTGGTGACGAGGAAGTAGGAGCGGAGGGAGATGGCGGCGGCGATGGCGGCTTTGCCGTGGACGACCGCATGTTCGCCGTAGACGATGGTCTTGCCGGGGGCGGAGACGATGAAGGGCGGGGCGAGGGGGGAGGAGTCTTTGCGCGCGCGTGGTTGGTGGTGGTGGCCGTTTGCTGTCGCATTGTGTGTAGGGGTGGATTTAGGGATGGAGTCGCCGTTTAGGTGGTGTCCGTTGGTGTGAGGGTGTTTCGCGGTGCCATTCACGCCATTGACATGCGTCGAGTCGCCGTTGGTGGTGGCCGTGGTGGTGTGCATCGCAGCTGTGGTGATGTTGTCCTCGTCTCGTCCAGTTCCCTCCTCACAGACACGTTTCGTACAGTCAAGAAGACATGCAGCATCCACTCCCGCAGGTCCAACCAGCCAGATGTAGGAGAGTACCTCTGCGCTCGCACGGCGGCGGTCCAAAAAATGGTCTGATATTCAGTTGCGAGATTGAGTTGGCCCTCCGCTTGTACCTGCGTTCTCCGGGGGTGGCGCCCAATCACACCGCCAGTGATGATGTCGACGCCACAGCCCAACAGCCACGATGCCAACGTACGACGTGCTGCGGAGTTTCAGATGTCCGTAGGAATGGAATAGCAGGGCGAAAAGTCCGCGTGGCAGGACAATCTCAGACGTGTGTCGTGGTGGCTGGCGGGGAACAAGAACAAGGGAAAGAACAATGCCAACCAGCATCACCAATCAAGAATGAGATTCGTGACTGGCTCCCTCTATCAACATCGCCCCTTTCCATGCGTGGCAGCTAGTAGTGGTGGTAAAGTACACAGATAAGAAAAGAAAAACGAGCGTCGCCGCAAGCATCGTCCAAGAGGAAGCTCACTCAAAAAGATCCCGCCAAAGCGAAACAGGCTGCCATGCTCCGTCGCTTTGCAGTCGTCAAAAACAAGCGCGTAGTATCGAGGGTGAGTAGTAGTGGTACATCGAAGAGCAAGTCATCATTCCAATCGCATCGCATTCCTCCCTCCACCCGCTTGCGTCAATCGTCCATCCGGCTTTTCTTGCGAACAAACTCCAGTCGTGTCTTCGATGATGAAAATCCTCTCACCAGCATCACACTCACGCAGCCCGGGCCGACTCCATTGATGTTGCTTGAGTCGTGTCCGGCTGTCGGAGCGGCAGTGGGAGGTGAGGGTATTGTACAGTGGTGGGCTGAGCTGCTTTTTGCGGTCCTTCTAGTCACGCATACGGCCCCTGTCGAACCATTCCGTCGCTGGTGTAGCTCGCTGCATTCGACATGGTCCCAATCTGTCCTTTGAGAGAGATGACCTCTTCCTGTAGTCGACTGATGCGCAGTTCGTACTCGTCTTGCATCCGGCTGAAACGCGATTCCAGTGCACGCACGTAGCCCCAGATGTCGTTCTCCTGCGCCATATCCCGCATGCTACTTCCTGACGACCGACCGTGGCTCGACAGACTGCCTGGATTGGAGCCTTGAGCCATGTGCTGGTGAGCGTGCATGTTAGGCGGTGGTGCTCCCGGCAGCGATGTCGGCTGTCGCTGGGTTGCCGCCAGTGGTGGCAAGATGTTGTGAGGCCCACCTTGGTTGGGTGCAAATTGGGCGTTACCCTGCGGTGGCGTCCTACCTCCACCGCTTTGACGTCCAAAGTGCTGCTGCTGGAACTGGGTCGTCAGACTGGTGGACCTGTTACGTCCACCAGCACTCCCATCTCCAACACTCAACCGGTGCTGATCGTGAGGCTGACCAGGTGACAGCGGCTTGGGAGATGAAGTCATCATGCCAGGCTCAGCAAACACTTGCCCTGACCCGTAGTACGCAGAGCCGCCCATTGACGATCCACCCGCAGGACTCGGCTGCCCAGACATCTCACGCGGCGATGTGGCGGTGCTCGATCCGGGGTGTACGACCTGCGGTGGTCCCATGCTGCCTTGCATGGCGCGCGTCGGTGCCGGTGGGTAGGTACTCGAGTGCTGTCGATAGACTTGCCGGTTGGGGTCCTGCGGTGTTTCGAGTTGTTGGCGCTTCCGATGAGGCTCGCTTGTGCGTCGTCCGTGCTCGTCGGTGCCATCGTCATCATCGTACTCGACCCCGTCCATGCCTTCAGCGCCGTCTGGCCCAAAGTCGTCGTCGCCACCGAAACTCGACCGACGTCCAGCGCAACCGCCAGGGCCTTTGTTATGTCGTGCCAGGGCGTCACCACGTGCGAAGCGCCGACCGCACTTGTCACATGTATGCGGCCGTTCACCAGTGTGAAGCTTGGTGTGGCGTTTGAGGTCGTGCAAACGGCGGAACCGTGCTTGGCACGTCTGACACACGTACGGCTTCTCTTGACTGTGCGTGAGAAGGTGACTTTTGAGGTTGTGATGTCGCGTGAAGTCGGTGGAACAATACGGACATTTGTGTCGTTTGTTGGAAGCGGGTGACTTGGGGCTGCCTTGGCCGAAGCCCGGAAGGCTCATACCACGGGATGGTCCGCCACCTTCCTGGCCTTGGTCTTGCTGCGGCGGTGGACCTGGGTAGGAGAAGGAGATGTTCTTGTTTTCCGACTCGGGCACGGTCAAGTTGCCGTTGTTCTCTGGATAGCCCTCGCCTTCGGTCATTTGGGCGGGCTCAGCCACAAATTGTTGGCCTGGGGTAGAGTTCTGGTCGTTGGCTGTGGCTGTCATCGCACCTCCCGCACCCGTGCTTTCGAGCGTGCCAAAGCTGCCCAGACTGACTGGACTGACCTGCGCGTCACCCTCCACCTGCGCGCTGTCGTCGGGGACAGAAATCTTTTCGGCGGCCTTGCGCAAGGGCTCGCTCAGCTTATCCGGCGCCGGCGCATCGCCCGGTCGACTGATCCCGCCTCCGCCCATGAGAGACTGCACCGCGGCTACAGCAGGATTGGGACTTGTTTGTCGCGACGTTGGTTCTGCGTTTTGCTGCTGTTGTTTCCTACGCTTCATCTCCGCCATGGCGGCAGCACCAGTCAAAGCTGCCGCCCTCCCCGGCGACAAACGCGCCTCTGCTGCCTTGGGAGAGGCTTCAACACTTGCACTACCAGCCTTTTGCACAGATCGGGGACGGAGGAGATTGATGTTGTCGACGCCGGTGGTGTTGAGAGGCAGAGAGCCCGGCGACAAGGAATTGGGCGTTCGCGGGGCGGTTTCGAGCGAGTTGAGAGGGTCAGGGTGGGATGGGGTCGTCGCGCGCGTTGTCGTGGCCATGTGGCTATATGGTCATGGATTGTATCACTATGCGATTCGAAATGTCTATTATGTTTTGCCGCCGTCACGATCGATCCGCGTCAGTCCCCCGATTCGCGCCGGACGCTATGCTCCAATGCAACTGGCCAGGCTGAGAGCGCATTTCACGGCGATGCGAGTCGTGCTGGTCGCCGTCGTCGTCGTCGTCGTCGTCGTCTGTCGGTGGTGGTCGTCGTGGTGGGTGGGTGACTGGCACGCAACGTTCTAGAGCGTCTCAACGACTGTTTGGCTCGGCGCCAGTAATGCCGACCGCGTGCCTGGGTTGCTGGCGAACGACGAAGTGGGTGGTAGGCTCCTCCTGGGGGTTGCTGGCGGTGGGTGAATAATTGCAGCGCCAGAGCGCAGCAGCAGCAACGGCGGCGGCGGCTGGTGTGGTGTGGCAGAGTGGCAGAGTTGGCTTCGAGCAGCGGCGGGCGTCAGCAGCGTCCACTTGGCACGGCCTTTCTGCCTTCAGCACAGCCAGTGGTGGCGCGCGGCGTGGCAAGGCCCGTCGGGATGAGGCGTGGGAGAGGCGTCGCCCGATTTCTACCGGGGCCCGTCGTCGATTTGATTAAGCAGGAACGAAGTAGATGATGTGGTGATGTTCACAGGCAGACAGGGAAGGAGCAAACAACATCAACGACCGATGATAGACACCCTCGACAGGCCTTGAGGCCAGGCGGAGCTGCGCCTTGCTGCCAAGCCTCCGTCATAACAGGCAAGAGCAGCCAACAGCCCGCTGCACCTGCTCCCCTCCACCAGCCATCCACCCATCCACATCCACCCACCGATCGACGCCCGCCACGCCACACATTGATTGATACGCGCCCATCAATTGCTACTCAATTACTACTTGCTCGCTTGATGGAGCGCGCCCAGGATGTCCGCCCCGACTCTTCTGCGAGCGCCTGTCGGCAAAACTGCCACCCGATCCTGAGCGTATGCTCCTCGATGCCGCCACGCGCAGAGATGGCCGTCCCCTTTCCCTTCACCTCGCTGCAGACGTCAGCCCTCACACAACAGCCTTTCCGATCGGATCATCGCCGCATCATACGGTCTGCGTGCCTGCAGCTTCACCACTCCTCAGCTCGTATTGGTGGTGACTTCTGGCCCAGCGCTGGCCTGTGGCGGCCTGTGAGAGCTACCGTACGTCCACGGAAACTCTGTTGTGAAGACGTCGTGCGTGGCTGGTATTGACTTCCACCCGTCTGGTAGCGCGCTGCTTGATGAGGCTTGTGATGGTCATGAGCAGGACAGCGGGTCAAATCAATTCTCCATCAAATTCTCCATCAATTTATCCCTGCACTTCATCCCACCTCCATCCGTGGATCTTGGTTGAATCTGGCAAGACGGCGGCGAGTCCTTACAGCACCTCCTCCATCGACAGTTGCTTCGGCAATTCGAACTGCCTGCTCTCCCCCAGGCATCTTCGCTGCTAGCTCGCGTGGAGATGCTCGTCATGCCGCCTCGCAGCACTGATGAAAACAGGTTGCTCTCACGCCAGACGCCTTGGCATGATGCTCGCTCTCCTCGTCGCCTCCTCGTCAGGCAGTCAACCTCGACTCGCCGTCACCTTCGCGGCCTAGCCTGTGCGACCAAAACCTGCTTCGTGAGATTGCATTGTTTCCATGACACGCAAGCGCGTAAAGATCGGACAGACTAAAGCTGCCGGCGCTATAGAATAGTACATCGGCATACGCGGAAGCCACCATCAATTCGACTTGGTAATAAGCTTGAAGAGAATGGTGGGTACACACGAGCCACACGGAGACATCTTGCACGGACACCTGTTCACATCTCACCTTTGCTTTTCACTATTATGTACATGTAGCTGTGAGCAAATGGCGTTCAATTCGCAAGCCTCGCCGCGGCCAGATCATTTCCTGCACCTCATCATTCACAAGCCACATCTAGCCACGCATACGTCGCCATCTAACCACATCAACACAAGGAAAGACGAAAGAGGCAATCGAGGAACTAGAAGTCGAGTCCGCTTCTTCCATAGTCCCAACTCTCCGTCAGGCCAATAACAATAAGCTCCCTGCTGTCGCGTGTCCATGCTAGGATGGTCCGACGCCTCACAGCGATCCACTCGAACTTCATGAAGAAAACTATGCCTGAGGCAGCAATGAATCTTCACAGCACCGTCCACGACGACTCGGGCACCGAGGCCAAACTGCGAGATCCAAAATTGCCCCCGTAGTAGTGATTGTAATCGTCCTTGCGCAGGTAGACGGTGCTCTCGGCAAGCCGCTCAAAGTCACCAGCACCGTCCGACTCATCCACGATCGAGTCTGTCGAACCACTCGTATCGCGGGAGAAGGAGCCGTCGTTCCTGCGGATCAGAGCAAGAGCACATCGCAAGCCCTGTGGGCCACCTCGTCGCACAGTGTCGACACAATTGATTTCGAGGAAGAGGCCTAGAGTGAGAGGCTCCCCATCGTCATCACTTGGCTCACCACCACTGATTGCGATGCCACTATGCCGAAGCTGCAGCAGACTGGCGCTCATCTCCACTCCTCTGTTCGTGACCCGGAATGTTTGACGCTTCCGGTCTGGATGCGCTTGATCGATGCCACCACAGAGCTCGAACCTCGCAGGCGAAGAGGCGAGAAATCCCGTAGCGTAGCTCACATACGGCGTCGACTTCCACGCGAGGATGGATTCGTCATCGAACCGGCGGATAATCTCTTCCTGAAGGCGGATGAATGCGTACGTCCCTTCGCCGTACAACAGCGGCAAGTTGACCCCGAAAAGCCCAAAGAGACAGTACGCTTCATCTTCCGGCCGCGTCGTCTTTCTCCTGCTGGCCCAGCTCATGCGCTTCGCCATGCTGGTCCAGTGCACTCTTTGCCTGCCATTGTCCCTGAGGAACTCGGCAGGCACTCCTGATACGAGGGAGAGTGCGTCGGATAAGCTGGTCCGTGTCCCAATACATCGCCACTGGCTGTCGCAAATGTAGACCTCAACCGGCGCAAGCATCTCCTGGAGTGTCCAGCCTCGAGTGAACCATTCTGACATCCGCAACGAATCTTCATCGCTAGAGTGGACATCATGAAGCCACGCAATGCAGTACTCCGCGTGCCAATACCACTGCCACATGGAGTTGATCGATTCGGAGAGTTCAGCGCTGCTCCGTTTGTCGATGCAGCATGTATCAATCCATGCCCATTCGATGTGGGTGGGAAGGTAGTCCGGGTGCTGTTGTAAAAGCCTGCAAAAGCTGGCAATCTTCTCGTACCCGGGTCCCTTTCGTTGGCTGGGATTCATGAACTGTTCGTACGTGATTTCACGCCCGATCCATCGATGTGAGAGGATGGCGTATGGTGGAGGACTGAAGAATTCTTCCAATTCGAGAGTATGTATGTTGATCAGCCGCATTTTGCTGCAAGACCGTAGGAGGTAGGTCAAGAACCAGGAGGTCTTTTCAGCTGGACAGCTTGAGGTGGGGGAGGTGCATGAATTCTCGCTCTCAGGAAGTTGTCGTCTTGTGAGGACGTGGCCATTATCAAGGTATGTTACTTGCTCAATGCCGACTATCCTACAGCAGTTCATAGTCTTCAATCGTGCCTCCTTGCTGACTGGTCGTGGGGCTCACAAGCCACCGGTCGTCTTGAATCAGTATGTTGGTAGCATCATCTGGAGTGCAGGCGCCAGCGCCCATGGCCTCCTCGATCATCTCGTACGAGATGTTCTTCCATTCCAAGTAACGTGCGTGTATCCGCTGATATCGGTGCGAGTCCAGCTGTCTCAGCGCAAGCAGCACCCGTTTGGCACCTTCTTCATGGACGGTAGCGCAGTTCAGGATCAGAAGACGGATTTCATCTCCCATGCAGTCCGGCAGTCTGAGCAGCGATGTCTCCACCTCGATGCCCTGGCTGGTCACTCGAAACGATCTGTTGCCGTCATTGTCGCATCGAACGACATGGTTGTCTTTGCTGAAGCTGTCCGCAGATCTGGAGAGAATGCCAGAGAAGTTCCCCAAAGGTGAGGACCATGCAAAGATGGACTCATCGTCGGATTGAAGGACGATCGCTTTCTGGAGACGCGTGAAGGCTCGGTCATGCTCTCCATAAAGTAAGGGAAGGTTCACATCGAAGAGGCCGAACAGACAGTAGGCCTGATCTTCTCTGCGAGTAGTGACTCGACCACTAGCCCAGCTCATCTTCTGTGCCACGCTCGCTCGTCTTGCGTTGCCAGACAGCAACCTCTCTGGCGGTATACCCGTGGTCTCACAAATAATCTCGTAGCAACCCCACTTGTCCGAGATGATCTCCCAGGCCTGATCAAAGAAAATGACATTCCGGGGTGCCAGCAGCTCTTGCAAAGTCCAGCCGCGTTGAAACCATTCGGAGGTGGAAATGCTGGTCTCAGAATCTGCGACATCGAAGAGATAGGCCACGCAGAACTCGGCGTTCGAGTACCAATACCACATGGAGTTGATCGCCTCAGACAGTTCAGCACTGCTGCGTTTGTCGATACAGCAGGTGTCGACCCACGCCCATGCTACGGGTTCTTGCACTCGGCCAGAGATCTTGAACCCCGTACGCACGATCTCGCAGAATTTGGATATTTTCTCGAAACTCGCGCCAGTCCGTGTTTGCGGATCGGGATAATGCTCGTAGCTGACTTCCCGGCCAACCCAGCGATGGGAGAGAATCGCGTAGCGAGGTGGATTTGCGTCGAATTCCTCCAACTCCAGAGTCTGCACGTTGATCAGGCGCATGGCTTGGATGTTCAGTGGTCCAGAGGAATCGAAGTCCGCCACAAATGCAAGGAAGATCGAAGTGTGACAATCAGTCGCCTTTTCGCTGAGGATCTACTCAATGTGAAGTGCGGAAAATGCTGCTTGCATTGCCGAGCATTGTTAGCTGGTAATCTGGGCGGCTTATTCGACCTTACGGCGCGGCTGTGTCGCATAAAAGAATGTTGAGGCATGCTCAGCCGCAAAATTCGTCTGTGTGCTACAATATGCGCCACCGGTCGTGTAACCACCTGGGGTTGATGGAGGCGCAGGTCCTGCGCTTTGAGACTCGGGCATGTGACTGTTGCTGGACGAGTCTTGTGTGGAAACGGGCACACTGAGAATGATGATCAAAGACGGGTTTCAGTCTATAGTGTTCCCAGCAATGTGTCTAATAGGTCAAACGCCGCATGAAGTCGTCCAATTGGGGTATCTTGAAGTAGCCTGAACGCCAATAGAATTTGACGTCATCTTTCTCTCAAGCAGCAGTGCTTGCAATGACGACATCTCCAAGCAGGCCCTTGCGATACTCCCAGTAGTTCTTCCTGATCGGATCGTACTTGGTCGACAGCAGATCCAGTGCATCTCTGGCCTTCTGCTTACCATCAGCCTCCTCGGCGAGAACGTCAACGAGAAGATCCAGTGCATGGCTCGACCGGACACCATCTGGGGTTGTGGTATCCGCGTATGGCGATACAAGCTCCTTGAGACTGGCCAGTGGCATGCCACTCCTCCTCACAATGCCTCTGAGGTAACTCCAAGGGCTCGCATTCTGCGGTGCCTTCGCAATAGCCTTCTTCGCGAACTCAATCTCCCGTGCCCTGATGCCTTCGTCCGTGACACCCTTGACACCCTCTGCCTCTCTCCCATTGACAATATACCACCGATGATTCCACGCACTGTTGTTCCTCACATCCTTCTCCAACATCCTCTCCGTAAACTCCAGCTCCCCCTCTTCCCACAATCCAAACCTCTTGACCAGCCACTGTCGATAGCTCCAGACATGGTAATTCTTCGCATCCAGCTCAAACATACGCTCCACAAACTCTGCCTCGCCCTGCCACTTTCCAAGCTTGTCCACGATGAGGTTTCTGTGGTGCCAAATCTGGTAGTTCTTCTGATGTGCGAGAGCCGTCTCATTCAGCCACGCGAGCTCCTCTTCGAGAGGGTAATTGAGCTCGAATATGCATTGCGCGCGGTACAGCCAGACAGTGTAGTGGGCGGGGTTCATGTCGATGAGATCGTCGGTGAGTTCGAGCACGCGTGGAGAGAATTCGTTGGCGGCCATGACGGCGCGGAGGTAGGACATTGCTTCGCCGTATTCATCGCTGTAGGCGATTGCCGCGAGAGGGTTTGGGCCGCCTTCGTCGGTGGGGAGAGGCACGACGTCGGCCCATGCTGGGTCTTCAGAGTATTTGCCCATGGTGATGTGGTGGTTGTGGGAGGTGGATGCTGCGGAAGTGAGTTGAAGATGGGTGAGGTCAAAGGGAAGTGGGGCTTTGAGGTGGTCAGTGCTGGGAAGGACAATACTAAACATTCACTCACATGTATTTACTAATCACCGGAAACAGAAAGATCGCTAGAAGCATGTGAAGAACGCTTTAGATTGGAATGTGTGTTTGTACAAAGATTCGATGTCGTGGTATATCAACATCAAAGCTTCGAGCTCTTGCCCGTCACATCTCCAAGCCACTGGTACTTGTTTTCTGGAAACAGTTCCATTGATGGCTGTGTTCTTTCTCCATCCATCGTACCGGCAGTCAATATGGTTAAGCCTTTGAACGCTGGATTCATCAAGAATAACGTAGAGCCCTACCGTAGATTCTTGTCAGCAATCGATTCCTCCCTCACCATCACTTCTATACTCGGGCATACGCATCGACGATACTTACACAATTCGAACAGAAGCCCCTTGTGAGCTCATTACCGCTCTTGGTGTTCTTGTCGGCATATCTCTTGACGAGATGTTCGCCTTTGGTGAACTTGATGTCTGACTTGGTGAAGCGGTGATTGTGCATGAAGGCACTGCCACTCTGGGCCTGACAATTGGCACAGTGACACAGCACAGCCCCTTTATCGGTACCGGTGACTTCGATTTGGACTGATTTGCAGAGGCATGATGATGTTCGCGTGGTCATTGTGCTGACAGCTTTCGAGAGGACTTGGCTGGAGATGGAAGGAGGAAGACTGGGCGATTTCGAGACTGTCGCCGTCCTGAACTTGAAGGTGGCAGAGAGAAGATGTAGTCGAGATTTCAGCATGAAGGGGTTGTTAATACGATGTGTCCTTCCCTAGGGTTGTGAGGCTGTGGTTGCTGGCGAGGTGGATCGGCATTGGCGCTGCAACCGAGGTTGGGAGGAGCAACATCCATCGTCTTTTCAGGTATCCCTTTCATCGAACACAACATCGAACTCTGCTTGAAGTATCGTGATTAATGCGTGGAAAGGCCAAAGATTTGGTCAACGTTTTTCATTTCGAGTGTCGATGAGGTTCGAAGTACTGAAAAAGTGCCGAGATCGGATGGAGCGGTCTCCACCAAAACGGGTCGTGCAGGGCCTTCGACGACATGTCTTCTTCCTTGGTCCTGGACGGTATTCTCGAGATGGAATGAGAAGTGAGAAGAGATGAAGAAGAAGCCACGATGCAAGCGTTGGTACCTTGAGAGCAGAGGCCAGCACCGTGATGGACAGCAAACGCCAAGCCAAATGTCCTCTGGAGCAGCCTTGCCTTTGTCAACGGACTACATCTTCGTTTCAGTATGGTATCGGCCCATCTCTCCTGTACAGAGCTAACGATGAAAACAGATAGAGGCTCTTTTGACCCAGAGCTACTTGAAATCTGTCGTAATCGAGAAAAAGCGTTTCCGCCAATTTCAGAAGATCAAGAAAGTCTCTCACCCAGGCCTCAGTCCCCGCATCTTCCTTATGATTAGGACTACTCGAATAACGTCGAGATGTACGAGCACAATACTATCGGCTCATCACCTGAGTATCTGCCTTGTCACAAAGACCTCTTTGTCACTGCGGACCACAGTCCGTCAGATATGGCCAATCAGAGCCCCAGGTGCTCCCCAGGTCGACGACGACGTATACTGCACCTAGAATCGCCCTTGAAGTCATGGTGGACGCTCCTTCGATCGTCTTGAACATCCCTTGCCTCCTGGTTATGCGATCTGATCTTGGGTTATCTCACACCTCCCCACCACGGCGTCGTTCCGGCCACAGGGCGAATCACAGCACGTCTTCAGGAACTCCTTGATATGATGGGAATTTGGAGGCCGCAACAATTCCGGCCTCAAAGTACTTATACGGTCGCAATCCCCAGAGTTGGCTTTCTTCCTTTTCCTCAACTTTCTGCGTTGGGATCGAACAATCCAACGTGTTCTGAAGTTTGCACGTGATCTCGCCAAGCCATATTCACTTACCCTGTCCCAACCTCGTCAACCTTCTCCTTGTTCACGATGAGCCCCTACCTCAGCACTGCTGCTCAGGACAGCGAGCCACCACAGTCGAGCACGAAGGCTGTGTTCCCACACGTCGACTCTGATCCTGCTGTCCTGCCCTCTTCTCTGGATCCGTTCACTATCACCACCCAGAATGGCTTCCTTCCATTGCAGACGCCTCAGATCGACCTCCCCGCCGCTTTCAAGCCATTGACCCAGCTGGCCGAGGAGATGCCCATTGTAAAGGAGGATGGCCAGCCAGGCTTGCTCGCTACCTATCAGCTTGGTCCGACCATCGACGAGAAGAAGGCCCTGCCCGACCTCACGAATGACATCGACAGCCTTGTCGCCCTTGATGGCAAGCCAGACCTCGTCGCCGTCACTGCTGCATTTCGCGACTACTCCTTCTTAGCCTCCGCTTACCTACTTGAGCCTTGTTGGGAACGTTGGAATAAGGGTCTTGAAGGCTACGGTCTTGGTCGTGAGAAGCTACCTGCTTGCCTTGCTGGACCATTGGTTAAGACTGCGAAGTTGTACGTCTCTGACAGTGTGATGTCTCCTGCCTCCACTAACATCCCATCAGGCTCGACATCCCTCCGTTCATGTCATACGCTGCCGCATACAGCTTGTTCAACTACCGCTTCGCTGATGCAAATGTTGGCTTCGACCAGTACTACAACCTTCGCCTCATCCGTGGCTTCGAGCGTGGGCTTGATCCATATTCATCTGAAGCTGGCTTCATTCTCACCCATGTCGACATGGTCAGACATACCGGGGGTCTCATTCAGGGTGCAGTCCAGATGCTCGATGCCGTCGCTGCCGACACGGGCTCTTCGACTGTCACCGACTCCTTCGAGCTTCTACTCAACACGATGCACGTCATCGAACAGTCTATGGAGAATATGTGGTCTCACTCACGACCAAAGGACTACATCAGCTACCGCACGTTCATCTTCGGAATTACCAACCAGTCCATGTTCCCGAATGGCGTCGTCTACGAAGGGATCAACGACAACCAGCCACTTCACTTTCGTGGAGAATCCGGCGCCAACGACAGCATCATCCCTCTGCTTGACCACCTTCTTCAAATCCCAATGCCGCAGAACCCTCTCACCGAGATCTTGAAAGACTTCCGCAACTACCGACCAAAGCCTCACCGGGACTTCCTGACATACGTACGGCAGCGTGCTGAAGACATTGGCGTGAAGGATTATTGTTGCAAGGACTTGCAGACGAAAGTGTTGTATTTGCGTCTTCTCGAGCATGTTCGCAGCTTCCGCTGGAGGCACTGGCTGTTCGCGCGCGAGTACATCATCCGTCGCAGCAGCCATCCCACTGCAACTGGTGGAAGTCCGATTGTGACGTGGCTACCAAATCAGCAGTTCGCGGTTATGGAATTGATGAGGGAGGTGTGGGAGAGCATCACACCGGCTGAGCGTGATGTGCAGGGGAAGACTGTGAATGAGATGATGGAGACTGTGTACGATTCGTACGATAAGCTTCAGAAGGAGGTGGAGAAGTGGTGTCAGGAACGGGATCCAAAGGCGTCTCAGGCGTGAGATCGAATGGCAGCACTGCGCTTTGATCTCTGCATATGCGCAACGACAATCGCCTACTTTGCTCAACACGTTATCTTGTCTCATTCTCAATTCAAGTACGGCTTCAATGGACGGCCCAAGACATCGGCCTGAATCGCAAGCCCAATGAACCTCGAACAATAGCGACTGGCCCTTACCTCAAAGCCGTGGTAATACAAGTTGGGATCTAGCAAACAAGGTCAGCGAAGGTCCCAGAGTATCAGACGATTGTTCGACTCACGACCACTCGGCCTAGCAAACCCCCTCATCTCGCCTTCTTTATCCAACCCGCCAAACTCATCCATCTTCCCCGCTGCCTCTGTGCCTATAATCTTTCCTGCCTGCGCTCTGAAATCATGACTAAACCCGGTAGCCAGCACGATCAAATCCGCAGGAATTCTCGAACCATCTTCAAACTCCAGTCCTTCTGCATACAGACCTTTCACAGGTTTAGACTGGACTTTTATGTCCCCTTTAGCGATTCTGGCTGAACCCCCGTGATCGATGTAATGGCCGCCGAACCGCTCAAAGAGACAAGAGAAGAGATCGCCCTCGCGGTCAACTTTAAAGCCAACATCTTCCAAGGCGTCGAAGCGGGCGGAGTGAGTTTTGATCAGGCCCTGGACCATCATATTCGTCATATTCCTCGCGATCTTATTTGGAATCGTTACTTGCTCCTGATCCGCAATTTTCGTCTCCTTATCGAGGTTATAGTCAGGCGCAAAAGCTGCATGCAGCCATTCAACAGGCAACACGAACGTCGGGCCTCGCTGCACCATTGTCGTGTCCATCCCAGCGTTGGCCATGTCCTCGCCGATGTCGTGTCCTGTGTTGGCAACGCCAATGACGATGCCCCGTTTGCCGAACCACGGTTTGGCGGATTTCCATCCAGAAGCGTGGAAGATGTCACCTTTGAAGCCGCTGGCGGCGATGTTGGATGGACTTGCCCAGAAAGGAGACACCGGTTGTGTTAGGCCTGGACCGATGGCGAGGACGAGGTTTTTGGCTTTGAAGATGTTTTCACCATGTACGCTTTTCGTTCTGATAGTCCAAACACTCTCGATCTCTTTGCATCTGGCCTCTATCACTTCAGTACCAGTCTGAATGTTGACGGCATGTTCTTCCGCCCACGCCTCATGGCCATCACCCATCCTTTTCGCGGGAAGCATGATATCTTCCTCTCCTGGGAAACGCCATCCTAGTGGTAGTGGCCCGTATTCTCTTGGAGTATGCACCCTCAGGCTATCATATCGTTTCCGCCAGATGTCTCCGACTCGGGCATTCTTCTCGAAGACAATGTAGCTTACACCAAGAGCTTGGAGACGACCAGCAACCGCGAGACCAGCTTGTCCGCCACCGATGATGGCGGCTCCAAGTATGTCGTCTTTTTGAGAAGTTATGCCAGCCTGAGCCTCATCCGGGTGTCCATGTCCTTGGAAAGACTCAAGCCACGTCCTCAACATCCAGATCCTCCACACGCCGTCCCGACATTGCAGGCAGGACAAGATGCCGGCGGCTGGGGCTGGGAGGTCTTGATGTTGAGTATTGAACGTAAAGTCAACATCAATCCAATTTAGACCAGATGGGCGAGGAGAAGACGACGTTCACTCGAACCGTGAGACTCTCTTCTCCTGGCATAACGCTTGGAAGGTAGAGTAGACCGAATCTTTGCTGTTAAATGTTCGCAGAGTATGTGTCAGGGCAAGAAGGTCCCTCCAAATAGCATTGTTGGTGAAGTTGTCCGGCCTTATGTTGTTTAGCTGCTCAATAGCGTCTTCTGCGACGAAGTTGTAGTCGACATCTTCTGGGATGGTCCCTTCAGGCAGTTGACCTGGTATGTCATCAAAGCCTACAGCAGGTGTGATGTTCCGGTTCTTCGCTTGCACTGCCATCTTGGCTGACTCTTCCAGGTGATTGCCTGTGTTATTATCTCGAAGAACTCGTTGTCATAACATTCAATGACAGCCAGAACGGCGGATCTTTACCGGTCCCGTATCCCGGGAGCGCAATACATTTCATGAGCAGTTTCCGCTTCAAACAGTAATGTCGTTGGCATTGGGCGCGCAATATTCCGCCTTGCTGAGCAATGCGTTGTAGGAGCCACAGCTCAAACAAGAACCCCCACCGGAACAGAACGCTGGCCGGGGTTCTTTTAAGCTTCTGCTCTCCCCTACTATGGAGGTCCGTTCCTTGACGATGCAGATACATTCTCTGAAGACCCGGATTGAATCGTATCCTTTCCCCGGATCTGCAATGGTAGATCGGTCGCAAATCGTATGTGGCGCACGGACGGCGTAATCACATGCGATTTGATGGTTCCGCTTTCTTGCCGCGGGAGCCAGGAGTCTCCGGATTTCATGTGCAGAGGGGTCTTAACTGTATGCGTTCATGTTTAGCTTCATGCCATCATAGCTTCCGAAGCGTCGTGACAGTCTGGCAACATCATGCTCGCTGAGCACAGAACGTTGTTGAACTGCTCATGTCGTCCAGGATGGGAGACCGCAGGCTTTGGATAGGAGACATAGCAGTACCTGTTGACCGAGACACATCTTCACAGTCTCGTCGTCGGGCAATCTGGTCCCGAGGAACATGACCGGCGGGCCTGCTCAGAGATCAAATAGATCGGTGCGGTTGACTGTGTCGTCTTTTTAAGTCAACAGCCCTACTGACTTCATACTACACCAGTGATCCGGGCTCATAGGATTCACGCTCTTTTTCATGACTCCAAACGTTGTTCAACGTCTCAGGTACAGCATTCTTCAAGCTTCTGGCCATTGTCCCAGCTCTCAACAGGTCATCGACTACGACGAACAGCCACTCGAGAGGTGAGGTAGAACTGTCTGGCAGGAGATCATCCTCCGAGCTTCGTGTATGTGGCTTAGAACATTGTCGCGTGCTCACTGTTTCTGAGGTCGAAGATCCAATATCAACTCTTTGTCTTCTCGCTCACGCCCCATCTACCCCCATCCTTTCCACTCGTATGCCGCCCACCACGCAACTCCCCGGAGACACTCATTACGTCTCTGCATCAAGACTTTCGCCGCCAGAAAATACCTCCATCGTTCTTTGAAATAGATGGACGGCAGCGTCCTGCATTAGCCGAAAAGCTTTGGCTCTCCAGCTCGAATGACACCTCGCAGCCGCGACATGTGCACGCTTGACCCTGCCGATCATCCGTCCATCCCACAGCTTCTTCGCGCCTTCTATGCACACCACCCACACCAAGCAATTCGCTTGTCCTTGTGCTTAATCCTCAGTTGGCCACAGAGCTTCTTTGTTTATCAAATGCAGCGACGATCATGCTATGGATGAGGAAAGTGTTGTTCGGTAGAAGCAAGACTAGATGGACAGGTGGACGGAGTTTTGGCCTGAAAGGAGGAAAGGACAAAGAACACCTCTGCAGTAGTTCCTGGCAAGGCTGGTGGATCAGCGTGTGTTGTACGCATGGGGTCGAGAAGGAAAGAGATATATAAATTGGGTCGTACTTCCGCCAGAATATCTCTTCACATGTCAGCAATCCCCTCAAGACAGCACAACTCAACATGAAGACCTCCCTCGCATTCTTCAGCATCATCGCTCTGGCGGTTGCTAAGCCAACCGTCTACCTCATCCGACATGGCGAAAAACCAGACAGCGGCAATGGACTGAACGCACAAGGAATGCAGCGTGCCCAATGCCTGCGAAATGTCTTTGGGACAAGCTCAGGATATGACATTGAATATATTCTGACTCAAGACTACAAGGTAATCAGTAATGACATCTCTTGGATATTGTAACTCACACTCTCCAGTCCGATGGCTCTCGCAAACGACCCTACGACACCGTCTACCCGCTGTCTCAAGATTTGGGATTGACCATCGACCATCACTGCGATCGTGACGACCAAGACTGCGTGGCAGATGCCGTTGATGACTTTGATGGCGATGGCAACATCCTTATCTGCTGGGAGCATGATGCCCTTCACGACATTGTGAAGGAATTGGGCGACAAGGACGCCCCAGATTATCCAGATGACCGCTTCGACATTATCTGGGTTGACCCACCGAAGTACAAGGAGATTACGGACTCGTACAGCGAGAACTGCCCTGGTCTTGACAGCTAGATGGAGGAGTCATAGATATCTCTTCTGCAGATTAAGTATGGCAGACTTATTCGCTTTTTAGTAGTTGACTTCGTCGTTCCAGTACGTCGTCTGGTGCTGGACTTCAGGTCCTTCTTGCTCCAAATCCCATCCGAACACCAGCTTAATGTACTGCATGAGATGGCTCGCAAGTTTCACATCAGCGACGTCGGTTGGGTGGCCGGCCGGAGAGATGTCGTTGTGTTCGAGGATGCCTTGGAAAATGTCAGTCAGACTGTTCGGTCATAGCGAGTCATTCATCCTACCTGTCGTGTTGAAGTAGTGAACGATCCCTTGCCCACCGTTCTCGTTCAAAGAGCCTCGATTGTAGTGCCGGGCGACATTCTGAATGACATTGTCGAGCGGCGAGTCTGTAATCCAGGTGCTGCCACTCTGTGTGAAGTGCCACAAGTTTAAGATGATAAACTGCGTGCGAGGCCATTGTCTACGAATCTCGTCGATGAGCTTCGTATATGCGTTGAAGAATTGCTCATCCGAGACATTTTGCCCGGAATCGTTGGCACCTAGATTGATGATGGTGATGTCGGCTGGAGGGTGGGCGCGGAAATTGTAGTTTGGCGGGTCTGAAAGTGAGCCTTCGTTCTTCATGACATGGATGGTGTTCTTACTGTTCCCATACATGGCCACTGCGCGTTCGCTATTGTCAGACACCTTTAACCATTGGTGCTCTTGACCGCGTTGGCGAGGTCCACCACCATAGCAGTATCCGCCATTCCCATCGTAAGCGCACATGCCTGGGTAGGCTGTGATACTGAATTCAGTGTTTCCAAGTCCGTACTGTAGGAAAGGTCAGTACAGTGAGGCTGCGATGAATGTTCACACGTACTGCGAGTCCCCATGAGTAGCTTGCGATGCCTTCCAGAGTAGCGTACTGTCCAGCACTGAGAGAATCACCCACAATCTCGATTCTACGTCTGAAATCAGGGATCTGAACCAGACGTCCGCTGGCGACATATACATTCTGGATCTGCACTCCGTAGTCCCAGTTGGTCACTCGAACTTCGAAGGTCTGAGTAGTGCCACTATCGAACCCGGTGGCTTGAGAGTCGGCCAGAAGATGTGTTGTGCCAGCTGAGACGTTTGTGAGCTGCCAATCGAGTCCGCCTACTCGGTATGCGATGAGTACTTCGGGGGAGGTATTGTTCCCGAAAGCGACCGCAACTTGAGATCCCTGAAATCCGAACTTCAGGCCCGGAGCAGTCCACCAAGAGATATAGTTGTCGTCCCATCGTCCCTTGTATGACAGCTCGCGGGCATTCCGTGGATAAGTTCTCCAGGAGCTGTTGTGGCCCGCGATGGATGGAATCGTCGTATCTGGATAGTCTGTGATCCGTACTTGACCATTTTGAAGGATCTTGGCAGATGCGAGGTATACGCAGGACGCAATTAGGGCGAGGAACCTCATCTTGCTCGTGAAATGGGACGGGATGATAAGCCACATAAAAGAGAGGGGAGGAACAAATAAATGAGCCTGTACCAAACGTCCATCAACTGGCCGCTGCTACCCTGGACGACTCTTCGCGGATGCCTTTCGTCCGTCATGTTGCAATAGCGGTGCTGGCTCCTCCTGGAGCATTGAATGGCCCATTCCGGGGTATGTCCAGCCAGATTGGTCGTAGAATGTGGAGGAGATGCATGCGGTACCTGCGTATTGAGTGACGCTGCATAATGTGCCGCTCGCGTGCGTTCGACATTCAAGGTGAAGGTTTGGAAGGATGCGTGGTCCCGATGCCGATGTACCGACAAGAGAGCCAGCATTACATGTTGGTCAGACGCCAGCGAAGGCTCTGTAAGGTAGAGCGTAGAGATCACAGACTACAATGCAAGCCATATGGAGCAGCGTAGGTAACGCTCCAGTAGACTGTGTATACACTCGTACAACGCTTGTTGAGCTTTCCACCCCAACCAGGATGGGCTAACCCAGGTAGTGGACGCCTCTACTCAAGATAGATATCACGAAATCCGTGTGATGGTGGCTGGAATTACTGTAAGTCACCTAGTGCACTGCCGTGGAACATTTAGTTTTGTTAAGCAGTAGCCCATTGTGCTGTAAATACATGTACGTCCGCTGAAGAGATATTAGCTGGGCCGGTGACGTCATTACGCGGCACAGGAAAGCAATTCTCTCGTCCAAGGCTCATCGCCGTGGTCTTTCGCGGGAGATGCATCCATGTCGTTGACCAGAAGATTCAAGGACGCCTTGCGCTCGTCGCGCGGCGCCGCGAGTGAGCGGTGGTCCACGGCCCGCGGACGGGAGGAAGAGGAAGAGCCGATCGCGCAGAACTCTACCGGCAGGCAAAGCCCAAACGTGAACGACTTGGCCCCTCTCCCCGTCGGCGGCGCCTCTTACAAGTGCTCTCTAGTCTCCATCAGCCGCCAGCGACCGAGTGAATTGAGTGCGGGCTCGAACATCAGCCTCATCGTCATCCCAGGTCTTCGCGATCATGGCCTGGCTGGCGGCAAACAAGGGATTCGTGATTCCTGGCTGTGTGCCGCGTTCGACCTCGTGTTCTACTTTGACTATCCACGGGACGTCCTTGTCAGGAACGACACTGGGCAAGTCGACCGCTGTGCCGAAGAGCTTTTGAGGCTCGCAGACGCGACTCATGGAAGTTCGGTGAGGCAGCCAAGGCCACGGAGACCGCCAGCGCTAACGCGTGTCACATCAGAAGGGCCTCGTCCTGCTCCTGTGTCATGGCATGGGAGGGATTTTGGCGAAAAAGGTCGGTCTCGATTGGGCCCTGTTGACCGGCAGCTGACTCTTACACAGGCCTTCTGTTTTGGCCAAGCCACTGGAGCCAGAAGGGGGAACAGCATAAAGGGAATCATCTTCTTTGGGACGCCACATCAGTCGAGCGCCCTATGCGATTTTCCTACCGTTCTGTGCAACATCTTGACCACCGTCTATCATGGCGAACTCAAGGCCAATGTCCATGCTAGCATAAAGAAGAAGGCCGCTGATCTTTCTGCTGCTTCGGACGAGTTCGCGCGCCGGAGCAGCGCTCTGCACATGTCCTCCTTCTACGAAGAATGCGTGACAGCTCCAGTCGATTATATTGTAAGCCACACATGTACCAAAGCCTTGCTCAAGAGGATGCTGAGATGTCAGATCGTTGATAAGTCGGCTGCGACCATCAGCAGTACCGCCGAACAACCTATCGCCCTACCCGTCGATCATCACGAGATGTGTCAAACACTAGGGTCCCGCAAAGAAGTTCGTGATCTCGTTGGGAAAGTAATCCAGCACACAATCTGGGAATTGCTCGAGCTAGCGACTCGCACCTACTTGCACGACCCTACAGATGTCAGATTCGCGAATACGTCAAGCAGCATTGCACAGCAAGGCATCATTCACGTGCAGACGCAGAACATTTACCTGCATGTCTCAACAAGTGGTGAATCTCGAAATGCACGATGCTAATGAGTCCTAGTGGCAATGCATCTCCGCGACACTCAAACACATTAACGTCAGAGAGTGGTTCCGAACACTGTACTGTGGTGTCTAATTCCTTCTTCCGTTGATGCGGCTAACTAGATTAAAGCATTAACTGAAGAGGAGCAAAGGTGCCTGGACTGTTTTCTACCGGCGTCGCCGCCTCCTAACACGAGACACGATGCGATATCGTTATTCGGACGAGAGTCACATATTGCCGACCATACCCCAGGCACCCTCGGCTGGGTTGAGAGTGATCCTACCTACAGCAATTGGCGAACCGCCAGCTCTTCTCATACCTTGCTTGTGAGTGGTTACGCTGGTTGTGGAAAGTCGGTGTTATCCTTCCATGTCACTGAAGCCTTACGGGCAACTTTGGACTCGGAATCACTAACTTGTAGGTACTTCTTCGACGGCACTATCCAGGAACAATCCAATCTATGCAATCTGTTCCGAAGTTTGATCTACCAATTCATTACCGTGCGGCGTAAGTTGACGCGAATAGTAAAAAAGGAGTTCAATGCAGACCCGGCGATTCTTTCCGACTCAAGACGACTTTGGCGGCTCTTCTCGAAACTGGCAACTCACAAGCGGACTCGTACTCTTTGGCTGGTCATCGACGCCTTGGACGAATGCAATCCTGATGATCAGAAGATCTTGATTCGAGATCTGCTTGGTCTGACTACGCTAGGCGGTATGGCCAACGTCAAGATTTTAGTTACCTGCCGTACACATAGCGCAGCTGCGTCGGCTTTTCCAACTGACCTCAGCTCAGCTACGCGCTTGAAATTAGAAGACAAGGCCGCATGCATCAGGTCCGACGTGGACAGGCATATTGAAGAGCATGTTATGAATCTTGTCAAAGATCACCGGTGCCCAGAGCCAAAAAGGGAAGCCCTGGAGACAGCTTTGAAGAACAGATCAGAAGCGACTTTCCTCTGGATCTCGTTGACGCTTTCTGTACTCCACGAACGACGATTAGCAGCGAACGATGACATCTTTCAGATAGTAAATGCGTTTCCTTCAGGCCTCACACAGATATACGACACTATCCTGAACGCTATTCCCAAGCAGGATTTCGATGCAGCAATTAAAGTGTTGAGAACAATTTCGGCAAGCAACAGGCGTCTCAATGTCGCGGAGTTGAATGCCATTATCTCAATACAAGACGAGCATCAGTCTCTTGCGGAGCTGCGGGGAGATGTTTCTTTGGCGGATGAGAATTTCGTGGAAAAGCTTCTCGCGGGTTTGGTCAACATTCGAGACGGACAGTTCGCGCTGGTACATCACACCTTGAAAGAGTTCATTCTAGACCGCGACAGGAGTGAAGCAGAATCCCACAATATCGTTGCGCAGGCAACCACCCGTTATCTGCTTCTGGAGGACTTTCAATTTGACATTTTCCAGGATCAATCTCCGCAAACCCCAATTTCACCCGAGAGAGTGCATTTCCTGCAGAAGGCAATCGTTGAGGATGAAGCCCATGGCATAATGGGGGATTTGTTCAAGGAGCCCGCCGAATTATCCAGAGACGCCCTGCTGGCGGCGGCGAATCGATTCGAACTATTTGACTACGCCGCAAGGTTCTGGCATATGCATTTTGCAAAATGCCAGAATAACTCGTTGCAAGCATTGCAAGAGTCAGCGCTTGAACTTTATTCCGCGGACAAGCAAGAAAACTGGTACCATTACCTCTGCCATGTGGACACCACTTTCAGCGAACTTCCCTCGCAACCAGACCCTTTGACCCTGGCCTGTCTCCTTGGGCACGTCACATCTGTTGCAGCCCTCACCTTGGAACAAGATAGCATCACCTGCGGCGACGGCATCTACTGGGCAGCAAGAAACGGTCATGCAGATGTCTTAAAGATCTTACTGCCAGTCACGTCTCCTTCCGTGCAAGACACACAAACCCATGGAAAGTCACCCCTAGCAGCTGCGTCGGAGCAGGGCCATCTTGAATGCGTGCAGTGCCTGCTGAGATCTAATCTTTTCGCGGTCAATCAGCGTGGTGAAAGGTTACGTACTGCACTATCTCTTGCTGCAGCGCAGGGTCATCTGCACGTAATATCCGAAATTCTCGCAAGGGATGAAACAGATCCCAATCTTACAGGTCGCATGGGGAGGACGGCTCTGATCGAGGCGGTTTATTCAGAATCTGTTCCAGCTGTGCGGAAGTTGTTGTCCGACAAGCGAACGCACGCTGGACACCTGGACAACAAGAACAGGTCCGCTTTATCGTGGGCATGCGAATATGGACTCGTGGAAATTGCCAAGGTATTGCTTCTTCATCATCGGACCGGGAAAAGAGACCCGAGAGATTGGGCACAGAAGCAGCTCGAGTACGGATCAGGCGGCTGCGAAAAGGATAGCGAAGGCTGGACGCCGCTCATGTATGCCGTCACATCGTCAAACTTAGAGCTGGTAAGACTTTTACTGCACAAAAGCAATGTCCAGGTTTCAGATGAAGACAACAGTGGGAGGAACGCGATTTCGCATGCTGCTCAACGCTCGAACACAGCCATACTCAAGCACCTGATATTGAAAGACGATACGTGTACAGACACCAAAGACGAAAATGGCTGGTCGCCTCTCGCATGGACACTGGATCCGCCGGAGCGAGTTGCAAATGCTCGGGTGCTGCTTCCGTTCCACTGCCAAGGTCTTGAGAACAGCGAAGGCCTTGCAATGTTCATACTCGCAACCAGATGGGGTGCTAGTCGAATCGCAAGCTCGTTGATTGACGAAAGGACATTCGCCATCAACACCGTATCTGCGGAAGGTCGTACCGCACTGTCGTTTGCGTCAGAGCGAGGAAATGATGTGCTCGTGTGGCAGCTTTTGCATACGGAAGGCGTCGACATCGATCTGGCGGACGAGAGCGGAATGACACCATCTTCATGGGCACGAGCCGGGGGTCATAGCGATATTGTCAGGTTGCTATCAAAGTATGCCGCAAAGAGTCAGTAGTTGTTCCTAGTTGAAGTAGTCGCGGAGCTTGAGCTATATCTACGGCGGCTTCCACGCAACTTGTATGAGATCGAAGGTAGTGAGAAGTCCAATGTCAACAATCTGCCGGTGAGAATTGCCCAATACCGAATCGGCACAAAACTGCGATCGTCGTGCAGTTCACACATATTCGCGGCTATGATGGGCTTTGCAGCCCTAGTCACTAGTCTTCCAAGGTAGTTGATTGGACATTGGAGGGAACCGACGGCGTACATATGAGGCTGCCGAGACGCCCCGTTCCTTTGAGGCTGAGCTGCGGCAGTGCAGCCGCTGATAGCGACTCATATTTGTCTCATCTCTTCCTCGTCTATTCATCCTCTCTTCGCTTGCTTTCGCCCTCCATCTCTCACTCTTTGCATTCAACAGCAACAGACTCTTTCAACCCTAGTGCCGTTATGTCAGGAGCCGAGGTTGTTGTGATTCTGGGTGCGATATCTAGTGTCATATCCATTATTGAAGCCACCACAAAAATCTACCAAGCTTCTCAAGATTCACAAGGTCTACACGAAGCACTCAAGCGCGTGGCGGCAAGTCTACCGCTTGTTCTACGGCTATTGGAAGAGGCGAAGCAAGAGATCGTCGTGCAGACTTCCTGGAATGGGGGAAAGGATGTGGAGCTTGCACTCGAATGTTGCCGACACGATGCTGAAACGATCCAAAACTGCTTCCAATCTTTGCTACCCCGTCCGACGGATTCTGTATTGCGCAGATGGTCTCAAGCTGTGAAGACGGCCCGGCCAGGCAAGCAACGAAAAGTCCAGGAAGCTTTCAAGTCAATCACTGTACAGCTACAGCTCCTCCATCATTATAGTTTCATCAGAAGTCGGGACGATGTGGTACGCCTCCAGAGCACTGCCAACAGTCTCACAAGCAGATGCACTCGAGATACAGACGACAGGCTAAAGTCAGAGCCTGAATGCAACAATGAAGCTACGGAAACTCCGAAAGGCCAGACGGTTGACCACATTCCAAAGTTCTACAACCTTGGGTCACAAATTTACAATCAGTCGGACGGTCAGTGGATTCAGACGCAGGATTTGACGATCTCTGGCAAAGCCCCACTCGCGGAAGATACTCCAAGCATGGTCGGGCTTTTAGCATCCAAGGCCTCACCTGGAAAATTCCAAAATATCGGTTCGACAATCGGCAATCAAGGGGACAATCAAAGGATTGGGAAGCAAACTATCGCGTTTTAGAGCGGATCGATAAGCAGATGGCTAAGAACTTATGACATGGTGGTGGTCGTGGTTGGCAATTCTAGGTCTTGACTGGAAACGTATCCACATGCGCAGATCCTCGCGCACACTGACGAGGCGTCAGCTACTCATGAGATCGACTTCATCGAGCCTCGCCTAGATTGATACTTTGGAAAAATCTCTTGCCGTGAAAGCTCAGCGGTCTTGCTCTGATTTTGCTCCTTCCTCGTTTGTAGAATTTCGGCGCTAGGGCCTTGGCACGCCAGCTTTGCCAAACATCGTGGTAGCCGACCAATTCTCGCTCTCCAACGACAAACATCAGAATTGTGAGTATTGCGCCCGAAACGCGTGCAGACGCTGACTTGATACTAGCAAAATGGATTCCATACTCGGAAAACGCGGTCACGAAGATGACCACTACGAAGACCAAGGCCAGAAATGCCAGAAAGGCCAGAAATGCCAGAAAGGCCAGAAAGGCCAACAAGACCAAGAGCGCCCCGCGGAGAAGAAATTCTTCGTGGGCAAATGCCTGCATTGCGGGAAAGCCGGTCACCAATGGAGCTTCTGCTTCCAGCAGTGCATGCACTGTCATAGCAAAGTCCATGCCGCGACGTATGTCAAAGGCCAGCGGCCACAAGAGAACGGGACACTGTGCCCAGTTCTGAAGGAGAGACCGCTTCTATGATAAGCATGGGAAGATGGCATCGGATTATCAGCACGAGCTGGTGCTCTCAAGTGCCGAGCGAGAGAGGATTCGGCAAGAAGTAAGATGCCTTCATTACGTCTTCGCATCACAATCTTTGTTCATTGCTAACACTGTGACAGGCTTTCCGAGAAAGCGAGCCTGTGGTCGATGCTCTGGCAGCTCGAACTATGGATGTCCGCAGCAACCACGTTGGGGTCGGGTCGAGCCTTCATCAACAGGGGTCGCATCTCGGGGGTGGAGAGGGACTGGCGTACGACAAGGGCGTCGCGCACGGGGACGAAGACATGGCGAGACAGCTCGCAGATGAAGAGGAGGACCCCGATTTGGATACTTCTCGCGATGAAAGCCCTCGTGCCATCGACGACCCGTCCCGCGGTATCGCCACCAGCGCTGGTGCCTCTTGTGGCAACACGGGCAGCGGTTTCTCATTCTTGGGCGCTGCCAATTGCGACCGCGGTTCCTGGAATCGTGTGAGTGGTGGTAGTGCTCGTGGTCCTGGCGATACCGGCGTTGCCCGTGGACGTGGTGATCAGCTTTCGTGGTCGCGGTCGTGGTCGCGGCCAGTGAAGCCACTGATCACCAACGCACTCTCCCTCTCTCCACCATTTTCCCCTCTCCTTTTTGCCAAGTTCTATCTGGTGATTTCTGGCCGATTCCAATAGGAAAACTCTGCTCAGGCAAAGTCCTTAGAAAGCTTCAAGCACGCATCCACAAAGGTACTTGAAGCGAATGCAGCCAGGCAAGCATTCAAGGATGCGTCCAACAAGGCATTTGAAGCGAAGTCCGTCAAGCAGGCGTTCAGGAAGGCAGTTAAGCAGGCCTCCAGCAAGGCATTCAAACAGGCGCCCAAGAGAGCATTCCAACAGGCGTCCAAGAAGGCATGCCAATCTCGCACCCAAGCACAGCCACCACTTTGAGTGATACCTGCTCAAGACCGCACCAGCTCTCGACTTCAACAGACCTCAACCGAAGAAGTCACGACCGTTCACTCCACGAACCCAAAGACCTTTGCAAGTGCCATACTTCCAAAGCCTCTTCGAAGTCTTTGGGCTCATATTATCTGCTCATCGGCAGTCTGCCTCGTCGCACTTTTGCCCCAAAACTCCACCAATGTACTTCGGGAGATTCACCACCAAACAAGTCGCCCACCTGGAACACTCGCCTCTGAACCTGATCATCTTCCTGGCTGTCTACGCCAGTGCAGAAAGGTCCAAGCTACTGGAAGAGACTTCGCCGCCTTAGCTTCGCAGTGCAACATTGAGAGATTGAACGGAAGATGAGTCAGTTTGGAAGCTGGCAGATTGCCAGCGGGAGAGCAAACATTGCAGATTCTTGGCTCTTCTCTGGTGCACCGAGCGACTTCTCTGCTCCTGCCGGCTACACCCCCGACTTGGCAGACCATGTCTCCACGCCGCCTTGACGACATATGGAAACTTCTTTTCCCAGACTCTTGTCAACGACCACGCCCAAGGCCACGCTACCGTCAGACTTGTCCAAGGACTCGCCGAGCCCGCCGTCAACCAGGCTTTGCTCAGCTTCTCACCTGTACTGGCACAGTCTTGGCGCGACATCTGGCAAAGCAACACTCCAGCTTGGTGAACAATACACAGGGCTTGTAGCCACGACATCTCCCGGCGACCGCATTTCGTGAAGTGGCTTCAGGTACGGCTCAAGAGTGCAAAACTGAGTTGTCTCGTAGTTCCCTGAGCTGAGCAAGAATACCGAAATGGGCAAAGACTCCTGAATATCGGGTACCATAACTCCCTCCCGCCTACCAGCTTTTCGTCCCTGAGGGACTCCTACGTCCAAACCTTACGAATCTTGATTCAGAGCTTTGCGAGGGTAAAGACCTCGAGTTGCAGGTCTTGACGGACGATGCCACAAAGGTAACGTCGATGTGAACTACACATCCAAGGGTGGGTCAGTTTCAACGTCAACTCAAGCAAGATGGGTTGAACAAGCTGGGGCATCTTTGCCAGCATGCCCGGTGGCGCTTTGTGTCCACTACAACCCAGTATTCTTCGACCAGAAGAACGCAAATCAAAGGATGTATACCTGCGTTTAACACACGTAGCCACGCACAAGATCTTGTCATGAAGACATCTGTAAGTCAAGAACGAAGGTCTTACATCTTACGGGCTGCCATCGGCAACCTCGAGAGAAGCATTCTGCAAATGAATGTAAAAGTTGATGTACCAATACATCAACGAACTCCGCACAACTCGGTAGGTGCCAACGCTTCGTCACCTTCATCACATTTCGAGCTACCCCTGAAAACCGACTGGCCCACCCACCTTCTATCTCATCGACGTCCGCAACATCACAGCCTCGCGAGAGCACCAGCATCAGCAAGAACATTGAGCAACATGGGCAGCGTTCTCTGATTGGGAGCAACTCCTGCGCACCTACATGATCCCCGTCAGATCGGCAACACCGATGCAGCTCGGGTAGGATGAGCATCAGAGCCGACCGCTCGCGTGAAGCTTCTTGAGGAGAAGCTGAGGCTGCGCAGGAACGAAACAGAAGACAACAAGGTACGAAAGCAATATCGATGTGACGATTCAAGATGTATGCTGCAGACCAACATCCTCAATTTCCTGTCTTGGGTAGCAGTTTTCGCTGCGAGGGCGAGACTCGCTCCTACACATCATCATGCCGAGAAGGCTGCTGTCTATCACTCGGGTTCGACATTGGTGGAGTAGCAGAGAGTCTACTTCGAAGGAAAGATGTTCGTATTCAGCATCTCGGTCACCATCACCGCCGCCACCGTGTGAGCTGACGGCGGTGGACTGGGGACTCTTCTGACCATGAATCCACCCTTGCCGTTCGCTACTGCAGCCCAGCTCTTCCCTCCGTCCAGCGTGGCATCGACGACATTCTGGGAAACGGAAGGTTTCTCGTATGACTACGACCAAACAAGCTGACAGCTCCTCCCACGATTCCGATGTCTACTTTGTGCGGCAAGGACTCCAGTCACCATGATGATGAGATAACGGCCAACAAGACCACACCGCTTCGAATGCTATGGCTGATCACCGACAACGATGCTTTTCGGTGCTGAAGGACTTGATTCGAACGCCTCGATCACTCTTCCATTCAACCTTCCCCGCGGAAGTATATCATCCTTCGACCTCGAGAACAACACCACGTTCTGATGCTTCATGAAGTCGACCGAGACGTGGAGAAGGAGTGGCGTGGAAGAAGAAGCCGAGGAGCAACCTCGTTGAGTCTGTCGTGGACGAGAGGCAGCCCTACGACCGGGAGGGTCGTCTTCATCTCCATCTCCCAGAAAGAGGAACCGCTCGCTCGTGACACGGGACTCGACTCCTTTTGCCCTACCAGCAGCATATCAGGATCAGGACCTGCACTCATAGTCATCTTTTAACAAACATTCCTCCGCCAATGGCCTTCTCCCCTCACCCTTATCGGAGAGAGAGTGTCTTCCACTACAGCCATGGGATCCACTGCGCTCGTCCTCCTCGTCGTCTTTGAGACCCAAGCGTGCCACATGATATACCTCAGAGGCTTCCACGATCATGCCGCCGCTCTCATGGCACCTGACTTTACGAGAGTCCTCTCAACGACGCAGTCGGGATTGCAGGAAGCACAAGCGGTGACGTGGAGAGGAATGGTCTTCTCCCCTGTCCCAACATGCCCAGCCACAGACCTCATGATTTGGATCTCATGGAAGACGTCAAAAGTCTCAAGCTATCGCAAGCACCGCGAGGCCAATGCAGAATGTACCTGGAGAACCGTGCAGCCCCAGGCGTGGTTTCTGGACTGGACGCTGTAGACCTCTTGTGGTCTGCCGACTTCACTTTCCTGCCTCTCCCGCCATATCACTGCCATGTACGGGCATGTCTTGACACAGCTGCCATCCAAGGTATCTCACAGACGCCGCGAGGGCACCCTTACGGATTCAATCGAATTCCAGACGTTTCACGGCGCTGGCGGCTCGAGAAGCTCTTGAATGCTCCTCACAGCCAGGTGTACCCAATTGCCATGTGGCCTCCGACGATGCACGATCGCTCACTCACCACACGCGGCCCTTATCACCAGCCGGGAAGTTTTTGGCAACAGGAGGAGATCACTGTGGTATGCATGGCGTGCTATGGGAGGATCGAATCGTGTTTGGAGATCATCCATGACCTCCACAGGTCTCGCCAAAATGCCTTTCCTCGTGCGCACAGGACACTACTGGAGACTCAACCCTAGGGAAGGCACCGTCGAAACGACCCGGGCATCATTCGAGCATCACATCCAATCGCTCGTTGAGAAACTTCGCCTCTATGAATATGTCACGGCACCAAAGGCCGGCTCCTGTGTAGCCCGCGATGTCAGAGTGAAAACCCAGCGCTTCGATACGCTTCTTGTGTTAGGTCGTCGCTGGCACTGTCTTGTCTTCACGCATTGCGCCGAGAGCCGTCACGACCCACAAGGTGCCCTATCAGCTTCAGTGCTTGGCTCTTAACCCAAGATTCCATTATGAACCCCTTTTCCGGTATCATGACCTTCCACCGGCCCAGGTCTGGCGCTGAACACCTCCTCAGAAAAGATGATCACATTCTTAAGGTCGAAGGGGCTCGTCATCCACGAAGAAACGCAAAGAATCTGACACGAAGGCAGCAGGGAATCGAACAGGGCTGACACAGTACTGGAAAGAGGATAGCTGCCCTCCCTTTGGAGCGCACTCGAACCAGATGCCCAATCCATGGAGATGCGACCAAGCCGCAGCAATTACCGCACATGAGTAGCGAGGGACGAAGCGGATATGTCGCAGCTCGCTCGTGTCCATCGAGCTTCTTGGAGGTTTGAGAGAAGTTGCCAACTTGGATGCCGTTAGATGAGCTTCTTTTGCACTGCACGTGGACCTGCAAACGTCTCCCGGGGGCGACGACTTCCACCATGTCCTCGCTCTACCACTGGCACCGCTGTCATCGGCCGGAGCGCAGCACCACCTGGGCAACATCTGATTCAAAAGTGGAACGTTCTTCGGCGACAGACGATCAGACCTCGCCCGCCCTATCGTGTGCGCACCTCTGACAAACAAGACGCGCCCGTGTACAGGCCTAACGTCGTTGGACCCGTCCATGGCCCGGCAAGACGAGCAGAATCACCGCTTGCAATTGTGGTCTCTTATCGGCCGTGTTTGCCAGGAGCTTGTTGTTCCCAAGTTGCGCAGTGTGGATGCTCGAGCGTCCTTTGAGCAGCTTCGCCATCTGTCTAACACCACAACGAACGAAGACTTCCTGCCATTGACAGCTCCACTGGCTTCGCATGAACTACACTCTGTACGATCAAGACGTTCAGCAAACGCCCCTCGAGTCCCATTGCCTGTTCAGCGCATGATATCAACCCTTGTTGTTCTTCCACCGAAATCGTACGGTATCGGCTTGGACTGCTCGCGAGCAATGTGGATGCAACTTCAACTTTCAGTTGCATGACCAGGGGCCGATGAAATTCTATACCTAACGCCCCCGGCTGTGGCGCCCGGTCAACTCTTTGAATGTCGCCGGGTGCCAGCCGGAGACCCCCAAGTGACACCATCAACACCATGGCCATGCCAACTCACATCTATTACTCTACCCCTGAGTTGTATGACAGTGTCGTGGTCAAGATCACAGTCAGCTGCGTCCAGATTCGTCCGGGCCCACTGGTATTCGTCTGGAAATCACCTCCGCCACCAGCCTTCAGCTTTCACACTGTAGGCGCGCTGCATGGATGCTACGACTGATCGAACGAGGAGTTCGCTGGGGGTGATCGTCGAACTTTGCTGGTAATGCTGTTCCGATTCTGGCTTTCATTGAACCCATGTGACTTCGAGAGCGTCTCACTTGACTGGAAGATATCATTGCCCTCGACATCTATCAAGCCTGAGCCTGCAAAGAGCCAAGATTCTTCAAAGAGCCAACCATCGACTATGTGTCCCAGTCACGACTGTCGCCGTCACCGGCCTTTATCCCACGCCACCAGCGCCGCAGAGCTTCAACAGCATAACCGATCATGTGGACTGTGATCAGCACGGGATAGCACGTCCATAAGCGAACCCGTCTACTTCCAAATACGAGACCCGGAAGTTTGTTTGAATCGGAAGGAGATAACCCCCAAAGCACATGTCGACAGCCTGCTCCGTCGGAGGTTCAACGAGTACCTTACGTTTCATCAACCTGGATCCAGACTTCACCGCAAACCTTCCAAGCACCGGCAGAATCGGTTGATTGGCTTGACGAAGACACAACTATGTCTGAGGTTAACTCAAGTCTGCACCGTGCAAGGTCTGGCAGGACCAGGCACCTCATCCTGATTGACAACACCAAGCGCATCAACATGGTCGCCATACAAACCCCAGCTAGCCAAGCACAGTCAACGAACAGCAATTTCCTGCCAGTCAAAGCCGAGACCAGAACGTGCGGCTGCACAGGATCACGGAGGCCGTCAGGGCGAACCAACATATCGCTGAAAGTGGACCGCACTTCCCTCCAATCTCAAGAGCTGCCAACAATTTGATCGTGTCAGGTCTGGCTCGGTCCACTCGCAAGTAACGGGTATACAGCCCTGGTATTCAAAGGATGGCCAAACGCCCTTCCTGTCCTCGCCATTTTTCCTGCCCGCGCTCTACTGCCCTCGCCGCACTACCTTGACGATGTACCACACACCGTACAGATCCTTTACGAAGCCATGAACCTTCCACCCCTACAGCTTCCTCGACGAGCGGAGCCCATATCGTCTTCAGCAAAGAGGCGAATGCCTGGCAACCTCAATTCTTCGCCAGAACGAGTACGACTCGCAGACGAGAGCAATCAAACGACCAGCATTGATGCATTCGTACAAGGCCAAAACGGCACCACATCCCGCTTGCTTGCAAAAATACAAGCCATGTACGCAAAGTGGTGTACGACGGCCAGCTAGAGGCTGCTAGGAAAGAAGATGTCCGACCTAGTTTCTAGCAAAGAGTGCATCGTGTACCCCGCTTGGCGTTTTCCAACGAGGAAAGAAGATGATGGCGTGGGGGAAGGAGATGGTGCAGGCGAGGGGGTTGCGTAGTCGAAGGCAAATTGCAAGCAGACGCAATGCTACTATGTCAACCTCACTGGGCCAGCAAACAGTGCATCAGGCAGCGTGTTGCATACTCCACGTCCAGGACGTCCTATTAGCGCCTCGACGAAGCAGATGACAGAGAAATTCGCGTACATAGCCTGCACGAACAAGCGTGATTTGACATCACGACAAAGAAGAAGTTTGGTGAGTCAGGAAACAGGCAAAGTCTGGAGATATCTACACAACAGGAATGCAAAAACTTGCTTCTTCATCGTCGACTGCCTTTACAAGCTGGTGGATGTAAGGATGCAGATTTTGAGAAGCTGAGATCTGTCAGGAGAGAACGGTCGATGGGGGTGTCTGCTTTGCCCTTGAATCACTTTACGACCCCGCCGCCCATAAATCACCGCCCTCTAGGACCCACCCCCTTCTCTCTACCCCTCCGCCCTCTCCACGCGCCCCTACATACCCCGCTCTCCACCCTCTACGCCCCTGACCCCTCCGCTCTGATATCTCCGCCCTCCCCATCCCCTCCGCCTCCTCCTGCCTGGACTTTTCACCCTGTCCGTAGGCTCTGCCCTTGTCTCACCCTCGCCCTCATATCGCCGCCCTCAGGGTCGTCCCCACCCTCATCCCCTCATCTCCCCGTCTGCCCCGCTACACCCCCGCCCTCTCCGCCCATGTCACTTTGACTTCCCCTCCCTTGTCGTCTGCTACCTCCACCACACACCGCCCCCCGTCCCCTCCACCCCCGTCGCCGCCGCCGCCGCCGCATCTCCGCCCACTCCGCCCTTTGCCCCCCCACCTTATCTATCCTCACCACCCTCAACGCCCCGTCCTGATCGCACTCAACTCCCCGTCCTTCCTGCCGCATAACCCCGCCACATCACTGCCCCGGTCACCCTCGCTGCCGGCCCCGCCCGCCGCACAAGTAGAAGGGGGAGCGGGTAAAACTTTGGGGACGCAGGGCCAAGGCGGACAAACTCTGTTCTCCCTGCATTCGGTGCTCGTTGTCTTCAAAGCACCTCGCCGTCGCCATGTCCGACCCATACACGACCCCAGCAAACGACGTTCACATTATCTACTCGACGTATCGTGGGAGTGAATTGTCGAGAAGCTGCGATTGTCCTGGACCATAGAATGGCTAGCTGGGCGCGATTTGAGGATGACGCAGAGCCTGGAGAGATTTCCTTTTGCAGGCAAGAAGCCAGCCGATCGTCGTGTGGAAACGCGTGGGGTCTCGCTCTGGCTTAAAAAGGCTCCTCGACGCGTCAAATAAGTGCTCGACGCGTCAGAAGGCATGAACTGCAGTATAGGGCCGGCACAATTATATTCCCCGCATAGAAGATTCCTTAGACGCGTCAATATTGCACAGGCAGGCATTGCTAGACATACCTGAAGCCATGCTCCGTATGGAGTATCCCGTGTAGGAGGAACTACCGGATGCAGCGACGGACAGACGCGCGCCTCTAGAAGGGCACCACGGAAGGAGCCCCACGGTTTCTCTTTAAGGGGAGAATATGTTGTCGCGTCTAGCAGACCGCTTGACATGTGAAAAGGCGTCTAAACACTAAATACGCGTGCAGAAGAATGTATTTCCTGGAGTAACGCGTGCTGCTATACAACTCAACGCGAAATCATGCGCCTGCGTCCCTCCCCGAACGATTGAGGACTGGCTGGACGATGCTGATGTCCTGGAACTGCGACAATGACCGCGTTCGTCAGGCTGCCTCATCGTCGCAAAACGTTCGTCTCAAGAAAGATGGCGCAACGGCTTCGTCCGCGCATGCCACGACCCGCCAGCTGGCAGGGAACCTCGCAAGGTCACTGTTCTCAAAATGCCAGCCCGTCGCTGCAAGTCCTGGCATGCTGCGTGGCTCATTTGATACGCGCCAGGGTCGCAGCCCTCCACCAGTCGAGAACATCACCACAACTGTGAGGCGACGTCTCGGGGCTTTGCATGCGTGCTCTGCCATGTCCGAGGTTTGATTTCCCATCGCGCCGGTCCAGCCTGGTTGACGTCGCGGCCTCATTGCGAAAGCTCGAAGTCTGGGTGAGGAACTTGAGGGCGTCGCAAACCCAGGCTTTGACAAACTTGCCGATTGGCCTGAGTGCTCCTACAGCCCCCCAGAGCTCGTAACAAGTCCATTGCGGTATATGCATCCATGTTCTGCTGCCGCCGACACGCGTATTGCCACCATAGGCCGGCTACGTGACGACGACGGTACCTCAACGTCAGAGTGGTAACCTGATGCATTCCATGAAGATTTCCTGACGTCTGTATACTCATCCGCCCACGCGAAACTCCACGCAAAATCTCGTCGCGGTGGTGTTGCTGTCGGTCGAAGTTTGTGTGGTCAGAGGTCGGGCATCGCAACAGGCCACACCGGACACTCCACCCTTTGCCATTGCACATTTGACTCCTCCTGGGGCTGGAAGGCAACATCGGTATCTGTTGCTATGAACCTGACAAGCGTACCTCGCTGCCAGTACGCGTCTCCGCTCAGCAGCGTGGCAGCGCCATCCAACCACCATCGCGACGCCCACCATGTGGTATGGGGACTTGCATGCCATTCGGCAGGGGCATGAACGCCCATTTGCAAGCGCGTTCATGCTGGGACATGAACGTTGTGGTGGTGTTGCGATGGGCGGAGGCTGAGGCGCACACCGCAAACCAACCGCATGGTACATCCTGCGGCTCGCTGCTTCGTCTGGCGCCTCCGACAGTCATGTAGAGAAACTTTCCATGTCCGTCGCGGCCTCTCTGCGCATCGCACCTGGCTTGTGGTACGCGCGTGGGCGGCACAGCTCGCAGACTCGCCCGGGTCACCCACGCACTGCTCATGCCATTACCCACGAACTTGCATATGTCTTCTTTGAAGTATTGACGTTGAAATTGGCCCGCGTTCGCGCGTGGAATCATTTGTTGCGGTGCCGTTGCGATGGTTGTTCGTTTTGGTGGCGGGAGAGCGTGCACCGCACGACGAAGATCTGAGCAGCTGCTCTTCGACATGGACACTCTGTCAGGCTCAAATATGATGCCTGATGTCCGTTGCGATTGCTTCGAGCATGTTGCGTTGCCGATTCGACGCGGCAGCCAGTATCAGCCCCAGCGGCGGACCACACGAAGGCAGCGACGATGGCCCCGCAGGTTGCGGACTTGCTTGAAGACTTTTTTGCATGGTGAAGGCCTGTCCATACGCGCAGGTCATCGTTGGGGCATGTTGAGGTGCTGTTGCGATGGTGGGAAGTTTCTGCAGGTTTAGGCTAGCCATCGCAACTCACCACCACGGAAAGCTGCGAAGCTGCCATTCGACGGGCGATGCCTTTGGAGTCTGGAAAGTCGAATTCATCGTGGTTGCGCTTCGTCCGGCTGCATCGTTGCTGCCCACCGACGCGCTGGGCACTCGCCAGCCATCCACCCTGAAGCATGGCAGGCGCGACGACCAGATGAGTCGTCCTTGACTTGGGGGACGGAAACCATGCCTATAGAGAGTATCCCCCCCCCCCCCCCCCGCGAGGGCGGCCATCCAAGGTCGCTGTTGTACCTTTGCGGGCGACGAAGGTTTTGATGGGCTGCCAGCTGGCACCGCAAACCCAGCACGACGGCTGGCCGCCGACTTGTCACTTGGCATGGGGCTTCACACTGAGCCAGCTTCTCATCTCCGCATGCTTCGCGGTGTCTTTTTGTCTAGTAGGACCTGGGGACGCGAGGGCGGCTGCAGCGCTCCCCAGACATCAGACGAGCAACGCGACGATTAAACGATCGAACATTGTTTTGCGTACACACTTGCTGGCATCAATGGAGTGTCCGCGACACGCGGAGGAAGTCGTCAACGTTCGTTACGGTGGTGTTGCGGCGGAGGCCAGTTTTGGTGGAGGCCGGCTGGGTATCGCAACATCATCACAACGAGCATCCCGCAGCCCGTCTACAAAGGCAGAGACTTCCAGCGTTCTCAAATGTCTGAGAACAGCATCGCTGCAGTCATTTGACGCGCGGGATGGCGCTCTTTGACGCGGTTGGAAGAATTGGGACAGGTTTTTACGAGGGGAATAGCACGCGTTTCTACTCATTCTCCGACTATTCAACTGGCTACATCGCTATACGGCGCGTATTAGAAGAAAATTCATCGTCTTTTTGTGTGTCCGCTCTCTCTACGCGTCGTTTGCCTTGCCCGAACTTCCCTCCGCCCGAGTTGCGTGGGAACTCAAGAATCAACGCGTTTCAGCATACTCTGCACGCGCCTAGCGGTCTCTCCAGACTCCCGATAAGTCACTGCTCGTCGTCCGCCTTCCATACGAGTTCCTCGTCACATACAACGCGCTTACGTTGCATCATACATTTCACGTCAATACGACGTGTTAGACGCGTCAACATGACCGTGGAAGCCGGGACTATCCTTAGAGTCGGGAACGGAGTGCATCTACGCGTCAAAAGCATTGAAAAGAGCTCGTCTAGATTTTCCCATTTTTGCAAGATTTTTTCAATATTTTCCACTTCTCATTTGTACCGAAATGCAGAACTGCCGATCAACCGAACTATATGCACATAACAACATATCAAAAGATGAGGATAATCGGCGCATAATTGGAGGAGTAACAGCAATTCAAACTTGGCCAACTTTTCGAAAATTTTGGGCTGAGGACGCCAAGGTCGAGCAGCGCCAGGAGAGCGGAGCGGAGCCGCGACAATTAGAAGGCACCGTAGGTCAGGAGATTAATGGGGAGACGGATGCGGAAGGTGGAGGGGGATGAGGGCGGAGCTCATAAGGTGGATGGGGATAAGGGCGGAGCTCGCGGGGTGGAGGCAGAAGGGAGCGGAGCTGACAGGGTAGGGGTAGGGGCGGCGGAGTTCACAGGATGGACGGGGTACGCAGAGTGGGACTGGGCAAAGGGGAGAGGTCGGAAGATGGGATTCACGAGGTGGAGGTAGAATGGGATGGAGCTGACGGGGTGGAGGCGGGAAGGAGAGGGGGTACGCAAGGTAACAGGGGCGGAACTCACGGGGTGAAGATAGAAGAGGCCAGGGGCAGGAGGGAGGTGCGGAGTTGTTGAGGTACGAGACCACGCTGTGTTCCGGGCGAAGAAGGTACGGAGAAGTGCTTGGGACGGGGACATCCACAGCAACCACCACAGCGCTTTCCAGACGACATCAACATCACTCTTCAAATCGCGTCAATGCATATAATCACCCGGATGACTACGTGGACGAGATTGGTCTTGCGTCTCCAGCAGAGAGGGAAACAGGAAGGAACTCACCGCGCTCGCAATCGCCCATATCGACGGGCTGCGTGGCTCACTGACGAACAGCAGAGAGGGAGACACGAGGGAACTCATAGCGCTCGCAATCGTCAATATCATCGGCAGGGATCGAATGGCAGGACGAAGACGACACTCCCCCAGCAGAGTACGACATTGAAGCCGGTCGACGCAATTATCTTCATGTCCTGGGAAGTTGCCAAGTGCAAGATCTCATCAAGAAGTTTCTGGACGTGGAACTGGAGCATAAGACATTGCAGGGCATACGACGACGAGCACTGGCACAAAAGAAGTGTACATGCAGCCTGACCTGGCCGACCCACTTCTCCTCTTACCTTCTACATCACCAAGGCATGGACTTGGCTTTTGACGATGGATCGCAATATCCTAGATACCCTGGTTCGCGGAGAGACCGTCGCCACCAACACAGAAGCCGGCATGGCTATCACAAGACTGAAAGACGAGTCTTGCCCAGGCATCTTCGGCATTTGGCTTGCCAACTCGAGTGGGAAGAGCCCCAGCGCGGAACAGCTCTTGCACTATGTCGACCAGGCCGCGATTGCATACGTCAACGACCATGACTATGCATATCAGATCGACATGATTGTTGGGGACGGTAATGGACCGACAGCAAAATAAGACTCACGAGAAGGTTATCGCCGCTACCTGGCCGCCAACAAGACAATCACTGCACCAAGTGAAGAGCGAGTGGAGCTTCTGAACACAGGGCCGACATGCAGGAGGCAGTGCACGGCGGTGAGGGCGAAGGCGGCGGTGAGGGGATGAAGACGGCGCGCACATGCGGGAGGCAGTGCACGGCGAAGGCGGTGGTGAGGGCTGCAGGGGGTGAAGACGGTGCGCATCCAGCAGGCGTGATAAATTCTCGTTGCTCTCCCGGGAAAGTTGTCCAGGAGAAGAAGGACCGGCCAAGCTGCTGTGGCGCAGTCGAGTATGTCGAAGGGAGAGGATAGGCGCACATCTGAAGAGAATGGGGCGTCGAAGAAGTTGTGAATGTCATGCCGGGCCTCGCTGCAGTCCCGGCTTCTCACAAATCGTTCATGGGCAAGCAGTGCAACTGAGTCGGCATTAACGCGGGTGAGATAACGGGGGTGTGGCGGCGGGACGGTGAGGTTGGCGAGGGCATTGGTGGTTCGTAAGAAGTTCTGCGAGAATAAGGCGTGGTGATATACGGTGAATCCAGCTACAACGCCCTGTCTCTTCGTCAGCCAGCGGCGGTAGAGAGCTCCACAAAGACGGGGTCATCAGGTCTACATGCTGTCAATTGGCTTCCGCAAGTTGTCGCTGCGTTCTGGACTGGGAGCTGGCGAGCCTAGTATGAGCGACATTGCTCCATCCAGATCGATAGCCTGAAGAGGATGGCGGCGGTGCCATGTATCTTGCAATCCGTGTGAGAGAGGCCGAAGACACTGCCCGGCCAGGTACGAAATCGTGCTTGGAAACTGCAGCGTTTTGTCCGTCGCAGGTGCGCAAGTCTGATGGTCGGTCGCTGAGGAGAATCAGACATTGTCCATGTGATGCGCCAGCTGAGGAATGCTGCGTTGCTGAATCATAATGGGATATGTTGCCTGTGGGGATATATTTCCATGTCCGCCGGTCTTCTCTTCGGCAGCGGCCAACGCTGGGCCGTTGGGGGATCGTGGCTGCGAGTGCTGGAAACTATGCAGGTCCTTTCTCAATCTGTCCGCATCAGGCAGACTTCACGAGGAGGACGGCTTGTACCCAAGGGCTCGATATGGTCTCGCTTGCCGTGGTGAGTGGGCTGTGTTGCATGCAGCGTCAAGGTGAAGTTGCTGAAGTGAAGTGCTCGGCTCGGCTGACCTTCCCTCGTCAGAGGCATTGCAATCTCAATATATGTCATCGGTGGCCGAGCTCCCCTTTTTTCCCTTCTGAACACCACGCAGGAGTCAGTGTCCCAGATGGCGGCTTGGTTGTAGGCGCCTTGGAAGACGTCTTGGCTGCGGTTGAAGTCCTCCTCCTATGTCTCATGACAGAGAGAATATTCGAGAAGACAGGGGCCCATGAAGACCGTCTGGGCATGGAATATGCCAGCTTTCAAGGACTCGTCTGAGCAGATAGGTGCGCCGTGAGAGGCTATCAGACCTGCGAGCGCAAGAAGGTGGGTGGACTCGATCGCGACAACTCCTCTCCCGGTCTGCGAGCGAAATGGCAAGCAAGAGCACCAACATTGTAGCCCCAGAATGACCACCCATTCGCCAGAAGGAGGCCATCCGTCGCCAGAAGGACGCCATCCGTCGCCAGAAGGACGCGCCCCGTCGCCACAATGACTGCGTCTTCGCCAGCCTGCCGCCATCGACCATCCCATCCCATTCGAGAGACTGCAAGATTTGTTTGATCGGACGTCCCTGGATCTCCTGACAAGCACAACCCACGGTATCACCACTGCGGGTCCAGGAAGAGCAGAAGGGCGAAAGATGATGGGTGCAGGATATCGGACACCACACCTCGGCAACGAGCTGCTTCTTGAGCTTTGCAATCGCAGAGAGCGCCGTCAGGTTCCTGATGGGACCGTTGAGGAAGTCGTTGAGTGCGGCAGGCGGCCGATCTGCTTCAGCTTGGACTTGACGGATCTGAGCTGCGATCTCGTGAGCTTTTCGACTATCCCTCTGGTTGGTGGCAGTGGCATCCCAGGTCTCTCGACAGCGATGGGCTTTAGCTTCAGCTCACTCGTCTCGTTGCCGTGGTCTCGTTGCCACGGCCTCCTTGAAACCCCATGAGAACGGTTGTGTCCTCACCCTGAAGGAGATAGTCCTGGCTTCGCTCCTCTCCATGTTTCGACATCTGGCTCCTGGCATTCGCAAGTCTTCAATATTGCACCTGGCTCTTCTGAACACAATCCGCCAAAGCTGCTGTGCATCTCCCATGTCCGAGCAGCCGCGTGTTGATGTGACTGTTGTTCTGGGTCCGGCCATCTTCCCTGCCGATTCCTTTGATACCTGGAGTTGTGGGCGACGTCTGGCCTGCCCTCGGCCACCCTGTCTGGCACTCGACACTTGCCAGAATCCGCATCGACGCTCTCTGCATCTTGCTGCTCCCTCTCCCTCCCCAAATCGCTTTTCGATCGCCCCCTGAGCCACCGTGAATGGTGCTCTCTCAACTCTGCGTTCCAAAAGTCTTTGCCTTCCATCCTGGTACGAGCCTTCGTCGGCTGGTTGGCGTGGCTCCCCGGCTTCCAGCTTTCTGTGTCCCGCTTCGTCTGTTTGACCTTGCCACTCGCTGAAGTATTACGATGGCCAGATTGCTTCATCCTCTGCACTTGGGGATCTCAATGCGCCGCGACCCTCGAAGAACGCCCACGAGCCCTTTGCCTACACCTCTGCTCTCAGAGGCAAGGCCTTTCGCCCGGCCGAAGATGGTGCTGGCCGCGGTCTGGTTCATCGTCTCCGTACCTCGCACTTGGGGGAGTTTTTCCCGCATTTCAAGTGATGCGCGCCGCCGTTCCACAGGATAGGTTGCTTGGACTTGTGTTGGTTCGCTGGAGAACAGCAAAGAAGTCGCCGCTGTCAAACGCCAAGACTTTGCTGCTAGTGTCCTTGCTCCTTCCCTTTTCAATCTGAACCACCACAAAACACTGAGAGGGCTGTAGGGCATTGATCAGTCTTGCACACAGACATCCGACAACCTGGCTGGCCATAATTCCCGTTCGAGACGAGACTGCGGCCACAGCGAAGCACGGCAACGAGAAAGACCATTCATCAACGGCAAAACTACGAGAAGTGATAGAGAAGATACACGAGGCGCTCGCCAACGACAAGCCGACTTGATCAAAGAAGAAGCCGTCAGCGCGAAGAAGAATGCCGCCAGGATGCTTTGGAGATCGCCAAGTTTACAGAGAAGATTGGACCATACGGCCAGCCCAGCCTACAGCGCACCCAGCCACCACGGCCAGACAGACGACTACGGCCATTCAAACTGCTGCCAGCGCCACACTACGGCCAAGTCAACGATTACGGCCATTCTGATGACTTAAGCCCTGTCGAAGAGTACCGCGAAGTCGAACTACGGCCAGGTCGAACTTACAGCCCGCTCAACCACTCCGGCCGATGCGACCAATGCAGCCATTCTGATCACTACAGCCAGCTCAAACTACGGCCAGGTCGAACTACAGCCGATTTGAGTCGGCAATCTTGTAGGCTCCAGATCCGCGGCCGGCTCAGGCGCTGCTGTCAGTTCAGAGACACCATTCCACCCGACAACTGAAGTACAGCAGAGGCCAGCGCATCAACTGCAGCCGACCCCAAGTCTTGAGAAGATCAGCCATCTACTGCCGGCGGGTGGAGAACGACAAGCGGTGAAGACCACGAGGTGGGGGGCGGGACACAGACGATAGCGCTTGCGAGATGAGGAAAATGCAACGAGTATGATGAGCTGTCCCATCATCCGTCTTCTGCAATGACAACGTGTGATCTCCTCCACGTTTAACTTCATCTCTCCGCCAATATGAGGGCGGGAGAGGCACCCAACGAGTCCTGCTGCAGCGACAGCTGTCATCCAGCATGTACTAGATCGACGAGCACGAGGAGACCTGCATGTTACCTCGCTCGTTGTCGGTGGTTGTTCCGACAAAATATTGAGCTGTTGCGGCACAGGGTTGCCGTACGGCTCCAACATGACGCGCCACAAGCTTGGCAATGACCGCATGCTTTTCAAGCCACAGCAGCTATTGGGTGTAGGCATACACACCTGTACATGTGCAATCTCTGGTTGGAGTGAGAGGATGAACACGTCGTGGCATGCAGTGGGGGATCAGACCTCAAAACCTGGCAGTAGGCAGGAGTCTCGCGTGTGGTGCAATGTCAATCCAGTCACATCGCGCTGTGGCTGCATCATCGAGCTCGAGTCTGCCTGGTGACATACCTGTCAGGTGGACAATATATCATGAACAAAGGTACCGTAGGTGAGGCGCAGTAAGTCTATACACAAGCTTTCCTCATTCGAAGAATCCCCCTGCCCTATTATCGTTCAATCAACCATGTCGTCCCTCTTCAGCAAAGTCAAGAAGGCGGTGATAGAGCATCTGGACGAGGCCCAAGACAACCAGATCGATGCTCAAGCTCCGTTGAAAGAGGACAAGGAGACTGCTAAAGCCGCCGTTGAGGCCGCAAAGGAACATGCAGACTCCACCTCTGACCCTCAGAGCCAGGACCAACAGTGGAACAAGAAGGCTGGATCGATGCCCGGAGCATTCGGCGAAGGAGAGGACGATGATGATGATGAAGACTCTTCCACCAGAAATGAATCAAAAGAGCCCGCCAGCGAAGAGGCTTCCACGGATTACGAGCAGAAAGCTGGTCCAAAGCAACAGTCGGGTACCAACGACGAAAAAACTTCGGCAAACGAGGGACAAGAGCCAGCTGACGCAAGGTCGGCAGCTCAACAGGCTGGAGGAGATGTCAACGAAAAACAGCCTACCTCCGAAGAGACGTCGTCCGATCAGCCGCCAGAAACCCAAAACGCAGCAGTTCAGGACTCCCAGTCCACTCGTCCAGGTCCTGACGAGCCATCTGAGCAGCAACCTGCTTCTTCTGAACCGCAGACTTCTTCCAAAGAACAGCCTTCGTCCGAGGAGTTCCCCAAGCAGGATTACTTGAAAGAACAAACCCAGAACAATCAAGACGGTGCTGAGAAGTCTGAAGAACAGCCGGCGTCCGAGAAGCAGGACCAATCTACAGCTGATCAAGCGGAGGAGCAGCAAGATGAGAACATCGTAGACTCCTCAGTCGTACGTCCTGGTCCCCACGAAGACGGTCAGTCCAACGACGTCAACGACACGAAGAACACCGGAGACGACGGGTCTGGAGGACAGAGGAAGCAAGAAGACGAGCCTCAGCAACAGCAAGATGCTGGACCTGACGACGCCAGAGACGAAGGGGAGCAGAGAGAGAAGGATCAGACCACCACCGACGAAACTCAAGAGAAGCCGAAGGGTAAAAGTGAAGAGGATGATAGCAACGAGAAGCTTGGCGAAACATCGGGTGGCTCGAAGCAGGATGCATCTACTGATGATGCTGTGAACGAGAAAAGTTCAAGCGGCAAATCCGCCGGACCGGAACTTCACGATGCTGGCATCACAGGCGGCGACGGGGACGAAGCCAAGTACCAAGCGGAAGGGAAGGCTGGACCAGAACAAGATTCGAGCGCTCAAAAGCCGGGAGAAAGCCAGGAAAGTGGAGCAGAGCAGAAGAGTGAAGGTCAAGACCGCAAACCCGCCGATGATGGGAAGGAGACAGAATACGAGGGTGCCGACGGTGAGGAAAAGCAAGAGACAACTCAAGGTGAAGTGCCCGAGGGAGAAAAAGACGAACAGGAAGGAAAGGAACAGGGTGAGAGCAAAAGTGGACAGCACGGCACAACTTTGAATTACAAGGGAGGCAAGGAAGATAACGACACCGAAGAGAAGGCCGAGCAAGACGAGCCCGAAGAGCAACAAGATTCAAACATTGAGGCATCACATGCTCTACGTCCTGGCACCGAAGACGATGGCAAAGATACAACTCAGCAAGATTCTTACGACGATTCACGCAAGGGAGGCAAAGAACAACATGCCACCGAGGAGAAAGCGCAGCAAGACGAGCCTGAAGAGCAGCAAGATTCGAATATTGAGGCGTCCCATGCTCTACGCCCTGGCACCGAAGATGATGGCAAAGACACAGCTCCGCAAGATTCTCAGGGGGAATCACGAGAGTCCGGAAATGACAAATCGGCGCAACAAGAGACGGGCAAGAGTGCGTCTGATCGCAATGAGTCTCGCATCCAAGCCGGCAAGGACGACTTGGCAGAGCAGCAGGACTCGAAGGCTGAAGCTTCGCACGGTGTACATGATGATACTGAGGACCACCAAACGCAAGACCAGGATGATGGGCAGAGACAACAGACACAGCCCAAGAACGACGCAGAAGAGCAGGGCACAAATGAGCAGAGACCTGACACCGAGGCTGGTGGAAAAGAGCCAGGCGATGAGCCAGAAGAACAGCAGGACTCCAACATCGAGGCCTCGCAAGCTTTACGCCCAGGCACTGCAGAGACTGGGCTTAAAGAAGACTCCGGCCAGCCCATTACTGAGGACGATTCCAATCAGGAAAAGCCAGGTGAGCAAGGGGCAGATGGCAAGGAGCCCGAGGTGAGAGACTCTGAGAATACAGGTCAAGCAGACGGTCAAAACAAGGAATCCACAGACAATGACCAACCAGAGAAAACCGAGGCTACTCGCGGTGAGGAGGATGTTGAGAAAGACGCCGCAGCAACGCAAGAAGAAGGCACTGAAAAGCCAAGCGAAAACGACAGATCTGAAGCAAATGGAGAGCAAGGAGATCACCGAGGACAAGGCCAAAGCGGCGAGCAAGGAGAAATATCTGGAGAAAGCAAGCAGCAGGCCGGAGGCAGCCATTCTGATACTGCTACGGCCGATACTGAAGAATCTCAACAATCCGGTCAGCAGGGCGGTATCGCAGCGGCTGAGAAGCCCCAAACAGACACCCCTGACTCGAAAGACCCAGAAAACTCACTCAGCGCTCACAACAAAGCCCGCGAAGAGAAGGGTGTCAAGGCTTTGCAGTGGGATTCCATCCTCGCCTCCGATGCAGAAAGCCATGCAAAGACCATGCTCCAAGGTGGCCAACTATCGCACGCGGAGGGACTCGAGAGTCATGGTGAAAGCTTGTTCATGCAGATTGGAGATGCAACATTCGATCAGGCTGTAGAGAAGTGGTTGGAGGAAGAGAGGTTCTACAATGGCGAGAAGGTATGTACGCCGTCTCATGCCGCGGGAACAAATATACTGACCATTTTTTAGGCTGGCGAAGGCGACTTTTTGAAATGGGGTCATTTCTCCCAGTGTGTATGGTACAGCACGACACACATTGGCATGGGAAGAGCGCAGGCTGAGAATGGGACGACCTTCATCGTGGCGAGGTACTCACCCGCGGGAAATGTCAAGGGCGAGAAGCCTTTTTAGGCATTCGTGAGGTGATATGCGGCTCATATCGGCGCAGAATGAAGAGTGGGACGGTTGAACATCAATATGTACTGGTGTAATGTGGAGATAATGAAGTTCTCGACTCTGCATTGATGACTGACTGCCTTTGATATCGAATACTGGCTGCGTCTTCGATGTGACTTCCAGCTCCCAGGAATCATCGTTAGGATCAATGAAAGAAGTCGACAAGTAATAATATTGTTGCTCATCGGCAAATCGTTTTGATCAACGAGGGTTGATAGATTTGCCGAGACTCATGTTAGTTTGCATACTCTTGGCAAAGTTCACTCTAGGTGAGTACTTGTCATCATCATTGACTGAACATCTGATCACAGACCCCACATTTCATAGCCTCGATGCCTGGCGCCTGCTGAACACAACATCAGTCCCGCCCGCGCCACCGCGTCCCTTGCAAAGACGAGGCTGAGCATCCTCAGGTCGGATCCTTCACGAATCCTTCGGGAAATACCCGACGCATTTATACCTCATCTTGATCACTTCTCAGCTCAACATCGAAAATGCCTCGAAATCAGATGCTCGTTGCCGTCGGGCAAACCATCCTCCTCTCAGCTCTCGGTTGGACCATTTCCCACCATCTCTTGAACAACGCTTACCACCATGCATCTCAACACCACGTCTGGCGAGAATGGGTGAACGCAATGGAAATGATGGAGAATAACACCGCGAATGGCACAGTCCCCTCAAACTCGTCATCCTTCAACATCACCTTCACCGACGACCACGAGACATTCTACTGGAAGACTCTGCCCCGCGACGTCCTCTTCTCTGCTATCATAAGTCCTCTGTACTATTACTGGCACATCTGGCTCGAGAAAAGTTTCCCTGCTCGACCCAGGCCGACAGCAACATCCGAGAAGGCATTCAACGACGACCCTACCCACGAAGAAGACGTCATTCAGAAGTGGATAGCACAGGGCAAGATCCGCCGCGCATCGCTCAGCTGGTGGAATACGCTCGTGAAGTGGGCTCTGAACATGGTCATCGGTTCTCTGTGGCAGGCCGGGCTGCAGTCGCTGCTCTCCGATTTATATTCTCTTCGCCTTCCAAAACGCAGTGTCTCATCAATGAAATGGGTAAGCTTTCTTCGTACTCGATTCGTCAGAGCTAACCTCAGACCAGAACATCCCCATGGTCCTTGCTGGGTCATTCATCGGGATCGCCCCATTGTCAGATTTTGTAGCGTTCCTCGTTATCCCCGCTCATCAGCGAATCGTCTTCGAAGCTGGCACACAAGCCGTATGGGAAGTTTTCTGCAGCGCGTTTGTTGGCCTTTTCTTGCCGTGGCTCGCCGATACGGAATTCGTCAGCATGATGGTGGCCAATATCACGGAAAAGGCGAGGAACGAGACTCAGTCACAGCTTGGGCATATCCCGAGTGTTCCTGACGAGCTGTAGCCAGCATGATCACCCTACTCCGCTTCATAATGTAATATGCCCCGGACTCGGTGGCAACACTCCCATCTCCCAGACTACCGTCTCACTTCCTACCTCAAAATCAATCGTTCCTCCATTTACCATTACCTGATCGTGCTCCAGCCAGTTTTTATCCCAACCCTCCCCATTCACTTTGACCGACTTCACGAAGAATCCTGTCTGGCCGAGCGTTATCGGATCTCCAGAACTCCGAATTCGCAGAGTTGCATTGCCATTGACAGTGATGTTGATATCGTCAAACCAGGGCGACTCCAGCAAGTATATCGGCTGCGTTGTAATAGGGTACAGACCAATCATCGACCATACCAGCCACGAATTGATAGCCCCTGCGTCACTATTCCCAGGTATGCCGTATAGCTCGTTCTTGAAGTATTGATTGGCCAAGGCGCGGGATTGATTCACTGACTTGTACTGCTTGTTGATGTAGTTGTAGAGGTAAGGTATCCCAAAGTCTGGCTCATTGCTGCAAACAGGTCAGCTCGATCTTATTACACAACACTCATCTATACCCTATGTTCATGATGGTGGTGATGTCTGCACCGTTCACACCGAGATCCATGGCGCTAGTGTTTGGTTGGAACTAGATCATCAGCCATGGCCTCACTCAGATCAAAACATTACTCACAATATAGTCCAGCCGTCTCGAAAACTCATCGTCACCACCCAACTTTTCAATTAGACTCTCCATGTCCATCGGGATTAGGAAGCTCTCCTCAAAGGGTACCGTCTGGAACGAGTACCCCAAGAACCCGCAATCCGAAACACCACATTGCAGGACGTCGTAATTTGTAAGATTCCATGTCCCGTTCAGCGTTTTGGGGGCCAGGAAGCCTTTAAACCCACGACTGTGAATATTTCCATTCCAGATCTTTTGCCAGCCAGCACTTCTGCGAAGATATTTCTGCACATCCTTTGGCGCCTCACCAGCAGCCACAACGCTGACAGCGAAATCATTCAGGGCGTATTCGGCCGTTCGAGAAATGGCACGAGTACTGGTCGAAGAGACATAACCAACCTTCAGCCAATCGTCGAGAGCACCTCGCCCCTCCTTCGCACTCGCCGACTCATCATCATGGCTGAACGTGTTGATGGGTTGAACTTCCGCATTCTTCAACATTGCATGATATCCAGCGGTCCAGTTGATACCCCCTCTCAACCCCTTCACATACGCATCCGCAAGCACGTTATCTGAGTTGCTGCCGCCTTGCGACTGGCCATTCGAGAATCCAGAACGACCATCCGGCATGTAACCTTGATGCCGCCATGTATCGATGAGCGCACGGATCATTTCCTCATATGCTGCCGGCTGAATAAGATGGTAGAGGCTCACGGTGCAGCGGAAGAGATCCCACAGAGTGTAAAAGTCGTCCCAATACGGCTCTTGGCTATCCCAGAATGGTTTGTCGTCGGTCCGCTCTGACGGGGTCAAGTGCATGAAGTATAGCGAGGAGTATAATAGGATCAGATTGGTCCTGTTGACACGGGGTCCTTCCGTTGGTACTCTGACCTTTTCGAAGACCTCTTCGTTCCATTTCTTGACGGCAGCATTGACCGTGGTGTTGAGGCTCCAGGAAGTAACCTCGCGATCCTTAAAAAGGCATGCTTTCTCAGCAGACACAAAGCTAATGCCAACTTTAGATCGAATTCGTCCAGCAGTGCCATTCGACCAGCTGAAAACCGCTCCGATACGATCATTGCTCCAACCAGACTTCTGATAATCAGCTTGATCGAATAGCGGCTGCTGAATTGGCTCACTGCTGAGACCCTGGATCCTCGTCATTGGATCAGTATTCGGACCGCGGAATGTCCTGATTTCACGAGGAGCAGTGTCAAGTTCTCCACAAAAGTACACAGGGAAAGGAGCTCCCTCATTCCAGCCACCGCCAAAGACGCCATAACCGGTATATGTCGCATTATGGATCGAGATTTCGCCGCCTTGGAATGTCTGCGAAGCGTAGCCGCCAGTAGGGTTGGGGATGTAATGCGAGACATCGACGAGAACATGCTTCTCTCCGGCGGGAAAGTGGTATTGCATGATGCCAGCATTATGCGTTGCAGACAGCTCGACATGGACTCCATTTTCCAGGTTAGTCTTGTAATATCCGACGGAAGCGCTGTCGTTGCCTACCCTCTTCTGCCAGTAGGTCGTATTATCGAGAACATTGACCGGAGGCTCGACAGTCGTCAAAGGCATTTGAGGAATCAGTCCATATTTCGGCGAGGCTCCTGTACCAGACACATGAAGCATGCTGATTCCTGTGACGAGACCTTCCGGCGTCCATCCTCCATTGATTTGAGCGTAGCTTATGTTCGTTTCGAAAGTGTCGACGCCGACCTTGACAGATCCAAAGGGTACTGCGCCTCCCACGAATATGTCGCCGCCGCCAACTGTGAAACGTTAGATTGGAAAATTCAAGAATTTGATCTTCCTCACATGCAAGTCCAGGATATGGTCCAGCGCCTCCAATGAATGGATTCACATATTGAGAGTAGTCTACCGCAATGGCCACCACCGCAGTGCCGAGCCCCAGGAGAATCCACATCGTGAATTATTTGGCCGTTGAACTGAGAGTACATGCCAGTGGATATGCTGCATCGCTGTTATTTCATGCTCGACGTCACATTGAGTTTCGGGCCCTCCACCTTCCGCATAGAGCAAGTGAAGGATTCCAACCAGACAAGACCAGCATATCCTCGGCGATCAGTCCTAGTTGACATGTCAGTGAAGCGGGGATTCACAGGTTTTGGTAGATTTGATGCATTGCTCTCCAGTTTGTCAAGTATAGTCCGTAAGCGGATAGGCACCGGCTCATCTCTGTCGTAGCTGGAGTTCCATAGCTTTCAGCAATGGGGTCTTCGACGAAGCCATCGTTGTCTTAGACGGCCTTGCGAGACACGATGGCCTGTATTGAAATCGCTGAATGGAGCTGGGTGAAATTGGGGACCATGTGGTGCTTCCGCACGTTTTGAGTGGACATCTCACGGTCGCCTCTTGGAAGCTCTGTATTTCAAGCAAAGGTCGTGAAAGAATCCATTCGTGGTGATAAAGAGGAGCGTGGATGTTTTACATGACTCCAGTGCTGAGCGGACGCATGGAGCGGAGTGGTCGGGCGGCCGATGCGGCGGCCGATTGCGGGCGATTCTTCCGACATGGCCCATTTCTAAGCCATTGCTTTAGCCCTGGATCGTGAAGGATTTCAGTGGCGACGGCGAGGCCAGAGACCACTATCGCACCTTGCTCGCTAGCTGTCGTCGGCACCATGGATATTCAAGAGACAGCGGTGATCGAAGATGGCCGCTCTTGGCTCTTGCAGCATTTGCAGAATATAAGTAGAGGCTCGTTCGCCTGAACCCCAACCTTCAATCCTCACGAACCTCGCAACCATGTCCAACCAGGCGTGGCAGATCACAGCACCAGGCACTCTTTCCCTCGTCACCCTCCCGTCCATCCCCTCACCAGGCCTGAATCAAGCCTTGATCCGCATTCAAGCGGTATCACTCAACTACCGCGACGTCCTCGTCGTCGACCACAATCCGTCTTATCCAGTCCCAGCGAAAGCGAACCTCACGCCATGCAGTGACGGTGCGGGTGTGATTGAGAAAGCAGGTCCTGGCTCCAAATGGAAGAAGGGCGATCGTGTTTTCGTCCATCCAAACACCTGGAAATCGGGCAAAGAGCCGAGAGATTTCGACATCCGTCTTACCATGGGCGGTGGTGGAACCGACGGTACTTTGCGACGCTATGTCGTATGGGATGATGACCGAATTGTCAAGGCGCCTGACAATCTATCAATCGAGGAGGTTGCTACACTCTATACAGCCGGAGCGACAGCGTGGAATGCACTCTTCCACGGCAGGCTGAAGCTGGAGCCGGGAATGTCAGTTCTCACCCAAGGCACCGGCGGCGTGAGCTGCTTCGCTATCCAGGTTCGTGAATTTGACGTGTTCTGGCTTCTCGTGCTGATACTTCTAGCTCGCATCGGCCCTTGGAGCGACTGTAGTCGCAACATCGTCGTCCGATGAGAAGCTTGAAGTTGCGAAGAAGCTGGGAGCAGCCCATCTAATTAATTACAGTGCTCATCCAGATTGGGCAGCAGAGGTCCTCAAAGCAACAGATGACAACGGCGTCGACATTACGGTAGAAGTGGTTGGTGCACAAAGTATCCGACAAAGCATCCAAGCAACTCGCCAAGCTGGTCTTATATCATTGGTCGGCATGTTGTCCAAGGATCCTCACCAACCAGTGGACATTATGCATCCGCTGCTGTTCAAGGCGCAGACCAGTGAGTATGCTAGACATGTATCTGATCAGAAGCTTACTGTATCCCAGTCCAAGCGTTCCTCGGCGCTGGTAGCAAGCAAATGTCGGATGAACTGTCGGCTTTTGTAGAAAAGCACAACATTCATCCGCCGATAGCCAAGGTGTACGAGTTTGAAGATGCAGACAAGGCGATCAAGGCGGCAGCCAGTCTCACAGTTTTGGGGAAGCTGGTGGTGAAAGTATAAAGACTGGTTCATTCATTCTTCTGACCGTGTCCAGTCTGTCTCGCCAGATACTGCTTGTAATCCTTTAACAGCTTTCAATCAGCATTCTTTCACAAGCATCACCTCACTATACCTACCTCACAGCTCCTTCTGACACCTTCAGCAAGCCCTATCTTCGGTTCATAGCCCAGTATCTCCCTCGCTCTGCTGTTATCGGAGTAGTGAGTCCGCACAGCATCCCACACGCTCCCTCGATCGACAGTCGGAGCTGCTCCGGTGAAGTAAGTAATCACTTCGGCAGCCACCCCGGCAACCCAAGCCACTGCCATGGGGATTCTGACCCTGAATCGAGGGACATGTCCGAATTGAGCCCAAATGTAGGCAAAGAAGTCCCAGAAGTATACCGGCTCCTGATTCGAGATAAAGAATGCCTGTCCGGCGGCAGTGGCGGTAGTCAACATGTTCTCTATAGCCAAGATATGAGCATCGACCGCATTGTCAATGTACATAAAATCGTAAAGGTTATCTCCATCTCCAATTATGAAATAGGTCTCGCCTTTGGCAATCAGGTCATGAATCAAGCTGATGACGGCGATATCGCCTGGCCCTATAATAGTGCAAGGCCGTAGAGCGCAAGCTTCGAGTCCCTTCTCGGCATGCTCTGACGACAAAACGTACTGCTCTGCCATGCCTTTTGACTTGCCGTAATGTAGTGTGGCGTAACCAAGAGGCGTCTTCTCATTCATGTTGAAGTAATCGTGAGCCAAGTCGTCGATTACCACAGTGCAACTGCTGGTATAGACAAACTTGCGACAGCCACTGGCCAAGGTTGCATTCAAAACGTTCTTGGTGCCTTCATAGTTAATCGTCTTGACCTTATGCCACTGCTTCTGATTGGTGCTGTATCGATGTCGTCTTGCTGGAACAATGCCAGCACAGTGCATGACCAGGTCTGGCCGAATGTGCAAGAAAGCATCATTCACGCTGGAGGGTGAAGTGATATCGGCCTGTATGAAGCTGGAGACCCGATCCAGTACATCTTTCGGTGGGACATGAAGATCCAGAACGGTAATGGTCCAGTCTGCGTGACGGTCCAGGAGGGCTTTCACGATGGCTCGCCCCAGAAAGCCTGAGCCACCGGTGACCAGCACATGTGTCGGTGCCATGCCTGGGTGTCGATCATGTGACGATGGAGATGGTGAGTGAATGGAAGACAGACGTGAAGTCGGCCTCGAACGGAGATACATGCCGTCCTCTCTGAGCTCTGACGCCTTTTGATTGGCTGGTTGCCGAGATATGGCTTGGCGGGTAGGAAGTTTGAGTCAACTCCTGCCTCACTTGCTAAGATATCATGTGGCAACTCGACACACATGGCGGAGATCTCCAATTTCTATCAAATCCTCGGTTTGGTCAACAGACAGGACGACTCGACCATTACTCCGGAGCAGCTGCGGCAGGCCTACAAGCAAGCGCTGCTACACCACCATCCGGACAAGCAGGTTGCCAGCCGCACGAAAACTCATCCACAGGCCCCTACTGTAGACGAGATATCAAAGGCATACACAACTCTATCAGATCCGGATACACGCTCGCAATATGATCGTAAGCTTCGGCTGGACGGCACATGTGGCAGAGCAGATGCGGCGACTCGCCACACCGGCATGGAGACTGTCGATCTTGAGGAGCTCAATTTCGATGAGGTATCTGGCACATGGATCAGAGAGTGTCGGTGCGGGAGCAAGCCGGCATATGTCATCACGGAAGCCGAACTGGAGAAGACTGCTGATTTTGGGGAGCTGATCACCGGCTGCAAAGGCTGCAGTCTTTGGCTGAAAGTCCTTTTCACCGTCGAGGAGTGAGATTTTCTTCCATCGGACCCGCACATACACACCCTCGATTCGTCCAGCTGCCGTGATTAACTCTCCGCGTCGGACTTTGAAGCGTTCTATGCTGTCAAATCATCAGCCCGCACAGTCATGTCTGATTGGTGAGTCTCGAGACTGCTCTGAAGACTGTGGGCTGAAGCCGGTTCAGACAGCGACAGCGCTCATCTTCAGACATCGACGAGAACTTCGATATAAGCCTGTTTTCATGCTACTATCTCGCCAGTGGACTTTAATCAATCGCATTAGCGACAAAGGAGAAATGGACAGAATTATGAGGCTTTGTCTGCCACTGTCATCCGAAAGACAACTGCAACATCACTTGGACCTTGGAGCTATTGGTTGACTTCCAAAGAGAGCATTACATTTTGTTCAGTACCAATCTGATCTTACACCAATCCCTTGCCTTGGCCATTCCCAGCCACTTGTTAGGCACCGCTCTTCAAACCTCCCTCCACGTTGAAGTTCTGGACGACCTCGGTGGATTGGCAGCCGACTGGAGGCTGGCCATCGGTACCTTGGGTTCCCCACTTCAGGAAGACGTTCTCAACACCATCTGCTGCAACATCCTTGCAGGCTGGAAATTCCACGTCAGTACGATGGGATCGCGATCCGAGTCGACCAACATACCATAAAATTGGTTCAAAGCAGCATCCCTCTTGTGGTCGATCTTTTCGCTGGCGACAGTCCACTCAAATTGCTGGAAGCCCTCAATTGCAAAGACCGACGCAGCGAAGCCGTAGTTGTCGCCAACCTCAGGCGTCGCAATCCCATAGGCCGTGCCGGCGATATCAAAGTTGAGAGCCCTGTACTCGCTAGTACCATTGAGGTATGCTGCGAATCCATCAACATTTGATCGTGCTGCCAGCATTCAACCCCACATACCTGGAGTACCGGGGTAGACGCTGAGCCTCTCGCCCTCAAGCACAAGTCCGCCGGTCGAGCCGTTGCTCACAGCATTGAGGGAGACGAGACTGCCATCGACCTTCATGGCGAGTCCAAATTCTTGGTCCTTTGGCGGTGTCGCACCAGTAGCGCTGTGCGACTGAGGAGCTGGTAGAGCGCTGCCAACAGCGGCAAGGGCGAGGGCAAGAGTTGCGTACATGTTGGTCGTGGGAGTTGTTGTTTGGTGTTGGATGCGTTGGTAGAAGGTTGTGAAGCTGTGATGATTGTGATGGGTCTCCTCTCAAGTCGTTGCTCCAGCTTTATATTATCTTCAACCCCTCTGGATATTTCATCGAACCCCTAGCGTTGTGGCAACTGGTGGCCTTACTGTGTCAACACGAGGTTGAGATGGATGGTCTGGGAGCGGTCACATTCACTTTGGTGGGACAGCTTCGATCGCTGGGTCAGTGAAGTCACTCGCCAAGACATACACGAGCCATTAGTTGCCCGTATGCTCGAGAGTATATCTTCCATTGGTGTACGGGAATCCTGAAGCAGGAATCCTAGCGGCTTCATAGACTTTACTAGAGCTTGTGCCAAAGAAGGTACGGAACGAACATGCCGGAAGCGCCTGGAGGCCTGAAAACACTAGGAATGACGGTGCTGTACATCACGTCACAGGGAGGCAAGCCGATTTATTTTTGGTATCTTGACTTGATGCTACCGAAAGCACTCAGGACATGAGCGTCGACGTATGTCCTTTGACACTCTGATTCGACAACGAGAAGGACAAAAGCCGAAAGAGGTTGCGGTATTTACAGTAATGTCGTAGCCACTGGACGCCTTGAGTCTCCCAAGTTCCATTGACTCGATTCAGTTTGGAAACTCGCCGTCCGTGTCAACCGTCGGTGCTTTCACGCACTCGTCGAAGGACTTTACACTGACACCAGAGAGGCATGATCCCATAGCTGGCAACTACCCCGATGAAGAAGAAGGCGACCGCCGTGTAGAACTGGTCACACAAACGTTCTCCTGAGTCGAGGCCTTTCTCACAACTCCACCCATTCAGCATAGCCGCCAAAGTCTGAAACCAACTATCAGTGACCGACTGTCAAAAAACGGAAAAGTACCTACACATCCAGCGCCCATGTGGAAACCAGCCGCCATGCTGTCGATGATGATCATCGTGTTTAGAAGCTTGATCTGCGAGTACGTGGCCCACAACCCAACGCTGCCTTGAACAATGCTCCAGATGCCGGGAAAGACGCAGTATCTGAATGCACCGACGGCCTTTTGGTATACCTCACAGTCTGGCGATTCGAAGTCGCCATCGCAAGAGCTGCGAAGGACACGGTATTGTCTGAGAAGGGAGGCTGCGAGACCAATCAGGATCGGGCCAATGATGATCTGGATATCTGCATGTCAGTATGTTTGTCGGCTATTCTTCGCTACGACTTGCTGACATGAAAAACTCGCAAGACTCGAATGATCGCCAGGCGGCGGTCGTCACTCCTGCTCATCACTGCTCTGCGAATTGCCCTGCGATCCAGTTCAATGTATGAAATGCGAGTCGTATTCTGATCAAGTGTGTCCAGTTCGAGGGTTGTCGTTCCAAAGTCTTCAGGCACAGAAGCCCGTCTCCTTAATACCTTCTCCATCGTACTCGCAATGTTGATTCAACATGTCGAGGAGGCTGTGATTTCAGCTGAAGCAAGGTGGTGGCCGCAGACAAACTAAACGCGAATACGAATCTCGCCTACGGTCCATACATTTGCAAAAGCTGGAGTCACAAGAACACAGATGATCTCGGCGCCCAGGCTGAGCTGAAAGACCCAAGCGGAACGACGTTGCGCCCCGCGCCCATTCAAGAATGTGTAGTTCCGCGTTCCCCTCTCCTCGACGTCTTGCCTCCATCAGTCATGCCAACGCAACGGGGAACTCGAGGCTCCTATGCCAAGTATATTTGCAACCACTGTCGGAAACGGAAGATCAAGTGCGATTTGCCGAGCGACGTTGATATCAGTCCCTTGCGACAAGCCCAGCCGGCTGCTACTTCGTGTCAGAGATGTATTACAAAAGGCCTGGACTGTGTTGTTGACTTTACGATTCTTGGACGACCGTCAAGTCCCAGAGAGTGGAAAATGACTAGAAACAGGTCCTCATCGAAAGTGAGCAATCAACCATACTACATGCTATCAAAAACTAATTTGCTCCAGGCTCTCTCTCGAGTGTCGCCAAGCGGACCGTCGCAAACCATCGTTGATATTCCAGACGATGGCGCTCAATCCGTTGTCGATGACTACTTGATGGTTCAGCCGCAAAAGACAGCCGACTCTGATCAGCCAACATCGACCCCACAACGACGAACGCCGCAGGCAGCGGACAAGGTTCAGGCAATGAGCAGTCCATCATATCTGCTGTCGACACTTCTACGACGTGATCATCAATTCGCCTCGCTTCTAGACTTGAGCTTGATCAAGGACGGGGACATCAATCAGGCCATAGACACTGGCCTTGTTCCTGAGGCTGACAAACGGTACGTCAAGCAAAGCCGCTCCACAGCCTTGCTAATATGAGGCTAGTCTGGTATGGCATCGGCTCTTCTATCCAGATATCCCAGTAATTGCAACACTACATGCCCAGGTATTGAGTTTAAGCCCTGAATGCTCTGAGTATCTTCCCACGGCTTTTTTGTACGCGTTGCTGCTTTTGTTGGCTGAGGAGGTGGACGCCAACGCCGATATGCCCTTGGATAGGCTAAGAGGCCCTCCACCTCTCGCAAGCCTAGTAGCTCATCTAGGTCAGTTTAGACTATCAATTTCAGATACATCTACTGACTCTTCACAGCTCGACGAACTATTCTCGCACTTCCTACGCATCGCTACGCCATCCTCGCTTTGGATCTCTTGGCAAAGTACAAGCCATTGATGTTGGCATCCGACAGAATCTCAGCCCCTGACGCTGTTCGCACGAGGCTCGTACCTCCTCTGTTGAAAGAGATGGCGCTGGATCTCGGCATCGATTCCTCGCCATCCAAACTCCAGCCACAACTTCAATGTGGTTCAGCTCCACTCGACCCAGCCCTTCTAGACGACTGCTTGACGTGGTATAGATTGTGTTTAAGAGATGACATCCTTGCTGGCAACGACAGAAGAGGGATGCAGCGACAAATGACGGGCGAGACGCTTGCAGACGTAGTGGACCTGCTTCAGATTTTGTTGAGATCGGACGACCTTCCGCCAGAATACATCTTCTCCTACCATTCAATGCTCTGCCAGGCGTCCAAACTCGAACACTTGCTACGAGTCAAGGACGACTGGAGGAATCTGGACAACTTGAGCAGGGCGATTGACGATCACAAGAAAGCTTGCGAGTGGCAGCGTCAAACCCTGAGGGCTTCTATTCCCTCTCTTCCGCCTGGTCAGGCACTGGTGATGACTCAACTATTGGACATGCAGCTCCATTCTGCCTATTGCTGGGTGTCGGGGTCCGCGACCTTCTATGCTGTGATGGCAGGCGCTCGATTCGAACAATCGCCTCCCCAAATTGATGTTGGACAGGCCTTGGAGGTGTCGGACCAAATTATTGAACGCTTCGCCGATTCTTCGCGCCAGAGATACGCCTCAGAGCCTCACACGGAGTTTCTGATCAAATATGGGTCAAGCAGAATGGAGGACCTCGAGCTAGCCTTACTCAACTTCGTCTCAGCCATGGACAATCTCAGCCTGCAAGGGATACCTTACGTACCACCAACAAGGCATACGACAAGTCATATCCTATTCATGGTGAAAGATGTCATGGAGGGTCAGGCTGCGAGGATGAAAGGTTGGGGTGGCCTACACGAGCGGACGCACATGCATCTTCTACTGATCCGGGATTGTGCCAATTCGCTGGAACGTGTGGGAAGTTGGCTTACTGGAGTATCCGGGCCTGAAGCCATTGCAAAGGGATGTCTGTGGGCTGCCACTGCAAGGCTGCTTCGAAGCCTGCACCGACTACTCAGTGAGTGGAAGGAATGGAACGCGCTAGGTCAGATCAAAGTCTCGGCACCTCCACAGACAGGTGATAGAAACAGGGGCATGGATCTTGAGCTGGATTTCCTACCGGATGACCTCTTCTTCGACTGGGACCTCTGGCTGAGCGAGGAGAATATCCCAATGTAGACGATCATGTTGAACCTCATCATTATTTTTTCTTCGTCGCAAGAAGCATTACATGAGGCCAAACACCTTTGACTTTCCCGTCATCCTTGAAAATCTCGTCAAAGACCTGCCAGTACTCTCCCCACTTCTCACGGTCAGTCATGGTGGGAAAGGAATCCGCAATCTCCTTCAACCCAGCAAAGTCCACTTCAATGTCCCAGCCCGCCTCCTCCTCGTGCACCACCTTATCAGTCTCTCCGACCTGACTCCACCGCGGCACGTACTTCTCGTTCTCGTCACTGATATGAGCTTTGTACCAACTCCAACCGTCCGGAAAATTCACTTTGTACCTCAACGCCCCTTCTTCGAGAAAGCTCGTGGGCAGGGGCACCGCATCGTACTCACTCGCACTACATGCAATCACGCTCATGCTTGTTTTCCTCGTAGCCTCATCATACTTCAATCTCGGCTGGATCCAGTGGATATCGCAAGCTTTCCGGAACATGCCGCCCCAGGCATCTTGCAACTTCTTGTTGAACCATGCCGAGTAGCCCATGACGGCAATGGCGAGCGTCCCACCAGGTTTGAGCTGACGATTGAATGCGTCCATAGCCTTGTCCAAGTCCGTCAAGTGCATGACAGTAGCTGCAAATACCAGATCCACGCTTTCACGGGTGATCCAATCGGCATCCTCGAGTTTCGATGTGTGGAAGGTGATGGGTTTATCATAGCCTTTGAGATGCGACTGTGCCATCTCAACGTTCGATTCGGCGATGTCAGAGACGAGGACTTTCTCGAAAGGCTCTGAGATCTTCGCCGTGTGGATACCCGGGCCTGCTCCTACGTCGTGAATTGTTCCGAAATGACCTCCGTGCTCTCGATGGTAGTCGAGGACCTTCGAATAGAAAGATGGTGGTGGTACAGGCCTGCCTTTGCGATACTTCTGCCAAAACTCATCCTTTTGGTCGTAGTATGAGTGCGCGTGGTGAGTCTGTGATGTGGTCGACATTTTCAAAAGATGCCAAGTAGTCAGTGCACCAGTTTCACCCCTTTAGTACGTCGAGCAGCATGACGCGGCTCAGGCGTCGTCGAGGAAGTCGTCGCCAGCTCAGGAAGCTAGCTCAATAGCTTACCATCTACTTCGAATGCTTTGCAAGCAAGTGGCCATACTAAAGCCTAATCTGTGCAACGTGTGTCGAGATCGGTCAAAGGTGATTTCATTGCTGCAATCCTACAGAATCCTGTCCGTGTTCGCTTCCCAAACGCCATTACACCTCGCTCAAAACGAATATCTAATCCTTCTAGAATAGAGTAACATCTCTCGTCAAGAAGATGTTGTCGAAGGTCACTGCAGACTTGTCAGCGTCTTACATACTACAAATGTCTTTCGGTCAACTCACCTGTCGCCACAGCATTCCCGTAGCAGTTCGCAAACATCGTAAAGTTTGTATAGTCACTGGTCGCGATCCCGGTAACATTCACATTCCATACGCTGGAAGCTGCCGTGGCTGTCGTTGACCAGAAATTTGCTCCCAACACAATATCGCAAGTCGAGGCCCTTGCACCTAATCCAGCAACGCCCGCGGAGCTGGCAATTGTGACTGCCACGGAAGCCCGTAACCAGTATGTTTGTCCTGCGCGAATACGATTAAGAGTCTGGGTAATCGAACATGGACTCGCCGTTGCAGCAATCCGATTAAAAGCCACCTGCAACGCCCTTGCTGTGGTGATGGTGACATCTGTGGTGGCGGACACGAAGTTCTGCATCCAGGGCGCCAATACACCAGCTCCGAAGTCGTTGTTCGTTAAGACTTGAACCGCAGTCAAGACAATTGGGCTCAGTCCCGCTGCAAGAGGATACAGCCTCCATATGATGTTGTCAAAGCCGATGCTGACATCCGTAGAGCCCGTGCAAGCCGTCTGCGTGTAGAAAGATGTCGCTGCCTTGGTCACGATGCCGCTTCCGTTTATTCTGCCCTGTTGGGAGCAGCGGTCGTAGTAATACTGCCAGAGAATCTCCTGATCGGTGCGGAAATAAATTGTGCAAGATGTTGAGGTGCTGACTTGAGCATTGATCAAGTAGACATCAGCCTGCAGATACCATGCTTGATTTGCTGCGATCGAGAGCGTTTCGGTCAAATACAACACAGGCTGGCCCAAACCCAGCGGAAGGGGGATCCCAACGGAGCTTTTCAACAGTTAGCCTGGTTTTCATACAAATCAGAGGCTTATTACTCACGCTATGCCATTCACCAAAGTGAATAAGAGGGAGTTGACGAGACCAGTCACGAGACCCACAAGCCCAGTGACAGTCGGCACCCAAGGATTTAAAGAGCCATCAAATACACCATTCAGGATGACATTGACATCATTGCGAAGACCGTTGATCAAAGGCCCGCTGATCCTCACCGCGCTGTAGACTTGAATGACGGTATTTGTAGTAGGTGACATGCTTCCCTTCAACGAGCATTCATTCGAGTTCGGCTTCCATGTGATCCCCTGGCAGGCCGTGCCCTGGTTGGCGCACAAGTCGATGCAGGCGGTGAGGCTTAAAACTGTTTGTGGAAGGATCCCGATGCCTATCGTCTCGTACGCCTGAATGCAAACAATCAAATAAGTAGAGCCATCTTGTCCTGTATATATCGATCCGTCGGCCTGAGGGCAGGCGAGTGTGGGTAGCGCTGCCGCGGAAGATGACGAAGATGAGATTGAAGTTGAGGACTGTGTTGAAGCTGAGGTGGTTGAAATGCTTGTGATGGATGATGAGGACAGGGCGGTTGATGAGATCGAAGACAATGGCGTTGCTGATACTGTGGATCGGGTTGAGGACAATAAAGCTGATGAGGAGCTTGTTGTTGAGCTTGCAGATGTGGTGAGCTGCGAGGATGCAGAGGAGGACGAAGCTGATGAGGAGCTCGTCGTTGAGCTTTCAGATGCGGTGGACTGGGTAGACGCAGAAGACGACGAAGATGTTTCTGAGTTCGATGTAGTGAGTTGGGTCGCCGTCGTTGTTGATTGACTTGATGTCGACAGCGAAGTAATCGTCGTTGACGAGGTAGATTGATCTGCTGTTGTCGTGGATGGACTTGCGGTTGAAGAGGTGGATTGGCTCTCCGACGATGATGTTGTCTGAGTCTGTATGGTCGACGAACTGGCGAGCGTTGACGAGTCAGACCCACTGCTGCTCTGCGACGTAGCTAATTCAGTGCTTGACGGCACATTACTGGTCGATAGCGTGGTAAGGCTGATAGTCAGAGAAGAGCTCGAGGATTCCGTAGGCTCTGAGCTGGTTGACGGAGGTGAACTTGAAGCTGACGGAGACGATGCAGAGTTATCGGAGGACGTCGCCGTTGTGGACGATGGTTCTTGGCTACTCGACACAGAAATCGATATTGCTTGACCAGAAGACGAAGCCGAATCTGTGCTAGTGCTGATTGCTTGAGTGCCAACTGACACCGTGGAGAACGGTGTTTGTGAAGTTATCGTTGATTCAGAAGCACTGGTCGACGGAGGAGGTCCAGGAATCGTTGTAGATTCAGAGCTGCTCGCTGAAGTAGCAGTAATCGAGCTCTGTCCATCTGAAGATTTCCCGCTCAAAGACGAAGAAAAGCCAGAGCCTGCTCCGGAAGATGTTGAGACAACAGCAAGTTGAGAGGCCGTGGTAGAAGAGACCAAAGTTGAAGCTGAAGCAGCCGCGCTTGCATCATTCGATGGCCAGATATCCAGCCTCACGTTGTCGATCCTGACAGTCGCATCTGCATGACCCTGGCAAGAGGCCGAAAACGAAACATAAGTCGACTCTGAAAACGCCATGGTGCCACTACCATTCACTGAACCGACATACGACTCTCCTGGATTGAGGAAAAGCGACGGAAGACCCGCATTCTCTGCCGCGAAGGACACGCCACAGGATGTGTCGCCTTGACTGGTGACCGCAACATCTGCCAGCACGAAGTAGAAGTAGCCTTGTGGAATCCTGAACGTCTGAACGGCACGGACTTGGAACGCAGGTAGAAACCCGGAACCGTCGTTGGTTTCTTGTGAAAGTAGGAAGCTTGCTTGAGCTGCGCCATTGACGACTGACAGCTGAGGACCAGTAGCGGTCGAAGGGTCAATTGGATCAGTGCCAAATTGAGAGTTGTACCAAGGAGACAGGCTGTTCCCATCCAAGCCAGCATTGGCAGCAGATTGTGTCAAGCTTTGAAGAGATCTGGGAGCCGTCATGCGCAGTACTGCAAGCACACCAAGGCGAGCGTTGGTAGGTGTCATTTGGGATCCCAGATTGCACTGCTGGGATGTGGCATCCCATGTCGTTCCCATGCATTGCAAATCGCCACTGCAAAGGTCGGTGCACTCGGTCAAGGAGCTGGCCTGAGCTATACTCAGACTTTCCACGTAGTAGTCGTAATCGCACGATATCAAGAACTGAGAGCCGCTGTCCGATGTATAGGTGCCGCTTCCGCCGTTACAGGCCGCGGTCGGTTGCGCTGAAGCAGTAGGACTTGTTTGTGACGACAATGCGGATGCTGCTGACTGGACGCTCACTCTCACGCGAGACGTGGATGAGGATGTTGAAGATATCGAGACCGATGAAGTCAAATCCGAAGATATCAAACCTGAAGACGTCGAGGTAGAAGATGTCGAGCCTGATGATGTCGAAACCGATGAAGCAGAGCCGGAAGACGTCAAGACTGAAGACGTTGAACTAGAAGATGTCGAACCAGAAGACATCGAATTAGAAGACGTCGATGCCGAAGCCGTCGAGCCTGTGACCGTCGAACCTGAAGACGTTGGGCCAGAAGATGTCAAGCCCGAAGACGTCGAGCCTGAAGACATCGAATGAGAAGACATTGAGCCTCCAGTTGTCGAGCCCAGAGTTGTCGAGCTAGAAGACGTCGAACCCGGGGTTGTCGAGCTAGAAGACGACGAAGCAGAAGTCATTGAGCCTGAAGCTGTTGAACCAGAAGCGCTTGGAACCGAAGACCAAGCCGAAGACGTCGAGACCGTAAATGTTGAAGCCGGAGATGTCGAAGCCGAAGATATTGAACCCGCAGAGTTTGACGATACTGAAACAACACGCGATTCCGAACCGGATGCCGTAAGCGTGGAAGAGGTCGTCAAGCCAGGTTGCGAGCTTTGCCCCGAAGAAGTGGTTGAGGCACTGATTCCGGTTCCAGATCCGACACTTGCACCGCTAGAAGATTGTGTGGAGACCGATGAGGCTGCTAGTGTCGTAGATGATGTGGAAACTGGAGTTAGGGTAAGGTCAGTAGACGCCACGGTCTCGTTCGCGAATGAGGAGTTGATGGAGCTCGAGGGGCTTGAGGTCGTGCTATCTGATGAGTTGTCTGAGGTCCGTGCAGGTGTTCTCGAAACCGGTGGAGATGTGAATGGTGACGTGCTGCTCTCTTGGTGGGTACTCGTGGCTTGGGAAGACGTGTCTGGGCTGGGAGGGATAGCTGAAGCATTATTGACAGCTGGTGAAGTGGAGAGGGGCTCTGCTGGGATTGAAGGCCGCAAGGCTGTGGTTTGGGGGAATTGCGTAGCGTTCGGAATGGTGGATGTCGTCGAGGATCCCTGGGGAAGTGTGGATGTCGACTGAAGGCTTGTTGGATTGAACAGCGATGTGGATGGTGAAGGTGCAGCGTTCGTGATAGTGGATGGGCTAGTGGATGGTGGTGATGTCGATTGGAAAGTTGATGAGGCACTGGAGGTGAGCGGTGGAGATGCCTGGGATAGGGTTGTACATGTTCTCGCTCCTCCTCCCTGACCATTGAAAGATCGGAAGAAGCCCTGGATCTGAAATATGCCTTGTTCCTCATAGGGCTCAGGTTGTGCTAGTGTGGAAGAGGATGATGTGTTTGTTGTTGTGGGAGAGAGTGGATTGGTGGTGAGTGCGCTGGTGGCGAGTGGGCTGGTGGTGAGCGGACTGGTGGTGAGTGGGATGGCTGAACTCAGAGTTGACGATGAGGCTGGGGAAGAGGTGTATGGCGAGGAGGTGTTCGCGGTAGATGTGTAATCGGAGGTCGTGCTGATTTGTGTCGATGTTGCTAGTCCTGAAGGGGGCTGTGGGGTTGTGAGTGTGCTCCCTATGCTCGACGTACCTGAAGAGAAAGAAGACATTGATGTTGCCAAAGCTGAAGTCCTGGGTTGACTTTGGCTAGTAGAGCTCTGCGAAGGAAGTGATCCCATCGCTATCGATGTGGCCAGACTACCGCCTGTTGATGGTGGCGTCATGCTACCAGACGAGATCCCTTGGCCAGTCGATCCGGTACCTACGTTAGAAGATGATGAAGTAGCCAAGACCGGGCTCAAGGCGCCGCTTCCGCTCTGTGATGAGATGGACGCAGTACTCGGCGCACTGGACGCCTGGGACATGGTTAGTCCGCTCGACGATGAGGTCGTTTGTCCAGCTGCTGAGCTTTGTGTTGAAGACGGATTCTGGCCAGGGTTAGAGGCGAGGCTAGAAGACGGACCTGAACCTGAGAGAGATGCTGAAGATGATCCAACTGCCGCAGTGGAAGATCCAGCCGCACTTGAGCCACCTCGAGAGTTCGAAAACGACGCCGATAAGGTGCTGATACTCGACGCATCTGGCAGGATAGTCACGGTCAAGGAGTCCAGGGTTGAGCCGCTTGGAAGTCCAGTGAGAGACAAGGCTGAGGGTGAGCTGGAAGACATGCTACCAGACCGCCCAACAGATGTTTGCGTTGTAGCAGACGAAGTTGTGGTCTGGAGCCCCGGTGCTGAAGACAAAGCCGCAGATGACTCCGCTCCAGAACCACTTCGCTGCTGGCTTGTTGATGATGTTGCAAGGGCTTGAGGATCAGTGTTGCTCGTGATGGATGATGGGAGCGCAGAGATTGACGAGACTGCAGACAATGAGACTGAGTCTCCAGAAGACTGACTTGCAGCCACGCTTGTTTGACTCGAAGCGGCCGACGAAGACGGGACAGCCGCCTGGCTGGACAATGCACCAGAACCGCCGACTTGGCTGATCGATGTAGTCGAGCCTGGTGACCCACCAGCCTGGAGCGAAGAGGTCATGATGCTCCCAGAGGTTAGGACTGTGGCTAAAGACGGCTGCCGAGAGGTTCCAGATCCCTGCACCGTTTGCTCAGTCCCTGTTTGTGATGCAGACGAGGTCGGACGGGTGGACGGCCCAGTCTGACCGCTAGATACACTTAAGCCTGTGGGAGACAGCGACCCGCTAGCACTCTGGCTATTCGGGCCGTTGGCAGAGCTTGACTGAGCAAGCCCAGTCTGTATGCTTGTTGGGAGTAAAGATTGTCCAGAAACTTGCGGTAAGCTTGGCGTGAACCCGGAGGACGTGATCAGTGTAGGAATACCACTCAAGGGCGGTGTGAGAGATCCTCCTAGTAGTACGGACGTGCTAGCCACAGAAGTGGCCGAGCGTGTTGGGCCTGACGTGTAAGAGGACCCCAAGGAACCAATCCCAGAAAGAGTTCCAGGTATCAGGTTCGAGAGTGAGCTTTGTAAACCGGTCGAAACAGTAAGGCTTGGGAGAGAGGGGACAAGGGCGGAGTCTGATGCCGTCAGGCTGAGTGAAGGTATGCCACTGAGACCCGATGTTGCGCCAGAGGATAGGTCGACTGGTAAACCCGAAAGACTTGTGGTCGGTCCGAGGGACCTGGAGACTGAACTAGAGCTGCTAAGGGTAGCACTGGGGAAAGCAGAAGCAGAAGCAGAAGCAGACACACTAGCGGCCAATGAGCTTATCAGCGACGACAAGTCACCGTTGAGTGTGGCGGTCGTCAGTCCAGAACCACCTGGAATACCAGTGAGCGAGGGCAGCGAAAGACTTGTGCCAGAGCCGCCAATAATCGAGGCACCAGTGCCAGGACCGACTGAAGAAGAACTGTCCGGATTTGATCCAGTGGAAGCGCCTGAGCTCTGGGCTGCACCGTTTGATGAAATTGATATAGTAATTCCAGACGATATCGATGGTTGGCCGCTCGTCAGCGCGAGAGATGACAATGTGAATCCAGTCGAGCTCCCAGACTGCGTGGTCACAGAGCCGGTCCCGAGAGAGACAGAACTGTCACCAATCGAAGATACAGATAGGCTGCCGGAGGAGCCCACACCAGTGTCGAACGTGGAAATGGATGTCAGGCTAGCGTTTGTGAAGGACAAACTCCCTGTCAAAGACTCCACATCAGGGATATCAATCGTCGTCGTGCTGCCAGTGTTTCTCACAGCCCTCAACCTTAGTGCAGAGTACACCGGCTTCTCGCTCGCGCGAATGCCTGTCACATATGTGTAGATGTTGCATCCGTCATTCGTAGCTGACAAAGCCACGCAGTCTTGCATGCCATCACATAGATCGTTGCATCCGTCTACGTTGCCTCCAACTTGAGTAGCGTTGACGAGGACAGTGCCTTCGTAGATGTTGCCACAAGACACGAGTCTAGAGTCACTCTCGCCCTCATCCTGGGATATCATGCCGTTGATGCCAGGACATTGGCCAATCTCGGCATCTGCGATCGGGTTCGTCGGACTGGGCAGAGCAGATGTCGGGTTATTCGTGACTGCAGCAACGACAGTCGTGGCGCTTGCAGTGTAAAATGTGGTAATACCCTGAATGGTTGTTGACACTACAGATCCACCGGTCAGGAATGTAGTGGAGGCCCGAGCAGGAACACTTGAACGAGTGGGAGACGCCAAAAGTCGAGAGCTTGTCGCAAATTGAGAGTCGGATACGCTGCCATAGGTCTGAGATGCTGGAGATGTCGTTGATTGAGGACCTGTCGGTGCATATAGTGTGTCCGCTGGACTCGCTCGACCAGATCTCACGCTTGTAGCCGTAGCGCCAGTCGGAGCACCGAGGTCACCAGTGAAGGTCGCCAAAGGAGCAGCTACAATAATCTGGGATCCGCTCAATGAGTATGTTGTTCCAGCTACCGTCACGGCAGATCCACCAGGCACGAGAGTCTGCGATCCAATCACCCAGTTCGGTGCGTTGGTTGGTGTAGCTTGAACCCCGTTCGGCAAAGTCAATGGTGAGCCAGGCGAAATGTTTGCCAGTGTGAAGGGGCTACCGTTGATGAATATCGAGTTACCCGACGCTGGAAGCGAGTATGTAACCCAAGAAATCACAGCTGTGGAACCAGGAGCCAGTGTAGTACCGGCCAGAACGAATTCAGTGGCGCTTACTGGCGTGAATGTATGTGACCCAATCACGACATTGGGTACCGCTGTAGGTGTGACGACAAGCCCATCCGGCAACGTCAAAGGAGAACCTACAGGTCCAGTGGGCAAGGGATAGGATTGACCATTGACAAAGATCGCATTCCCGGAAGCCGGCAGCGAGAATGTCGTACCTGATATGACGGCAGTAGAGCCCGGTGCCAGTGTGGTACCACCAAGAATGATGTTCGTCGCGCTGGTCGTTTGAAGGCCTAATCCCGGACCGCTAGTCGCTGCTGGACTGGTAGGCTCGACAGTTGGGGTTGCAAGTACTCCATTGGGCAACGTGATGGGTGAGCCAAGAGATGCAGTCGGCAAAGGGTAAGACTGTCCATTGATGTATACGCCGCCTGAGGTTGGCACGGAGTAAGTGGTACCAGAAATGACGGCCGTGGAACCAGGTGAGAGAGTAGTCCCAGCAATCACGAGCTGGGTGGACTGGCCAGCTTCGAGAGATGTTATGGACGCCTGTATTCCGGCAGTGGTGGGTGTAGCTACCACACCATTCGGCAAAGTGAGAGGGGAGCCAATATAGCCAGGAGAAGCAGTTAGCAATGCGTAAGGTTGGCCGTTGACGTAGAGGCTGCTTGGAGGGGTCGGGAGCGAGTAGGTGGTACCAGATATCACTGCGGATGAGCCGGGCAATAACGTGGTGCCGGGTAGAATGAGGTATGTAACAGGGCCAGTTTGCGAAGGTCCAACGGTTGATGGCGAAGATGTGACAGAAAACGATGTGAGCGGAAAGTCGAATGTTGCGATTGTGACAGATGAGGTTGTCCCGCCTGTGACCACCGCCCTAACCCTGAGCTGCGCAAATTGCGTCTTCGGTGACACCACACCAGTACCCGAAGTGATTGCGGAGTAGAGAGAGCAAGTAGAGGAGTCGGCATCGAACCCAGCTGCCAGACAGTCGTCATCTGCACTGCAGGTACTTAGGCATGACTCCATGTCCTGCGCTGAGAAGGTGCCCAGTAACGACCCAGCAAAAACGGTGTTGCACTGCACTTGATACTGATCACCACTCGTAGTTTCTTCGTATGCGTATGCTGCTTGCGACGTCGGGCAGTCCAATGAAGGGGATAGCGTGATGAACGGTGGACTTATCACGGGCGGGATTGAGCCGCTCTGTGATGTCGATGGAATCGAGCCTCCGTCCGAATTTGAACCTGATCCAGAAGCAGGAGTCGTCCGCGTAGGATTCAAACCAATGGAACTTTCCATGGCCGCCAAAGATGTTTGGGCAATGCTGGAGCTCGCTGCGGCGCTGGGGCCACTGCCACTAGCATCACTGCCACTGTTGCTTGTAATTTCAGAACCGCTACCGCTCGCATTGCCGCTGCGGGTGCTTGTGATCGCAGAACCACTGCCTTCTGCATTGTTGTTGGATCGACTGGAAGGCGATCCCGGTCCATTTGATCCACTGGGAGAAGACCCTGCCCATTGCGATGTTCTAGAAGTTCCTGACACATAGCCCTGTACGTTGCTGGATGTGCTATATGAACCACTGACGGAATTTGCTGAATTGTAAGTCGATTCCGTGGAAGTGGCTCTGCTCTGCGAAGCTGAAGCCACCGGGACTGTGCCATTGTGGGTGAATGTATAAGGGACCGTTGATCCATTCGTATAGATCCAGGCGTGTGAAGGCCATGCAGTCGGTATCGAACATGTCGCTGGATATGCAGTGATTGTGATTATGTGAACTTTCCAAGGTCAGCGATTCGTTTCTGAAGGTCTATTCCTGATCCATACCAGCAGTCTGAGCGGATGTGATCCCCAGAAACGAGAGCAAGATAGCAGCGTTGCTATAGGGACGCATATTGGGCGAGCCCGAGAATGAGGATGAGCCGCGAAACGGCAGCGGGAGACGATTCGGCAGGCCATAGCAACGGGCGAGTCGGTGTTGATAGCCAGCACGTGTTCACATTCCGAAACGTTTTCTGCAGAAGGCCATGGCGCAGGCGAGGCTGTTCGCAGAATGGCCGCACTTTGTTCGATTGTGAGCGGAATGTGCTTTCCGGGAAGCCGACTGGCCCGACGTCTCTCGGCCCGAGCGTTGGTGGTGGCACGGCAGGGAGCCAGCCTGGTTGCGCGTGAAGATTGGTCGGCTGCTCATCTCATCGCCGTGCCGAACTCCTCGATTTGAATCTTCTGTCAACAAGCCGGAAGGTTTGGGTATGATGTGAGAATGCGGCAGGCGTTGGTGATTCGGCTACCGACTGGAGAGCTGCCCTTGGCGTACAAAGGTCAATTCGACACTCGTGGCTTTCTTTTCTCCTTTCGTTTCTTCCTCTCGATCGAACTTCGTTTCATATTGTTTGGGATTGTCGTCGCCATCGATTTTCGGCAAGCCGAGCTCTCTCGGCGTGAGACGGGCCATGATCCAGGAGCTTGGGACTGAGGAGACGGACGACGACCAAAACGTCGTGTCTGGTGATATTTCCCGTCTCTGCAATGTGAATGGCGAATTCGGGCATACTTATTCCGTGGAAGACCCCTCGACGACAAAGACACAATCTACATTGTGGAATTCGCGCGGCGTCCGGTTCCGGCATGTCATGGCTGCAATCCCGTTCGACTTACCGTTCGGTCCGGTCTAAGCACTGCTCGTGCTGGTAAGATGCCTATCAGAGGTACAGTCAGAAAACAATCGTGGAAGAGATGGACCAAGGGATACGTATACATTGGCGAGTTGGCTGGAGAGAAGCAGGTGAAGAGGAACGCGCCGACGCGTCTTTCCGAATACAGACTAGCGTGAACTATACCTATGCGGCACTTGTTGCTGGAATATACCTTCAATATAGCATCGAATCTGCCCAGGAGAGAAGTCGTGATGTCAAACACGGACATTCCCCTGCTACGCCCATATCGCAATCATCGCCATAAGACCACACCCAAAGAGTAATGCCACCACTGCCTCTGCTCGAGCACGGAGAGAAAGAATTCTGTAGCTCTTTTCACTCAACAGATCCTCTCCCAACAGCTGAACCAGCCCGGCGTACATGATCATACCTGCCTGCATGTGGGATTAGTTCGGAGCCCGATTTGCATGAGGTCTCTCCGCCCAGGAGTTCTGTCAAGGCTCACCGAAATAGCATTTGCAATCCCAACCACCAGCAACGCTGTCTCGCCCTCAGGGTCGTACGTCGTTCGAAGACCCAGCCCGATTGCTTGGCCAAGTGGACAGGTAAGTCCATACTGTTGACAGGAATCAGCCTTGCATCGGTAAGGTCAGGAGACTGCACTCACCGCAAGAGACATCGCCCAAGGTTTGAAGCTCGAGATGCGAAGACTCGGGATGGCTGCAATCCGTGCACCAAGTGCGAGGCCCTCAAAGATCTGGTGGAACGCAATCGCCACCATGAGAGCAATGAAGGTGGTTCCGGTAGAAATCGAAATCGACAGCCCGATGAACACACTGTGGAAGAGGATGCCGGCTTCCAACAGAAGACATTGCAAGATCATGCGCTGTTCTTTCGGGTGAGGTAAAAGGCTTGTCGACTCCGACTCGACATCATCCGTACTGATATCTTGTGCTCCTGCCGAATATGTTGCATGCGAGCCTGACTTTGAAGCACCGTTTGGAAAGATCAAATCCACTTCGCCATGTCCATTCGGCCGGCTACCTTCCGCGCCGGGACTTTGCAATCTGCCCTGCTCCATGTCACGCGGTCTGACATGTCCATTTGGCATGCTCGAATGAGCTTGGCCTTCCTGCACCGTCACTCCAGCGTGATCGTGAGAATGCTTTATCCCAAACAAGGAAAACCCCATCTCCACAAGAATGACAGCCAACGCAGCCACCATCGCGATAAACCCCGGCATGGCATCATACCCTTCAGTCCAGAAGTACGGCAGACATTCGTTCCAGAGATTCTCAAACGCCGTCGGCAGGAGATGTGCGAAGGCGAGGGCGATCAGCACTCCAGTACCGAAGTGCTTGCTGATGAACAGGGCATGTTGAGAGATAGCGAGCTTGGGGAAGGCCTTCACCAGGACCGGAAAGGAGCATGCGAATGTGCCACAGGTCAGGATCAGGAAGACCGCGAAGATGTGCAGGCCCAGGTCATACTCTTCGGCGGCGTCGGTCGAGCCGCATTGTGAGCGACGGATGTTCATGATGGGCTCTTGTCGGGTCATGATCGGAGTCGCGTCCATTTCTTTATGATGTTTTGCGGTGGTCGTGCCGTGGCCGAGTGTGGTGTTCAAGCATTTTCGAGTTTGCAAAACATTTGTAAGTAGGTCTTGGCCATCAATGTGCAGAGGTAGCAGTCCTGACATCAAGGTTGAACACAAGAGCCAATCCGACAACGCCACTCCAAAACGAGTGTCAGCAGCCCTGCACCGCGATGGAGCATACATTACGACCCACAGCTGGTCAGTTGATGGCCTGGTCAAGGAGGTTTGGCAACTGTACACTGACTAGACAAGTTTGGTGGTGCGCTCACGTAGCAGATAAATCTGGAACCTGATATTCTGGTCATTCTGGTCAATATATCCGCTCTGCTGCATACCGAATGCCAATCTCGAACTGTACATGTCGGACATGCCAGCGTTCAGAGATGATGGTAATCTAGACCTTGATGTTCCCCAACCCAGCATTCGCTCTCACCACCTTCTCCACATTCTTGACAGGCGTCAACGTATACTTGTACGGCGCCTTCTTGAAGCTCCCAACCTGCGTGATATTCACGAGCGAATCGCCAAAATCGTTCTCTACACGTTCACATCAGCATTCCCTGGCCCCTGATGGTCATTGACATTGTACTTACTCGCTCCCAGATTAGCAAACCCATCAAGCTCCTCGTCACCACAGACACACGTATTCGGGCTGTCCTCAGGAATCACAAGCCCGTACGTATCGACAGCGATAGGCGTGTTGCCGATGAACTTGTTGCCTTCGACGAGGACTTGGTTATCAGAGCGGGAGTGGATGGCCTGGTAGAGGTAGTCTTCGTAGAGGTTGTTGTAGATATGCTGATGACTGCCCAGTCCAACATCAGTAATCGTCGAAGTTAGAATTGACACTGAGAGACGTACCCAAACCGTCCAGCTGGTCCTCTCGTGCCGAGATTCCTCCAATAGTTGTGGTGGTAGGTGATGTGCAGATGACCAAAATCTACATCGCGAAGGATGTCCGAGTTGCCGATGAGGGAGACTTTCCAGTGGTCGTGGAAGTAGTTGTTTGAGACGGTGATCCAGTCGCTTGCGCGGACGATGTCGAGTTGACCGTCCTAGACAACCATCCGTCAGCAACTAATGCGTATATCTTGTTGCCGTGGAGGGTATGAGCTTACGTAGAAATCCGGTCCAATCTCGACGCTAAACTGACTCTCAAACTCGCAATGGTCAACCCACACCCTCGTCGAGTTGTGAATGGCCATCGCATCATCTCCTTCGACGAACCTAATTCCGATGTTCCTGGCGATCACATTGGTCGCATTGACGATGCTGATGCCCTCGCCAATGATGTTCGCACCTTTTCCCTTGCCGAGAAGTGTTGTGTGCGATCCTACTCTCAATCGTCCAGAGGGTTGGAGCTCCCCATCGAGGTAGATGATCTTGGGAGCGTCGCCCTGGACAGCGGAAAGCAGTTCATCGGCATTTGTGACAGTGATGGGATTGGCGCCTCTGCCTCCTATCGTGGGACCGATGGGATTATCGAGAGCGAAACCCTCCAGGCCCGGTGTCTTGTCATTGCGGCTCCAGATGTCCAAAGTGGGCCATGCAGTCGCCAAAGCAAAGGCGTTGAGGGCAAAGGCCAGCGAAATAAACTTCATCATTGTAGATTCTCAGGTGGAAGATACTTCGACGACAAGACGAAAGCCTGCTTGCCATGGCACCGCAATCCTATCCTTATATGGACGTGACAGAAATGCCAAGTACGGAGATTCATCCTTCGAACGATCTCCAGCTGTGTAACTTCACACCGAGGGACACCTCAATTTTCCGCAAATCAATCTCCATCTCCTGCATGCCAAGATGGGAGAGGCGAAAGCGTTAATATGTAGGGACCAAGATGTCGCTCGCAGATGGGCCGATGGCTTCGACGTACATGTAGCCCCGGGAGGCCTCGAGCATGACGTGCATTCGAGGCAGTCCGGCTTCCCTGAACTTTGACGTATTCGCTCCGATCTTCGTTTGGAAATGTATCTGAACGTTTCGACTTGAGACGGAAGTGGACCAGAATGAGGTGAAGTGCATGTATTACCCCTGCGGCTGTCAATATACTTCGTGCGGGGTGCATGGTCTGGAGATTGGGGGTGCCATTGAAGGATCAAACAAGCGAATTGATTGCTCAAAGATGGAGAATGTCGATGGAAGAATTAAATAAAAGCGTGAAAAAAGCGAACTGGGCCATGAGGGGCAGCTATATCATTTCATCTCTCTGTTTAGTCACTCTCCGAGGACGGACAATACGTACAGATCACGAGATAGGAATCGACTGGTCAACCTCTGCTGCCCAGTCTCTCCTCTCTGATGTCTCTTCGTTGTTGCCCAAATCCTCCCTCGAAGACGGCATTTCGTCGTCAGTGGTCACTGCACCGGTGTGCACACCGCCGTCGTCCTCACTAGCACTGGCACCCCTCTCCTTCTCTTCCTCTGCCAACTCTGCGGCCTCCCAGTCATCCGCTACAACCTCAGGTTTCGGTTTAGCCTTCGGCTTCTTGGCAAATGTGACCTTGCCTGATGTGAGTGCGGCGAATGTGTTTGTCGAGCCGACACTGTTCTGAACCGAGATCTTCGGCGCATTCTTCTTCGCAGCAACCTTGGACCATCCGTCTCCGGTAGTTCCATCAGATTCGTAGCGAGCGATGTTGAGCGAACTGTCGGTCGTGCAGAGCTGAGTCGAACCATAGCCTTTGGTGGCGATGGCAGTAGCCAGCGGCATCTTGAGGTTCTGAAGCATACGTTCAAGATCTGGCGGCGGAAGTGTACGGCTTACAGCCTTCAGAATGATATCCTCGCTTGGAAGGAATTCAATGTCAAGGGTGAAGGGTGTGCTGGGATGTAGCACATTATCCACTTCTGATCGGACTTCATCAATCGTGAGCCCGAATCGAGGTTTCGTAATGCGAAAGCTGTTGAAGGGCTCGAAGACCTTCGGCTTCGCTTTGACGGGATTGGCGCCTTCAGTATCTGAAACATTTGCGCTAGCATTGGCTGATAGCCGGGCCTGTTGTCTGATCCTGTACGCATCTGCTAAAGTCTTGTTTGGAGCACTGACAAATCGAGGCGTCTTCCAGATCATGACATGTCGATGAGGTTCAGGGTCAACACTGTCAGAATCCAGTCCAAAGTCTTCAGCCAAAGAGTGAATGAACGCTCGCTGCTGAGCTTGCATAGGCTTGAACCTCAAACGCTTCTCGTCGTCGGACGTGGCGAACACTCTGAACTCCCGCTCTTGATTCTGAGCCCACTTCATGTGCTGGGAGAACAGGTTGAGGGTTTCAGCAGAGTAAGGAATATGGTCCCCGCCTTCAACATGGTTTGTTTGATCAATGTTCAATGCCAATGCCAATTTGCGGTTACGCTCCAGACGGGCGCACTCTTCGTTGCAGGGCAGTGACTTGTTGAGGTTTCCGTCGCCGTTCTTCGATGCACCGCACTTGACTTCTTGCTTCTGGGCTTGGCACTCGCAAGTGATGAACATGATGTTTTGGCATGGCTTTTCTTCTTTGCAGGGGAAAGGTGCGTGGCAGAGCTGCTCATCAGGATGGCCACACGCTTTCTTTTCTTTGCCACAAGGCTGCTGGCATTGGCGGCCGTTGGCGTCTTCGCAGTCTCCATTTCGGTGGCAAGGTTTGCGGCAGTAATGAAACCCGCACGAAAGCTTCTTCTCGCAAACCTCCCCGCAACCAACATCACGTAGCCAGCATTGTTGGTTCTTCAACGTCTTCTTGCCGCACATGCAGCGCTTCTCGACCAAGAACGGGCATCTTGGACAGTTGTCGTCGTCGAGGTGGCAGGTATGTGAAGTTTGTGGGTGTCCACAGGGTTTCGGTCGATCGCAGGGAAGACGGCATGGCGGTGGTGAAGTTCCACAAGGCAATGGAGGTTGCAATATGGTTCGGCCGCAGTGGCAGCTGATCTCTTCGAAGATGGCCTCTCGGCAGGTACCACACGGTCCTCTGTGGCACAGTTCCGTACAGTTGTGGTTACCGCATGTCAGCAATCGTCCACATTCTCTCGTGCAGATGTGCTCGGGCTCGAAGTTGTCTTCGGTAGCTCGTGGAGCAGAGTTCAATGGCCGGCGTTTCTTCTTGCTCGACTGCCTTTCGACAGCTTTGCGTTCGCCTTCGCAACAACGCTCCTCACACATATGTCGTGCACAGTTGAGATTCGTCCTGCAAATGCGCATGCACTGTGGCGGCTCATCTTTGCCCTGGTGACAGATGGTCTTGTGCGAGGTTCGACCGCAGCGGCAGGTGATGGTAACAGTTTGCAGGCATGCAGGGCAGTCTCCTGAATGGCACACTGCCGGGCATGAATGACCACAAGGAAGGACTTTATCGCAAGGCTTGTCGCAGCTTGGAATGGGGTCTTCGCAAGTAAGGCGATGCTCTCCAGATAGATCGGTGAGTGAAGTTTTGCCACAAGTGCAGTGCGTGACAACATCAGCCGAGCGAGGGCAATGCGCTGGCTGGGCGTCTTGTGGGTGGCATGCGTTCTCGCAGTGGTGAACTCCGCAGTCAAAGGCACGGTCGCAGAGATTGCTACAATCGAAGACACCCATCCAATCTTCTGCAACATGCTCGCCATCGTCCGTTTTGTGAGTCTTTCGACTCTCTTTTGGTTGGCCTCGATCGCTGCAAAGAACGTCTTTCTCTACGCCTCCGCAATAGCACCGGGCCGGTATCCGCACGTCGCAAGCCCCGCAAGGACCGTCATGGCAAGGGCGAGCGCAATAATGCTCGCCGCAAGGCATCTCTGCACCGCAGATCTCACCGCAGCTGAATCCAGAAGTGTAGTCCGTTTCAGAGCATCTCTTGGTAGTCGTGTGTCTGCCGCAATAGCAGGATTGACTAGGTCCCATGTGTGTGCAGGGCGGGCAAGGTCCAGCATGGCATGTCAGCTGGCATGGGTGTGGGCACTTTCTAGCCCTCTCTTTGCTGCAAGTCTGACCGCAAGAATGAGGAGGCAGTCCAGCGAGTGAGCGAGGCTCGGTCTCCTTCTCGCACCAGCAGGTGTAGGAAGATGGTAGGGCATCTTTAGGTAGATTACAACCAGGACACCGCCACTGTCTCATAGCAGGCGTCTCTCCATCCTGTGGAGTCTGCTGATTCATAGATGCCCCAGCATTTGAAGACCACTTCTTGATGCAGGTGAGGTGGAAAACAGTCCAGCATGTGTGGCAAGACCAAACTTTCGAGTTACGGCGGACTTCGTTTGTGCAGATAGCACATTCGTAATGGCCGTTATCGATGTCCTCATGAGTGCGAGTGGCGATATCCGGAGCCTGCGATTTCGACATGCGTCGTTTCGGTAGTCGTGGCTGCTTTGTGGCCTTTGGCTGTGTCTGCGTGACATTCTGAACGTGCTGCTGGCCTGGCACGAATACGGGAGCATTGCCTTGCAGCCCGGGTTGATTTGAGGCTGATTCCGAAGAATTCGTTTCTTCTCGTGTGAGCTGGCCGCCAAATGTTCGACCATTGACTGTCCGGTTCTCCGTTTGCCTCGCTGCTCTGCCCCGTGAAGATCCTCTACCCCGCCCACCGCGTCCTCGCTGTCGAGATTGGCCATCAGTGTGATTTGGGGTCGTCTCGCCTACAGGTTCTGGTGCAACACTGGCCGGGCGAAAGCTCAGCGAAGAAGTCTCGCCACCTCGAGCCTGCCCTCTCTGCCCTCTGCCACGCCGCGGTCTTCTACCTTGACCTCCGCGGGATTGATCTGGGTTATCATGTACTGATGCTCCTGAGGTGGAGGGAATCGCCTCCATGCTGTACTGTGAGGGTGCCACAAGCTGAAGATGTTCGTCCAGGGTGATGGTCTGATGGATTGTCCGGCGGAAAATCGTGTGTTCGTGGTACTTGCAATATGAAAAAAGCAGGCTCTCACAATTGCGGCCTGATTAAACGAGTAAATACAGCAGCAATCAGGGGCGCACAGATGAGAGAAAGTGAGTCAACCGTGTTTGTGTGCGTGGCGAAGTGCATTGAATGTGTGTTCGACCGGCCATTACTCAGATGTCCCAAACGGGTCATACTAGCGTCTTTTAAGCTTCCCGTCGTGACGTCTGGTTGGTTCTTCTGAGGCTCTGCGGGCCGGGGCGTCAAGCGAAGCTCTAGCGTCCGGCGCATCTCGCAAAACACTCACACGCTGTCTTTCGTTGCGACAACTTGAACCACAACATGGCGACAGATAACGACGACCAGCCTCAGGGCACCAAACGGCCGCACAATGAAGTTGAAAAAGAAGACGCCAGTGAATCTGACTCGGACGACGACCTTGGCCCAGCACTGCCATCCGCCGAACAACCCAGCAAGAAGAAGAGGAGGAAGCTCAAGTTCGAGAAGCAGTACATTGCCGCTCTGCCTTCTGCGACGAGATACTCCAAGTCGCTGATGCACAAGGATCAACTGTCCTTCTGTACCATTACACCACACACCGACTTCCTCATCACCAGCTCCATCGACGGATACGTCAAATTCTGGAAGAAAACGTCGGGTGGCATTGAGTTTGTGAAGGAGTACAAGGCACATGATGATGAAATACGAGGCGTGACTGTAAGCGCAGACGGGCGAAGCTATGCGACTGCAGGTGTGGACGGGACAGTCAAGATATTCGACGTCGAGACGTTCGACCTACTGGCTATGCTTGAGCCTGAAAAGCCACCCAATGCCGTCTGTTTCGTGCACGGTCACGGCTCTTCGTATCCCATACTGGCCGTATCAAATCAGACCGATGGTGGAATTTCCATGTACGACGGGCGAGGCGAGAACCAGACACCGTTGCATGTCATATCGAGCTTGCACAGGAAGCCGGTACATGTCATGGCATACAACAATGCATACGACTGCGTAGTATCGGCCGATGAGAATGGCATGGTCGAATACTGGACACCATCTGGATCATACGAAAAGCCGGACAACGTCTTCGAGATGAAAAGCAGCACCTCCTTGTTTGAGTTCAAGAAGGCCAAGTCGATCCCGTGCTCAATCACGGTGTCATCCACGGGCCAGCAATTCTCGACTTTCTCTTTCCCTGATCGAAAGGTTCGAGTCTTCGACTTTCCATCGGGCAAGCTGTATCGTACCTATGATGAGAGCATCGCCACCATTACCGAAATGCAGCAGGCTGGTACGTTGAGCAGTGAACCGTTGGAGGCGATTGAATTTGGCAGGCGCATAGCCGTGGAGCGCGAGATCGAGAACCCCGCAGTCCGCAGTCGAATCAATATCATATATGACGAGAGTGACCACTTCATTCTGTATGGAAGCATTCTTGGCACCAAAGTCATCAACACCCTATCGAATAAGGTGGTCAAGACATACGGGCGAGAAGAGCCATTCAGGCCACTCAATCTTGCTCTTTACCAGGGACAGCCAGACAAGAAAGGCGTCGTCACAGTCCAGATGGCCACGTCCGATAACCCACTGCTCGCTGAAGCTGAAGCCCGTGACGCTATGCTTGTCGCCACGGGTTCAGGCAAAGTCCGATTCTACATGTTCACCAACGACAACAGCGTCTCCAAATCGGACCGTGACATTCACAACGAACGACCTCGCACTCTCAGCACTACCAAGAAAGCCGAAGAGGAGGCCCGCGAGGCTAGGATGGGTACTTCGGCCACAATCCACACCACGATAGGCGACATCCAGATTCGTCTTTTCCCTCAACATGCTCCCAAATCCGTCGAGAACTTTACGACACATGCACGGAATGGGTACTACAACGGCATCATCTTCCACCGCATCATTCGAAAATTCATGATCCAGACTGGTGATCCTCTCGGCGATGGCACCGGCGGCGAATCAATCTGGGGTAAAGAGTTCGAAGACGAGTTCACTCCAGAGCTTCGACACGACAAGCCCTATACAGTCAGTATGGCCAATGCAGGACCTGGGACCAACGCCAGTCAATTTTTCATCACCACAGAGAAGACGCCGTGGCTGGACGACAAGCACACAATCTTCGGGCGTGTGGTGAAAGGGATGGACGTGATTCATTTGATTGAGAATGCTAAAGTGTGGAAGGAGAAGCCCGTAGACGACATCAAGATGATCAACATCAGTATTGGATAATGATGTGGTTGTGGGTGTTTGAGTTGGCGTGGTGTCTGCAGCTATACTCGGGAAAACGATAGGCTGTCGTCCACCTTCAATTCGACGGCATTGAATGCATCCGACCCCACCTTTCCTCTTGCCACAACCGTTCATCGAGCTGCCGTGCCCACAACCGAAATGGAACCCTTGATTCAATACTTGTTCGGTTAAATCACCTGTTCATATCACTGACTCGCAGCAGAACGTCGACGTCCAGCTATCCTCTGAGAAGAAAGACTCGGTCTTCTCCGTCTTCAGGCGTTCCACAGCCTCGGGCTCGATTCACTTGAGACTACTATCTCAGCAAGATGCCTGTTGGTCACTTCCCACTTCAAGACAAGATCGTTGTCATCACTGGAGGCGGCTCAGGGATATGCTTCTCATTTGCACAACTTGCCCTCACTAGTGGCGCTCGAGGCATCCTCATATGTGACCTCCAACTCACCCCGGCCGCCCAAGATCTGATCAATCAAACTCCCGACGAAGTCCATTTCATGAAATGCGACGTCACAGACTGGAACGATCTGGAAGCAATACCACCCAAAGTCGAAGAGGCTTTTGGAAAGGGCCAAGTGGGCGACGTCTGGATTGCCGGTGCAGGAGTCTTCGAGCCGAAATGGTCATCGTTTATCTACGACGAGGAGAAAGAGGGCGGCTACAAAGCTATGAGAATTAACGCCGAGCATCCCATCAAACTCACCCGCATCGCCATGCGCAGCGCCATCTCCGTCAACAAACCCTGCGCGGTTCTAATAGTCTCTTCCGGCGCCGGCATCACAGGACAATATGCCGCCGCACTCTACTGCGCAACCAAACACGCCGTCGTCGGCTTCACCAAATCCATGGGCCAGGCAGATATCGACGAGAACTGCAAAATTGTCTGCATCCTCCCCGGCATGGTCTCCACTCCACTCTGGACAGGCCGATCAGATGCCGTCGCGAGCCAATTCAGCTACACCGACGAGGTATGCATCACGCCGGAGGACGTCGCGCAGGGCATGAAGGAGATGATTGAGGAGGAGAAGTATCCTGGGGGTTCGCTGATGAGTATTGCGAAGGGAAAGCTGAGGAATGTTCTTGAGAGCAAGTTGGCGTTTGCGAACGATGGCAGTGAGATTTACAAGCAGTTTGAAAGCAAGTGCTATGCGCCCATTAGGGAGATTTGGAATGGTGAGAGGGGGACTAAGTTGTCGTGAGGATGTGTGGGCAAGTCGTTAGAGCATGACATCGAGAACATGAAGAATTGTGTTACAATCCGCGAATCTATCGAGTTTCGCATTCTCCGTAACGTTACCTAGTGGGCGCAAATGTTACCGCCTATGATCAAGTGGAACTAGCTTTGAGCCAGGTTCTCAGCTTGCCCATTCAAGACACCGTACCTCCGGCTAGCCTTCGAGTCATCACCAATAATTCCAATTTCATTCCTAAATAGCACGGCCACATCACCATTTTGAGGCTATGGAGTAGGATTCAATGGCTAATGGAAACTTCTACGCTATTCCTCGCTGGTCTTTCAGGCCTCTGACTCGAGTGTCTAAACGACCACTGTGACGCTCATGCCGATGCTGGAGAGCATGGACGTTGGTTGAAGACTGACACATATATTGAGCATGAAATCGCCCCTTCTACTTCGACGGAAGCATCAGAAACACAGGTCTCCGAGTTCGAGAGTTCTCCTTCTGGAAATCCGACAAGATGGAGAACGACGACGAGTCCAGCCGCTCGAGCGGATCATCAAACCACAGCAATACTGAGGAACTGGAAGAACCTACAATCGAAGCAGTCCAGATCGCAGCACGAAAAGCCTTGAACCCAGACCATGACATTGCCTGTCGCCGGTTCGCAGAAGGCACTCACCATGCCGTCTACGCCATCGGAGACGACCATGTCGCACGCTGCTTGCCAATCTCCGAGAAAGCCATCAAGAGTCTTCGTCGGGACGGTGCGGTTCAGAACCTGGCGAAAAGATCTATGTCCAAGCCAGATATCGTGTCAGAAGTACTGGAGACTCCATTGATTGTAGACGGATGGCAGGGAAATCTTGAGAGAAGATTGCATGGCATATGCCTGCAGGACTCGCAGCCGACCGCGAAAACTGAGGCGGATCTGGCCCAGCTGTTGATCGACTTGAGGGCGGTGGATGTTGGCGAGGCCTTAGCTGCCACAGCTTACCAAGAGAGCAAAGTCAACATCAAAGCCAGGGTTGGCAAGACTATTCGAGCGTGGGAGGAGCTGGTGCAGAAAGGCCATGCTGTTGATCCTGAGGCGAAATTGTCGAGCATGTTGAAAGAAAAACTTGAAGGCTTATCGAAAGTTTCCGAAGGACTCTACCAGCCAGCGCTGCTGCACGCCGATATCAACACCGAGAACGTCCTCGTCGATCCCAAAGACGGCTCCATCACCGGTGTTCTTGACTGGTCTGATGCCTTCGTTGGCGACCCCTGTGTCGAGTTCTCTGGTGTCATCTTCGCCATTGGCGTCGAAGGGGCAAGGAGAGTTGGTGAGAAAGTCGGTTTATCCGCGGTAGAGATCGAACGAGGATGGCTGTACACCATGACTGAGATGATCAGGGATTTGAGAAAGTGCTTGTGTGGTGAGAAGAGAGATGAGCATCTGACGATGTTGTTGAAGGGGGAATGGGGGAGGGTGTTTGAAGGGACTGGTTTTGAGGGGCTTTTGCGATCTGAGAGGTCTGCAGCTTAAATACTCTACTCTTCTGGCTGGCATCGTCCCATCCAAGACCGTCCAGATAAGATTCTTGCAAGGCTCGGCACCTCAAAGAGATACCATTGCCGCCGTACTCATTCCCCGACTCGTGTCAGATCTTCCCCGGAGATCCAAAACCTGGAGGAGCGACGCGGAGTACAGTCAGGACCGTTCGTTCATTCCCTAGAGTCGCTTCTATTTCCCCACACAAACGACAATACCACGCGATATGTTCCTGTATTGTCTTTATGCTGATGGAAGGACGTCGAGGATAAAGCGGGGGACGCATGTGATGGAGACAGGAAGAGGTGAAGTCGATGTCGTAGAGGTCCGTGCTCTTTCATTTCCATCCCAGCCTTCTCATTTCCATCGTCTCTCGATCAAAACAAGAACTTCGAGGACGGCGCGATGTTTTCCTATAGTCGACTCTACCCTGAAGAGATTCGGAAGCTAAAGAAAAGAAGACAGCGATGACGACAATGCGACCCACTTGGGAAAAGGATCGCTGACCAAAATCCTCGCCCCAAAACAGACCTTCGGATACGCGGAAAGGATGAGCAAGGACAGACTTTCTCTACAACGTGATTCGAGCGTAATGGCGTGCTGAACACTCTGACGAAGCCCACATTCCAATCTGCCTAGTGAGCGAGTGACGACGAGGCCAGAAAGACTATTATATCACAGATAAGCCTTCGCCGAGATGTCTTGTGCAGCGTGCAAGCTTTCAGGCCATGCAGTCCCCCCGCCAGTACCGCGCCGTGAGGTCGGCGGTTGCTCGACAGGTTGAGACTGGGAAGATTGTGAATCTGCCAAACGAGAAGGTCAGCGTGCTGAGCGATGATGCTTCTTCTCAAACGAGCCATTCCACCGCCGACTTGAAGGAGAAAAGCCACGAAGACGGCGATATCATCGTGGGGTGGGAGGGTCCACAGGGTAATACTTCTTAGCATGGCTGGTTGCATTCACGTTCCTAATCGAGATTGATAGATCCCCTCAATCCTCGAAATTGGTCTATTGCCCGACGATGCGTCATCTTCGCTATTCTCTGGATCAATGTCTTCGCCGTCGACTGGGCCTCGTCTGCCGATAGTCAAGCTGGGTCCAAGATCGCGAAACAGTTCCATGTTAGCGAGGAAGCAGAGGCCCTCTCGCCCAGTCTGTACACCTTTGGACTGGCCATTGGATCACTGGCGGCTGGGCCTATCGCTGAGACAGTGGGAAGAAATCCTGTCTACGTTGTCTCAAGGATCTTCCACGTACTTTGGCTAGTTGGAGCTGCCCTGGCTCCTAACTTCGGCGCGCAATGTGTCTTCCGACTATTCGCCGGCTTGTCAGGTAGTATCTTGCTTGCCATTCATGCGGCGTCGACGGCAGACATCTTCGGGCCAGTTCATCGAACACTTGCATGGCCAATCATCGCATTGGCCTCATTCTGGGGAACAGCTCTCTCGCCAGTCGTAGGTGCCTGGATTGCTCAATCGTCACACATCAGCTGGCGGTGGACGGACTGGATAGCAGTCCTACTTTCTGGAGCCACACTCATCTTGACCCTGTTCTTCCTTCCAGAAACGTTCTCTCCAATCCTACTCGCATGGCGAGCAAAGCATCTCCGCGACATCACAGGGTCGGAACGGTTTAAAGCTGAAATGGATCTGCAAAATACAATCTGGAAACGGTTCCAAGTCGCCCTTCTGCGCGCATTCCACATGATCACCCGAGAGCCTATTGTCGTTCTGTTAGGAGGATGGATCGTGCTGGAGTATATCGTTGTCTTTGGTCTGCTCCAGGGCTTCACGTACATCTTTGGCGATACCTACAATTTCGAGAGAGGCCTCATCGGAACAGTCTTCGTGGCCATCGGTATTGGCTGTACGCTTTGGACTTGTTTCATGCCATACTACTATCACCTCTACAAGCGCAAGGTGAAGACACTGCATCAGCAGATCACCGGTGAATGGAGAGACGACCTGGTCAGGGCTGCCAACATTCCTGGACAAGACCTACCAGATCCTGAGTATCGTCTCTGGTATGCTTTGTTCGCTGCACCCGCGTTTCCTATTAGTTTGTTCTGGTTAGGTTGGACGAATTTTTCTTGGATTTCGCCATGGTCCGACTTGGGCGCAACGACTCTGCTTGGATTTTCCTGGGCCGGTATCTACGTGACCGTATATCAGTACATACTGGACACTTATGGAATCTACTCCGGCAGCGCCCTATCAATCATCACCTGCTGGCGATATCTAGTGTCTGGAATGATCAATATGGTGTCTCGTCCAATGTACAACGGGATCGGCGTGCACTGGACGATGACTATGCTTGGATGCCTTGCTGTCATCCAGATGCCGCTTCCCATCGTCTTCTACTTTTACGGTGACAGAATCAGGAAAAGGAGTGCTTTCGCTAACAGGTATGCGAGAACGAATACTCCACGAACTCGAGAAGGGCACGCGTTGCAGTGGAAGTGACAGCATTAAACGACCCATGTAGAAGTTATAGTAGGAATAGGTCCGGACGGATGCCACTGCTTCCATCTCCCGCTGTCAAAGTGCCTAGCCTTATGAGACATATCTTGGCCGTGAGATTCGGAAGCTTGTGGAAGGGAGACATGCATCTATTGGTCTACGACGTCTGCCGAATGCAGAGCCTTCGCACTAAATTGACCCATATAGGGTTAGTCTCACAGGCGAAGAACCACAAATCATTGTGACTTGTATGGTTGAAGAGGTTGGATTGGCTCAATGAGTGTTCAGTGGGCCATTCCATTGCGAGCCCTACTCAATCTCGAAGGCACATGACTTGGTAGCTTTCCAATATGAAACACCTTGCGAGCTGTACGGCTGGAGGCCATCGGCAGTAACGACATCTGACAGGGCTGCAATCCTACCTAACCGAGGCCAGCTCATGTCGACCATATGAGGCCCAACCCTTCATATACGCTCGTCCAACACCCAGTGCATGTCAGCCGACCTTCCCCGCGGCCACGTCTCCTCGAATCAACATGTCGACAACCACAACCAGCACAACAACGGCAACTCCAAAAACCCCCGCCATCCTCCCCTTCGACATCTCCACCTACCCCAAACTCGACCACAAACAAGCCGGCCACCTTCGCCACTTCCACAACCTCCTCGCGCAACCGGACGGCGAATGGCACCATTTCGGCAGCCAAGAACCCAGCCAAGAATGGGACGACGCCTACCGCTACCAACTCGCCACCATGACCTACGCCATGAGCGTCGCGCACTTCCACCGCCTGCCCATCCTGAAGGGCGTCTTCAAACCGCTCGTCCGTCGAGCCATCCACAAAATGCTGCTGAGACAAGTCTGGGGCTACTGGTTCAACACGTCCCATGCTGGGATTGCAACCATGCCGAATTTGAAGGAACTGCGCAAGCCCTGGGCGGATCCGATCAAGCAGGAAAATATCATGTATAGTGGTCATCTTTTGCTCATGACGAGTTTGTATGCCACGTTGTTCGATGACGATGAGTTTGAGAAGGAGGGGAGTATCAAGTTGTTGTGGAATCCGCTGTTTTGGGGGTTCGGGGACGAGGAGTTTGTTTATGACAATCGGAGTGTGCAGAGGGAGATCTTGAGGCAGATGGAGGAGAACGATTGGGTTGGGGTGTGTTGTGAGCCGAATGCAGTGTTTGTGGTTTGTAATCAGTTTCCTGTAAGTATTGACAGTAGGACCGAGATGGATTGTTTGATCGTGCTGACTTTGAGTTAGATCATTGCAATGAGGTTGAACGACACCCGAGATGGGACGAGCGTCGTCGAAGGAGTACTAGAGAAGTATCAGGATGCCTTGAAGAGGAAAAAGATGGTCCAGGATGATGGCATGTATACCCTGTTCTATGCCCTTGATCCTGGCAAGGCTTTGCCATCTCGCCAAGGGGCTCATACCGCATGGTGAGGCAGCATCTAGTCAACCGAGCTTGAAGCCTACTAATGACGATGCAGGGCCAACGCCTACATGAACAGCTGGAACTCCAAGGCTGTCCGCGGTCTATACGACCAATCAACACTTGGCTACATCACCAAGATCGACGGCAAAATCGAACTCCAACAAACTCAAGTAGCCGGCGCATTCCGTAAACTCGTCCTCGTCGACGGCGAGCCCGCAGATTCCATTGAGACGCTGAAGAAAGCTCGTGCAGTTGCAAAGCCAGAGTTCACAACTATGCAGACCCGGATGCCGTAACAGACGATCTCGTGGGGCAACTTCTCCCAGATGCTGTCGGAGCTTGGCAAGAAAGAGGAGTTGTCTGCGATCCAAGCCTACGCCGATAGTTACTTGAGTCCAATGTGGGAGAATGGAGGTCTATACTACCCTCGCAATGATAACGTCTTCGACAAGAACGATAACCTAGTCCATATGGAGCCTCATTCCGGCAACTCTGGCATCGGCTACGGACGATTGAATGTCGAAGACGGCCAGAAGAAGATCTGGGAGAACCCTTGGACACGCGAGACTCTTGCGAATCGCCCGTCGATCGAAGGCATCACGCTGGCTGATGGGTTTGATTTCTTGAGGGGGACCTGGGATGAGGAGAGGAAGGCCGTCATTGTTACATTGAAGCCATGGCAAGATGGCGCGACTGAAGCCAACCTAAAGGTCGAGAATCTGCCCAAGGGCTCGTGGAATGTTTACGTGAATGGCAGCTTGAGGAGCATGCATGAGGCTGGTACCAGCGTGAGCGTTGGTGTTGCCACTAAGAGTGCCCGGGAAGAGGTAAATGTTGTGGTTCTGCGCCAAGATTGAGGATGAGCCGAGCGTTGCCAGACGGAGTTGCGAGAAAGGGGTGTATAGAGGTATGCAAGCGGCTGAGTTTCTTCCTTTGACCCATAGAATACCAGCAGCTTACAGATCTTATCAACTTGATGGTGCGGTGGAATCCACACCTCCTGTCACCGTTCTCGTCCAGGCTTCCGCCACGAATTGTGTGGGGGCTCTTGCAGTTGATAGCTTCGCTTCGCTATGTGGCGTCTGCGAGAAAGGCAGCTCAAGCTGATTATGGCAGGCCCAGGCATTCAGCGTGGCTGATCTTTAGCGACGCGGCGGCTTGTGAAACCGCAAGGCTGAAGAACCTCAGCAGAGTCAAGCGAACCTGCAAGGGAACGTCCTCTTCGCCGATGGTGCCAGCTGACAGGTCTCATATGCCGCCGCAACTTGCCCTCTCCCGCGAAGTTTTGAAACGGCCGTGACAACCATCATGGAAATGACGAAGCCGCTGTCGAGGCTATGCGCCACGTGCTCTGCTACAGATTTCGCGAATCTGCTGGACCCAGCTCAGTGGAGACACAAGCAATCGAATCTGACCATCAAGCACCACCACTCGATCAGTGTTATGAATCAACTCAATCAGATCAATCCGAGGCACTGATCTGATTGAATTGCTCGCTGATTCGCTCACATTGCAACTAGTTGCAACTGATTGATCGAATGTGATTGCTTAGCATTGAGGGATGTAGCCGTTATGCCACGCTAAAACACGCTTAAACACGTGTGCACGGCCGCCGTTAGGGGTTTAGGAGCATAACGGCTGCCTAAATAGGCAGTAACGGCTGTCTCGATCAATCTCAATCAATATTAGTCGAGTATTGACTAATTCCAGCTATTAGTTGATCAACGTCAATCAATTTACAGGCCGGATCGAGTTGAGTTAATGAATCAATTCGATTCGATATCGATTGTGATTGAGTTGACCGAGATCACTGCACTCGATCCTCGAAGTCGAGAGGGCAAAGGACGACAGATCGTGGACTGCTCTTGCATTACTGCCAACTGGAGACGGCGAGAACGCATTTCGTCGTGTTGGTATTTTTAAAGCGCAGCTTGGAACAGGTGAAGAGGGCGTAAGTGAGCGGTCGAAGAACGTAATTGCGAATTGGTTTTTGACAGGCAAGCCCGAGGAGATATTCCTTGTTTGATCGAAAGTCACTTTGTGGCCGGTCCTTCGTTCAAAGAGTCCTGATGGACGCATGAGGCAAGTTCAGAAGTCAATAGTCTTCCTCCATTGATATAGCATCGTAAACACAGCAAAGCTCGCACGCTCACTCACTCACCCCTGACAGCGCTCTTGATAGTGTCCAGTCTCAGCTGTCCTTTTCGACCCCATCCCTGCTGGCTAGTTGGGATATTCGGGCGGAAATCCTCATACATTCCGAACGCCTTGCTGTTCAGCTCGTCTTCCTTGTCCTTCCACGCCTTCAAGCTTTCGTCAAACATGGCTTTGACTTTCTCATATTGCTGATCACCATACTTCTTCTTCAATGTATCCTCATTCCCCTTCTTAGGCTTGTCTCCCACCACTGCTGCGCCATCTTTGAGCTTGAGGTGGAAGCCCATCACTTCGACCTCGCCTAGCTCTGCCTGCTCTTCGCGTCTCTTCTCGCGCTTTTCTTGAGCTTTTCCTGGATCAGGCTTCTCTATTGTACCTATTGAGCGACCTTTGGAGATTGCAGTAATTGTACTGATTGCTCCGCCAATGCTGAGGCATGTTGACCATTCCAGTGACGGGTAGATTGAGTGAGCCACACAGCTAGCCCACAGCTCGAGAACAGGGGCACGGTTGATCGTGATCGCTTCGTTATCTTCACTGGCGTCGTGATGAGAGGGTCTCGTGTCGGGACTGGTCTTCTTCTTCTTCGAAGACGACGAAGCTGTCGTTGCAGTACCAGCTTTCCGCTTGTTGGGTTGCAATTTCGCTGGAGTGGGCTTGGAGGTAGAGACTCCCTTCTCTTCAAGAGTCGTCTGGCTCCTGGTCGTGGCAGGCATTTTGAGCGGTTGTGTCGTTGTAATGTCGGTCGCGTTGATCGCGTTGATGTCATGATGGCTGGACGTCAATAACGGTCTGAATCCCACTGAAGCTTAGCCGCAAGGCTGTGATTTGAGAACATCGATTACATAACCGCTCATTTCGAAGCGAATGCGGGGGTGCCCTTTGACAGCTCTGGAGTTCGCGGTCAAGCACTGCCCGGATGTTCCTCTCGTTCGCGTCATTCCCTTGATTGCTCGTCGTCGGCGGCGGCGGCAGCCTCGGGGGAGGTGCAGTGTACGCTACATGTACTGGCGCCGGGAACGATTGCTGCGGCGGCGGGTTCCAAGGCATGCTCCAGGGAGTCTGATGGACAAGCGCGTTCGGTTGGAACAGTGTGGGCAATGCTACCTCTCTCTCAGCATGGCCTGCCTGTGGTTCCGGAACTGGATCTCTTCGTGGAGGCCTCACGCGGTCTGCCACTGTCGTTCCAGGATGTCGCCAGGACTTGTACATCATGAGCGACGGAGCACGCTGGGTCAACATCCACTCGACTGTGTGGGTATGAGTCTGTGGCAGAGGCCAGTTGCGCGTCCTCTCAATACGGACAGCATACGGCAGTTCAGCCGTCTTTGACCTGTACGACCGAACGATTGCAACAGTCGCCGGACAATCGAGTGTGTTGGCGTGTCTGGCTCTTTTTCGAATGTCCTTTCTCACGCGATCGCGTCGCGTCGCATCTCTTCGACATCGGCATCGTGCGCTTGTCTTCTGGTGGAAGTCGCTCTTTGTCCTCGTTCCCGCCCCTTACGTCTCGTACTGGACCTGGAACCACGACCAGTATCGGTGGAACTCGTCCTCGGAGTTGAAGTTCATGGGCTCCAGCATGTTGTGCACTGCTTCCCGCTTCTCCTGGAGGTCGTCCGGCATCGATTCTTCCATGGCGCAAGAGCAAGGAGTATACAGAATGCAATAAAACGCGCTCGAGCAGCAAGAATATGCCAACAACGCGGTCGAAATGATGAGAGCGAATGTCTGGAATCGAAATGGTATGACAGTCAGTCGGGGTCGCCCGAAATTTGCGTGAACCCCCCACTTTCTGTGACAGTTATCATCCTTACCTTATCGAGAGCTTCATTCTTCATCCAAGAACTCGCCTGTCCTTCTCAACAGCAGCAATTTCCCAATGACATACGACCTTCTCATGGAGAACGCACTGCACAGTGCATGGGAGTCTGCCACATCTCGGCTGTTGTGGGTCGTTCCTCATGGACCGACTCTATTTCACCCCTCAATGGCATTTAGCCGGAATGGATGAGGGGAGTGCACCGTGTGCAACATAAAGTCAGTGAGAGTAGGACTTGTTCCACGTACCCACCATTTAAGTATGCATACCCAAATTGCTCTCACGTTGCTATGCAGCATCTCGTCGGTTACTGCAAACTCGCCTCCTCAACATGGCACAACGATCACGGTCGACACGCACAAAAGATACCAACAGTTCGACGGCATGGGCTTTTGTGAAGCCTTCCAGCGAGGGACACAGATATACGGCGCAGACGGCTTGAGCAGGGCCAACACTGAGCGTGTCCTGGACCTACTCCTTTCGAACACCACAGGGGCAGGTATGACCATCTTGAGGAATGGGATAGGCTCGTCTCTCACCAACCCGTACGATCTGATGAAATCGATTGAGACTGTGAGCCCTGCATCACCCAATGCTACTCCCAATTACGGCTGGCAAGGCACTACCAAGCCTGGATTTGGACTCGACAATGGCCAGCTCCAGCTTAACAAAGATGCAATCGCTAGAGGAGTACGTACGGTCTACGCCGATGCCTGGAGTGCACCCGGGTTCATGAAGAACAATCGCAATGACTCAAATGGAGGCTACCTCTGTGGCGTGTCCGGGATCGAATGCGAAACGGGTGACTGGCGGCAGACATACGCAAACTATCTCATCCAGTATCTGAAGTACTATCGAGAAGAGGGTGTGGCCATCGACTACGTTGGATTTTTGAACGAGCCAGATCTGAAGTATGCTGTCTCTTCTCCTCCAACATATTATTCCTGCTGACACTGATCCCAGCGTAACATATGCCTCCATGCTTTCATCCGGCCAGCAAGCAGCCGACTTTCTGAAGGTGTTCGCCCCGACCCTCGAAGCATCCGGTCTCAAGACAGAGATCGCCTGCTGCGACGGTTCAGGCTGGGAGGAACAACGGAGTCGTCTAGAAGGAATTCAGCAAGCTGGTGCCGAGTCAACGCTAGGACTAGTCACCGCGCACGGCTATTCAAGTCCTCTGTCCACTCCCTTCTCAACTTCGAAGCGTGTCTGGCAAACCGAATGGGCGGATCTCGAAGGTCCGCAGACATATGCTTGGTATTACAACGGCAGCACTGGTGAAGGCCTGACCTGGGCGAACCATATCCAACAGGCATTTGCTGTCAGCAACGTCAGTGCGTTCTTGTCTTGGATTGGAGCGGGCAATACGACGTCGAACTCGGCATTGATCCTTTTGGATGGAGACGAAGTCAATGTCAGTAAACGACTATGGGCTTATGCTCATTGGGGTCGAACTGTTTCTCCAGACGCGGTGAGAGTGGATGTTCGTGTCGAGAGCAGCGCCAACGTGACGTCCACCGCCTTTCAGAACGAAGACGGCAGCATCGCGGTGCAAGTCATCAACAATAGCGACAGAGCACAGCAGATCACCATAGCCGGTTGGCGGACGAGTCGATGGAGCTTCGGTGCGGTCAAATCGTACCTGACCAACAACGACCATGATTTCGATCTCGTGTCGCAGCGAAAATGGTCTCAAGGCACCAATCTCGAAAGCGAGATCCCGGCTTTGAGCATGATGACTTTCACGACAGGAGGATAGTCACTGCAAGGAAGCTCTTAGGAGATTTCGCCAAGCTAGTATTCGTCAGCAGTCTTAGACTTGATACACAAGGCACCGCCAAGCCTGACAAGGAGGCCTACGCTGATGTGGAACCCTTTCCTTATTCCATTGCTGCTCGGGCAGAATAGTTGACAGGTAGGAAAGTGTGAGAACATATGTATCAATTTGTATAAGCATGTTCTATTTACTGATTGATGGCCAAACCGACAGCGACTACGACCGGATGACTGAATTCAAGACTATTTAATCGCTTCAAGATCAATCCCATAGCCTCCTCCTCGCATCCCTCAGCCTCATCTCGGGGCCTAATACTCGCTCCCTGCCGAGCTCTTCTGATCCCTCTGGTCTTGAATTGACCACCCTCTGTTCCCACGCCAATTCTGCCAGGAGACAATCCCGGAAACGCATCAACTCGGGATCCGCCATTTCGCAGACATGTACCCCCTTCCCTTGCTGAACAGTACATTCCGCCGCAAGTTCCTCGAATTTCAATCGACGAAAAGCCTCTATACAGCGAAACTTGGAGGATTTGAGTTTCATTTCATCTTGTTGAGGATCTTGCACGTCGAGGAAGTTGCTCGTGGTGTATGGCGGTCTTGCTTACGTTACGGCGGGATCTTCGCATGATTTTGTAGTCTCCTTGTTTCCATAGTTGAAAGAATGATCTGATTGGTAGAATCCAAGGACGCCGTAAAGTGCGATCAGGCTGAAGAAGCAGATGAGTAGCAGAGGGGCGTATCTGTCTGCGAATGATTCGGACGGCATGGCCGATGGGTATGGGTTTGTGAGGCTGTTGAGGGCGATAGGAGGATTTGATGTTCTCGATCATTGGGTTGATTCGCACGACGCCTTTTATGTAGTTGTTGACTATTATTATTCATAGCTATTCTTGTGGTGCCGAATGTGCCGGTAAAGGCTGTAGGCTGGACGCCATGGATTCAGTGTATCACCATGAACAGGATGATACGAGCGCTCTGAATCTATCTCAATATGTATCTGATCAGGGGGTTTCACGTGTACATAGACGCTGCGGCTGTGCAGTCCAAGCAGAGACACCGGCTACTTTGCATGTGAAAGTCTTGGCAATGGCTTGTGCTACTTCAGGTGTTGTTGGGCACTGCAGCATCACGACAATCACAGCTAAAGATTTTCTTGTTGAGATCTCTCATTCATCCATACAATCGTGCCTGACTTTCATATCATTAATTACAGTGACACTACAAGCTTCCTTACATTTCATGCCACGCTTCGAGCTGTCGAAGACAAAGGGTATTCACCATTCCGCGCCTTCCAGCCGCCCATCCATGGACCATATCTTTCCACGACGACGAGTTGTGTGTACTCATCTACTCGCCCTTCTCGAGATCCTTCTTTCCTCGCTTCCTCTTCCTCATATCGGTACCGCTTGGAACTACGCCGCTCAAGTCGAACACTGGGAGGTTGAAGGGGAAGTCGACGGTTGTCAGCATGAGTGCCAACTCGAGATACCAGCCTATGACCAGCACGACGAAGCCACAAGCACCGCCAGCCTAGAAGCAAGTTAGCAAAGTGACTTCAACGCGGTATGTCCACAGCCTTACAGTCTGAAGCGACTTTCCAGTAGCCACCATTCCCGGTTCGACCGAAACCCACTCCGCGGCAGCCACGAGCATGAATGTGATCACGAGGAAGAAGAAGGCGGCGCAAAACATGACGTTGGTTCTAAGCGCGCAGATGGTGCAGTAAAGGGTGAAGATGGCCATCATCAAGTTCCAGAAGCCTAGTCAAGCGAATCAGTGGAGCTCTTGCCCAAACTATAGCCCTTCACGCTTACCAAGACCTGTCTGGAATGGAGGCGCCATCTGACCAGTGTGAGTGACCGGGTCTGCGGCCGCATATGCGCCATAGGCGTTGAAGTATGGAGTAAAGGTTGCCCCATACGACAAGAAATATCCACCGAACACGCCGAAGAAGGTCGCTGGGAAGGTGTTGCCCAGGATGAACTCAAAGATACATGCGATGATGGCGATCAATCCACCGCTGAAATAGTACGTTCCCACAGTCGCAGCACCAAGGCCAGTGTAGCCCCTCCACTCGAGGATGGAGAAGATGAGAGGACAATACGCGATCAGGAAACCACCAAGACCGATTGGAGTTGGGTTACCGAGGATCCTTCGCATATCACCGGACACCTTGTTCTCGGGAGAGAGGTACATACGTTCGAACATCTCGGGGGTGATTGTGACGCTGCCAGCGGTGCGAACCTGCTGGAGGGTGGGCATCATAGCCGGCGGCTCGTTGCCGTTGCCGTTGGTGTCATGGCCATTGGCGAAGTCGGTGTCCTGCGACTTGTGCATCCTGAGTTCGGGGTCCATGGTGGCAGCTGTCTGGTTGATGATGGGGCTTTGAAATAGGCGCGTGCTCCAAGTCGAAGGAGAAGAAGAGCGGCGCAGAAGCAGGGCAAACGACGTTATATGAAAGCGCCTACGATCGACCCGAGGGTCTGTCTTCTGCACACTTACTTTATCGATGCCCGCAAGCTCAGTTCAAGCGAGTGGAGCATCTCCATATCAGGTCGCAAGAAGGGGATCGTGTGCTCGGATCTCGTACAACAAAGAACAGGCGGCGTAGTATCGACGATTGAGGGTACCTGTGCTAGCCACTATGCAAGCTGACTTCACGCTCACGGTCCTTTTAGGCGCGTGCCGGCGTGGCATCCTGTCGAAGAAGGAGACGGCAATTTGCTTCTTTGAGGGGGTGGACTGGACGATCTCTTCGATGCTAGCCGTAAGGATGGCGACTATGCTATAGGCAAAGCGGGGTGACAGCTGGTATGGAGCATGATGGCCAATGGCAGGGACGGCGAGGCTGGAATAGGAAATGATGCAGGTGAGGAAGAGAGAGGAAGAGGGAGAGGCGTCGACGGCTGATGCGGCAAAACAACCAAGCTTCCCCCACAACTCCACACCCGCTGCGTGATGATGTGGGTGCCGCGGCGTTGAAGTGAAACCTTTTTTCGACGTCCTCCTCCATGGCCTTCAGCGAGAAGGCTACTAATACGATCATTAATCATATATACTTAGGACAATATAAGGCTGTAGAACTCCCTCGACCGCCAACAGCCCCTCTGATATACACACGAGGTTGGAAGCCCATCTTCACAACCTCCATCACTCGAACATGTCACCGAACTCTAAAGCTGTTTTGCATAACGCCTTGCCTAATGCATTCGAAGCCGGATCGGCAGGGCTTGGAGGAGACGACGTCTGCCATCATAACCGTAGCGCTCCATCGGCCTCCTCGCAGATGAAAGGCCATCGGGAACAACAGCATCCAGCATCGAACATGTGATGAAGCACTGGAGACTGTTCTTGTGAGCGGCACAGTTCGAGGCATGCTTGTATCTGCTTTTACCATGTCCGATGTGGGAGGAAGTGTGTAAATTGGCTTGATAAACGAAAGGCAGTCACCAGTTCAAGGCCCTTGACATGGAAGGCGCAATCTACGAGCCCAGGCCCAAATTTCCAAGTATCACGGCCTTCCACGAGCTGCAACATTCAGACAGGCCTAGCATTCGGCCAGGCGAAGGCATAACGGGGTTATGAAGTTCCGGACTCCGCCGACATAGCCATTCCTACTCCTTTCGGTTGAGCTGTGTAGCAGACAATGCGACACAACAGCATGGAGCTGCTTGTTCTGCAGAGAGAACTCCTTAAGTGGCCTGGGACCCGACCGAGATGGACTAACGAACGATCCATATGGCACGGTCAACGGGGTTTCGAGTAGGTATGTTCTACCACCAAGGCCCTTCGGCATACAGTGCGAGACATGCGACTCCATGTGACGCTGCCAGCTACAAGACGGGTCGCGATCGAGGTCACGGCTCGTCTGCTAGCAGAGACAGACAAAGCCCAGGGCGATCAAGTGAAACCTCTAAGGTGTCAATCCTGGAACAAAGACGAACCTCGACAATGTCTTGCTACACATTCTGAGGCTCATGCCAACTGCCCTACTGAATAACATTGACGAACAGGTTAAGAAGCACTTCAAGAACCCACAGCAGACTAGTCTGCAGTCTTCACCAGCTTGACGATGGCAGCTGAAAGCCATTCACCTCCGAGGATGGTGAAGATTCGCTTCGATCGAGCTCATTGGTCTTTGTCTGCCTTGTGGGCATCTATTCTAACAATGCTATTATACACAATACACGGCACTGCATACATATCGACAACAACAGTACAGGATCTCCAACAACCACCACCAACTTCAGAATCCCGACTTCAGCAGAGCTCTTGAATCTGGTATCAACAGCACTGCATCCGAGATCCAACCAATCACCAACTTCGCGACACACACTCTTACCGCTTCATCATGTCTTCTTCGACCAGCAATACCACCTGCGGCATCAAGATCGAGTTCATCGTGGCGTAGAAGCGCGACAGCTCACCATCTTCGGTCCGCAACTCGATCGCAGAGCTCCTCTCAGCACCCATAGTCGGCAAATGCGATCTCCCTGGCTGCGAGCTCGAGCACTCACATCATCTGAAACTGTCCCCACATAAGCACGCTGATCCGTGCTGGAGCGTTTTCGAGTGCCCAAATGTGTCGATCTCTCAAGAGGAGCTTGCGGCCGCGACCAAGGATCACCCAGATGCCTGTCTTTCTGCAGTTGCGGTAAGTTCTCCTGGCCGCTACTGTAAGATCCAGCACTCTGAGGTCTTCGACCAAGCGGGCAAAGAGAGTGGTCATCGCTCCTGGCTCCTCCCAGAGACCGAGATCTCGTACGTCCTGTGGTTGCTGAATTCCATCAACATCGGCGACAACAAGAATGGACTGCTCGCCATCTACACCAACGCCAACTGCACTCTTCAGGTCCACATCGGGGCTCATCTCCCAACGCGTGGTATCTCACGGGACCAGACGAAGCGCATCCTCCAGCTCTACGCTTTGTTTGAACGCGCCCTCGACACCGTGCAGAGTGACCAGCGAATCCGCTATGGTCCAATGGACACACTTGGCTGGATCAACCAATTGATGGGCGCCAACGTCCCGTGGCAAGTATTGGATCAGTGGTATATGAGCTTCCCCATCACGCAGTCCCACATCGACCTGAGCAAGTTGACTGTCTCCAGGAAGTCGATGCGCATCAACGATGGGCTTGTGGTGGCCAATCGAACCATCGAGTTCCGGCAGCACGCGTCGACGCTGGATATCGATGAGATCCTGGGGTGGGCCAATGTCTGCGAGGCCATCGTTGACTACGCCTGTGCCGCTCAACCATGGCTGCTTCAACAATATGCCTACAACAAGTGGTTTGATCTCGAGTACTCATTGCCACAGGTTCTCGCAGACGTTGGCGCGACGCAAGAGACCGTCGAGCACTACGAGCGAGTCTTGAGTGCCGACGACAGCTACGAGCGTGATGTCTACAGCGACAGCGTTCAAGCAATCTCTAATCATCCGATGTCCGAGCTTCTGCAGCATGTTGCTGCTCAACGGTACCTACACTTCAATCGAGCGGCTTCCGGCATGGCAACGAATTTCAAGGTCCTCAATGGCCATTATGGATGGTTCCCTCAAGGTTCTCCATACGCCCAATACGGCTCTACCCTGCCGGTCGTTGCTCCAGAGCACATGCACACATTCCAAGCTGCTGCAATGCAAACTACCACCGACATGGGCACGCTGCTAGATGGCGAGAGCCTGTCGAGGCTGTCGCGCTCCACAAGCTTGGACATCGCAAGCAACCAAGACCTGGGTCCTGGTGACTCGGCCTCTCAGGTAGGTACCAAGCGTGAGTCCTTCCATACCGCTTCTACTATTTCAGACAAGGCAGACTCGGCTTTGAGCTTGGGTGTCGATGCTGATGGCAAGATCGACTGGGTTGATGAGCCGGAAAAGTCGATTCAGGTCGAAAACCACGACTTGGAGCAAGAGGAGCACATTGAGCTCCCAGAGCGGCGTCGCTCGATCCCATGAGCGGACAGATAGGTTGGAAAGTTTTGTTTTTGCTTTTCGGTTTTGGAGTTATGGGTCTTGGTTAGGTCATTCGGAAATCGTTCATTGCTTTCACCTTAGTATCTCAATGTCAAGTTCCCAATTAGCTTCTATCGTGAAATGACCGCTCAATCAGTCATACCAGTATTTTAGCCGCCATATGAACTTCTTCAGACCTTAACACCTCCGAGAACCATGATGACCTATCGAGTGGTCTCCTCATCCATGCAATCCACAAGGCTGTGCACAAAGGGCAAGCGTTGCCGACGCTACGGAGTTCGGCGCGGACCTCGATTCCACCCCCACTCGCGCATCCCGCATTGGGATTTTGCAGCCAACGTCAGGTGCTCGAGCTCACGCAGGAAACATTCACCCACGAGATCTACCCAACACGTGCAGGATACCATGAGCGCGTCGTGTGACAGCCCAACCGCCCACGCCTGAACATCCCTACCCGGCACGTGCCCGGCCTTATCAAGGCTTTGCAGATAAGCTCCAAGACCATCCTTCTTTAGCCAGCGCGCAGTGGACCTCGCTTTCCTCGTGCATGTCGCCCGCCATGTCTTCCTCCCAAGACCCCTCGAAAGCGCGCCCCATCCCGTCGGGCAGCTTTTCGACCACCTCGCAGCCAGACCAGAGCTTGGTGGGATCCCCATCCCGCGCGTCGACCACCGCCCGGCTAGCCAACCCCGTGCCCGTGGGCTCGCCCAGCGGTCGCTCTACCCCCAATGTCCAGCCCGAAGTTGGCAGCAACGAGCCGCTGGCAGGTGCGTCGGGCACCTCCGTTCCAGGTCCGGGACCTTCATCGCTTTCTCAAGCTCTTCGAGGAAGCCAGCAGTCTCCTTCAAGATTCGGGATGCGAGAATCGCAGGGCACAAAGCGGTATGAGAGCCCAGTCAGAGGCGACAAGTCAGGCTACGAGTCATTCGCACCGCAATCGTATAGCACACAGCTGGGGACGAGTCCGAGTGTGAAAGAGGATATCGAAGTGCTGAAGAGACATTTGGTGAATCCGCAGCAGGCAGGATCAGAGCCTGGATCGTTCAAGAAAGGGGGCAACTTTCCGACTGAGCAAGTAGGATCTGGGCCGGGAGATGACGAAGAGTTCTCGAGTCTTCAGCTGCAAGGAGGTGACACTCATCGTCATATCTATCGCTACGCCGAGAAGAGAGAACGGGAACAAGAGAGGGATGCCGGCAAGCTTCGAAGGAGCATGAGTTACAGCCAGCCCAAGACGGATGGAGACGATGATGATATGTCGTTCATACAAAAGCCGGGTGGTTTCCGCCGAGATCACCTACGGAGAGCGGCTGCTTCTCCAGCTCCCTCGAGTATCAATCCTCGGCGAGGCTACGGCACGGTCAATCGCGCTGCAGGTGGGCCTGCTGGGGAACCTACAAAACCTCAATTCGTCACGAACAACTTCATCGAATTCCTAACATTATACGGCCACTTCGCTGGTGAAGAGCTGGAAGAGGACGACGAAGTTCTTGAAGCAGACGAATACTTCTCGTCGGACGCCTACGAAGGAGCCACCACCGACGCCGAAGATGATCGATCAGACCGCGAATGGGGCGAGGACTCGGCACTTCTCACACCAGGCAAAAGGAGACGAAAGCGAAAGGTTCGAGCAGAGGGCAAAGGAACACCTTTTGGTGCTGCTATGCTCCTGCTCAAGTCGTTTGTCGGCACTGGTGTCCTCTTCCTTCCACGGGCCTATCTCAACGGCGGCATGTTGTTCTCCAACGTGGTCCTCTTCGCGCTTGCTGCCCTATCCTACTACTGCTTCATCCTCCTGGTCAGCATTCGCCTGAAAGTACACGCATCCTTCGGCGACATGGGCGGCAAGATATACGGCGCCTACTTCCGCAACCTCATCAACTTCTCCCTGGTCATATCCCAGATCGGCTTCAGCAGCGCTTATATCGTCTTTGTGGCAGAGAATCTCCGCGCATTCGTCCTGGCTGTCACTCGCTGTCGCACAGACGTCAATGTCGGCTTCATGATCTTGGCCCAGATGATCATTTTCTTGCCCTTGAGTCTCTACCGCAACATCAACCATATTCAGAAGATGGCACTCCTCGCCGACTTGTTCATTCTTCTTGGTCTCGTCTACGTCTACTACTACGACGTCTACACGATTGTCGCACAACATGGCCTGGGCGACTACAAAAACTTCAACGCCAAATCCTGGACTCTTCTCATTGGTACCGCAATCTTCACATTTGAAGGCGTTGGCCTGGTCATTCCTATCCAATCCGGCATGGCCGAGCCCAAGAAGTTCCCCAAGGTCATGGCCACCGTTATGATCATTGTCACGGTCGTCTTCATCTCTGCGGGAGCTTTATCCTACGCTGCGTACGGATCCCACACAAAGACCGTCATCCTCCTCAACATGCCTCAGGACGACAAGCTAGTCAATGCTGTGCAGTTCATCTACTCGCTCGCCATCCTACTCAGCACACCTCTTCAGATCTACCCGGCCATTGAGATCACGAGCCAACAGCTCTTCTCGCGGACGGGTAAATACAACCCCTGGATCAAGTGGAAGAAGAATATTTTCCGGTTCTTCATGGTCGCGTTGTGTGCGACCATCGCTTGGGCGGGTGCAAACGATCTCGACAAGTTTGTGAGTTTGGTGGGAAGTTTTGCGTGTATCCCGTTGGTGTACATCTATCCAGTAAGTGTCCCGTCCTTCAAATGCGGTCGAACTGGTTTGGCTAACCGTCTCTAGCCCCTCATGCACTACCGCGTCGTCGCAACTCGAACCTGGCAGCGAGTGGTGGATGTCCTGTTGGTGATATTTGGTTTCTTGATTATGAGTTACACGACGGCATTGACGATCATCGCGTGGGTAGATGGGCAGAAGGACTCGTCGCCTGGCTATTGCGATGGGTTGAAGAAGGGGTTCTAGAATCAAGCTCAAATATGAGCATGAAAAAGTGGATGTTTCGCTGTTGTATAGAATGTCTCGGCTTTATTGAGCGTGGCGTAGGGAAGGGGGTGATGGCGAATAGATGTAGATTGAGAGGCGATCTCTCCTGGCTGTTTGCCTTCAACACTTTGGATGCTCTATATGTCCTGTATCGATGCCTTCCAATATCCAGTCCACTCCTCGTCCTTTCACTCTTATGAGTGGCCAGTGACCTTCTCCTTGACCTTCTCAACCACACCCTTCACGCCACCCTTCTTCTCGCCCTCAGCCTCTGTAACAGGATGGATTCCCCGTCCCGCAAATTGCCTCTTGACATCCTCATACACCGCCTCCGGCTCTGGCCTCGCATCAACCTTCACAACCCTCCCCTCCTTCTCGAAATGCTCCACAACAGGCATACTCGTCTCCACGAAAGTCCTGAACCTCTTCTTGATACTCTCCTCATTATCATCCGCCCGTCCACTCGTCTTGCCCCGGTTCAACAACCTCTCCCGCATCGTCTCCTCCGGACAGTCGAAGAACAAGGTAAACTTGCTCGGCACGACTTTCTCCTCAAAGGCCACCGCTTGGTCCATCTTGCGTGGGAATCCATCAATCAGAAACTTCCTCTGCTTATCGTCCTTTTCAATCGTCTCCTTCATCGCATTTTCCAACAGCTGGATCGTGACCTCCATCGGCACGATCTGGCCTTCTTTGATATACGTCTTAATCATCTCGCCGAATTCGCTACCTGGGCGTTCTTGCTCTGAGCGCAGGAGGTCGCCCGCGGACAAGTGAGTGAAGGCATAGTCGCGAACGAGGTTGGCGCACTGCGTGCCTTTACCCGCACCAGGGCCGCCAAGGACGAAGAGCACGAGGGCTTCGTTGGGCCCGGTGCCCTGTTTGAAGAGGGGCTGGGAGCGCGGCGGCGCGGCGAGGACTTCGGTGGGCGGCATTGCGGTTACTGCTCAGTTGAGCCTGGGAGGCCTCTCTTTGAGGTGTCCTTGCGCGGGGTGGCCTTCTCACCGGCGGTGTACGTGTTGTGGGTCAGGCCCTCGCGGCTCTTGAGGAGGTAGTAGAAGGACAGGCTCCCTGCGCAGAAGATGGCGACGAGGGGGAGTATGGGGAGTTGTTGGGAGTTGCTCTTGCGCGGAGGGGGCGGTGGAGGTCGTGCAGGGGGTGGTGGGGTGGAGAAGAGTCGGGAGGTTGGGCGGAGTTGCACGAGTCGACGAGCTAGACGGCGGTGAAGCATTGTGAAATGCGAAGCTGGAAAATCTGAGATGACGTGCAGATATAGAGCTCATTTAGAGTTTATTGAAGGTCAACCAATCTTAATCAATTGAATAGGCCGAACTCAGGGGTCCTCCCGACTTCACCTTCTCCCAACTTCTTATTCATCATCACAACAACATTTGCACAAATCGTCACAAGACAGTCCAATAATCACTCATTGCATAAGCGACCAAGCATTCGCATGATGAGCTGCTGATCCGCGACAACCATGAACGAAACCACTCCCGTCTCGCCACGTCCAGATGTTGGAGGCTTGCAGCAATTGAGAGAGGCCACACTACCAGATTGGCCAGATAAGGCTCGATAGACCCATGTGAGAGTTCTAACTCTGCTGTTGCTTTATTCGGCGTCGTGGTTAGAGTGTCATGAGCCCGAATACGCCCAAGACAGAAGGGGATCAAGGATGCGAGAGAGTCGCTCGCCGCGTTCAACTCTGCCTCGCAAGCGAGACGTTCAGATCGTGACTGGATCCGCATCGAAGTTGGTTCGAGTGTCGACCGTGGGCAGGCTGCGTCGAGGGTCTGCAAGGGAGCATTCATGAGCAGCATTCTGATGCTGTAATACTCAGTCCACACCGCAGCATAGCCATGCCGCGTGCAAGTGGAGACGGCCGGAGACCAGAGCTCGTCGGCAGAGACACCTTCAATCTTGTACTCATTGTATTCCCACTTCCTGGGGAAATGCTGCACCCAGTCGTGGAGGGCCTGACCAATTTTAATGGCTTCGCAGCTCAAATGTTCGAACGTGGACGCTGCTGGACTTCCATCGTCGCACTTTCGCTCGAGCTGGACACACTCTTGTCGTAGTGCGATGGTACGGACAGCTAGACGGTCAAATTCGAGAGCAAGACCCTTCTCGCCGAACCGCTCTCCGCCTCTCAACCACTGGGGAATCTGCCGTTCTCGCAGGAGGGAAGATTTGACCACCGTCCTTCTGGCAAGCTTCACGATACTGGATGGAGCTGTTCGGTCACAGTCATCATGCCAGAGCCTCAGTATTGCCGCAACGCCGTCAAAGTGTGACCACACCTTCATTGACTCCATAAGTTTCGTGGAATCGCCATCTTGCTGCACTACGGACTCATACCGCGCCATGAAATATATCGTAAGCAAGATCTCGTCCGAATCAGTTTGACCGATGTTACCACGGCTGATTTGCAGGATGCGACTCTGCATGTCTTTTAGGAGACGTTGATATGATGTCGATGCTTCTTTTGCCGCGAGCAACGATTTCTGACTTCGTGCAAACACTAATAATGCGAGGGAGGAGAAGGCCCGATCGACCATTCTAGATTTCCCTCCGGCTGCTTTCCAGTCATGAAAGCACTCGGTCCATGTCGAGGCAACGTCGGGAATATCCTGAAAGACTCGAAAATGATTCTGGAGAAAGTACGCACATGCACGAGTCTCGAGATCGAAGTCTGGCCGCAAGGGAACAATACCAGATCGAGGACCTCTGGGTCGTTGTTTCTTTCCGCTCGCATGGTCATTTTCCAGATGAATGGTGAAAAGCTCTTGCTTGGCTACCTCGGCCTCCACGCAAGGTCGCTGGGATCTGATGCATCTTGCACATATGGGCTTCTGTCTGTCACACTGCTGAAAGTCAGGTGCGATACAGAACTATGGTGGAACGCGGAACTGACTTTGATCCGCCTGTTCCGGCAGGTCTGGCAACCTCTTGCTAACTCCATGGCAAAGGCCTGATCGCATAAGCCATGCAAGACACTCAACGTTATTACCAATGACTGCAAACTTGGTCTGGGCCAGATTTCGACAAAGTCTTGTATGGTTGGAGCAGGAGCAAATGTAAGAGCCGGGAGAGCGCTTGGAGCTCTCGAGATGGCAGCAACAACCCAAGCCTCGCGCTAGTCCCTAGTGGGCGAAACCTCGCGATCACGTGGCTGCTAGTGACTGCACAGACATCTTTCGGCAGTGGCTTTTGTTTTTTATGGTCGAGCATAAGTCGAGATTCGACCAATATTGGTATGAACTATTGAATGCCTCACTAATAAAACAGGTCTTATCTCCGCAGATTGCACGACCGTTCAAGGCCCTCGTAAAGCGGATTGACAAATCTGACGGCTTCCAAGGCTTCGACGGACTACAGCCTGGCCGCTTGAGGGCAGTGAATAAGTGCTTCGTTACCAATCCAGTTCCGATTTGAGGAAGATGGATCCACTCGCATAGTGCAAGATATTCAACCATCGCTCTTCATTACACAACTTCGGACTCTCTCCAGTCCGGTTGAGGGAAATTGGGTCATACATGGAAGACAAAACTTCCGTCAACAACACCTACACGTTCTCTTGAAAGCACAGTACTGATCTCAGAAGCTTCCTCGACACATCATGTCCAAGACCATTGTGATCCTCGGAGCCGGCCTAACAGGCTTACCCCTAGCTCACTACATCCTAAAGCACTACGCCGACAAGTTCGATCTGAAAGTGATCCTGCTCTCACGTTCCAATGAGTTCTACTGGAACATCGCGGCCCCTCGAGCCGTCATTCCTAATCAGCTCGACGATGAGAAAGTTCTCTGTTCGATCCCCGAGGCTTTTGCCAATTACCCACCCCGTCGATTCGAATTTATCGTGGGTACGGCTGAAGGGTGGGAGCCGGATAAGAAATCTGTTACCGTTGTGCTGGATGATGGAAACCGTCGAGATGTTCGGTATGACACTATCATCGTGGCTACTGGGAGCGACTACAACGACAACATGCCCTGGAAGCTCGTCGGAAACCAACAAGAGACCCGTGCCGCTCTCGCCAAAATGCGTACAGACATAGCGAAAGCCAAATCGATCGTTGTCGCCGGCGGAGGGCCCACTGGCGTTGAGCTCGCAGGCGAGTTAGGCTACGAGTACGCCACCACTGGCAAGAAGAAAGTGACATTGGTCATGACCGAGAACCAGCCTCTAGACTGCCGATTGATGACTTCAACCCGCCTCGCGACAAGAGAAGAGCTCGAGAGACTGAACGTAAAAACCATCGCCGACACGTGATCACGAAGTCCAGCATAGACGAAAAGGGTGGATACGCTCTAGAGCTCACACATAATGACGGTACTAAAGAGGCACTCCACACTGATCTATTCCTCCCAACATGGGGCATCCGCTACAACACCTCCTTCGCCCCTCCCTCCCTCCTCGAACCTAACGGACGTCTAAAAGTCACAAACACCCTGCGTTCCCCCAACTACGATAACGTCTTCCTCGTCGGCGACGCAGCCAATCTCGACTCCTACGCCGCTCGGGTCCGAGAAGCATAAGTCCGTCATCTGGCATCCGCCATTGGCAGATACTTCGCTGGAGAGGTTGTTCCGGAATATTTAGCAGAAGACAAAGTCACGATGACGGTTGCGGTGGGGAGGGAAAGGGGCGTGGGACAGTTGGGGAATTTGGGGCTGTGGAGTTTGTTGATTTGGTGGTTTAAAAGCAGGCATATGTGTACTAATATTGTGCCTGATTATGTTAAGGGAAAGACTTTGATTTTGGGGGCGTTTTAGTGAATGAGAAAATTGGGACATTGTGCTTGTTTGAATCTGAATTTTGGTCTTATGGTACAATTGTGGTGATGTTGTCTTCGTTGCCTTTAGTTTACCCTCCTCCTGCCCTCCTCTTACCCTCTTCCCAGCATGCTCATGCGACTCTTCTTATCCTCCTCGCAGCGTGCTCACTCGACTCGCCACTCTCGACATCGCAGAAGCCGACTTCGTTCGCCAGCTCCGCTTCTTGCCCTCCTTCTCGCAAAGGTGAACCACAAAGTCAAACAACAGCTTGGCATCCTCAGCATCGGCAGCCGGAAAGGTGGAGTTGACATTGAGCTCGAGGTACTCCCTCAACATCGAGGTCTGGCATTGCTTGCGATGCCTTCCTTGTTGGGAGAGAAAGTTGTCGACCGCGAGGACTGTCTTGATCCATCTCTTCTCGCGGGCTTTGTCGGTGGGATCAGAGTCCAAGTCATGTATCAATGCCTCTGCATACCACACGTTGATGGTCAAGTTGGTGAGGCCCATGAGGTGCGGGCGGAGGCTGTCGATATCGATGAAGGCATTGGAGCTACCACTGGTTTGAGAAGATGGCGACGCTGCGCTCTGCAAGAATGCGGCAGCCTTGTCGTAAACAGCGTCGAAACCCCGAGGACCACAATGCCACAGGAGTGGCTTGTAGGACTCATCCTCGCAGTATTTCACAGCCTGATCTACAGCCCAGTAGCGAAGCTGAGTGGTCATCGACTGCTGCGTGAAGGCTGGAATGGGCTCATTGCAGCCTGGTGTCGGGCAGGTAAGTTTTCCTGCGAGCTTGAGACAGCACTGGCTACAGAAGCTGTGCAAGCACTTCATGCCGACCAGATTGAAGTAGCCAGGGAGTGAGTCTCTGTCGAGCGGCTTCTGGCACGTAGAGCAGAGCGAGTCTTGTTGGAGTGTGTTCGCGGTGTTCGCGGTGTTCGAGATTTTGGCAAAATTGTTGGAGTTTGAGGGTCGAGGCAGGTAAACGCTGGGCATTTGGCCCCGGAGAAGTTGGGTCCGGTAGAGGGCCATGAATGCCGCTCTCTCGGTGTCGGACTGGCTGTTGGTCTGCATGATGGTGGCAAGTTGGTCTTTTTGCTTTGTTATGCAGGTGTTGATGGAAATGTTCGTTCTGAGGAGAACGAGAAGAACGGTACAGATCTGTCATGGAGGCGATATTTATACCGCCGGCGAAGTGTTGCTTCAAAATGCCGTTGGCGTCGTGTGTCGTATTTAATCAGCACAGGTGAATGTTCGCCGTCTGATGAATGTCATTGCAATTGATCCTTTTGCGCTCGTGATCCATAGCCGTATTATTATAGAGGTGGTCAATCTTGGTTGTATATATCGTTGGATGATGGTAGTTCGGCTGAAGGTATATCGTGAGTTCAAATATCGTAGATAGGGGGTGCATGTTGACTTGATTCTTCAGGATTCCGTGCGAAGTCTGGAATGGCAGCCTCTTCCATCTGGGGTCATCTCCTCACTCGTCGAACATTGTACAGCAAATGCAATTCTCTGCTCGTGTAGTGTATTCGTACAATGCCGTGGTTTCAAAGCCATTAGGCGACTCCATACCATTGGCGAGGAATCGTGAAGATGTTCATTGCTCTTTGTTCGAACAAAGGCCATGGCAGAGGCTTTGAACGACAACGCATTGATCGGCAGGGTCACAAAGCATTGTTGTCTTCTTTGTTATCCCAGCTTCAAGACGATGGCCCTTCACACAATGTCAAAGTCCTCAAGCGGCGAAGGCGGCACGTCTGCATCGATCTGGTCACGCATCAGAGACAACGCGGTCAGAGCCTGTCCGTACATGATCTCTTCGATATCGCATTCGCCCACGAGGAGCCAGCCGTTGGCGGCTTTGTGAAACACGAAAGGGACCTCAAAGCCCAGGAAGACAGCTACCATGTCGCCCACTTGTGTAGCGTCCGGGAAGCGCCAGTTCTCATAAGGTGTTGGCTCTTCTCCATGGTCGTGATGGCACAACCAGTCTATCTTCAGCCTCGGCATCAAAGTAGCTGTACTGGAGAATACACCTGCTCGAAGGCCACGCAGTCGGAGGACGGGGCCTTTTGAAGGGACAGCAGGAATAGTCGTGTGGAGCGTGGAACCGGAAAGACGACCTGTAGGTACGAAGCCTGCACTGTACTGCGCCCGATCGCCCAAGTCGCTGCGGAGAAGTGCGTCCAAGGAAGGCTCATCTCGCCAATCAATCGCCCAGGAGGGAATGTCGCCTGCAGAATGCACGCCCTTTGCCGCAGAAAGTCCTAGTGTAATGCCTTCAGAAGCTATGAAGTACCTGCTGATATTGGCGTATACTTCTCCCACATCGAGAGAATAGTCTGGTCTTAGTTCCTCTGGAGGGTCACCGTCAAAGAGGGAAATCAAGGCGAACAGCTTGTCCCGGGCGTCTCGACACTGGTAGGGAGCTGTCTCGAACAGCAAGTTGAAAAGCTGCCAGTACCTGAGGTATCTTTTCGATGGAATTCCCGGAGAAAGAAGACGGACATCATCGAGCGCGGCCCAACCAGCGAAGCGCTTGTGATGGCGAGTCTGGACCTGCTCTTCACTACCATAGCGAAGAAAAGTATTCGTAATGCCGGGCACCGCCCTTTCAGGGTTTTTCGCATGCCTTTGGAGAATCGCACATATTCCAGTAAAATCCATGACATCTGTACCGGCTTGCATAACAAGATTTCTTGAGAGGAGAACTTCCTGGACGACCCAAGATCTGGAAAACCATGATCGGCTCGCCGCTGCCTTGACCTGGTGGAACTCGTAGTCCCTCGAACTTGAGGAGGGGAGATGGCCTCGGTTGGATTCGTAGAGGTTCTTGTTTCTAAAGTCGTCAGAACCCCCACGGCGACGAGTCGTACGCCATACGAGATACTCTGTAGCCTCGTCTGATTCTCCAATGTAGGCAATTGTTCTGGATGCGTTGCGAAAGATGTCCGCCATCATCGACACCTGCAAGCTCCGTTCCTCTATGTCGTTTTGATTGATGCAGATAGCATCTATCCAGAGCCGTCGTTCGCTGTCGGTATAGAGACTGTTCAATGCAGATGCGCAGTTGTTCGTGATATAAAGGACTTCCCCGGTGAAGGCGTGGAAGATCTTCTGGGTCCGATCTGTGCTTCCCCAAGTGTATGAGATGGCTTCGTAACGAGGGCAATCGTCCATTCTTTGGCGGGTCATCTGGAAGTAGAGCTGCTTGCCGACACCGGACCTGGAGATGCTGAGAAGGCGAAAGTCACCTTTACTGAGCAGGGGTTTATAACGATACGGGCGTGGCTCGAGTAGGGATGGACTCAAAGTGAGAAATGAAGACCACAGAGTCTTAGGCGGATGAGGCACTGAGCTAGATCTGGGCCTTGATGAGCTGGTCTCAACTAATTCAGGCTCGTTGTCTACGACATGGGCTTGTGCCTGTGGTTTCGTGGCGTCCTCGTCCTCAGCCAAGCTCATTTGAGCCAGCATCTGGACTTCGCTTTCGTCCAGGTCGGCAATGGTTGATGTCGTCGCGTTGAGATCCATGGTTGGTCACAGCATGGATTGCCCCCGACTCGCTCATGTTGATCACTGTCTCCGACGAGATGGTCCAAAGATGAAGTCGAAGATGTTGAAGGTTGTCCAGCCGCACAAGCCACTAAAAATAGAGTTTAGCGCTAGTGGACGTCAGGCATGATCTCAGGCTCTTATGTTATTCAGTCTTGTCGAGAAGAGTGGGAAACGACTTGTATCACGCTTGAGGAAGTCAGAGTCTCATTGGATGTACTGACCTACTCGGCGGCTCTCAACAATGCCTTCCGCAGGTGCTACCCCAGAGCAGACTTCCGATCCCTCTCCTTCCCAGTGCCCTCTCAGAAACTCAGATCCATCTCAAGGCCGTGATCCTTATCGTGTGAGTCTCTCCCCTTCATTTCACTCCTCCACGACGTCATTCCATCCAACCCCTACTTCGATGAACCAGACCCCTCTTTGCCGGCGCCTAGAAGCGGCATAACCCACAAGCCCATCTCATTGGCATTGACAGGAGGCAACTCTTGCTCCAAGGCCTCCTGCTCACTAGTCCAGATAGTTTGAAAGCAACAGTAAGCCAAATCGAGCTGGTGCACTGCGTTGTCGCCCCGATTCTGGCCCTTGAAGTCGAGAATGAGGTTGATGTATCCAAGCCTGTCGTCAGCTCGAAGCAAATGCTGTGTTCTCGGGTGTTCGAACGGCGTGTCGTAGAATACGAAACCAGCATTCGCACCGCCAATGACGGTCAGGTCTCGCCTGGAGATGACCTGAAATTGCAAGTCAGGGTCTCTGTTGGAAAGAACCACACTCAGTCCATGTCGGTCAATGAAATCGTCACGGGCGCTTGTTCGAAAGACAAGAGAGACTCGAGGCCTATTGGAAATGGTGCTCCCGCGTCGTATTTGGTGTAGGAGACCTTCGACTGTGTCCGGATATGGCCAGGTGTCGAACTCGAGGCAGATGCAATCGCCTTTCTTGCAAGTGGACAATGCCACGCTCAGGTCGGAATTCGAGTTGGCCGAGATGAAAGTGAGGGCCGGAATAAGGTGCTTGGTTCGTTGAAATCAATCGTAGTACTCTGCCCGTAGCTGTTGATTGGTAATACCCATGCCGCAAGGAGCTATGGCAGCAGTACAGAGCAGCGTGCCGGCAGGCTTCATGCGATGTACCACTAGGGTGTCAAGTCTCAGATGATCATAGCACAGGTCGCGGACTTCTCTTGGCAGTCGCAAGATGTGGGCCTTGCCGTCTTTTGAAGGCGTTGATGCCAAGGAAACATCAATTGTATGCGGACTGACGAGAGCCTTAGGCGGCTCGCGCTCTTGATCGCGCCGTAGTAGTAGGCGGCGCGTTGGAAATTCAATCTCGGGATCATCACTTGGCTGGTTCAATGTTTCGAGGTACCTGCTGCCATTCATGTCGCAGAACCAGGGGTCAGACTCAGGCATATGCCACGCCAAGAAGTCCTGTACGTCGCCCTCGAACTTGAAGCGGCTCCACTGGTTTTCTGCGCATTGGCCTTTCAGAAAGACTCCGTAAAAGTAACGCAAGGGATTTCCAGCAAGGGTCAATGATGCTGTGATGACATGTTGGTGATTGCGGCCTCGTTTGCGGGAGCCGACCCATCGAGGATTAGTCGCGCCGGTGAGCTTGCGCAGCTCTTCGCATAGTCTCCGTTGGTCTTCGTCACTGAGCCGAAAAGACATCGTGTTCTGTTGGCGGCGATGCTGCCCGATCGCGACGGTGGTCGAAGGTGGTTTTGATTCAAACTGCGGGCGTGGCGCAAAGTGAAGGGCGACTTGACGGCGGTGTTGCTCCATCGCGAAACTGGCCGAGGATGGTCTTAATTCAAACTGCGAACGTGGCAGAAAGTGAAGGGTGACTTGGCGTCGGTGTTGCTCAATTGCGACGGCGGTCGAGAGTGGTGTTTGTTCCAAATTCCAGCAATGGTGGAAAGTGAAGGGCAACTTGACGGCTTCGGCCCGGTGACGTTAGCGAAATATAGAGCGCCAAGCATGTGATGGTATATTCACCTGCCCGCCAAGAAGATGCATTCCTCTTGCCAAATGAAATCCCGTAGTCCTCCCAAACCTCCAACGCTTCGTAATTCATCAACGTCTCCGTCGCACTGACATGCTTCGAAAGCCGCCTCCAAAGTGATCTGTGCGCTGTTTTGCGGGTCGGTGTATCGTCTTCTCGGTTTTAGAGGAGACCAACGTCGAGGATCTCGCAGGCTCGGCGATGTGGATCTAGTAGCCAAAGGCAGTGAGTACTTGTCGACAACTTTCGTACCTCCTATACCGTGGCTCGTCGAAACAGTATCAGGCTCCTGAAAGTCATTACATGCCCCCTCCCCGTACGACAATGCTGTCCGAAGCTTTCTTGCTTGACAACGACAACAGCCGTGACAAAGCATCAAGTCACCTCAACGATTCGGCCTCTCAGCATCCGGCCCACTCGCCACCATCAACGCCAAAAAGCCCATAGTCGACGTAATCGAAATCCCCAGCGGCACAAACCCATTCTGCAAATCAGCGCGGTGGCCCCAGGGAAACATCCAGAGAATCGCGAACAGTATCCAGGACACATTGAACAAGAAGATGTACGCAAACACCCAAATGGCCCATCTATTTTCTTTTGCGTATATTCCCCAGAACAGAACCGTCTGGTCGTCGGACATGTCGAGCTCCCGCTTGTGTTTGGGCAATGCCTTGAGCGAATCGGCTTTGACCCTGTTGGGGAAGAGGCGCTGTCGTTGGAACAAGTACCAACTGTCATCTTTGCACCTGTAAAAGTAATTGAAGAACTGTAAAGGGCCAATAGGGCCATGAGGAGGTCGAGAGTGCTCTGCGAGTGGATCTGGAGCGAATTCGTATTCGGGATGCTGATCTTGCGGATAATCCATATCGACAGGCTCACTGCTATCCACGTCGTATTTCCTAAACTTTGATGCCTTTAGCTTCTGTTGCTTGGGTATGAGGAAAGCCTCTCTTACTCTGAAGAATTCGCTGTGGTCATATCGATACATTGAAAACCAGTTTCGAAGCCAGCCGCGGGCTGAAAAGTACTCTTCTTTCAACTTGGAAAAGAACTCTCGATCAATGGGCATTGTTTCGGTGCGCACCGGTCGGACGTGGTAAGCTGTGTTCCATATCCCGCCTTTCTTTATGCATAGGTATACCTGGCGAAGCTGTAAGGGCGTGGGAATACTAGGCTTCATCTGGCTACTATGCTGGTGGGGATTCATACCGCCAGGCCCAGACGGTGGATTGCTGTTCGTAGGATTCGTTGACTGGCCTTGAGATGGTCCTTGGCCGGTTGATGCGTTCGTTTGTGTAGGGAGGCTACTCGTCACGGGCTTGGAACTGATTGAAAGATTTTGTCCGGCCGGAGTGACCTGGATGTTCAGATATGTGGGACTCGCCGCGAAAACCTCCAATAGCGCTGTCGTCGCTTTCTCTGGAAGATCTACGTACTGCAGGCTTCCAGAAGGCTGTAGCGAGAATGTTAGCGGACATTCTGGGAAATCGTGCAGAGCCCAATGTCAGCATTCTTGTTCATGTGGCCACCAGTCAACGCTGTCTTGAAGCTAGCTTTCAAAAACGGCCATGCAGTGGAAATGACTCTGCCGCGGCAGCTCGATCAGACGGAATAGGATCTGAGGCACGGTTATGGAAACTGACTTACTGTTTGCCAGCGTAGCCACGTGTACTTAGCCTGCAATGGATAGATCCTTGGCACCAATGGCCACCAGATCCACGCTTCATGGAAGACATCTTCCACTCGAGCCTTGATCTGATCGCAGAGAGCGAGTCATTCGACAGACGAGAAAATGACAAGGTGTGGCGGCGTCCACGAAATTTCGTGGCTCATCGCTTTGATCGCAAGTCTGGTCATGTGCTTGCCATGCCTCACACAAATGGTTCCCAGCGCTCTGGAAAGCCGTCTCCAGTATGAATTATGCAGTAGATCGAGAAGGTCGTCTTGGAAAACTCCAATTGCATCGGAGTTTACCAGGAAGTTCTCTAGACTCTGGAACCTTTCATTGCCAATACCCGACCTGTGGTGCTCGTCGTTGTCACCTGATGAAGACGCTGCTGATCGCTCGCTCAAATCTTCGAGTATGTCCAGGCCATGTGCCTCATTAATGTCGAACTGCTCTGCAGGATTGTTCACCGGTTGATCAGTGAAATCCTGACGCACATGTGGAATGGTTAGCTCCCGTGAAGCCGAGCCTTCGCGCTGCACTTTATGGCTCGTGTCCTCGACAATTTGCCGAGCAATGCGCGAGGAAATACGTCTTGAGCGTAGAAACCTTGCTGCTTCAGCCTCGATCGGATCACTAGTTTCTGTCGTCAATGCCTTGCCGTACCGTCGGATCAAGCGACAGATTCTGATCTCAAATTTCCAAATTTCGTCCTGAGAGCTTTGTAAAGCAGGAGTAATGATCGACAGCAAGTCCTGTTTGCAGAAGACGGATCTCACAACAAAGGCATTGATGACGTCCAACGCGGCCGTGACGCTACCCACACTCATGGCACTCGAGGTGCTGGAAGCTCCCACTGACGACTGTGATTCAGCCAGTAATGCAGCGCCGTCAGAGTCTGATTCATCAGCTAGATTCGGTGCTGTACTCATATGTTCCATGACGGCTTCTGACCGTTCAGAAGCGCCGTCAGAGTCTGTTAGGTCGGGAATATCTGGTCCCCTGATCTTCTGTACCACGACTTCCATTAGTTCAGAAGAGCCGTCAGAGTCTGTTACGTCGGGAATATCCGGGTCTATACTCGTAGGTAACATGTATTTTGGTGGCTCAGAAGTGTCGTGCATGTCAACGGCAGCACCCAGTGCCCAGTTAGTTCGCGCCAACGGTATTCTGCAGCCACCGCCGTGGCGATTCCTTGAGGAGTTGAAAAGCTGACTCTCCGAGATTTCGCCGCTTTCTCTGGGTATGCGTGATCGAACAAGTGTGTTGTTGGCGAACCCAGAGCCCTTATTTGAAAGACCCCAGATGACGGCACCGCGACTGACAGCACTCCACCCTCTCGAGCCAGATGACTGCAACACATCAATGCTGTCGAATTCTTTAGTTAACTGCCGGTACAAGTATTTGGAGGAGCCAAAGCCACCTATCAATAGAATTGACTGTTGAGATCAGACAAATCTGGTATTTCATGAGCGTTTGTCTCACTCACCTTGATCTTGCTCTGCTTCTTGTGCACCGCATAGATTTGGTGCCTTATCACACGGCTTACAGGTTGAACCACATCTTGGAGCCACTCCTCCACGTGTCTCCTGCCCATATACATCAGCAGTGACATGACCTGGATTAGTCGGCGATACTTACGATTTGATGATTACTTTCCCATTCTTAAAGAACAGCTCGGCTTTCTTGTTTCTCCGCGCCAAAATGCTGTTCCATGCTGAGACCATATCTGTGGGCAAGGTCACGGACCAATCGCGCTCCTTGCCGTCAAAGTTCCTCTTGATCCCATCCTCCCAATCTTTTTCGATGACCTGCCTACGAGACCAAACGCTCGCAGACTTCCACCTCCTTCCTATCGTCTGGCGTAGCCCTCGTTCGAACTGATCATCGATGTAAACTGCTCCAGAAATTGCGCTCTCGGGTTTCACAAATTCTCTCACGTTCATAGGATTGGTGCTGAGTACCGCATAGCTGACGAGATCCTTTCGACCTGTCAGTGTTGATTCTCAGACGTCGTCCAATGCAACAGCTGCAGAACTTACTACCGTCCCTCCACCCGCATCACAGACTGCGAACACGTCGCCCACCTATTGTTCGATGTCAGGACTTCCATTCAATGGCGGCGGTGAGCTTGGTCAAGGCGCACCTGCACAGGATGTTGGACCTTCTAATCCTGAAAGATGGCCAAAGTAGCAACCTCTGGTTCGGATACAAGCTGCAGATGAGTTTCTGGGGCATCTTTGCGTGGGCTGCAAATACCAGCTTGGATTGCGGCGCTTTTCATAAGCCTTCGGGTTTTGTCGTCCCCATTCGCCGGAACAGTGAGCTATACTCGGAACTGGCAATACCGTACCACCTCATCGCCAAACTGAGCTGTCAGAGTCTCGAGCGTATGGTTCCACAGCTGCTCCAAATATTTCGCCACGAGCTCATCAGGCTTTTGATTTTGCACACGAAGGTATTCACGAGCGGTGGAGAGGGGCGGTGACGTCCGCGTGTTCTCGCTGAGGATGTTCTGGTCGATTAGTAGAAGTTTGAACCATGTGAACGGATCTATTGTGGCAGGGACATTATGACCCCAGTAAACTCGAGATCTTTCTTCGTCGAAGGCAATCCTGGTTGGTACCTTTTCCTGGTCATTCCCGTCCTTCCAGTTGGTAATGACTTTAATGGCATCGGGATGGGCGGAGTGGGCAAACGCTACACCGGAGTATCTGTATGGATGTCAACAAAGACGTAGAATGTTCACAAATTTGTTGTGAAGCAGCTGAACTTACGTAGCACCGAAGTCGATTCCAATCGCAAAGAAGTCGACGCCCATCATGAAGCAAAGCGAGGTTCAGACGAGTGTAGGTAGTTTATCCAAACGAGAGCAAAGAGGGCGACTGTAAGGTGCGCCTCAAGACGTCCTCCTAGAGCAAGCAGGTTTCTGTTTGAAGTAGGGGTCTGCAAGAAACGAGCTGCTCGAGTAACGTTGTGCGGCCTCTCGGCTGTTTGGACCGGCTGAGATGACGCGACGGCAGCGATCCTGCAAGGCAACTTGGAGGCGGTGGTGGCGGCGAGGAGCTATAGCAAGCTCGTAGGGACCTTCGACGTGGCCAGTTGACTTAGAAAAGCCAAGTGCTGCATGCGCTCGAGCTCCGCAGTGATGTGAATATGAGGCTGCAAATAGCCGGTGAGCGTAATCTGATACGACTGACTTCGTAACGGTCGTGGTAGAATGCAAAGCATTGAGCTGAACTTGTTTTATCTGGCGAGTAGTACATAGTCCGATGTCTACTTGGTTAGTGTGGTTCCACGGTTTCATGCAATTCGACAGGAAGGCTGCATGTGGCTCAGTCAGTTCGAGCGTCTACTGCGCACTGCGTGGACACTGACTGAGCAAAACATCAACGTTTGGTACAAACAGGTCCTTCTACTTTCTGAGAGAGCTCAAATCAGCCTGTTATTCATCATGAGTGGTCGATCTCGACTAATGTGCGCCCGTTTTATACAGGAGACGGAGTCCTTCGAGGACACCATCTTGGTGATGGGAGCTACCGGGTCTGGCAAAAGCTACTTCGTCAATCGTTTAGTCGGTGTTGAAAGTTACGAATCGATGATAATGACGCCAAAGAGGATAACGATGGAGAGACGAGGTCGTGCTCGCGCAGCCTGAAGTCGAGAAATTTAGACTTTTCGGAAGAGCGGCAATTCGCGAGTCGACGGAATCAACAAGAAGAACAACGACCCGAAACCATCACAACACATATTGACTGGGCCAGCCCTCCTAGCAGTTGAGGTGGTAGGCGTCTAATACCGCTGCGTCAAAGAAGTGCCGTTACGATCGATACAAGCGACACAGAAACGGAGCCGAAATGATCAGAAAGGCAGCTTAAGAAGACAAGGGAGTTTACATACGAGAGGGTGAGGAACGCGAGGAGCAGATTCAAGAGCTATTTATTAAAGAAGCGACGGCTGCTTTGAGGACTCTTTGATAGTTCCTTTTGTAGGAAGAGAGCCGGCTGCAGTGAAGCTGAACGATTTCAATTGCAATTATAACAAGAATTCGATGGACTGCCACTTAACAATACGCCTCGCCAAAGGCTGAAGATTCCCCAAATCCATGAAATCTCCTCAATAGGTGATCGTCACGCTCTTGTTCAAATACTCCCCCTTCATCTCCTCCTGCAACCCCCTCTCAAACATCCACTTGCCCACATCCTTTCTCTGAATCGTATATCCCACCGCAGGCTTCTCTTCAGGCCCCTCTCGGACAGCCTCCAGACCCTTCCCTTCACCATCCATAAGCAAACTCGCCTTGACGTTTGTGAACCCTCTCAGACCCCGCTCTTTCTCAGGCAGCTGCATATGCGCCGCCAAAGCCTCTTGCAAGACCTTCTTGTCCACGTGGGGGACGTGCAGCCCGTACACGTAGAGTGCGTGAAAGAGCAGGGGGACATCTCGTGGACAGCCTTTGGCGGGAATGCCAGTCGTGGACATGTTGAGGAAGTAAGGGCGCTGCTCAGGTGGAGTGGAGGTTTCGCGGGCTAGTGCAGCCGCTGCCGTGAGGATCGTGCTGCCGACGTCCTGGCAGATCGTGGGGTCGTGGAGCGTTACTGGGTAGAGGATGGACCATTGGAGTTTGGGGTTGGAGCCGACACCGGATACGATGTGGGAGACCATGCCGCCAGAGGGTGCTGTGAGGGTCTTCTTCACGGCGACGGGGTCTTTGGCATCGCCTTGGATGACGGTGAGGTTGCTGTCGAGGGTCGAGGCGGGAACGCCTTTTGCTTTCATCGCTTGCGTGAGTTTCGAGGGAGTGCGAGCAAGGGCGATGCAGGTGTAGCCGGCTTGGAGGGTGTATGCGAGACAATGGCCAGCGCAGTCACCCGTTGCGCCAAAGAAGGCGATGGTTTTTGGGCTGGTGCTCATGCTGGCGGTGTAGTGTGGTTCTTGATGGCGGTGTGTTGCCGTGATTGTAGTCTAGGCAGTAAGCTGATATTGCTGGCTGTCGTGTTTGGTAGTGAGTCTCATCACAGAGGAAAGCGTCTGTACTTGTACTTATACCATTCAGCTCGCTTCACCCATCCGAGAGTGCTATATTGGTCTGCATACGGTAGCTCGCCGACCGACCGACATTGGTATACCAAAGCCACGTTGGTAATGGCAAAGGCAGCAGCATTGAACGGTGTCGCCTGAGGAGAATCCCACCGACAAGGCCCGAGCATACCAACTATTTGCGCCTCAACCAGGTACGGACGAAAGAGGTGGTGCGGATGAAGTCAGAGACGGACGAACGAGTCGGGAGTCGTCGAATGCGAGAGGCTGGGGCTGGAAACGATCCCTGGATTATGTAAATGCGAACGCGAGCCTGCACAACTCGCATTTGTGCAATTTGTCCGACTCGCATTAGCGCTTTGTGCAGCGTCATAGCTGTGCAAGCACACAAGTGTCCATGGAGCCTGCGAAGGATGATGAAGGGTCCACGCAAACCGCGGACAAGTACATGATATGGATCGTGATAGAAAGAAAGGCTGCACTGGAGAATTCTTTGCTTTTTGGAATCGTCGAAGATGTTGTTGATTGCTTGTGCGGCTTTCATTTCCGCTAGACTTCTGAACCGGATCATTAAGCATCGCACGATTGCAGCGTTCCTCTGCCAGCGGTAGCTACACATGCGGCGAGTGTCTCCACGACGCATGGTGTGGTGCAATCGTTATTGGAGAGAAGGAGATGCCTCATGGGCGTACTTCCTCGTGCCATTGAGCCGCAATCATGTCTCGGTACGTCTGTCCGCCGCTGTCCTTTTTCTCTCAAGGGCTGAGGCCCTGCAAAGGGTCGAGTATTGGTCTTGGATGATCACACATTTCGGCCGCCTACTGTTGATCAAGCCCGCCTGGGATCAACTACGCGATGTCAGCGTTTACGGTATCGATGTAAGAAGGCCACGACATACCATGCAGACATTGTTTCCGTTAAGTAAGATCTTGGAAAGCTTCGTTGGGTTGCCGCTGTAGTCGCTGCAGGATGTCAATGACCGGGAAATCTAATGAAACCTGTCTTTGCTGGCCTACAGTTCGGTCACATCTTCGAGCACCATGTCTATGCAATTGTCAGTCCCAAAGGTCATCAACGTCGAAACAAGAGCATCCACATACTGACGAAATCATCGAAGCCTTGCAGAGTGCCGCTGAATTCTGCCCTCATCTTAGCATGCTTCTGCGACTGCCTCTAGAGTGAACACGCACCCTTGTCGCCCTTCATGATGACCCATATCTTCTCGCCAACGCATCGATCGATAAGCTCCAATGGGAGCAGCTGGCTGGACATGGTGGTGTTGGGTGTGTTTTGCCCGGCTATCGCATATTCTGGATGGTTGGTGGTGGAGTGTCAAAGTCCAGGCACCAAATTCAAATGCCACGTGATTCGGAAGCTTGGGCCGCATTGCCGCCTGGCGCTAGGGAAACATTCACTTGCCATTTGATGGACCTTTATTAACTAACTTCCCCCTTCGGATGTTTGGCTGCAATGCCTGGTTCGGAATGCCATCAGCCTCGCCCGTCATCCTCGACGTGGCTACTCGACTACGCCCTGCCACCATGGCATCGACCCTCGAGACGACGGCCCCGCCAGCTTCCACTCCACGACTACCCTCGACCCGCCCTATAGACCAGCGCTGGGACAGATCACGAGGAATCGTCTTCAATAACGCCAAACGACCCATCCCACGCGATGCAACATGGTCCCCCGCCAATAGCATCTTTTTCACCCCATTCTCGACCACTGCCAAACATGATAAATGGGCCCCATTGGGTCCTGCCCGCAGGTCGAACGATACGCCTGCTCCTCCTCCGCCCAAGGTAGCCAGTACACCGAGTAGTAAGAGTAGTACCTCCTTCAACCAGGCGTACAAACCGGGATCAGCTCCAGTCATGTCTCAACAATTGGTAGAAGGCTTGAAGCAGGACAATACTGAGAAGGCCGCAGAAATAGAGCGCTTGGAGCAGACGATTCGCCAGAATGAGGAGAGGTTGGCGAAGCTGGAAGACGAGGCTAATGCGCATAAGAAGAGGTATAGTGCCTTGCAGGAATCAGCACGAGTCAACGCAGACAAAGCACGCGAGGAAGCGACGTCGTGGACCAAATCTGTGTATGAGGGCAAGATCAGGAGTCAGGAGAAATCGCACTCTGAGACCGTACAGAGCATCAAGATAGAGTATGCAAACAAGGTCGCCGACTTGGAGCGTCATTTCAAAGGGCAGTTGGAGCTCCATCCAGAATACACCAACATTGTGCAGGACATGCGCAAGAAAGCAGAGCAGGACGAAGCTTCTCTTCTCCAAGAAAAGGAACGCCTTGTCCAAGAACAAGACAAATCCCGCAAGTCTTTGGAGGAGCTCGAACTGCAAAAGGACCAAAATGCTCAAGAAATTGAGCAGCAAAAGCAGGAACTCAGCCAGGAGTTTGCCAAGGCAGAGAAGAGTTGGACAGAGAGCCGTCAAATGCTCATCGAACGAGCAGAACGAAGCCGGCGGGACCGTACAAACTACACTGTATACCGCAATCTCTTTGACGAGGTCACAGACGGTGTCATGGCCATGCTGGACCCGTTCAACATTTCTGGAAACGCACTGCAACATGAAGCTGATAGGTGGCGAACGAACGCTCGCCGCTTCCAAGAGTGGAAGAAGAACGAGCACAAACTTTTTGATCATATTCCCAGGTACAAAGCACTTGGCCAGGCTATCGGCGAATTTTTGGAGAACAGAGCGACACAAGCTGATGCTGCCCGCGTCTACGCACTCCAAATGCGCGATCAGCTGCATGGGAGCATGCGTGAAGTGAAGCCCGCCGCTCACGTTTCTCGCGCGTTGACGAGACTTCTCCATTTCGAAGAGGAAATGCCCTTGCACAAAGCCACCAGACTCGCCTACGACGTGGGCCACTCCGAAGCCTATCTTAGCAGACGGGCCAAGCTAAATGCAGAAATCACACAGTTGGAGGCGACACTAAAGAAGGCCGCAGGCTCTGTGGAAGCTGCTAAACTGAAGCAAAGTATCAATGATTTGAAGGATGAGCGCGCTATGTACGACGGCATCGTCATAACCTCCAGATCCATGAATGAGCTTCATGCGCTTGAGACGTTGCTTGATGATACCACTGTTGAACAACTGGTGTACCTCAATACCCGCGAGGCAGAAGCAGAGCTGAACCTTATCATCGATGAGTATCGTGACATTCTAGATGACTACCAGTCCACGTGGTCGGAAGAAGGCCGGGCGCAGGTGAAAAACTATATAAACAAGGAGCAAAGCCTCAGACGAACGCTGGACGATCTTACGGCGTCACTCCGGAAACAGTTCATGATTGAGCTCGAAGCAGGCGACATGGACGAAGCAAAGGAGCGGAAGAGGGCTGAAGGCATCATCAAGAAGCGCATGGCCGATATTGCTGCTCGGCTACCGAGCAAACTGGCTACGAGGAAGGCCAGGGTCGCTGCCGTGAAGGCATCTGGGAGCATGGAATCTTTAAAGCGGAGTCTTGCGCAGCCGCCAACGCCCCTGAGAAATGTCAGCTCTACTGCCAAGCCTTCTGTCAGATCTTCTGTCAGGTTTGGTCAAAGCAGGAGGCTCGTCGGGCTGAAGGAGCAGATCCGCCAGCGGGAGATCACTCGAGCCAGACTCCTGGCCAAAGTCGATGGGGACAAGGGAAAGCTTGATGAAGTATCCAAGACGAAGCTGTCTCGCGTGGAACGAACAATCGAAGTGGTCCAATCTTCAATTTCCAAGCTTGAGCAGACTTCTGCAGGCACTGAGACGACTGCGTCCGCTGAGCCAGTTGAGAATCAAAGAGAAGTTAAAAATGGGTCGAGGCGTGTACGCTTGGGTCTGCGGGCGCCAGGATGGCGCGTTCTCAAACTCGGCTCTGATAAAGGCGCAAGACCATCCTCTGTAAGGAGAATCAATTTGACTCCATCGAAGCCATTGCAGGCACATCACAGGAGTCATCTATCTGGCCTGCAGTCTGTACCTCGAGCTTTTGGCTCTTGGGACATGGAGAGATCTCTGAGCTGGGAGACGCTTCCTGATGAAGGCCAAGTGAGAAGTTGGAGCAGCTTGGCGGTGGCACATGCTCCTGATGAAGCAAGTGAAGAGGGTCAGGCGGACTCGCCGCAGTCAGATGACCCCAACGGAACGTCGCAATCGTCGTTCGCATTGAGCGAGTCGAATACTTCAAGCCCTTCTTCACAAGGAACGGCATCACAGGATACAATCATAGACGCTGAAGCTGGACCTGCCATGGCCGAAATCGATATGCTCCCGATCTTGACTTACAACATGTCGGCGAAGGACTACCGCACCGCTGCCACTGCCTCACAAAGCTCCACCGCTGCGTGGTGGTCACACAAGCTCTACAAGGCCGCCGATGGCACGTCGCCAAAGGTGTTCTACTGCACCAACTTCGAGACCGCCGAGAAGCAAGCGAAACTCTTCCTCGACGAACCCGTGGTTGGCTTCGATCTGGAGTGGGAGCCGAAGTCATCACTTGGGACTAGCCCGATCAAGCGAAGCGTCTCACTGATACAGATTGCCTCTGAGGACAAGATTGGCCTTTTCCAGATTGCGCTGTTCAAGGGCGACACTGCTGCAGAACTGATGCCTCCTACTCTACGCAAAATCCTGGGATCGCCTGATGTCATCAAAACCGGGGTCAATGTGGCCGGAGACACGAGACGAATGCAGACCTGCCTTGACGTCGAAATGAAAGGAGTGATGGAGCTCAGTCATCTCTACAGAGTCGTGAAGTTCTCAGTCGACCAGCCCAAGCTTGTTAGCTTCAAGCTCGTGGCTTTGGCGGATCAAGTGCGGGACATTCTTCTTCTACCGCTGAAGAAAGATGACAGCCGGATGAGTTCGTGGTCTCGCTTGTTGAATGGACAGCAGACTCACTACGCTGCTGCCGATGCATACGCCGGCTTTCGCTTGTTCCACGCGATGGAGAAGCAGAGGAAAGAAATGACTCCATCACCACCTCGGCCCGCCTTCTTCGAGACTATGAAGCCAATCATCCTTGGCAACGGCACCGTTATCGAGAGGTCTGCAAAGAGGACGCCTGGTGCTGCTGCGGGCAAGAAGACGACTGCCGAAGCAGGAGAAGGTGAGGAAGAAGAAGAGTTCTTTGATGCTGAGGAAGACCTCGACACTTACGAGCTTGCTCCTCCTGAACCTGCCAACTCTGCTTCTGCTTCTGTTTCTGCTTCTGCCGTTCCTTCGTCTGATGCTCCTGGCTCTGCAAAAGACGACGTAGCTTACCCCACCCTCCCACAGATCACAGAAAGCTCATCAAACGCGCCAGACGCAACCGAGCAAACGAATCAAGAGCAGCCGTCCACAGACGAAAAGTCGCCAACAGCACCACCCGCAACCCACCCATCCACCTCCAACCCAGCAATAACCACAGCGGAAACCTGGCTCTCAACCCTCCCAACCCCCAAAGCCCGCCCCTCTGAACTCCGCGCCTACCACCTCTGGCACCATCAAACCCTCTCCCTGCAAACCATCGCCACAACACTTCGACAACCACCCTTGGCCATGACGACCGTCGCGAGCTACGTATTACAGGCAGTCAAAGAGGAGAATCTACCATATGATGCGGAGAGGATGAAGGAGGTGTTGGGATTCTTGCCGAAGAGTGTTCATGGGCGGTATAAGGGTGTTGTGGAGAAGGTGAGGAAGTGGGAACGGGAGAGGGGGAGGTCTGACTGATTTGTTTGGAAGTTATCTGTTTGTTAGTGCATAGCGTGGAGCGTGGGATATATGCATGCATAGCGGGATGGGGGTTTGGGTCTTTTCGGTTATTGTTTATAGGTGAGATTCGGAGGGTGTACAGTAGTACAAGCATAGAGCCTTTGAGACTCACGCCGAAAGGGGCGATGTAGGAGCAGGTCATCATCTCAGCTCCTTTAACCTGAGTCTCCGCCTCACTCTCCACCATCCCATATTTGAACACCCTCCTTTCGAGTACACTTCTGGACCCGACTTCTCGATCCTTTCTCGGCCAACCCACCTCCGTCATTTCACCATGCAGATCTTCCCGCTCCCTCAGCCCCAGCCTATTACGGAGTGCTCGAGAGGCTCTATTCTGACACCAGGAATGATGCCAATCTCGTTAAAGGACAGGGTCAAACATCAGAGGGTAAGTTTGATCCAGTCGTCTGCGGACGCTGCACTTGTACAAAGCGAGAAGTTGCTCTACGCGAACACTCTATCGCGGTACCGGCTGGTGGCAGATGAGTGGGACTTCTGGTCCGACTCGAGGATTATGACTCGAGGATTAACAACTCACGAAGAGGCTCCTGCGTGTGATCAGAGGGGGGTGCGCGGCAAAGACACAGACGACGTCCGGCGTCAAGTCAAAGCACGCTTGATCTTTCCCAGCAGGCGACACACTACTTTAAAAGTAGAGGCGCGGGGCCGCGGCGTCAACTCTGCATCCCCACGAACCTGATCCTAGGCGTCGGTCCACCAAGCACCGACTGAAGCCGTGAACTTTGAGCCTTGACCCAGTCCGCGTCTTCAAATTGACTACGGTTCTTCAGAACACCCGCTAAGATCCGCAGCGTCCGGAGGAGCCTGGGGAGCTTTACAGGCAGTGACTGGAGGAACGTTTGCAGTTCGTCCGCGGTGCTGCCGTCGTGGAGATTCTTGCGCAGGAGCTGTAACATCCCTTTCAGCCGTGATTCACCTGGATGTAGGAGGGCCATTCCTGCGAGCCAGAATGCACGGCAGTTCTGGTGCTGCCGCTCGGATGGGAATCGTGCGACGAAAGCCATGAATTTCGAATTGAGTGTGGGATCCGTCTTTCCATAGTGTGGGTTCGAGCTCAGTTCCCTCGCGAGCATCGTCATCGCTGGTCGAAGCGACAGATTGTGCAGACCATATCATCAGGCTGTATATTTGCTGATCTGTTAGCCTCGTGCTCCGTCTGCTTCAGCGTTGCTATGTCGAAAAAGTATTGCAACGTTTTGGTCGCTGAATCATCGGTGTTGTGCACGAGAAACGCATGGAGCATGGAGCAAAGAAGCTGCCCACGCCATCCACTAAGCCCTGGCTCAACCTGATCACCGCCCACATCGGCCTGTATCCACCGAGTCAGGAAATCGTCGAGGTCCTCGGCGATTGAAAAAATAGCACAGGGCTAATCCGCAGTCGCGGTCGTATACCAAGAGGCTCGTCCATGTGTTGTTTTCTCGCCAAAGAAATTCAAGAATTGCTCGTGCGACTGCGAGATTTTCTCGCGCTGCATCACGGCAAGCCGAGCTTCGCGCGGGATTTGGAAAAGTCGCGCAAGTTCAGCTCGAAGACACATACGGATCTTCTCAAGCGACACGGTTCCACTTGCAATCTGTTGCTGCATATAACGAGTTGTGTTTACTTCACCCGCCCTTATGTCCTCCAGGGTTTTAGCAACGTCAGCCGAAAACTCTCCAGGCTTTTCTTTGTCACGGTCTCGCCGATGCTATGAAGCCGCTGCTGTTGATAGCCCCTCAAGAACGGGGCCACGGTAGGAATCGGCACGGCCCACTCTTAGAGCTAGTGCTTGACTTGGATTTCTTGAGAAGTGACGTAGGGTGACGAGTGTCCAGAGCGGAACTGCTTCTCTTCCACCACCAGCAACAGCGTGGCCGAGAGTATGAGACCTCGCAACTCTACTCTGCCGAAGGACGAGGTTCAGACGTAGTGCATGATGCTGCATGGCCGGGTGGGTACCGTGCCGTAGAGAGCAGTAACACAACAACTAGCTTGAGAGATCGTATATTGCTGCACGTCCAGGATATCATAGATATTACAGATCGGTCCGCACTCAGTCAATTGTGCATCTTTCCGCAGGGGCGATGTAACCGGCGAGCGTATGAGGAGCCCCGAGAATATATTGTTCCACTCGGTTGACAAGCGTAGAACCCAAAAACGCAGGTCGAAAGAATGATCCAGAAGGTCAAGCGCGGATCGAAGCTCCAGTATCGTTCGCAGAACCTGAAAAATCTCTCTCCTCCTCTCAAGTCACAATACCCAAAAGCCAAATGCAAGAAACAATCGAAACTCAACGCAATGAGCGTCGCTTGCACAGGCGTATCTCACGGAAGACAAGAGGTGAAGTCACCCCAACCCGAAACTCAAACCCCTAGCGCCCCATGTGCGTCTAAGCGAGAAACGCACGTGCCAAACATACATTCAACCACCTCACATCACATTTCACCAGGAGTCAAGAGCAAAATCGCCTCAGAATTGATTAATGAAGGGGTTTAAAAGTAATTCATTCCAATAATTTCATCGCAGCTGATACTTCTATCCACCCTCACTTGAGCCTTTTCTTGAAGACCCAAGGTAAGAGAGAGCGTCGAAATCCAGCTCGCCAGTAGAGACCGTCAATAAAGTTAGGAAAGAGCCCAGGCAGGAGGAGACCATCCATCTCCCATCCGCAACCACCCATGATTCTCGAGACACACACACAGCAGGGGGGAAGTACTCGCTAAAAACATCAAAAGCACACACTCAGAAAGCCCAGGGGATCTTTTCAATCAAAAACATTGCATGCATTGCGTCTTGCTTCATCTTCCCGATTGATCACAGCACAAAGGGTCAAAGGTCTCTCGTATTGAGCTAGGCTAGTAGCTCAAACAGAAAGCAAAGCCCTCAATCGCTGTTCCCATCGGTAGAATCATGTTTTGTGGTCTTGTGTCTGCTGTTGCTGCAAGTCTTGCTTTCTTCTTTCCGTCAAGTCAAAAAGGAAAAAGGTAATTTCGTTCACCCATGCTGACCGTATCCCACCCCGCAGTTTCAGAGAGGGAGTGAGATAGATGCATCGTCAGTTCCACGTTCTCCCATACTCACACCACGCCAACGCCCGCGAAAGCGCACCAACGCTGATGACGACCTTGTGAAAAGACACTTGCCCGGCAGCCACGCTTAAGAAGCGGCTGGCTTGGGCTCGGCCTCGGTCGGTGGCTCAGCCGCTGGCTCTGGTGCCTTCTCCTCGCCCTTGGCCTCGCCTGCAGCAGCGTCTGGCTCGCCGCCGTCCGAAGAGGTCCAGAGGGTGAGGTTGTCGCGGAGGAGCTGCATGATGAGGGTGCTGTCGCGGTACGACTCCTCGGACAAGCTGTCGAGCTCGGCGATGGCGTCGTCGAAGGCCTGCTTGGCGAGGTGGCACGCACGGTCGGGTGAGTTGAGGATCTCGTAGTAGAATACGGAGAAGTTGAGGGCGAGACCCAGGCGGATTGGGTGGGTAGGGGTGAGCTCGGTCTGGGCGACGTCGGTGGCGTTCTGAGACATGAGTTAGCTCCTGTCGTTGTCGCATGGATGGTAGTACAGTATTGACGTACCTTGTACGCCTCGTGGGCAGCAGTGGCAGCGGTCTTGCGCTTCTCGCCCGAAGCGAACTCGGCAAGGTAGCGGTGGTAGTCACCCTTCCTGTGAACGACACCGTCAGTATGAGATGATACACTCGGCTGCCGTGATTGTGTGTTGTACGCACATCTTATGGTAGAAGACCTTGCTCTCGCCCGTCTCGGCCTTGGGGATGAGGCTCTCGTCGAGGACATCGAGGACGTCTTCGCAGACCTTCTCAAGCTCGAGCTCGATCTTCTGGCGGTATTCGCGGATGATGCCGACATGCTTGTCCGAGCCCTTGGCCTCCTCCTTCTGCTCGATGCTGGAGATGATACGCCACGAGGCACGACGCGTACCGACCACGTTCTTGTAGGCCACGGAGAGGAGGTTGCGCTCGTCGACAGTGAGCTCGCCGCCGATCTGGAACATGTGTTAGTCAAGGAGCCGAATCTGACGATGGATTCGAAGATTGCGAGAGGCGCGCGGCGTTGCGGCTGGCATGGGAGGGGCTTATCGGGAGGTGTACCTTTGCGACTTCCTATCTCACATGTCAGCGGTCAGTTCATGAATCTCAGCCCAACCTCGCCATTCTCACCTTCATGTACGTGACCATCTCTGCGAACACAAGTCAGCCATTGTTGCACACCCGTCGCATCACATTCGGATGACGTACCATCGTAGCGCTCAGCCTGCTCGCACAACCGTGCGAGGAAAGTCTTGCTGTTGCAGTGTCAGTAGCAGTCCAAGTGCGGACACGTGGGGATGGAGGCAGTACCCCTCGCGCTGTAGCAGTCACAAGTCAGCCATCAGTTCAGTCTCATAGGTGTGCGAGTTGGGGGATAGGACGTTGAGGCATATGCAGATTGCGCAATGCGGGCGGCGGGGGGGCAGCGGTGACGTACCTCGCTGGCCATGGTTTCTCGTCGTCAGGTGTTGGTGGGTGTGGATTGAGTGTGATTTGGCGTAGCGGATATGGCAGGGGGTGAAGGGAGGGCGGCGGGGGAGGATGTTGTTGTTGTCGCGGGTGTTGGGCGGGTGAAGTCGTGTTTGTGCGGTTGGAGCAAGAAAGACTGACTGACTTCGAAGCTTGCGCTGCGCCAAGCCGCATCAGCCACACTAGCGCCACACATTCACTTGCACGCTGGCCTTCACGCCGGCGACCAACCACACGCTCCCACACGCGCCCACGTCATCACTTCACGACAAGGTCTTGCTGGCCATCACAGCCTGACTCGCATGCGTGACCTGGCCATCGCGCCTATTGCCCGACGCCCGTCGCCAACACATAAACAACACCACGTGATTCGGCGCTAGGCCGCTCCTCCTTGTTTCAGAAGCAGTAGCCGTCTCAGAAAGGGGTTGACCTAACATACAGTAGTCTGACGATCGCTAAAGATGATCCCTATCATGGCCCTTCAGCTTCAAGACGCTCAGTCCGACCGGTCGTGATATCGGTTCGCACGAACAGACGTAGTCCCTAGGATATCACAGCGAGACTGTCGACCGTGAAGCCGTCCTCATCATAAAGCAGTCCCTGATACCGAGTATCGAATAAGTCTCAGGGAGAGCATTTCATGCCACTGTGAGATGTCGTAGATTCAATGGCATTTCCATCTCACGGCCCTACCGTTGACATAGATGATCAAGCAGCATGCGGATGCTCCATCTCCCAAGCAACCGAGCCCTTGAGCAAATTGAACCTCGAACAGACCCGCTATGCTCTTGCCCACGACATCCCCGAGGAGTTCCATCATCCACGAGTGACGCAAGGACATCTCTGTAGCATCTGCATTGAAATGTTGTCCGTGTTCGCCTTGACTGGCGAAGGTGACGGCAAAGCGTTTGGTCAGCATCATCAGACGAAAGACAACCTTCAAGCGGCCGTCGACGAGTCTTGCTATATTTGTAGGACTCTGGACAGGCAGTTGAAAGAGTTTGCCCGGGTTCAGTGGTGCGTCACGCCGCAGGATCCTATGACTGCGGAACATGTCTCTTCTTACGATGTTGATTTCCGTACCTATGAGCCCGATGGAGCTGTTCGGCAGCAGATCTCTTTTGTTGTGAGAAGACTGATAGAAGACACGCCCATGATGCGCACTGCTGCGCTGTCAAGAACTTGGGCGTCTACTGGAAGTGAGCATGCGATAGATCTAGTCAAGATGTGGCTGCAGCTGAGCATCGATGGGCCCAAGACCAAGGAGAGAGACCTCATGGGGCAAGACCTCGTTGGCTCATCTGTCCATGACCATTGGTTCCCAACTCCCATCTTGGATGTATCAGGAGACAAGATGCGTCTCATCGAGTCCTATTATGCCAACAGGCAGAGACTGTACGCTACCCTCAGCTACTGCTGGGGAACGACGCCTTTCTTGCGCTTGACACCTGAGACTAATGCTCAATTACGGGCCGGCGTCGACATAGAGACCCTCCCAATCCTCTTCCAACAAACCATCATGATAGTCCAGAGCCTTGGAATCCACTATCTCTGGATCGACTGTTTCTGCATCATTCAAGGCCAAAGCCCTGAAGCGATTCACGACTGGCAAATCGAAGCCGCCCGCATGGCGCAGGTATACTCTCACGGCTTCTTCAACATAGCAGCCGACGAATCTACAACCCCTTTCGAGCCCCTTCTCCGACACCGACAACAATCAGACGTCGACCCATGCCACTTCTCATGGGAGCCATGGGTTTGCCCACGTGGAATGTACCGTATCGAAGAGCAGTACGAGACGGCTATGACTCTGGTACGCGCCCACCTTCATACCAGAGGCTGGACGCATCAGGAGCGACTTCTGTGTACGAAGATGCTGCACTTTGGCGCTCATCAAGTCGCATGGGAGTGTGGAAACGGGATCTGGAACGAGACGTATCCCGATGGGCTGCTCCTTCGGCAAGCTGGGAGGAGATTCAACATTCCCCATGCAATTGGCAGTGATGAGTTGTATGCGGAGTGGAAGGGGGTGATAAGCACCTACAGCGAGCGGGCGTTGACATATCCGGAGAAAGACAAACTAATCGCTGTGGCGGCCATGGCACGACGGTACACCGAAGCCTGCGAGGACGAATATAAACGACAGGGATACGTCGCCGGACACATGCGAAGTTCGTTACTATTCTCCATGTGCTGGCAAACTGGCGAAGAGGCGAAAAGAGCGCATCCTTGGCGAGCGCCTTCGTGGTCCTGGGCGTCGATTGATGGACCACTAGCCTGGGAAGTCGAGTCAATCGGTTGGCACTGGGTGAAGAGTCTGGCTGAAGTCGTGGAAGTCCATCTGGAACACTCGATACCTGGCGATATATACGGGCCACTCAAGGCAGGGAGTCTACGTTTGAAAGCAAGACTATTGGGACACCCAGGCGCTTCTCCATGTGGCAAGATCGAGAGTATAGACTTGGAAGACTGGCTTGTGCATGGGCTGTCCTTCCAACTTTCTGTCAGCGTGGACGACGCTCCTGACTTTCCATTGGATCCCTCGACAGTAAAAGTCTTACCTCTAGCATTCTGCTCCAAGAAGAGCAATCGCATTCGTCCAGCTGGCGATCGCAATATCTACGGTATCCTCGTCGCGCCACGTGCATCCACTGAACGTTGTGATGACTCTGGTCAGTATCGGCGGCTTGGGTTCGCAAGGTTAACTTGCCAAGCAAAGGGGGAGAAGTCCATGAGAAGTGCTGAAGTTGAAGACAGGGTGCTTAACGCTATTCAAACGTTGCCTGAACATGACCTGGTTATCGTATGAGTCAAAAGTGGTCAAGGGTGAGGTTCATGCCGCCAGGTCTCAAATCAAAGCCGGCCCATTGCGCTGCCATACGATCATTACTTGAACTTCTTACGATGCTCGTGTTCTTTTCAAGGCCCTGGCGGCTTCCTTCTCTATGACCGTCTCGCCGCCTTTGCCTCGCTTCGCCGGTGCGACTTCAGCCTCGCCGTTGCGTGAAGCTTTGGCTAAGAGCTCTTCCTGCAGAGGAGGTCAGCACAAGCCATGGGAAGCAATTTTCGAGCCACCGATGGCTGCTCACCTTCGGCGTCGCTACAATCTTCACATACTGGTCTTTGTTGTTGATCAATTCTTCAAAGCCTTGGCCGGGTAAATCTCGAAGAAGGATACGACTTGTGATCATCTTCTCGGCGCCGGCGAACTTGCCTGCCGAACAGTCAGCTCGATCATCCAGGCATGAAGTAGCTTGAGGCTCACCAGCGATGAAGTCGTCCACAACAGCTTTGAAATCCGTGTTGTCATATGCCATGCTGAACTTGATGGTGATCTCCTTCAACATAGCATACTCCGTTGGGATTGTAAACTGTGGCACTATCAGCCATGGACAAGACAATCACAGCTGAATTAGAATACCGGTTGCTCCCATCCAGCAACATTGACGTAGATGCCCCTGGGTCTCAATGCATCCATTCCCGCTCGCATTCCCGCCGGAATTCCAGCACAATCAAACACCACATCAACACCCACCCCATCGGTCAATCTTCGGCACTCGTCGCCAATATTAACATCTATTGGCGACAGGACTTTATCGGCCAGGTCTCGAGTCTGCGCTTGACGCAGCTTCGTAGGCTCAGAAACAATCGTCGACTTGACGCCGACGGCTCGTAGATTCCAAAGCACGCTGACACCGATAGGTCCAGCTCCAACCACAAGCACGGTGAGGTTCGAGAAATCCTCGATGCCAGAAACCGGGAGCGCATGCCGTCCAACGCTCAGGGGCTCGATGAGAGCCGCTTCGTCCATGTTGACATCGTCAGGCAGTCGATAGCACATTCTCGGGGAGACAGCCACGAACTCGGAGAAGCCGCCTCCATGGCCAGAGAGGCCTACGAAACCCCATGAGTGGCACAGCTGCTCGATGTTCGTCTGGCAGGGGTAACAAGATTGGCAGTTGATTCGTGGGTCGACCATCACCTTCTCGCCCAACTTGAGGTCCGAGTTCGAGGCGGTCTTGACAACGCTGCCGGCGAACTCATGGCCGAGGACAACGGGTAGGTGTTCGCCGGTGATGATATGAGGTTTCTCTTTTCTAGGAACGACGATTGGGCCCAGGATATATTCGTGAAGATCGGTACCTACATGATACGCACTGGCGTAAGCTCTATCTCAAAGTATATACCTCTGAGAAAGACAACATACCACAAATCCCACACCAATCCACCTCAATCAACACCTCATCGTTTCTCGGCTCCGGCTTTGGTATATCCTCGATCCGCACGTCTCCTTTGCCGTGAAAGAGTGCGGCTTTCATAGTTCTGGGAGATTGGGATCGGCGCGAGACATGTCGAGATCACTTTCAGAGGTTTGGAGCTTTGGGAATTGTATAGAGCTCGTGAGTAGCTGCCGCCTCGTCAGTGCATCCGAGGGCCCCCGCACGCGGGATTGTGCTTAGCCTGCCTTGCGAGAATTGGCATCGTTTTGTAATCCGCTGGGCAGTCTATGTGCATCAGGAAGCTGGGGAAACAAATCCGTGGGTTGTCTGTGATTAGTCGGTGGCCAATGGATTCCGGAACAGCATTGAAGGAACGATAACGATCAAGAGATGTGGCCCTGTTCAGAAGCTTCGGCCTGACGTGGTCTGATCCTTGCTCTTTCTCCCGTATCGAGCGACATCCACAGCCTGAAACAAAGGTCAACCCCCTTTTCGGGTAGCCATCGAGCAAACGGGCGCGAGCAGGTGCCTAGAATGAGATCGTATAGTCGCTAGGCAGCGTTTTTACGATCGGTTGATATTCTGTTATGCGCACTGTGATCGCTTGTCGCTCGCTGGATTCAGCTACAAGGCATCAGAATTTCCACACCTCTCCCAAGTACTTGATAACCCAAGCCTCAGATGGTCTTGTGAAGTTCGTTCACATAGGCTTTAAAGCCGATCCAGAGAGTATTCGACAGTAAGAGCCATCCCAGAAAGAAGACTGGGCCGCTCCGGTTGGCTTTGACTTGATGACTTTTCCATCCTCCACCGAACGTCTTCGTGTTCATTCCGGAGGCTTGGTTGTCCGAAGACAGGCCGAACCTCTCAGCTGAAGGCAGATCCGAGACACCAATCAGGACACTCCAGATTCGACACCAAGCTGCCATAATTCCTCGTTGCAAAGACCGTGGGGTTCGGCCATCAAAGTCGGGTGTCCTTCAAGCCTAGGCGCCCCTGATTGTGACACTTTTCGAATCACGCTTCCACCAATCATGCACCCGGTCATCGGCCTGGTCGTTGCATTGCTGGTCAGGACGGCCGCTGGAGACCAGACTCCCCTTGGCAACGAGGAATTCGCCATTGGCTTCGACCTGACACCATCCTATGGGTACATCTCATTTTGAACCTGATGAATATCACTAACATTCTCCAGAACAGCAGCCATCGTGTCCAGCAATGGCATAGGGAAACCTCTTGCGTTCGTCAACGGCAGTGGCCTGTACAAAAAGGTCATGAATCAGCTTTCCCACAGCCTCTTCTGGCCACCACGCCAATACAGAACCTACCCGCGGCCTGACCCACCCAACGCCACGGCTGTGGCCATCCTGGCAGAGATGCTCGATGCGTTGCGCAGTGAAGTCGAAGCGGAGATAGGAGGCTCGGTACCATCAGCGGCAGTAACAGTCCCTCATCTGTCCCAGTTATATGATACCACGCTCCAAGCTGCTTGCGACGCCATCCACTTGCAATGCATCCAGCTCTTCCAGCACGAGGACTTCCGGGAATCGTTGACACGCCATGAGAACGCTCTCATCGCAGGCCACGGTCTGGGACTCTGTCAGCCTTATACTGTGACAAACCACAACTGCTCGTTGACACAACGTCTACCTTCTGAAAGACACTACCTCATTGGCTACTATGCAGACGGTGTCGAGGCTGTACTGACGTCCAATGTCAGTTCGGCGTACGCGGTCGACTCGTTCGCTTATGCAGACTTCTCGCTTGGCAGCAGCATGAGAGACAAGAATCCGAGGGAGGAGTTCTACTGGGAAGAAGTCAGAAGGCTCATCAGCTTGCCCCTGGTGGGCACCATTGCTCAGAAACCAAACCAAGGTCATCCTGCACGGCGACAGAAGCGCAGATCAAAAGTTCCAGCAAGTGTTGCACGAAACCTTGCAGCAATTGTTCGCTCCAGGCGAACAGCCAGAATGGATTGAAAGCGACTTCTTCACCGCAGCCATCGGTGCTGCCGAACTTGCAAAAAGGAAGCCATACTGGGGCCTCGGGCCGTGAAAAGCAGCTCATTAACCGTGAATAGCATTGTCTCGAAAAACTCAACTTCGAATCCGCAGATAGTAATCCGTGCCCTTCGGGCTGTCCTGAAAGTGCTCCACCTTCAACAATTTGGTCGTGCTTGCAACACTCTTCGCGCTGCGTCGACTCCATGCCGTGCTCGGCCGCTGCAAATCCCCCCTCATCTCCATATCCCACAGCTTCTCTGGATCCCGCACCAGCTCCACCTTATCACCATCCGCGTCGACCAGTTGCGGTACGGGGAGGAAGTCGATTGCGAAACTCCACATGTAGAAAACAAAGAAGAACCCGATCATCCATTCGATGACGACCGACGGGTTTCGTAGGCCAGCGTGGGGCGAGTTGATGTCGTGGCCGGCAAGAAGTGCTGTGACGCCGAAGAGGGCCGTAAAGAGGAGTTCGAGGACGATGAAGAAGAACTTGATCTGGAACGATCGCTGCAGGTATTTATTGGTAGGGTAGCGGTCGGAGATTCGTTTCTTTTCGGCGGCCATGAAACCTGCTGCAAGGATATATCCACCACTACGCATTGTCAGCTTCAGCAATAAGATTTCTGCAACACCAAACTCACATGAAAACGCCGATCATTGGAAAGTGGATGTTGATGTGGTTCCTGGCGTCGAAAATGGTCAACAGCATGAGTCCTGTACCACCCATGATGCTGAAGAAAGATGCCAGCGCTGAGCACACAGCGCCCCATCTACTGCTGACGTGGATAAGATGCCCTTTATGTCGAAGCCATCTCTCCGCCGCAAATGTGATCCCGAACAGTGTGACCGTGATTGCCGAGCCAGTAATGAAAAGCGGCTTGCCCCAGTCAGACGTGCCGGTGTCACTGATATAGGCAAGGTTCTGGTTGGCTTGCATCTCGACATAGTGTGGCGAGCCTTTCGAGAGCCATGTCAACAGCAGTGACAATAGCGTTACTACGGATGTCGTGTTAGCTTAGCACAAATACTGCACCTGCCAATGGACATACACAGCCAAGCAGATCCGGCCAAAACTGGTATGTACCAGCATGGAATCCCAAATGGTCTTGGTGACTCTGCCACAACACGAGGCAGGCCCGCCATTGCGGCAGGACAGTCGACAACGCCCCTTCCACGGCGTGTACTGAAATCGGTGTGGTAACGTTGAAGCGAGTGCGTAAATCGAGAGATGCACGGCGTGCAACTATCCTAGATATCCGCCGCGGCTGTCTGCAGCAGTCGTGTATTCGTGTTCCCAGCAATTCCAAGCGAGTGTGGTAAGGAGATGATCCTTAGAAGTGAATGCGCATGTTGTATTTATCTTCCCCCAACAAGCGAACAAGCAACAGAAATGACCGTAAGGATTATTATTTTAGCAATAGAAGAGGCGAAAGAGAGGAAGTCAGAGAAAGAGAGGAGGGCGCAGAGACGGCGTTGTTCCTCCATGCTGCTGACACTGTACGACGATCCATCAAACCGTTGTGAAGCAAACCAGTTCATGTTACCATATCAAGCGACCGTTGGCGAATACCGCAGCTGTACAACAGCGATCGACAAGTCTGCCGCGGCGCATCACCTGGCCCGGTCCCCGCCTGCATCGTCACATGAAAGTGGACCACGTCAGAACCCGGGATTGGATGATTAGCGCAGCAAGCGACGCCGCAGATAGCAAAGCGTGGAGTCTGAGGATGGTGTTGCAGTGCTTGGAGAGGGCAGTTATGCCTCATCAGGCAGATGGAGAATGTTGGACGCTGCTTCGCCCCCTGTCTCGGTGCAGAAGCGCTGATTCAGCCGGGGTTAGAGCTATATCGACCCAGCCAAGATCAGATCAGAGGACAATGTTCCTGATGATTGCTGTCATCACAGACGAGTACGGACTGGTGCCGGCGGTAGTGTGATGATCCAGATATAGGGATTGCCAAGGAAAGGGAGCAGAGTTGAACGAACAGAGCAAAGCGCAACGGGCGGGACGGAGGTTGATTGCCGCCGCGGTTCGTCGGCAACATCCGGGCCAGCTCCGTCGCCAAAATAGTAGTTTCGTTTCAATCAATTCGTTGCCATCCTCCTCTTACTCTTCAAACCCGATTTCCTCTTGTTGACAGTCTTGAGACGAATGCCTGCAACGCTCATGATACCGGTGGAAGGTCTGTCCTGTGCAGATTGATTAGCGAAGTCGCCAGAAACGAATCAGGGAGATCAAGACAGATACAAGCATCAGATGAACCCGAGCCACCGCTACAACAGACCAATGACTACGCTCTATGCATAGTCTTTGCGGAAACCATCACAAGCAAGACCGCGACCGCGACACCAGCTCCCACCTTCGCCAGGCTCTTCGCGACAATCAACGCGAGAAACCGCATGGCTCGGTTCTGATGCATTCGAGTGTTGGCCGCTGTCTTGTATCCTTCGTTCCCCTTGGGCAATGCTCCTCCCTCATGTCCTGACGGTTGTTGCTTGCCCAGAAACTCACACATAGGTCCCCACCCTTCCTCCAACCGCATCCTCAACACCGGCCTTCCCTCCAACTTGGCTCTCGCTTCGATAGCATCATAATGCTGCATATACACCGACCTCGCGTTCCTCGCCAGTTCCGACGTATTCCTCGCCTGGAAGTAGTTGAGAAAGAGGCCGTTGATGAAAATGTTAGGATTGGGTGGGAACAAGCCCACGCGGATTGCAAACGCAATGACATCCCTTTTCCACGAGAAGACTTCCTTCAGAATGACCGTCTCGAAGCTACGAAACCATTCTTCAACGTCTCGCTCCACCAGGAGGATTTTGGCTTGTGGATAGGCGTCCATGAGTTCAGACCAGAAAGCACAGCATGGCATGTCTGTGACGGCTGCACAGTCCCCAAGAATACGATAGAAGTGTTCACGTGTAATCGGTTGCGGGTTCTTTCCGTACTTGCGTTCAGCGAGTTGAGCCCATGTGAATCCGTCCTTGCCAGCCAGGAGATCTTGAACGCCATGGTAGGTACGGAGGTACCCCATCTCCTCGAGTGCTTTGCGTATGCTCTCGGTCCCACTGCGTGACATACCTTCAAGACATCAGTCTATCGAAGCATGGTCACGGCGAGTCAAATTTAGGCACTTACCCAGAGCCAACACCTGCATAGGTACCGTCCTACTTCCGGCTTCATCCATGACTGAGATATATCACTCCCAATAAGTGCCGCTCACTACAGCATGTACCTCCTGTCGATACGCTTCTTGCAAGACCTGGCCTTCCATCGCCGAATGTCGCAGTGGCGTCCCTCTTTATAGAGACGACCAGCTGACGGAACTGGTCTTTCATCCTTCGGCTGAGATGAAGCGTTTGCCATTTCTGTACTCAACAATTTCGCTCGATGGTGTGGTCAGCTTTGTAGGATCAGTTATAAAGTGAGTTGCCTATAGTCATAGCCGCCGTAGCCCCACTCGTCAGCTGGTATTTCGCAGTAGCTTGACGAGAACCCCATCAAACATGACCCAAAACAACAACGTCTATACATTGCACAAGCGGCAACCATGATATCATGTCGATCTCGAGCGATGAGTTGAAGAGGGGACTGGTCGTGATTCAGGAGGAATGGCAGCAGGTGGACGAAAAGTCGGGATGGAATGAGGTCAAACTGCTACAACAGGCAAGACGCCGACGTGTGTCGCGTCAGAAGGCTCGCACTGACAATCCAAACAGTACGATACGACGTTTTTGAGAATTACGAGGTCTCTGAGTTCTTTGGCGAACACATTCGACGTGCCACAAACTGAAGATGAGATTAAAGAAGACGACGAAGAGGCGCTGGTAGACAAGACGCCAAGAGAACTTCTCGTTGTCTACGACATCGTCCATTCGCAGTCCTATCAGGTCCCGGTTCTCTACTTCAACTTCAAGAACACATCCTCTGGGGGGAAACGTTCGATTGAAGAAATCTACCAGATGCTCGTTCCGAACGCTCACGGCACATCAATGCAGGCCGTGGGACAGCTGGGTGCCATTACCCTCACAGAGCACCCTATCACTGGAATTCCATCCTACTTTGTACACCCATGCAGAACGCGGGAAGCGCTGGAGCCTGCCCTGCAAGGAAAGACGGTGAAGCCAGCTGAATATGTGATGCTCTGGCTTGGAACCATCGGGTCGAGTGTTGGCCTGGATATTTCCCTGCCGCTCGCGATGAGACTTGGACGTGAGGGCCTGGTCGCGCAGGGCACTTAGGAGAAGTCAGAGCAATGATCGTGTCTTTTCAGCAACTGGTCATACCTAGTATCTCCTTACGACTTGCTGCTTCGCTGCAGCATTTCGCTTTGATGTCGTAACTTGTCCCTCATTCTCAATTCTTCCCCGCGCCGTGCTCTTTGTGACTGTTACAGTCTCCAGTCCATGCTCACATTCTCAATCGTCATCGTCACTCATCTCCATCTCTCCTCCCTCACTATCCTCCTCCATGGGCGCATCACCATCCTCGTTGTCACTCTCGTCTCTCTGCCTCTTCGTGCCTGCGCTTACTGCCGGACTTGGCGCGTTGTTCTCTGCTCCCGGCTTGGCTGGCTGTAGGTTTCCATTGGGCTTCTGAGGCAACCCAGGCGGTGGAGGAAGACCACTAGGTGCTGCACCGGGCGGCGCAGGGAACGATGATCCAGCTGCTCCACCTTTCGCTTCCCCAATTGCCGGCTTCTCTTCCTCGACAAACGTACCCGTCAATTTGGCCAATGTCTTCGACCGCGACTTGGCGTAGGAGACGCGCATTTCCTTCCCGAAGAAGTCGAAACCTTGACAGTGTCGCATAGCTTGTGTGGCACTCTGAACATCTCGGAAAAGCACATGTGCCTGGCCACGCATCTTTGGCGTCTTCACAGCGGTGATTTCGAGGACAGGGCCGTAGGTTGACAGCAGCATGTAGAGGTTTCGCTTGAGGTCGTGCTTTTGGAGCTTTTCGGGGAGATTTTGGATGTAAAGGGACTGATTTGGCGGTACGCGGGCTTGCTGCGTGGCGACAGCCATGGTAGGGGAGTGTAGGTGAGTGTCGGCTGGTGGTGGTTGTTGTTGGTCTCGTGCAGCAAGAACTTTTGGAAGATTGAAGTGAACCTAGCTTCGGCCGTTAGCCAAGAAATGACGGTCCCCGCTGCAGGCTGCTCTTACTTACCACTGCAACCTCTCTCTTTAACCATTCACTACTCACATCACCACCACCAACACAAGATTGTACCTGGCAGCGACAGTAGAGAGACCTCCCCTCCTGTCGTCCAGCCAACACCACCGACAAGATGGCCGCGCCGCAAGTGCACCACCTCTTCCACGCGCCCATCAGCGACCATTCCTTCTCCGCCGACCGCAGTACCCTCGCCGTCACCAAGGACAACAATGTCGAGCTGTACGGCACCAGCGGCGGCGCTTTTCGCCTCCAAGATGAACTACGAGGTCACGACAAGCTAGTCACCGGCGTAGACATCGCCCCTCGATCCGGCCGCATCGTCACTTCTTCGCAAGACCGCAATGCCTACGTGTGGGAGCCTAGCCGTACTGGCGAGTGGAAGCCGACTCTGGTCTTGCTCCGAATCAACCGAGCCGCGACATGCGTACGATGGAGCCCCAGCGAGACCAAGTTCGCCGTGGGTAGCGGGGCTCGGATCATCGCCGTCTGCTACTTTGAAGAGGAGAACGATTGGTGGGTGTCGAAGCACTTGAAGAAGCCTCTGCGCAGCACAGTCACCAGCGTGGCATGGCACCCGAATAGTGTCTTACTGGCTGCCGGCAGCACGGATGGACATGCTCGTGTGCTGTCCTCGTTCATCAAGGGCACTGACGAGCGACCTGAACCCTCTGCTTGGGGTGAGAGACTGCCATTCAATACCGTGTGCGGCGAGTATCTGAACTCGACTGCCGGATGGGTCCACAGCGTCGCTTTCTCGCCTTCTGGCAATGCGTTGGCCTTCACCGCCCACGACAGCAGCATCACTGTTGTCTATCCTTCCGCACCAGAGCAGCCCCCACAGGCCGTCATTTCCATCTCGACCCAGCTTCTGCCATTCGCTGATCTACTCTGGGTTTCAGAGTCCGAGATCGTATGTGCAGGCTACGATTGCGAAGTGTATCGTTTTGGTGGATCTGTCTCTGGCTGGCAGCTCACTGGCTCGTTGGAGAAAGCCAGCGCTGGAGCTGGTGCAGGCGCTGCGAGAGAGGAGAGTGCTCTGAACATGTTCAGGTCGATGGATCTGAAGGGCCGCAGCGGTGGTGTCGACGATACGAAGCTGCGAACTGTGCATCAGAACTCGATCAACACCCTTCGCCCTTACCAGGGCGGCGGGACTGGCCAGGTGAGCAAGATCAGCACTGGAGGCGTGGATGGAAGAGTCGTAGTGTGGAACCTGTAAATACTCTACGACATGACGAGAACCATGTTATCGACGAACCATAGCTTCATCAGCGATCGCCCGCTCCAACGCAGGCACGAGCCCAGGTCGTGAATTCACCAAATCCACCAACGGCAAAAATAACTTCCCCTCCCTCTTCCCTCCCACCATCTCAGCCAACTCACTCCATTCACACCACTCCCACCCCTCACACTTATCCTCCTCCATAACCACCGGCTCCGGTTTCCCATCTTCCCTCTCACAAACCATAAACACCGTGACGTAATGCCGCCCGTCCTCCTGCATAACATCATTCGTGGCCGTGAAGAACGCAAGACTCTTCACATCCAGTCCAGTCTCCTCCTTGACTTCTCGCTCGGCGCATTCTTCGAACGACTCGCCGAATTCGAGGTGCCCGCCTGGGAGGGCGTATGTTCCTGCGCCGTGAGAGCCCTGTCTCGTCGTCAGCTCGTTGGACTTTGAAAATATGTGTGTTTCTGGGGCGTGTCCTCGCCTTGCGTTTGCCGATGAGGAAGCGAGGGTTTTGGCTGGTTGATGGACCTCTGTTCTCGAGGATGAAGACGCCGACGCCGACGCGGACTTGTGTGGATGTGGACGCCATGGTTTGTTGGTTGTTTGGGAGTGTCGAATTGGAGATGCGAGCCTTTTATAGCGGGGATAGATTGGATTTGGGGCAGTGAGAAAAGTGACTCTTCACCACTTGGCATGGCGGCCTCGTTTGCTGCTGTCACGTTCACAGATGAAAGATGTCTCAGGCATACATGTCGTTCTCGTTTCGCGGGATATCAATCAATCAATCAAAACTATCAACAAAAATCCAAGGCGCTGGTTTCATTACTCCCTGCCTGTGACTCTCCTTGCCCAATCATCGCCAACACGAGTAGCATCGACGACATCGACTTCCTTGCCTAACCCGACAAAACTCGAGTGCTCCCACCATCTTCGTTTTTCCTTCCTCTCGCCTCGTTCGTCTTCAGTCTCAGTCTCAGTATCTGCCAGCCCACCATGTCCTTCGTCTCCGACGACGAGCACAGTATGCCCAACCCAGCCCTTCAAAGCGGCAACGGTCTCGCCTTCACGACCACTGAGTGTATCGCTGATGTAGACAAGCTGAGGTGCAAGATGGCGGAGGAGATGCACATATCCATCTGCCGTGGTGAAAGGGAGGATATGTGTAGGGTGCGAGACGAGAGTTTGCGCTTGGTTGTACAAAGCGTCGAAATGCTTGGTTTTCATGTCGGTTGCGTCGATGCGTGGAGAAATGGACTGGAGCTCGGAGCCGGGAGTCTGCGCGGGAGTGTTGATCTCAGAGTAGGAGGAACCCATGGCTGAAGGGGCACGACCCGGCTGGTAGTCAATAGGTGGCAATGACTTCAAGCCTGGGGCGTATATAAGCACAAACAGGTCTGTTTGTGATGAATCGTGCAGGTTTGGAAGGTGCGACAAGATCGACTGCGAAATGTTAGCACCATCTACCATACTCAGTGTGGACAATCTTACGCCATGCTCGGTGCGGAAATCTCCCTCATACGCATCATCACCAGCATCAAAGTCAGCACTGACAACAATAGCAACAGTACGTTTGGCCTTGTTCTTCCCCTTCTCTTCTCTTTCCCTTCTCGCGGCATCAACCCGTTTTCCACTCTCCGCCTCCACTGCAGTGACTCGCTGTCTCTCATCGGCCTCCTCACTCCAACGCTCATGATCACTGAAGCCATCTCGGTCATCGCGTCGTCGGTATTCGTCATGGTCGCCATTGCTTTCCACCTCCATAATGCTACCCAGCGCCGAGCCAGCAGCTGCCAGACCTCCCATGACTTGCTTTGAGGCGGAGTCGAAGAATTGTTGTGGACTGGGAGTCCTCTTGATCGCACCCGTCATACGCCCAATGAACGTATTGTCGTCCCGCCGAACATCACGCGACTGTGTCTGCGAAGAGGAGCCATAGTAGCTGGAGGCCTCGCCCTGGTATGAGGTCTGCTGATAGGATGATTGTTGAGCTCCCACAGGCGGAGGCATCTGGGTGGTGTTGTCTTGCAATGGCACTACTCCTGGCGGTGGAGGCGGTCCTGGATATTGCTGGGAGCCTTGTGTAGGATATGGCCCTCCCATGCCAGTCGGTGGGCGGGGAGGCTTGTCTTGTGGGTATTCATCGTCGTCGCCCCTTTCTGACCATATCCATGCTGCCAGTCCTCCTACAGCGATTGTGCCGATCGTGATCAATGGGACCCAGTAGCCCAAGACCGAATGTTGTCGGTTGTGGGCACCAGGGCCGGGAGGGGGAGGGGGCGCATATCGTGGGCGGCTGTTGCGTGTGGTGGTGGTCTTGCGGTACGTGCGGTCGTACGACATGGCGGAATGCAGGCGACTACATGGGCGACAGGGAAGTTGTGAGAGGGAGAGTACGAGGTGGACGTTGACGGCGACGGCGAGTTGTTGTTTGGACGACAACACAGCTGGCTGGCTCGCGGGTTGTGTGTGGCTGGAGCTGTACCAGCCTCGTTCAGCTGTTAGACGGCACTCCCCTGCTAGCGCCAACTCTGATCGCGCGGAGATTTCATGACTCGCGCAACGACATCGACTCGAATATGACTCCAGATCAACATCACCTCGTTGTAGGACATTGACTTACGGGCGATATCGACGAAAATGCCTCACGCAACAGTGCCCTCACCAGGGCTACAAGCCTTCATACTGTGTGGTCCAGGAGCGTCTCTCAGCATCTTCGCCTCCAACCCAAACGAATTCTCAAAGGCTTTGATTCCCATCGCAAATCGGCCCATGGTCTGGTATCCCTTGGATTGGTGCTATCGGACGGGAATTAACGGTCAGCCTGTACTGAAAGATCTGTAACACTGTAATACACTAACACGTAGCAGACATCACTTTGATCACCCCGCCAGAATCAAAATCCGCGTTGGAAGCCGCTCTGGCCACCAACCCCTACCTAACATCGCTCCCAAACCCAAAGCCGGAAATCCTCGCTCCACAGGCTTTGACGCAGACAAGTGGTACTGGAGAGTTGCTCCGTTCAGCAGAAGTCCAAAAAGCCATCACGTCCGACTTTGTCATTCTCCCTTGCGATCTGGTGTCAGAACTCCCCGGAACCAGCATCCTGCAGCAATGGATGAGCCTCAATCCCCTCTCAATCTCCAGCAAGGGATCGAAGCGGAAAGGAGGCCTCAGTGTCTTTTACCCTACCCACGGCCTGGAAGGTATCAGCCAGAAGAAAGAGGAAACAGATTTCATCGCCACGACACCGATGAGTTCAGCGCCTGTGCCATCTCCCCCCGGCTCTTTGAGGCCACAAATCGAGACTGTGGTCATGTCGATGCCCACTGATACCGTCAATGACAAAATCGAAGAAGACAAAGGCTTCTTCAGGATCCGGACTCGGCTTACGCGCAAATACGGAAGAGTGAAGATGAGGACCAAGCACCGCGACGCCCACGTCTACATCTTACCGAAATGGGTCAAAGAGTACGCCATCAAGAACGAAAAGTTTGACTCGATCAGTGAAGACGTCGTGGGCTGGTGGGCAAAGGCACAGTGGCAAGAAGGCTTGGGCGAGAAACTCGGACTGGATGCCGTGCTGGATCAAACGACGAACACCGAGGACGACATGACCGATAGCGCCCATCTCGACGATGACGACGAAACAACTGATGCCTCCCTCCTATCAAGCACCAAAGTTTTCCGTCCTACCCAATCACCAATGTCAACAACCTTCGCCAGCCGTGTCGGCAACGCCGCCCTTCAACCCGCCAAAACACCCCTCCACGTCCCTCCCCTCCTCGCATACGTCCAGTCCAGCCCAACCACATCAACCCCAACAGTCGACCACCCCCTAGTCCGCCGCGTAGACACCAGCGCCAGCCTCCTCGCCATATCCCTCTACCTCGCCAAGCAGCAACCAGGCTCCTCCACCCTATCCCACGAGCACAAACTCCACCCAAGCGCAAAAGTCGGACCACAGTCCCGCGTCAGCCAGGAGGACAGTCTGGTCGGAGAGAACGTCACTCTCGGGAGCCGGACGATCGTCAAGGAGAGCGTCATTGGCTCGAACTGCGAGATTGGGAACAATGTCCGGCTGACGAGGTGTCTGCTGATGGATGGGGTTGTGGTGGGGCATGGTGTTCAGTTGACGGGTTGTACGGTTGGGCGAAGGGCGAGGATAGAGGGGTTGAAAGCGGCGGTTGTGGAGCAGTCTGCTGCAGGTGGTGAAGCGGCAGAGGGTTCGAAGAAGAAGGGCAAGAAGGCAAACGATGACGAAGAGGACAGGACTCGGCTGACGGACTGTGAGGTCGCTCCTCATTTCGTGGTGGAGGCAGGGACAGAAGCCAAAGGCGAGCAACTCATGGCGTTTGGGGGTGATATGGATGACATGGATGAAGATGATGAGGATGATGATGGAGCTGATTAGATTCGACATAGAGCTAACTTGGGTCCCGTGTTTAAAACCTCTATGGTATGGTTGTCTCTGCCCCCTCACTGCTGTTTCATACTCAAGTGCTCGGTTCCACCGCAATGTCGAAATCCCAGCAGTTGTCTGCTGTCTTCATGCCATCCCTGGCATCATCTCCACCCTCACAGTAGCCCGCAAGCATTCCCTCCAAAGCCTCCATACACGTATCCTGACCAGCCTTACCTCCCGTAAGACAAGCACCAGAGTGAGCGACTGAAAGCGTCACTTCCTGCCCCAAGACATCGTAATGCTGCGTGAGGTTGAACGGCTCGTCGTTGAGGAAAGGGCAGTACTCGTAGAGCATGCAGAAAGCGTGGATGATGTCGTGGAACGTCTCTTGCGAGCAGAGCACTCCACCATCACCTGACTGACGAGGGACCAGTGCATTATTGATGGCTGTGCCCGGGATTTCAAATGTGTTGTGCTCGAGCCTGTAGTGTTCTGCTGGCGGCAGGAGCGACATCTCGTTCTGTCCGGACAATGGCGCGAGGACCAGCGAGCTGAAGTTCCAGCAGGCGTTTGGGTTGACGTCAGTAACCCATCCTCCCTGTTATCACATTAGCCTTCGACTCATTCCCATCACGCTTCATGTCGACGGACCTTGATCACGTTGCCTTGAGATGCGGCACACGGACCGTGTTCGGGACTCAACGCGTAGCCCCACCACGGATGACAAAAGAACTCCATGCAGCCTTTCCAGGTGACGTTGCCATAAGCTGGACCGCCTCCGGGGGCGGCGCAGTAGAAGTTGACGTAGAAGTTGAGGCTGTACAAAGTCAGAGGCCCCGTCACAATATCGGCAAAAGCACGATGCCCGCGGTGCGAAGATGCACAGAATGCCGTTTACTTACCAAGTTGCATCGTTGCAGTATGCGTTTTCCGACCAATAGCTTTCTCCAGAGGACAAAGTGACATCTTCCTTGACCATGCGATCGCAAAAGTCCGATGCATCTGTACTGTCATCAGTGCTGTCCTAACAATCATTGCATAGCTTCACCCACCTTGGTAGAAGTCGGCATAGCTCACGGAGTACTGCCAATCGCCAGGAACGCAAGCAGTAACTCCCTGAGGCGCCTGTCGTGCGCTGATCGTCTTTGTTACGCGGTGCCATGACTTTGCGGACAGGGCCGGTAGCCGGTTTTCGGACTCTTTGGGCGTGGCAAGTGAGAGAGCGGTCCAGCAGGCGCCGGGTGCAGGACTGCCCACATAACCTCCACTCAGGCAGAAGCCAGGGGAAGGGTTGAATGGAAGGCCAAAGAGCGTTCGGCAGGAGTCGTAGTCGATGGAGCTGGTGGAGGTCTCGTTTCCGCACTTGAAGACCAGCAGCGTCGTGATGCAGTAGTCGTCGAAGCACTTCTCGTGGGTGGCATCCTCACCGACTTGCAACTCGCGGTCGGAGTAGTTGTGGCATGCTTCTTCGAAAGCTGAAATGCGTCAGCAACGAAATGCACTTCTAGGTGAACGGCGACTCACTGGCATTGAACTCGGCAGGGGATGCGATGGCTCTATGGGTGATGCAGTAGACGTTGATCTGAGCCGCTGGCACTTGGCGGGCGACGAGATCTGCCTCTGGGGGAGTTGAAGCCGACTCTGCCGTTACCACCGAGCTGAGCGCCAGCAGGGGGACAATGCGAAGCAGGCGCATTGTGTCGATGGGTCGTCTAGCGAGTGGGGATTCTTCCGTTGGTGTGGAAAAGAGGTTTATGGGTGGATGTTGATTGAACGAGTGACGGCGGTTGGTGTTGTGCGAAGCGTCAAAACACGATGTCGCCCGGGTGAGGTCGAAGCTGATGCGGTCAAGTTTGGCAAGAACGACACGTGCCTCCGTCCAAAAGCAGCCGAAAGCGTAAAATTGGAAGTGACGCCTCACGACCCTCGGAAACCACATTTTACGCCTTCGTCAGCACCAATTTACTCTGCTCAGTTCGTCCTAAGTGGGATGACAGCAACATCGACAGACCAGATGTCTCGCATTCTAAATGATTCTGGGGAGCAGTGAGGTGGCAATGACAGTGATTTCAGGAACACGGGTGCTGCTGCTGCTTTCACATAGTCTTTCACTGGCTCTTGCGTCGTCCGTACTATCATGGAGCGGCTCCCGCCTTCATTGCTCGGGGCATCGCCACACAACACCAGATTATTCGTGGTCCTCGTGATCCTCCTCCACTGGATTTCATACGACCCTCAAGCCTTCAAAGGTCCATATCAATATGCATCTTAAACTTCCTATTCGCCCGATCCGGCGCCCTCGCCTCGAACTGATTCCCATGAATCTCAAAAACCACCGCCTTCCGCCCTGCCTCCTCCTCAAACGGCACCTCGAACCGAAAAACCGTCTGCTCCTTCGGCACCGTCTTCAGCTCGTTCTTCGCCGTGATCATCTCGAACGTGAACTTCGTATCTTTGACCACGATCCCCTTTAGCCCCACCCTGCTCACGCACCTGCTTCGCACAATCTCCATCACCGCGCCGTGGTAGTCGGCCGAGACCAGGAATGGTCCGGCGTTGTTGGGGTTTAAGGGCTGCTGTTTTCCGTCCTTCAACCCGAGTATCTCGCGCATGTAGCCGCACCACATGCGGTGCAGTGGTTCGTAGATCGCATACTTCCGCTGCTCTTTCGGGAAGTCGTAGATGCAAAGCGCCCGCTTCTGCTTCGCGGAAAGCGGTTTTGGTTTGTTCGACCTGCGCTCGGCTTTTGTCTTCTGCAGGCGATCGTACTGTCGTTTCGAGCGTGCGTTCAGTTTCGGATCCGGCGAGGTAGGGCGGAGGTGTAGAGGTCGTAGCTTGATTTTCTCGCGGAATATCGTGCTTGCTTGTTCCGTCTCGTGCGCGCGCTGCAGCAGCTCTTCGGCAATGTGTTCGGTTGGCTGGGTAGCCATGATGAGGCGATCACATTTTTTGGTGTGTAGTGAGGAAAGAGCGATGGGAAATTTGGAGTTGGAGCAAGAGGTGAGGTCGAACGCTGACTCATCCGATATGCTAGCGTTCCATCGAGGACATCATCACGAGATACATCTTACCATCCTCGATCCACTTAATAACAGAACGATTTATGAAATGATAAGAACGCTCAGAATCTCCCAACAAACAATCCCACTCCTCACAAACAAGACCTTCCGACCAATGTCCACCCACAAAATCTTCGCCCCAGGAGGCGCCAACGACTCACAACAATACACCAAAGGATCCCTCGACGAATCCCAACTCGACCCGAACCCCTTCACCCAATTCGACATCTGGTTTAAGCACGCCAACGAGGAAAAAGTCCACCAACCGGAAACCGTGACGTTATCCACCGTCGAACTTCCCTCAGGCCGGGTCAGCGCTCGGATGGTGTATCTCAAGGAAATGGACGAGCGCGGGTTTGTCATCTACAGCAATTGGGGCACGTCACGCAAGGCATCTGATATTTCGTCGACGCCGCAGCCGTATGCGGCTTTGACGTTTTGGTGGCATGAACTAGAGCGGCAGGTGAGGGTTGAGGGGCCTTGTGAACGCCTAAGTCGAGAGGAAAGCCAGGTGTATTTCGACACTCGGATCCGAGGGAGCCGGATCGGGGCGTGGGCGAGCCAGCAGTCGCAGGTTTTGAGGGATCGAGCGGAGTTGGAGCAGAGGGTCAAGGATATCGAGGAGAGGTTTGGGGGTGAGGGGGAGGGGAGAATCCCCGTGCCGGAGTTTTGGGGCGGGTTGAGGGTGAAGCCGGAGATGGTTGAGTTTTGGCAAGGTCGTCCGTCGAGGTTGCACGATCGGTTTCGTTATACCCGGACTCAAGGCGAGGGAGGGGAGTGGAAGATTGAGAGGCTGAGTCCGTGAGGACCGCTCCCACGTGCCACGACGTTATGGGCTTCGATGTCAGGGAGGACGTGTAGATGGAAGATATTACTCCGTTGATCATGCTGTACTGTCGCGTATGTGCAGCCTTGCATGCGGCTCGTAGTGAAAGGATCACTAAACCATTGGCTGCAGAAGCATCGGATCCGACAAATCATGGACGTACTCGGCATCGGTGAAGTCTGCTTTCGGCAATCATCGCGGCCATGTCTTGCGATTAATGATATGTCTACGGTCTATGGCGCCACTCGACTCCCATCCCATGCCGCTAATACTGCATACAACATTGGCAAACCCGGCCACCGGTGACGGACTGTCCGGGACGTTCGATCACTATACGTCTATCATCATACGCTGTCAACGCGTCTGCGCCTCAAACGACCATCGCGTAAGGTATGGCCTCATCCAAATCCCAACCCCATACATGGCGCAACCGGGTAAACTCTTCAGATGGCGTTAACCCCGCGCATTCTCGGCATGCTCTTTGCAACAGCGCATAGGCATGCTCTTGGCAGAGTCTATCTGTGAGCAAGTGGCCGCCTGCAAGCAATGATTAGACGACGTCGATAGATCGTTGGAGATGTTGTACGTACTGTACGTCACGGCCAGCGTGGAGATGAAGGTCAATGCTGCCTCGGTATGGGAGATGGCCGTGCCAATAACTTTCCGTACCAGGATCAGAGTCTCTTCCTGGATGTACGACGCATCATCAGTACAGCGTTCACATGTATGTGATGCCACCTCCATCGGAACAACTTACCTCGATCTGCACCGGAGTCCATGGCACGGCACCGAGATTCGGTGGCGGGGACGTTTGAGGCTGGTTGGTGAGGAGCAATATCCGAGAGAGGGAAAATATCTGGTGAGTGAATGCTATGCCACCGGTAAGCTTCGGGCTTTTCCTTGGCTTCCAAGCGGCCGCAGCGGACGTGCTTACCATAAAGGGGATTGGCAAAGATTCGTTTGGGGAATGGGTCGCCTTCCAAGGGATGGACCGCAAAGATCGGGTTCAGGTATTTAGGCTTGCTGAACTTCCACTCATCAGAGAATCGCCTCAGTTCGAGCCATCGTTTCCAAGTCTTTGGTCCATCGCCGTACGCAAAGTTGACTACTTGAGCGGCGTGCATGGTCATTCTGCAACTCTCAAGCCGCGCTTGTTCACCTGGAATATCCAGTGCGCTGAACATCCATTCGAAGTCTGCTTCAGCCTCTGGAATTGGACGTTTGCTGTACCAGCTGACATGGATGTACAATCGAAGCATGTTCATGAATAGCTCAGCGTGGAGGCTAGACGTTGGATTTGCTTTCCAGGCGGCCTGCACAGGGTCAGCAGAAGCGAAAGTGTCGGTTTGACGAGGTACGTACCATGAAGACGTCGATTCCAAGAAAGACATTGCCGCCCTGCTCAGCTTCTCGCGGATCTGTCATCTGCACGACAAGGCGGAGAATTAGGACAGCGGCTAAGTGATCGCCATGGAAAGCTTTCGTGGAGATATCAGGCAGAAGGGCACGATAGCAGGCATCGATATAATGCAGGCTGACAGATTCGTCTAGTTGACCTCTCAAGGAAAGATGCTTCGCAGAGATCGCGAGGACGGCGTTCAATAGCGCAGGCGCTGGCTGTCCGTTAGCAAATGTACATCAGCTATGGTGTTGCTGACATGCATTCAACAGCCATCTCCGGCACGTTTCTACCAAAGTGGGTGGCGCCATCCACGCAATCGAACCAAAAGGCAATCTCGTCGGTATAATGCTGCATGAGAAGCGCCTCCTGGTAGTTGTCGAACGGCCACTGTATCGGCCACGTCTCCAACGCGGGACCTGGTAATGGCGCTTTACCCACGCCGCTAGTCGCATCGATTTCAGAGACTGGATAGGGTGTGAGGAACGGACTTGAGACATCTCCGCAGGTTTCTTGCAATAGCGGATCGATCGGTAGGCTCGAATGCGACGTGGCACCGCTCACAACGCTGTAATTCGACGGCGACTTCGAGCGTCTGGTGAGGCATGGAGGCGTGCGTGCAGGAGTCGTGGAACGACTGGCGACAGCTTCCGTCCCGCTCGAAGGCTCCGCGAATGTGACTGGTCTAATAGTCAGATCATAGGGCTGTATCCCATACGGAATAGGTGCGTAGGGCTGTGAGGCAGGATCTCGCAGAATCGATGTAGGGCGTACAGCAGACGTTCTTACCGGAAGTGGGAAAGTCGATCCATCGTTGATCCTGGCCAAATGATAAAGAGATCTTCTTCTTCCTCCTCACAATACCAGTGTTCGCTTCGTTGAGAAAGATGTGGTCGTTGTCCTTGCTGCATTCTCGCGCGCCTCGCCTACAATGGAGACACTGACTGATGCTTAGTATGATGACAGACTCGGTATACGCTCGCACATGGACACTCACCGGCAGCTCGCCATCGCACTTTAGATGTCGGGTTCTGCACTGGTGACTGCGCGCAACTTTGTCAACGTTCCTGCAGGATGGGCAGCGGTATGCAGCCTACCAACCAAGATTTCTGCCTTCTGCGGGCCATGTCGATTGATCTATCAGTCTGCCTGGCTGCGTCGACGGGGGTAGTGGTTGCTGGCTGGGCGTGCTGCTCGTCTGCGGGCGTAATGACCAAAGTAAGCGAGCGCCATTTCTACAGCGACATGGTGCAACATATATTGCGTCCCAATGCTGTTGGTATGTTCGAGCCTGAAATCTGGCGGCGCCGGAAACGAACGAGCGCATCTGCACCGTCCTTACCACGAGCAGTAAGTTGTCCCATGGTCGCGCCCACACGTGACGGCGACGACGAGCGAGGAGCAGGGCGAAGATACCACATCCGGCTGTCGTACATCTACGAGCACGGTGGCCGGTCGTTCAGCTCGGGCGGCTGGCGGGAAAGCGGCCGTTGGCGAGACCAATGCAGACCTTCGACAGCGACCTCATAGAGCTTGATGGACACCGGCTTCCTGTTGCGGTAGGTAGTCGGTCTGTGATTCCACCATTCCGCTCTTCCGATGGCGATGCGTACTACTAGAACCTTCAGGCTAAAAGCATGAGCGGTAGATGAGTAAGGGCTGGCACAAAATAGCTTCTTTGTAACCTCGTAACTCTCTGTACGGGCCTCTTATGCAGCAGCCACAGGGCGGAAGGCTGGTGGGCCGACGAGTTGAAACACACGGCTCGACGCTGGCATGACGCACGGCGGCGATAGGAGTAGGGTTGGAGAGGGAGCGGGGGATGCAAATGGCTGGATTTAACGGAATGTGAGTCTGTACAGCTGACCATTGCCCTCGACTTCACCGCTGTGAAGAAGCCGACGGCACCCAAGATCCTCTGGCGTTGCTCTCCACTAGCACAGACGGTTTTCGTCGTCATGGAGCCGCACACCGCGCGATGCACGGCGGGCTCTCGAGTCGAAAATGCTTTACGGCAGTGTTGTTATTTGCGTTGTTCATAATTTGGAGAAGAGGAGGCTGCGAGAAGTCTGCGCCAGTTTTGTCTGTGAGAATTCGGCGGTGCACGAGCCATCGTGCTAAGCGAGCGAATGAGGAGAGGATTGGGCCGGCGCGTCGTCGCGTGTCGCGCGCGTTGGCCCTGCCATCTCCAACTTCACGTCCTCTCTCTTTCACCAGCATCAAACCACCGCCACCACCACGCAAACGCACGACGCATCTTGGGTAGACGGATAACCCATACTGGATACACACACTGGTGAAGTGACCGCACAGTTGAAAGCGATCGGCCACCCGCAATGGCTCTCCTGACGCACAAGGCCATCGTCAACTACGAGGAGCAGACGGGTACGCCAGGCATGCGCAAGTTCGATATTCGTCCTCGCTGACACTTCTTAGCCGCCTTCAAGGACTTCCTCCAAAACTTCAAGTCGTCCTCCACAGAGGCCGAAGATGCGCTGGAAGAACTCCACCTGGACGGCGACGGCACGAGCGACGAGTACGACTTCATGGACGATGCAGAGGATGGCGACGCGAATGGTGGACGAAGCAGGCGCAGAGGAGCTGCCAAGTCAAAATTGAAGTACATGACCATGTTGCAAGATGTGGCAGATCGTGTGAAGGATCAGATCTTGATTGACTTGGATGATCTCAACGACTACGAACAAGCTGTGGATGGAGAAGACGCCTCGTCGTTGAAGCTGGTCTCGTCGATCGAGAAGAATGCACACCATTACATTGAGATTGTCTCTCGGGCAGTTGATGCGGTGATGCCGCAACCACACAAAGAGCCCAACTTCAAGGACGATGTGCTCGATATCATCATGAGCCAGCGGTCGAGGCGTAACGACACTGTGCGACAACAGATGGAAGCGAACAATGGCGACAGCGATCTTCCCGACTCTATCTTCCCACCCGAGCTCACTCGCAGATACACCCTGAACTTCAAGCCGATCACACCGTCTGGGTCGAGCAGCGAGAAGGGCGCCAAAGCTTTGGCAGTGCGTCAAGTCCGTGGAGAGCATCTTGGTCATCTCATTACGATCCGCGGTATTGCTACGAGAGTCTCAGACGTCAAGCCATCAGTGCAAGTCAACGCATACTCGTGCGATCGATGCGGTGACGAGATCTTCCAGCCTGTCACTTCAAAGCAGTTCACACCTCTCGTTGAGTGCACGTCACAAGAGTGCAAGGACAACAACACCAAGGGCCAGCTGTTTCTTTCTACCCGAGCGTCCAAGTTCCTGCCTTTCCAGGAAGTCAAAATCCAGGAAATGGCAGATCAGGTTCCTGTGGGCCACATTCCTCGCCAGCTGACAGTGCACTGCCATGGTGAACTTGTGAGACAAGTCAATCCAGGTGACGTCGTGGACATTGCCGGCATCTTCCTGCCCACTCCATACACTGGCTTCAAGGCTATCAAAGCCGGTCTGCTCACAGATACTTACCTCGAGGCGCAATACGTGCACCAACACAAAAAGGCATACGATGACATGGTCCTTGCTCCAACCACGATCCGGCGCATGACTGAGCTTGAACGATCTGGTCAGCTGTATGAGTATCTCAGCCGGTCGATCGCCCCTGAAATCTTCGGCCACTTGGACGTCAAAAAGGCACTTCTTCTGCAGTTGATTGGAGGCGTCACCAAAGAGATGGGAGACGGTATGCGGATTCGAGGCGACATCAATGTCTGCTTGATGGGTGACCCAGGTGTGGCCAAATCGCAGCTTCTAAAGTACATCACCAAGGTGGCTCCTCGAGGAGTCTACACGACAGGTCGCGGCAGCAGTGGCGTTGGTTTGACAGCCGCAGTCATGCGCGATCCAGTGACAGAAGAGATGGTCTTGGAAGGAGGCGCTCTCGTCCTTGCCGACAATGGAACATGCTGTATCGACGAATTCGACAAGATGGACGATTCTGATCGGACAGCAATCCATGAAGTGATGGAGCAACAGACAATCTCCATCTCCAAGGCTGGTATCACGACAACGCTGAACGCCAGAACTTCCATCCTCGCTGCTGCCAACCCACTGTATGGGCGATACAACCCTCGAATCTCCCCTGTAGAGAACATCAACCTGCCAGCGGCGCTTCTCAGCAGATTCGACGTGCTGTTCTTGCTTCTGGACACGCCGTCGAGGGACGCCGACGAGGAACTTGCGCGCCACGTCACTCACGTTCACATCCATAACGCTCATCCTGAACCTCAAGGCGGCGGCCTCATCTTCTCGCCCAACGAAGTGCGCCAATGGGTTGCAAGAGCTCGATCGTTCAGGCCAGTGGTCCCCAAGCAGGTGTCAGACTATCTTGTTGGTGCGTACGTACGACTCAGGCAGCAGCAGAAGCGTGACGAAGCCGGGAAGAAGACCTTCACATACACATCGCCTCGTACGCTTCTCGGCATCTTGCGATTGTCTCAAGCTCTCGCACGTCTGCGATTCGCCGAGGAAGTGATTACGGATGACGTCGACGAAGCTCTTAGACTGGTCGCAGTCAGCAAGGCTAGCTTGTACGACGACAACAAGGACAGGAGGGGAGACCAGTCGGCCAACACCAAGATCTTCAACCTCATCCGTGGCATGCGGGAGAGCGGTGCAGCAGCAACCGGGGAAGGTCGCGGCGAGCTGGATATGAGACGAGTACGAGAGAGAGTCCTGGCCAAGGGATTCACTGCCCAGCAGCTGGAATCTGCACTTGACGAGTATTCCAGCATCGATGTAAGTCACAAGATAGAACCAACGTTTGCCACCGCGATGCTGACAATATACAACAGATCTGGCAGACAGCTGCAGAGGGCACACGATTGGTGTTTATTGAATCTGGCGAGGACGACGCTGACATGGGAGATGAAGACTCCTAATCAGCCGCATATCTGGGCACGATTCCCAGTGCAGGCGTTCGGGGTTGGGTTTGGACGAGGAGCGAACTGGGAGCACAGGATGGCTATTCGGGCTTTAGCGATAGGAAGAGGCCGCCCGCCGTTTTTCGCAAGCATGCAGCAAGACGTTCCTATTTGGTGCAAGGCGAAGCTAAAAGCAACGATGATCTGTCATGCATCCCACGTCCCCGTCCCTCCACCACTGTCTGCGAGACATCCATGTCGTCTCCACGTGCACCATGATCGACGCTTGGCAGTCTGACGCCATCCCGCGAGATGATTGGCTGGCATCAAGCTCGATTGACAGGGACCGGCCGCTCCTTCTTCCTTCTCGCGCCCGCCGAACAACTTCCCGTGCTTCACTTCACATCACGATGCTGTTGCAGAGACACAGTCATCGCAGTCCGCCCGACCCGCCGGCCTCGCAGCCCTTCTTCTTCTAAGATCATCGACCGGCCATCGGACACTCGGCATGCCATCTGCTGGACTCGGCACCGCCGCTACGCAATCCTGCATGACACTGGGAGGCTGTGCTGGAGCTGGGCGTCACCATCCCAGGTACCAACCGCGTTCCTCGCACCTCCGCTCCGGCCGCAACAGCAGCAGATCGTGTCCAAGATGGTTGCAACATGCGACTCGCCGGCAGTCGAGACACTTCTCGCACCCGCTGCTGTGTTGATACGAACACGCGCGGTGCGCGTACGACGAGTTTTCGTACGATGGCTCAAGATTTCCTCGTTCTGGAGCGCACTCTTGTGGCTTTGCGCAGGAACGGGTCCATCCAACACCGTTTCCAACTCTTGGGGAGCCACTCTACGTCCGAAGTGTTGGATGTTTCAGCCTCAAGAAGAGGCTTAAAATGAATCTAACCTCAGCCTGGGGAGATCCTTCGTCCAGGGACTAGCTGTGTTGGTCGTTCGGCTATGGCGAAAGCGACTGGCCCGGGCGGCGGCCGACCCGACGCTCGACATCATCTCCAGTTTAGACATCTTCGCGCTCCATGTCGTTTTCGACTTCGTCTACGACGATTTTCCCAATCGATGCCTGGCGTGCCTAACCCACGGATCTCTCACACCGTCCCTGCATATGGTCATTCGGCAAGCGTGGGTGAGCCAGAGGGTAAGGGATCCTTTGATTCGTCAACAGCCATCCATCATCTATTTCCTTTTTGATAACCGTTCGCTCTCTAAACATGCAGTCACCAACACTAAATTCGAGGCCGGCTTGGAGATGTGACTGCACCATGTCCCGGCGTCGGCAGAGGCTCCAGACCTATCTCCAGAACAGATGGCCCATGTGAGATACAACAATCCTATCTCGCCCCCGATTCCTTCCAACTGTGTACCTGCATCGCCATGCGTGCGCAGTAGATGACATTAATCTGGACCTGGAGACGTCTAAGCCATACTCTTGTACTCTCGTTTCAAGCACGGTACTGGCTACTGCTGCCCATACCTCACAGTCTTATATCCTTGGCATCGACTTCTTTCCTGTCCTTCCCTTGCGCATGTTGTTATTTTCGAGCGCGTACCAACGGTTGCAACACGTCTTCCTACGATATCTGCTTTTCGACCGACCTGATATATGCTCCGATCGACGACGTTGAAAGAAAGCATCTGGAATGCAAAGAGAGGGCATCGGTTAACAGCCGACGACTGGTCATGTCAAACACGGATTCGGGTTCTGCGCAGTCGACGGCAGTGGAGGACGACTGGAGTGCGGTGAAGGATCCAAGCGAGAGACGGAAGATACAGAACCGCATCGCTCAGAGGAAATTCAGTGAGCCGGAGCATGAACATGGTCGGGAGCCGCATGGGAACTGACAATTCTCAGGAGATAAGGCTCGCCAAAACAGAGAGGACGCCGAGCGACAAGCTGAGAACGAAAGGCGAGCTGCTGGTGCCTACAGCGCACCCGAGCCTGAAGAGGTGGACAACGCCGAGGAGCCTGGACTCCCATGGGGCAGCGTGTCTCTGCGGCACGTCATCAAGACCGGCAAGGCCAGGGAGCAAAGCTCTCGCGAAACGTCGCTTTATGCGGCGGCGTCCAAGGCAGGTGGAAGCTCGAGGTAAGATGGTGGTGAGTGGCAAAAGCGAGATGATAAGGGGCGTGAAAGCTGATTTGCTTGTTAGGCTGGGACTCCATCTCATCGACGAGTACGCTCGAGGCTCTCCTGCGTGGGCGGCTTGGCGAGACCGAATACCACAGACGCGATAGTCGCGATGATGTGGGAGCGAAGCATCCCACGACAGACTCGGCTCCCGTCGGTTCCTCCAAGCGAAGTGTCGCGGCATCGATGATCACGCCCATGACGAGTAATATAACGACCCGGAATGACCGAGATACCACACGACGACGACTGCGGGCCAGTCTTGTTGTCATTGTAATGCGTTCAAACGGCGTACGGCGCAGTCGGATACTGCATGAGGCAGTGAAGCCCAGTTGGTGATGGGCTGACTGCCAATGTTGTTGTGGGGGACTCACCAGCAGATGTAATCTCTCCTCCTGCTGCGGGAGGCACCGCCGCATCTCAATCGGCCACTTCTGTACACAATCGCGAACGCCTTTCTCCAATGCCAATGCCATATCCCCTCACTTTCGCAGAGCTTCACGACGTGCGGTCTCGTTTTGCGGCGCAGGAACGAACGCCTCCAGCATGGCATTCCTCTAGCCTCAATCCCCATTTCGGCAGGCCTTGTACCTTTCCGGGTCGTAGCCTCAGGAGCTGACAATCCTTACACTGTTGTAAATGCACGCCTCGGGCGCTTGTTGGGTGTTGGTTGCTGCTGCGGCTGGCCATTCACAGGCGGCTAACCTCCAAGCCTCACAGCCGAGGGCCAAGCCGAGCCCAACGACACATGTGCCGTGGCCGACGACTAGTCACTCTTGACCTCACGCCGTAAATCTCTGTACAGCGGTCCAGGTTCGTAGCATCGTATCGGCGTGGCAGATGGTACGACGAGTGTTGTTGTCACTTTCCCCCCCTGGCACTGATTGGCTTCGTCCACTGCCAGCAGCCGTGCCGAGAAGCTTTTTCGCAACAGTTGTCTGCGTCCAACCTTGAGCTCCGCCGACGATCTGTCATGCATGACGAGCAAGTCAGGTGAAAGCCTAACCGGCACCTGCGTCCTAAGCGATAGGACATCATATCGTGCTTTTTCGTGGCCCCGATCCATCCCTCCCATTTCTCCTGCAATGAAAGTCACCGTGTGATATTGAATTGAGGTTCCTCCTCGTCGGGCTCATATACGGGGCCCTTTGGAGGCCTCGCGCGGCCAGCACCAACACGCCCCCGCCGCCGCCTCTCGCCGCCGCAAACGTCAGTTGGAGCGTCGCCGTGTGCACGTCGTGGGCAAACACTCGTGATCTGCGTCGCACTACATGCAGGCGTAGTTGTTGTTTGCGGGCTGCTGGGGGCAAGAGAGGGGCTAGTTGATGCTTTGTGCATCACCCAAGGAGGCAATGGGTCGTGTATGTAGTCGTGGTGGTGGCGTGCGGGCTTTGGTGTGCAAACCCCCACATGCCCAAGCCTAATCTGTTGTGCCCCAAAACGGTGTTATTTGTCCTCGACATGAGTGGGCGAGGATGCCTCGTTTTTCCTTTGCTGCCCGCCATGATGCCGGAACTCCGGGCAGCAGCAGCTTCCAACACCACACAGACACCGGTGATGCCATGAGAGGAAAGGGAGAAAGTACTGTGCCAGCGGGCTTCTTATGCCAACACCGACTTGTCCACCACACCGACGCCTCACTACTGCTGCGGCAAAGCAAGTCCAGTCTGTATCCCTCATAAAAGACGGCCGGTCAGGTGCCTTTCGACATGTCGTCTTCTTCCAGGCCGTCGTCTGCTGCCAACCCCCCGAGCGGCGAGGGTGTGTCCATGTCCTACTACAACGACGCAGCTTCCGAGTTGGGAAGGAAGTTGACCCTTGGCGATCGCGGCACCCCGTCGGACGACATGAAGACCCGGTCTCAGGCCAAGAAGGAGTCGCAGAGCAAGGGCAAGTCGTCATCCTCGAGTCGCGCTCATGCTTCGTCGAGCAGCAAGAGCGCTGGGAAGGGGAAGGCAAAGGCACCGGCTGAGCCTACGCGGAGGCAGCCAAGACGCGACTCGACTCGACGGGCGCGAGACCCATCGCCAGACGACGACGATGATGATGACGAAGAGGATGAGAACGACGATGAGAGCGACGACGGTAATGACCCACCACCATCACCGCCGCCCCCGCAGACACCAAGCATGTCTGTACAGGAGCGCAATCGACGGGTCGTCTTTGCCATCTTGTCTGTCAATGACCCCAACAGGGGTTCGCTGGATCCGAGTCTACACCTTTCACCGTGGGAGTTCATTGACGCGAATACTGAAACGCAACTAAACGCAAAGAGGTACTCATTCTCATTGCGGGTCTTCATTCAAGAATCGAGCTGACCACAACCCAGTCGGCACCATCTTGCTCTGGCCAACGTTGTCTTGTCGCTGGTCAGGACCCAAGACGACCTCACCCGCCTCATGCAAGCCACGCCCCTGAACGGCACCTTCTGGGGCGAGACCGTCGTCGCCGACCTGCGACACCGAGCCGAAACCGCTCTACGGCTATTCAAAGGCCACCTGACGCCCCAACGCGACGCCCTCGACACGCTGCGCGAGTTCCGCCGCATCTTCAAGTCCGTCGACAAGATCCTCCGCGAGTGGCCCCTCGCCTCCATGCACCGCGACTCCAAGGTCGCCCTCGTCCACCTCCTGACCCACATCTTCAACACGATCCTGCTCACGCACGAGGACGTGTCGCGCGTGGGCCAGTCGGCGCCCGTCTACGCCGGCAGCACGGACGCGTACAACCTCTTCGGCCGCTTCAAGTCGAGCCGCAACGACTGGCCGCCCTGTCTGGAGACCCTGCGCATGCTGATCCAGTTGGACTCCACGCTGTTCAACCAAAGCGCGCGTGCGTCTCTGATTCACTCGTGTCAGCTGCTCGACTGGCATCATAGCCAAGGGCGGATCAAGAACCAGTCGGCAGAGGACTTCATGAAGCTGTTCAAGTGGTCGGTGCAGAGCCTGCCAGCAGGTGAGTAGATTGTCCCGTTTTCCCAGGCAGAAGGACGTTGTGACTGATATCATCCAACAGCATGACCGCAAAGCCCAAGCCTTCTTCAAGACACGACAGCAAACCTGCCCATAGGAGGGCAGCACTTCACTTCACTTCACTTCTTCCGCATTCTTGCATCATCGTTTGACTCACAGGTGGATGTTCTTCTTCAGGTCATCATCGGTAATACCCCTCGGAGGACACGCAGCAGCAGCACCATCGCATCGCATCGAACCCAGCATCCAGCATCATCATGCATCACGAAAGCATCTTCCCCTTCAAGCCACTCATTCGACAAAGGACAAGTATAGGGAGGGTAGACAGATCTTTGGCAGCAGCATCTAGTAAAGTAGAAACCACCACTGGTTTTTCTTTTCACCAACAAACACCCCTCTTTCTTTCTCTCTTCAACGACGATGACGTTACTCTTGCGAGCGCTCAATCCTCCTCATCGCGTGATCGGATCGTTCTATCGACGAACGGGAAGTGGGCGCGGAAGACACAACGGTTCTTCTCTAACGTTCGTACTCGCAACGGCTGGTTGTAATGAACGGCTGGTTGCTCTCGGGAGATGATGCAAAGCCTGCTTCCTTCGTGTTGGAACAGAGCCATTGCGTGTTTTCGCTTTACGGGCGCAGGTGAGAGGAAAGGCTAGTGATGAGGACGCCTGTTATGAACAAATGAATGGGGAGGAAAAGACCAACAAGGCGGCAGCGGGCACTATCAATCTGCAATGCGATGCACATGCGACCATGATATGCGGCCGGTCTGGGTTGGTGGCGTGCGTCAGATGTAGTTGTATGTAAAGGCAATGCAATGCAATGTAAGAAGAAAGAGGAAGAAAACCCCGGCCGATCATCAAGAGAGAAGAGCCATTGCTCTTTCAATAATCCCTCTTCTCCCCCAGCACGATCTTCATCCCACCACCACCCCAGCCAACCAGAACCAGAAAACCGTCTCGATTTCAAACTTCCTCGTCCAATGGCTGACGTGTATAAACCAGCGTGGATCCCCTGGGAACCGGGTCTCAGAGCCCGGCGCTCCCGTGCTGCAGCCATGCGGCACAGTCGCTTGCTGCGAGCGCTGTGCGTGGACGAAGGCCCGTTTGACTTTGCGGGTGCAGACGACAGAGTTGTTTCAAGGTCCTGTGGGCGGCTATCTGCGCTGATCTTCCGGTTTGGGTTGCTGGGGAGAGGAGTGAAGTGTATCGATGAGGGCTTGTATTGATCACGAGCTGTCTTTCGATTTTGCCCCCGTCGGCGGCCACCACCCTCGGCTTTTTTCGTGCACCTCGCGCACATGCCGCCTGATCTGCGGCCCATGTCTCTCGTCATTCATGGGACTTGTGCTGGTTGTGTTCTGTCCGTTTGCGGTTTCCTGAATCGGCCTTGCATCCAACAGCGGTACATCTTGAGCTTCCGCTGGCGATTGACCAGCATGCGTCGATCGACAGCGAGATTGACGATGTCGAAGCTGTCATGGGAAGCTGTTCCATGTTCATCCTCAGTCACGACTACTGTGCCGTCAGACGGCGACCGGCCACCCCAGATGTCGCGCAGCTCGTCTTCCTCGAAGAAGTAGACTCTCGTGCCGTCGCCGCGGACGTAGAAGTTTTCGTCGAGGTACCTTCCCTTCTTGAACCGCACTTGAGCCAGATCGCCGCGGCCGTAGTCTCGGAAGAGAATCTCCCCGCCCGGTTTGAGGAGCTTGAAGAGGTTGCTCACGGCTGTCGGCCACTGATCTGGTGACAGCGCAGAGAAGATGAAGATCATGAGCACGACGTCGACAGAGCCAGCCTCTACTCCTGGTGGCAGTTCAGATCCAGCCACATCCCATACGTCTGCCTGGAGTGTTGAAGATGTCTGGTTCTGATAAGTCGGCTGTTCACGAATGATGTCGATGGCCTTTTTGCTATAATCGCAAGCATGCAGCTTGAGGTGAGGATTCTGATTCATCGCCAGTATAGGAAACGCAGTATTTCCCGCCCCTGCTCCCACCTCGAGCACTTTCACAGGTCCATAGTCGTCGCGCGTGACTTCGCCCAGAATCGGGAATTCCTGAACCAGCCACTTGCGGTCTTTGAAGAAATTGGCTTGATTGTTGCCGTAGAACCGATCCCACCACTTCTCAGGCTTGTCGCTGAAGCGCTTCTTGTCGAAGTCTGAGACTTGGTTCTCGCGTTGGAAGATGGTCTGCTGCTCGATGAATTCGCTGTACTGCGGGTCGACTTCCACATGGTCCCAGGCGTTGTGCGCGAAGATGTCGTCGCCTTCTTCGAGATATCGTGTGCCGAATTGGAAGGGGTCGCTCCGTTTCTGCGGGTTGTCTTGCGAGTCGGTGGCTGCTTTTCGTATAGGTTCATATGTTGCTGGCACTCCGTACGCATCTTCTCCAGCGGCTTGTGGCGTGTCGATGGTCACGTATCCTCGCATATGCTCCATGCCCTTGGTGAGTTGCTGTTTATTCCGTCTCTGGCGCGTGGGTAGCGACACCGACTCCTCTTCTGATGCCATGGTGATATGAAAGCCTTCGTTGTCGCGGTCTTGGCAGGGAGAAAACGCGATCTTGAGTTTGACTTTTTGACTTTGGACTTGACGCCGGTGGTGCCTGCCGATCTAGATCTAGCCGAGCACGATCTCTCGCTCGCGGCACTTTCGACGCTAGAGACGCATTGGAAAAATGGATGATGACATTGTCCTTCTTCTTACCTTTGTCGTTTCTGATAGGATGATGCGTGAAAGACATACAACACTTCGATAGCACGGCGAATACCCCATACCGATGCCATCCAACATGAAGTCCATACGACCGATCACGTCAGCTCTCCAGCAAGCTACCCTCTCACAATCAACCACAACATGTCGAGCAGCATGCCTCACCAACACCTTCACGCGACCCACGACCCGTAAACAACAACACCAACCCCAACGCCGACCCTTCGTCTCAGGCGCCTTCACCCCAAACCAAACCCTCACCGCCCAACGCACCCTCCGCTACCCCTCCAGCGTCATCTACGACATCATCTCCGACGTCGCCTCCTACAGCCAATTCGTCCCCTTCTGCCAAAACTCCCTCGTAACCAAATACTCCTCCCCGGCGAGCGATGGCAAGACCTACCCGGAAGAAGCCAAGCTCGTCATCGGCTTCAACGACTCCATCAGCGAGGAGTTCACGAGCCGCGTCTACTGCGTGCCCGGAAGAGCAGTGGAAGCCGTGAGCGGCGCGACGGAGAGCACACTCCACGGCGAGGAGATTGCGCACCACAGCCCGCGACCCGCGGCGGAGCGTGATCCGAGCAGGAAGGATACGGTCATGAGCCATTTGCTCACGCGGTGGACGCTGAAACCGTATCCGTATAAACCTCCGCCTGCTGGGGCTACGCATCCGGATGGTGTGCATAAGAATCATGAGGAGACGAGTCCGTTGCCAGGGCAGGAGAAGACGGATGTGAATTTGGTGATTGAGTTTCAGTTCGCGAATCCACTGTATGCTGCGTTGAGCTCGGCGGCGGCGCCGAAGGTGGCGGATAAGATGATTGAGTCGTTTGTGAATAGGGTTGAGGCTGTTATGGATGGACCTGCGAATGCGAGGGATGCACAGAAGAGCAGCGTGTTGAAGAAATCAACGTAGGCAGCTGAGTGACTAGCGATGGACTTGTAGATAAAGATTGACTGTAAGAATCGCATCATGCTCCTCACCAGTGAGAGGGTGGGAATAATAGAAGCTACGCGCATGTGCATGAAGAAACATTGGACGTGTTGTGAAATAATCTTGGTGAAACCCTCTATACCAAGGCTAAACTAACATCGTGCCCAGCACTCAAACAATCTTGTCCATGGTAATACATCTTCATTATTTCCAGTTGGAGAGGCCGGTGATAACTTAGTTGTTCTGCTGGCTGTTCAAGATCCTCAGAATCGCCAAGAACAGGTTCAAGACATCCAAGTAGAGCGAGATGGCCGCGGCGATCTCCTCCTCGACGTGGTAGTGCCTGATGATCAGTTGGGTGTCCACAAGGATATACCCACTGAAGATCAAAGCAGCGATGATGCCGTATCCCAGCTCAATCCCGCTCGTCCTTGGGAAGAACGCGGCCATGAATCCGAAGATGATCAGCACCCATAGTGCGCCGAAGAGGTAGGGCATCCAGCTGGTAAAGTCATACTTGGTCTGGCAGGCGAACAAGCTCAAAAAGACGAAGATGCCGAGCGTGAAGATCAGTGCTTGGAGCACGATCCGGCTCTGGTAGAAGGATGTGATGACCGAGATTGAGTATGCCTCCAGAGCTGTGAATACCCCCAAGAACGCCAAGTTCATCGGATAACTCTTGCGCTTCCAGAACGTTAGGAGCATGAATCCCAGCGCCCCGAAAACGGATACCCAGAGCATCCACTGGTTTCCTTGGATCCAATCTTTGTAAGACTTGTTGAAGAAGCTCACGGAGCTGAGGGCGGTAGTCAGGAGGAGTTGGACGGTGAGGATCGCGTAGACTTTGCGGATGAACTGCATGCGGATGGGAAGGGTGGCTTCTGCGACGGAGCCGCCGAACTGTAGAATGCTCGTCAGTCTTCATGTCCAAAAGCTGCCACTTATATCCACCGATCTATCCTAGCCGCCCAGGGGCTCCGCAGATCCAGTGAAACCCGATTGCCAGTACAGGTCTCTCAACGCACCTTGAAATCATCAGGGATATTGTCATCCTCAGAACGGGCCTCTCCCATCAAAGGCTCATCAGCCTGGTACGAAGGCGGCGCCTGCGAAGGGACGTCATCCAAGCTGTCGCGCTGTGGCGCCGGCGTATATTTGGTGCTCGCCATGGCGATGAAGTGTGTCGAAGGAGTTGGGTTTGCTCGTAACTGCGCGTTGACAGATTATATCGTGAGCGGATGGTCTGGTGATGAAAGGCGAACGAAGCAGCTGCGGTGCATGACGCTTTGTGTCAAGTGGCCCGTGCGGCACGTGTTGCGGGGGTGGCTTGTGGGGGCGAGAACGTGAAACGTGAAAGGTATGGTCTCCCGTAGCTACCAACATCATGTGTCTTTCACTGTCTACTTCCTGCGTGGCTACAACATCCAATAGCATGAACGTCCAGAAAGCCTTCTTGGATGATACCTCTACTGCACGCTAGGCTTCACTCTCACAGCTACCTTCTCCTTATCGCCGAGCGCGTCCATGCCCCTGAGATACGGGTCGACCTCTTCAGACTGGATCGCATTTGAGGATGGCACTCAAATCGTCGGCCTCAACACCCCGATACTTTTCAGTCCCATCAATCTTTTGCCTCCGCCTTGACCTGCTTCGCCTTCCACTTCGCTATGTTCCCAGAACCATCCGTCCATAGCCTCTGCCTCTCCCCGATGTTTTGCTCCAGTGCCCGAATCCGACCACCATCCTTTTCCTCCTCGGCTGCCTTCAAGATCTCACGCAGAACAGCCATCTCAAGCTCAAGCTGTATGAGTTTGCACTTGCAGAACCTGGCCTCAGACCTGCACTTGTCGCAAACTTGTTGTCGAACCTCAACGTTCCTGAGACCCTTGACTTTCGCGAGGTCTCCGGTGATATTGTCTGGTCCGCGTAGAGTCTGAAGGTCACACAAGTGCGAACAATCACGGGCTATATCCGTTTGCATGATAATGTCCTGCAATGGCCCGAACCCAAAGTCGCTGGGGTTGCACCTTGCAAGTACAATATAGTGCAATATCATTTCGAAGCGCACAGCTTGCGCTACTAAATACTGCAGTTCCAGCCCGTGCAACACCTCAAACGATCGAATACGCTGCAGTTGGCCTGGTGAGGTGACCAGCGTCAGATCTGGCATGGGCGCCCAGATCACCTCACCATTGAAACGCATCCGCCCAGTATCCTCGACCACGTTCACGAATGCGAAAGTGGCAGTCTCGAACAACACCTTGGTAGCCTCGGCGTAGAATTTCTTTGACACCAGGAGGTTGTTGAATGCTCTCGGCACTCGCTTGCGGTATATGACGCCTTGGATCTCCGATGCTCGTCTCAGTGGGGTCTTCATCAGGAGGATTTGGCCGTTGAATGCCATCGAGAAGATCTTTTGACGGACTTCGAGTGGTAGCTTCCAGAAGTGATCGCATCGTTCGAGTCGAGGGCGAATTTGCATGACCATAATGTGTGGTGCCATGTTGTGGGTTGGGACTGTGCTGCAGTCGTTTGAGTGCCGTATACGTAGGGTTGGTGTTGTGTGATTATACCGTGTCGAGAGCTTTGAAGTTGCTGATCGCTGCTGGTGCCTAGAGTTTGGAAGCTGATGAGTGCAAGTGCAGAAAACGAAAAAGGAAGGAGCGCGCTTTGAAATAGGAAGTTCAAAGCCAAATCTGAAAGCACTGACAGGCAAGTCTTCTAACGCACACAAGACACTGGACTGTTGTCTGAGACTCTTCTCACACCTTCTCCTTTTATAACAAAGACCCGTTTGTACGGCAGCACGCTTTCAGCGGGGCAAGCAGGGAATTGGAGCCTACCCGTCCTCACCGGATGCTATTTTCACTTCTGATAAGCAAGCGTCCCAAATACGGCCGTACAGTGCAAGCCTTCACTCACGCTCGACGTCCCAGATACCAATATACAGCGACCCCAACAGCGACAGGCACCGCCAAATAGCCCATCACAGAGATCAACCCTTTCCTAACCTGCCTCCTCCGAAACTCATTACTCTTCGCATGCAACGTCTCAATTTCATTCGTCCTAGAAAAAGGCTTCCTCGGCACCTCCTTATTAAAAACTGACATATCGGTTCCCAACCCTGATCGATTCGCATCTCCACCAACCTCCCCGGCGTCTTAGCACACTTTTCCCGAATCTCGTCATAATGCCTCTCAAACACACCCTTCGCATTCGCAAGGACCTCTTGCGCATTCCTCGCATGGAAATACCCCAGAATGACCTTCCGTACCGCCCTCGCGACATACGAGTTCAGTAAAGGTTCCAACAAAACCACAACATCCGTCATGGGCGTGAACGCAACGCCCGTCACAGAAGCCTGGTCATATGACTTGATCCATCTTTGAAAATCACGCTGCACGAGAATGACCTTCGCCTCGGGATACGCATCCATGAGTTCGCGCCAGAGCCAGTAACAGGGCTGGTCTGAGAGGGCTGCGTATTTGCCTAGACCGACTTCGAAATCAGAGCGGGTGTAGGGCGTGCCTTTCCCTTCGTATTTGGCTTCGATTGCGTTGAGCCAGAATTTGGGTGGTTTCCTATCATGCCGTTCAGTATGTTTTGAGGGATGGAAGAAGTCGCTCATACACCGCTTCAGACAACATCAAGCTTCCGTGCCAGACGGGTGCTTGGAGCAGCTCCTCCGGGGCGAGTTTCATTGATGTTGTACCCGTCCGTGGAGGAGAGAGAACCAGGACTTGCATTGGCACCTTTCTTTGCGCGGCGCTTTCCATGTTCTCTTACCCAGCAAATCTGCCGACCTGGAATACGCAGGGGAAGTGACAGTACAGATATCTGCTCTGATTGCCAGAATCAAAGAAGAGATCCATAACTACCAGCAGCAAATGTTTGCTTCCTGCCCTTCCACCCACAGATTCGTCACCAACCAGTCGGAAAGGAGGCCCAGGACAGCAAGAGGAACGGAATCCTGTCAGGATTACCTGATGCTGCCGATGGGCTCGAAGATGACATTTTGAGGACGCCTTAATTGGTCTGAGAGTCCGTTGGAAATCTCGTTGAGCTGGCGACGTGCTCCTTGCCGCTGATGGGATGATGTTGAGGGAATGCCGTTCTGCGTTGGTGCCCAGTGTCCTTTGAGGCCACGCTTCCGAGCCATCGTGAACCGCCAAACAACCGCTTCGTAAGCATTTCTTACCGACCTCTCTGTCAGAACAGCTTGAGTATTGACGATGATGTCTTCTCGCAAAAGCTAACCACGAAGAGATGAAAGAAAAGAGAAACGAGACAGCACTGGCTTGAAGTAGAAGCGTTGCTGCCAAAGCCTGCGTCGGCCGAGGGCGACGTTATGGCCGAGCATGTCAAATCCACATGAGTGCCTCACATCGTAGTCTGCTATTGATGTTGATGTTGAATATATATCATGACTTCCAGCATCAGCATGGGTTTGGGAGATAGCATACGACCACGAACATCCTCAAGTAAATCACTACATCAACATAATCCGCCTTGAAACCACCTCGGACATAAAAACATCAGCTACTCACAACGACAACAACCCCATCACAACCAACAACCAACATGCACTTCCTCCTCCTCGGTGCCAGCGGCCGAACCGGCCAGCTCGTCCTCTCCGCCGCCCTCGCCAAGAACCACACCCTCACAGCCCTGGTCCGGAACCCCACAACCTTCCCAACAACAACAACAACAACCTCCGCAAACCTCACCCTCATCCCAGGCTCCCCAACCTCATCCGCAGACCTCTCGACAGCCCTCTCAACAACAACCACCCCCATCGACGCAGTAATAATAACCCTCGCCATAGCCCGCAAATCCGACTCGCCCTTCTCCGCACTCGCCTCCCCGGCCTTCCTCATCCGCGACACAGTCCGCGCCCTGCTCCCGCAAATGAAAGCTCACGGCGTGCGGAGGCTGATCGTGATGTCGACGTTCGGGGCGGGGGCGTCCTGGAAGCATCTGGCGTGGCCGATGAAGGCGGTTATGAAGTGGTCGAATATGGCGTATGTGCTGGAGGATCATGATGCGGTGGAAAGGGAGGTGAGGGGGAGTGAAGGGGTGGAGTGGGTTTTGGTTAAGCCGGCTATGTTGAAGGATGGGGAGGCGAAGGCTGTGAGGGAGTTTGGGGAGGGGGGTGAGGGGGTGGGGTTGTTGGATGGGATTACTAGGGAGAGTGTTGCGAAGGTTTTGGTGGAGGCTGCTGAGGGGGAGGACTGGGATGAGAGGATTGTCGTGATTGCGAACTGATTGTGGGGGTGGTATGATCTGGTGTGGACTTCAGCAAAACTTCGCTAATCGTAAATATTGCTTTCATGATCTGTCATAAAAGGTACCTCGCCTCTACAGCTTTGATCCTTTCTGGCCATCATCTAGTCAATCGACCATGATCTTGCTCTCCAGCTCTCCAAAGTGCTCGAAGAAGCTGTCGAACAGATTCACACCGTGCTCAACATCATAAGCACCGCCAGTTTCGCGGATAGAATGCATGGCGAGTTGTGGGTTGCCGACATCGATCGTCCTAGCTCCCAAAGCGGCGCTCAGCATTGGGCCGATGGTGCTACCACACCTCGAGTCATTTCGTACCACAAACAGCTGCAGGGGCACACCTCGATCTTTGCTCTTCGACTCTGGTAGTTGCCAAGCGGTTGGCTTCGCTCGTCTGGCACATTCCTGCAGCAAGACGATACCAGGGGCGTTGGTGGCGTAGCGGACGTTGGCGTTGATCTTGATCACGGTGCCCTCGTTCATGTGTGGTTTGTGCTCGGGTTCATACTTGCCAGCATAGTTCGGATTGATCGAGTGTGCCATGTCGGCACTGACGAGGAAGCTTGTCGACAAAGTCTGTTCGTACGCGGTGCTGTTGTCCACGGAATCTCCGTTGACCTTGTCGTAGCTCTTCTCGCTGTCTGTTGTCGAAGAAGGCAGGCAGGAAAGTCGTCGAATGACAGCTGGAAGCATGTTGCTGTCGGCACCCTGAGCTGATTGGGAGCCAATCTCTTCGTGGTCAAAGCAGGCGATCAGGCGAATAGTTGGGTCGCCCTTGAGTGCTGAAGGCGATTCGACAGATTGGATCAAACCTTCGACCGCACAGTAGGTCATGCCCAAGTTGTCCAGCCGAGCACTGTAGACGAATTCGTCGTTGATGCCGCCAATGCACGACGGCTGAGTGTCGTACAGTACCATCTCAAAATCCAGAACTTCGTCCACGCCACAGCCGACTTGCTCAGCGATGAGATCGATCAGATGCGGGTGATGTCTCTGAGTTGTGACCTTGAGCGGCTCAAAACCTGCAGCCTTCTCTTTCTCTGCCTCCTCCTTCTTCAGATCCTCCGCACTCTTGCCTGACCTGTTCAGCTCCGCAGAGACCAGACCAGCGATTGGGAAGAGCTGGTTCTCTTTGTTGAACTCAAACGGCTCATAACCTCCAAAGTGTACTGCCAGGTTGGGAATCCTGCAAATCGGCTTCGTTATCCTCACGAGCCTCTGCTCGATGGTGCCGTCCTTGCTCTTGACCATCACTCGTCCTGCTGCGCCCAGATCACGATCGAACCACGAATGCCACATTCCTCCTCCATATGTCTCCACGCCAATCTGAATGAAGCCATCTGCGGATCGCTTGGATATTGGCTTGATTCGAAGGCACGGCGAGTCGGTATGAGCTCCAACCATGCCAATTGGGTTTCCCGGCTTCCAGTCATGGCCAATGGCAAAGGCCACGATAGTGCTCGCGTTTCGAGTGAGGTAGTATTTGCCGCCGGGTTGGAGGGTGGAGTTCCATGAGTCTCGCTCCTGCAGTAGTCATCGTCAGACAATCGCAGCTCCCACGGACTAAATCTGGCCGTTCTGTACCTTGATGGGCTTGAACCCTGCCTTCTCTAGTCGGAGCTTCGCTGATCTCACGGCATGGAATGCTGCACAGCTGATTTAGCCACCGCAACACATGGCATCATCCCAAGGTAGCACATACGAGTGGGTGAGGCGTTCAGGAAGTCGACAAAGTCCTCGGGACGCTTCGAGGTAGCTTTGCTGGCCATGGCGGAGAATCGTCTGGTAGGGAGAGTCTGTATGTGGCAGTGTATGGTTCGGGACGGAGGGGAGGTCTGCTTGAAGATGCTCCAGATGCACGACTTGGCCAACATGAAAGGGAGGATGTCACACGAGCGAGCGAGCAAGCAGCGTTGGCTGGTGACCTGCTCTGGCCTATCACCGGCGCTTGTCCGAACTGGTCCCTGCGTCGAAACACCCCGGTATCTTCGGCTCGGATGGGTGAGTGAATGTTTCTTGTACATACATCTACAACCACATATTCACGAGTTACTTGACATGTTCGCCCGAATATCGCGTCTCTTCCGCGCAGAAGAGCTCAAGAACAGCGGTTCGCTGGCTCGCGACCTTCTAGCCTCCGAACGAACATTCCTCGCTTGGGCGCGTACCGGACTTGGCTTCATCGCGCTCGGAGTAGCATTGGAGAAGGTCGAAGCCTTCGCGGCCATATCGCCAACACTGCTGCATCTGGAGAACAGCCGGACGAAACTCGCGGCGGGTGTCTTGGTTGCCAGCGGCAGCTTATGCGTTGCTCACGGTACTCAGCGGTACTTCAGCACCATGAATGCCTTGCAGCGAGGAGTATTCAGGCCAAATGCGGCAGGCATTACAGTGTATGCTGCGGCTTGCGTTGGGATTGCATTTGCTGGTACTCTATTGGTTCTGGAGAATGATGGTGGGAGACGTGAGGAGGACCGCCAGGACCAGACTACTCCGACTAAGAGCCCTTGAATGCATACTCGGAGTCCTGCCTTCTCACACAGCACTGACTTGTTTATCGACATGTGGATGAACATATAATATGAACCTCTTCCCAAACTCTGGAGTTTGGCGTGCAGAGCGAAAGCAATGCATTCGAGACGAAGATCTGAAAGTGACTGCCATTGGAGACGCCACTCGACCACGACAGCTTGTCAATGGCCTCAACTTCAGCGGATTCCTGGACACCAAAGATGCCAATGATCAACTCTCTAGGGCCCACATTCCAGGCTCTCTACATCGACTGCCCCTTCGGCACCTTCTCATAAGCAGCCTTGATCTCCTTCTGCACGGCGACATGATCCAACCACTTCTTCACATTGGGATACTTGTCAAGCGCCAACCCGGCAAACCCATGCTGATACACCCACGGATAGAAGTGCAAGTCCACCGCCGAAAGCGTCGATCCCGGCAAGACATAGCTACCGCCATGCTTCGCAATCTGTGCATCCAGCACGCCGAAGCAGCGGTATGCTTGCTCCTCATACCGCTTCAGCGCGTCCTCGTTCTTCTGGGGATGATAGTGACGGAACCAATTGACCTGGCCTACATATCATCATCAGCGAGACCATACCTAAACATTCCCTTCCCTTCCAAAACTCACCCATCATAGGCCCCAAAGTACTCAACAAGAAATACTCCCACTTCTCAAAATCCACCACACTCTGCTCATCTCCTCCTCTCGGCCCAATCCGATTCCCCTGATCATACACCCTCCTCAGATAATTCATCACCGCACCGCTTTCCCAACTCACAACCCCAGTGTTAGGATCTTCGAGTGCGGGAACCCGTCCATTCTCGTTGATTTTGAGGAACCCGGGGCCCTTGACACCATTGGGTGCGTCGCCGAATTGCCACAGCTTGACTTCGTAGGGAAGTTGGAGATACTCCAATGCGGCGGCGATTTTGTAAGGGTTGGGGCCTGTGCCGTGGGCGTGGAGGACGAGGGGTTTCAGAGTAGTGGACGACATGTTTGGGATTGCCGAAAAAGGTCCTTTGGATTGGGAAGCGGATGGTGCTTAAGTAGTTATTTGAACGATCATGGATTCCCCGAGATTTGGGGAGATGGCGTCACATTGGAGGCGGGCTTTTTTTATAGCTGGGAAGAGCTCTGGCGAGGTACTGATGTAGCTAATAGCTATGACAGCGACCCACATCATTTTGGATAGCCTACTGCTTACTGGGACGGACTTCAGCTGTTAAGAGGGCTGTTTCTTGGCCATTGTGGAATATTGCCAGGGAGGTGGCTGCTCCTGGCTTACCTTGCGACGAGTAGCGATGGAAAGGGGAGGCTTTCGATGACGACTGGCAATGGCGTATGTGTTGGATTTTCTGGACGTGAAAGGTAAGTGAGGTAGAACAGACATGAAGATGATACATGATATATGGCATTAAACAAACGTCAACAAACGCCCTCTTGAACGCCCCCATCCACCCCTGAAACCACCAACGCCCCGCCAGTAATGTCACAAAAGAGATCTATAGCGCCCCAGCAATGAACGACGAAATATACGAGGTACACCTCCCACGCTGCACAACAAGTTAGCAAATCTCCTCATCATAAACCTCAAACGTCCAAGTCAAGAACTCACCATCATCCCAAAATGATCATCCTCCACCTTATCCACCACAACATCCATCCCAGGAAGTAATGTCCCCCACGCACCCGCCGAGAAATCCTTCCTCGACTCCGTCAAGAACGTGATATCCTCAGAATCACCCGGCTGTTTGGGGAAAGGCGGTGCGTTGATCGTCTCGAGCACAATCCGTCCAGCCCAGAGCATTCTCACCTTGGGGATCGCTCCAGCGGGCATGGGCGATGCGTGGTATGTGTGTAGCGCCCTCGTCAAGGCCTTGAAGTGTGGGATGAGCCATTTGGGCGTCTTGCCGTCGGATTTGAAGAGGCCCACGGATTCGAAGTAGTCGTAGAGGCGTTGGGGGAGTTCGCCGAGTCCGAGGGGCGGTGGGGCGTCGAGGAGGACGAGGCTGTCGACTTTCTCGCCCGCTTGGATGAGCATTTGAGCAGCTCGGAATGCGAGTGCGCCGCCGGCAGACCAGCCTGCGAAGTGGTAAGGGCCGTGAGGTTGGCGTCGGCGGACTTCGGCGAGGAAGCATGTCACCAGGTCTTCGAACGAGGCGGGCATCTCTTCGGCGTTCTTCAGCCAGGGTGAATTCAGTCCGTACACCAGGAGGTCAGATGCGATGCGTGGGAGCTGCACATAAGAAGTTGCAGAGCCACTGCCATCAGGAAACAGGAACAAAGTGTTGGTGGAAGCCTTGGAGTTGCCTTGAAGTACGACGGAAGTCGCGCTGGGGACGAAAGACGGCTGCGCCGCCTTGAACGCCTGGTCGAAGTCCATATCCAGTTCAGTGCCAGGAGTGAAGGCCTCAGAGAAGCCTGGAGTGCTAGCGACCAAAGAGAACCCAGAAGATGATGACTCAGACGGTGTGGTGGTGCCCTCACCCTCTGAGACGAGAGCCATCTTCAAGTCCCGCACGGTCGCGAAGTTTACCAGCTCGTTGTCAGCACCCAGGTCCAAGTCGAGCTCGTCTCTGAACCTCGAAGACACGACGAGGGATAGTAGAGAGTCCACGCCGAGGTCGGCAAGGCATGTATCGTCTCCGATGTCTTGGATGACGACTTGTGTCTCTTCACACAGGATCTCCAAGGCTCGTTGCCATACGGACTCGTTCGCTGTAGTAGCTGATGGTGCTGACATTGGCTCGTCGAAATAGGCCTGTTGTGGCGCTGCTTGCGTCTGCTGGGGCACCTCTCTGATCGGTGCGGGTGGCTGTTCCAGAACAAACGGAGCAGCAGGCATTGCGAATGAAACTGACGGTCCGCTCACAGGGATCGGCGCCGAAGAGTGAGGCGTGATCGGGACAGTCGCTGCTGCTGCGGTAGCATCAACACCCAGAGCCTGCTTCAAGTCGCCAATTGTCTCGCAAGAGTTTAGCAGAGAGTCCGAGTCCGAATCCAGGCCAAGCTCCTCCTGCAGACGTCCACTCACGACTAGCGAGAGTAGTGAGTCGACACCTGCATCTGCAAGACTCAACTCATCGGTGAGGTCCGATACTGCGATTCCACTTTCCTCTGAGATGATCTCAAGGGCTTTGGTCCAGGTGGCATTGCTTGTCGCATCCACAGCAGGCGCGAAATCCACAACGGTTTCAACCTTAGGCTGCACTGGAAGACTGACTGGCGCCGTATACTGAATTGGCGCCGGTGCTTGTGCCTGTATAGGCGGAGGAATCATCTGTGTGGCAGGTGGTGCTGCCGCGGCGTTTGGTTCAGGGGCTAGCGATCGAAAGAACTGCTTGACCTCGCCTATCGTAGGATGGTCTTCGAAGAAATTGGTATCCGCGTCGATTTCGAACTCATCTGCAAAGGCACCGGTGATAGTGAGAGTCAGCAGAGAGTCGACACCAATATCGGTCAAGGCGTTGTCATCTTGGAGCTCAGACATGGCGACGCCACTTTGTTCAGAGATGATCTCCAAGGCCCGTGTCTCGAAGCCAGCAGCTGGTGCAGCAGCAGCAGGAGCTGGTACCAGTTGCTGCTGTGGCTGTGGCATAATTTGCTGTGCGACCACAGGCTGCTGAACAACTGGTGCCGGGGTTGGTGCCTTTGGAGCAGTGCTGGGTGTTGGAGCAGGCTTTGACTGCTTCGGAGCGGCAGCTTGTCCCTTCGCCTTGCTATTCTTTCCCATGTCAGCTCTGAGGATGAACATCAACACTCGACGAGGAACTCCTTGTAACTGGACAACGATCAGCTTTCGCAACCACACATCACGCTTGAATACTTACGCAGCAACCTCTGATCGACGCAACGACTCTGTCCTCACACCAGACAACAATATCACCCTTCCACTGCTTGTTGTCGGCTGGAGCCATACGAGCGAGGGTTTTGTACTGGCGATCATGTCGAATGGGCTCAAACATCTGGAACGAGTCCCAACCATGATTGACGAAGACTTCTTGCTCCAAGTTGGTATTCTCATTAGCATTCATGATGAAGCCACCCGACTGAGTAAGGCCATCAATAGCACCAGGATGAGTGTGAAATTTACCACCGTGCTTCATCTGTCCGAAACTGACTGTGCAGGCCGCTTCGTAGTTGGCATTGTCGTAAATGGTCTCGTCGATGCATCGATAGTCCTTGTGGAAGTCGGCGAGGGATTGCACCATGTTGTATGCCATGGCTCCGTTGAATCTGAAGGTTTTGCCTTCGACACAGGCTCTTCGCATCTCTTCAAAGCGGCCTTTTGTAGATGACATGTTGTTCGTCAGCTCGCGGAAGCGGCCCTCGTCGCGGAAGCTGATGGTGCATGTTGCATGTTGTACAAGCTCTTTGGCGTTCTCCTATACTCAAGTCAGCATCTTCCAATTAGTAACGTCACTTCCACATACATCAACAGTATAGAACCGGCACTTAGCATTCTTCGAAGCCCAGTCAAGCTTCACCGACGTCCGCAAGAAATGAGACTCCCTGCTCGCTGCGATCAACGCCTTCTCGATGTCCATGTGCCCAACATCCACAATTCGTTCTGGGAACGATGGCTTGTATCGCTTGAGGATGTACGTTCCTATCGAGAAACCGATATCCGCGTAGCAGGATGGGGTACACAGGCCGATACCTTCCACCTTGTGACCCTCCATCAATGGCATGATGTCAGTGCGGCAGACGTCGGTCTCCACTAGTATGCTGTATGTAGATGCTGTGTTCTCTTCGCCCAGCACTTTGTGGATCGACGTAGACTCAAGCTTGGGTATATCCTCAACGACGGCAGGTTTCGGCGCGGGGGGAGCTTGTGCGAGTTGAGGACGCTTCGGTGCTGAGGTCGTTGCAGTGTTGCCGGTAGGTGTGTCACCCAGCGTCAGCAGAAAGTCGTTCTTGTATTCAATCCAGAATGATTGAAGATCCCAGGAGTACTTCGGCAGATCGATGACTTTCCTTGCTGAAGGCAGGTCGCGGAAGTATTCGTCCCACTTGATGGTTGCTCCAGTGGCAAACAGTGCAGCCAGAGTCTGCGTCAACGTCTCCCAGCAATCCTTGTTACGTCTGAGTGTTGGAAGCGTCGTCATTCTTGGGCCCAGAACAGCTTTGATCATGCCAGACACCACTGGCTGAGGGCCGAATTCGATTGCATAGGTAGAGTCTCCCAGAATGCCCTTCTCCGAGGCGACCTGCAAGCATTGCAGGAAGTTGACAGTCTCCCGAGCATGACGAGCAATATACTCTGGCCCGAATGTAGAAGCATCCTGGACGACTGAGCCCAAAAGCGGCGACAGAACTGCAATCTGCGGCTCCCGGAAGTTGCAACATCGAGCAGCCTGCAAGATGTCGTCTTTGACTGACGCAATCTGCGCCGAGTGGAATGCATATGGCACTCTCAGAAGAGTACCTTTCACTCCAGCGGCCGAGAAGTTATGCTGAAGTCTCGTCATCTCATCGATTGTACCGGCGATCACAGTCTCGTCTGGGCCGTTGATACACGCGACTTCGAAAGCGGACCCCTGAGCGACTTGCTGCACCTTGGCTACTGATGTGAGGACGGCGAGCATTGCATGGGTTCCCTTGGCGCATTTCTGCTGAAGCAAGTTGGCTCGTTGGCCAACGATGTAGACTGTGTCGAGATCGGACAGGACACCAGCAATGTTGAGCGCTGCATACTCGCCCAAACTATGGCCAACCACTGCTGTTGGAGTGATTCCCCAAGACATCCACAGCTTGGCTAGAGCAATCTGCATGCAGGTGTTTGCGAGCTGAACCACTGTCGGGCTGTAATCAGAGATGTCGTTTCCAGCTGAACCCGTGAAGAGTGGAAGGATAGCAGGGAAGCCCGAAGTGCGTGCCAGAGCGTCGAAGTGAGTGAGAGAATTGCGGAACACGGACTGGTTCTCGAACAACTGTTTGGCCATTCCAGGGTATTGCGAGCCTTGACCAGTAAATGCAAATAGCATGGTCTTGGCCGGGATAGCTCGTTTCATGCCAACCTCCTGAGCAAGAGCAGTCTGAAGCTCGGTCTTGATATCAGTAAGGCTGGATCCGGACACGATGACTCTGTGGGGATGGTGAAGCCGTCTCGCAGTTGTGGTGTAAGATAGCTGAGGCAGCTGAAGGCCGTTGCCTCTCGACTCCGCGATGAAGTCTACCAATGCTCGCAAATTACCCTGGAGCGACTTTGGGGTCTTTGCGGAGACCGCGACAGGGTAGAAGCGACCTCCCTCGGCCAAGTCGTCGTTTGTGCAAGCTCCTGCGAGTTGTGGGTGGTATTCCTCCACCAGCACTGAAGAGTTGCCTCCAGCAGCGCTGAAGTTATTGATCACTGCTTTCCGCACTCCGCCTGCCGGAACTCGCCATGGTGTTGGCTCGACGGGAATGTGGATGTTCCTTTCAGAGAGGTTGGTAGGAAACCTGGGATTAATCTCGGTCTTGACTCCACAATTTGGCGGGATCATCTTCTGCTCCATCATTTTGAGCACTTTAATCAATGCGCTGACGCCGGACACCTGGATGTAGACAGCATTAGCGCTCCCTCTCTTTCCTTTGCGTTGTCTTCATCATACTCACAGACTCTCCATGGCCTATGTTTGCTTTCAATGCCCCCAAGTATAGGCTCTGGTCAGCTGTTCGCTTTCTGGTAGCCTTTTCAGGAGCGAACACGTCCGACACAGACTGCATCTCGCGAGAATCTCCTGCTTGGGTGCCCGTACCGTGCATCTCGACATAGCTGACCTCGTACGGGGAAGTGCCAGAGTCATTGAGTAGACGCTCGAAGATGTCCTTCTGAGCACCAACGTGGGGCCGTGTGATCGATTCAGCTTCGGCCGAATGGTTTGTGTACGCACCCGATACTGGCTAAGTCAGTTTCGCGAATGTCAAAGAGGCAGCGAACATGGGTCAAAGCTCACCAACTCCCAAGATGCGGTCATCGTCTTCGATTGCATCTTCGAGGCGCTTCAGGATAACTGTGGCTACCCCTTCACCACGGCAGTACCCATCAGCATTCGCATCGAAGGTCTTGCAGTTTCCACTAGGAGACAAGAAGTGGCCTCGGTCCAGACCAGCATGCATCAGTGGGTTTGTCAGTAAATTCGTTCCTGTTGAAAAGGTCAGCATATCGATCATCGTGACGGACGTCAAAAAGAGAGAAATATACCTCCTGTGATGGCCATGTCGATATCGCCTCTCCACAGCGAGTTACAAGCGACATGAAGGGCGGCCAGACTAGACGAGCAGGCTGTGTCAACTGCATAGCTGGGGCCAGAGAACTTGAAGAAGTAGTTAATACGTCCTGGAATGAAGGCTCTGTTAGCGCCAGGGATGTAGTAAGTGTCCACGTTTTGAGCGCTGTTAGCTTCACACCAATCGTTGCTGGTGACTCCAAAGAATACGCCAACGCGATCTTCACGTGTGGACTGGGTTCTTCCAGGGACTACTCCTCCCTGTTCCATTGCTTCGTATGCAGTGAGCAGTGCAAGTCTCATGGCTGGATCGACTTGTGGAGCCTCGCGTGGAGACATGCAAAAGAACTGGTGAGTTGGCTCAATTAGCATATCCTCATTGTGAGCTCGCGGTTTGGTGCAGTTCATACCTTGGCATCGAAAAGGTCGGGCTCCTCAAGCCAACAGCCCCAGCGAACCTTGCTGGTATTCTTGCGTTTGCCAGAATCATCAACATGGGCGTCGACGTCCCAACGTGAAGCTGGAACTTCCTTGCACATGTCTTTCTTTTGCATGAGCAAATTCCAAAGGGCTTCAGGACTGGAGGCGCCCGGGAAGCGGCCGCTGGTACCAATAATAGCCAGTTTGGATCGACCGCAACGGGGCTCTGTAACGGGAGGGGTATTACCAGCAGCCGATGAGTACGGCTGCAACAAGCTCAGTTGAGTGACCACATTCATGGAGTCCATAGTCTGCTGCAGTCGTCGGCGGATTGACTCGCCATGTGCGGTACCGACCGGCACCAGTTGGACTTCACCCTTTGACTGGCTACCTAGCACAATCGTCAGTGAGTCGATGGCCTTCTCCCAAACAATGGGTCGAAGCAGGACATCTTTTGTGGCCTCTTCCAAAAATCGGCGGAGGCCGCTTGCCCAGATTGGCTGACCTGTGCCGCTGCTGAGCACGGGTATACCAGAGGTTTGAGGTGTGCTGTAGCCTGCATCTCCAAGTATAGAATGCACGTCGTCTTGGCTGAAAAGATGCGGTGCATGGTAGGGGCCGTAGATTGGAAGTTCGACAACGCCAGAATGGAGGCTGATGTGGTGTCGAAACTCGGCGAGGACCCGTGGTGGACCACTGACTGTAGCGTTGGTCGACGATACAGCGCTGATATAAGGGGCAGATGCTGGCGTCAAGGCCTGGAGATTGTCAGTAAGTCACCGTGAGTCATGGAAAGGATCACGAAACCTTTTGTTCCACAAAACGAGCTATTTGCAATGAAAGCTCATCCTTGCTGGATGATGGTACAATCATGGACCATTTGCCATCCTCGCTAGAGCCTGCTATCGAGGAGGCAAGCTGCGAAGTTCGCATACCAATGCGGAAAGCAACCAGGAGGGCTTCAGTAGCAGTTGGCACCAGTTCGAGCAAATTGCGAGATGCACTGACGGCAGCGGCTGCCAATGATCCAGTGCATAGTCCTATCAAATGCGTCGATTCTGGCGATGGGTACAAAAAGTCGCCATCCGAGTGATCCCTATGACACGTTAGTGGACTTTCTTCTCGGCGACCCAAGCAGTGCTAGATTCGAACCTGATGAAAGTTGCGAGTGAGTGCGAAAGACAAAGGAACTGCTCCACAGCCGGATGAACGAAGCCGGTCTGTCGCCTCGAAAGTAGGTCGGCGACGCTGCTGAACCGAGGAAAGACATCGCGAGCGTGCGGTGGGAGGCGGCCAATCTCTCTACGGATAGCGCGGTAGGCGTCTTGAAAGAAGTGGACGACAAGCGTATCATTGCATCGAAGCAAAGAGCGAAGAGAATCTTCAATATCGAATGTCTGATCACCAAAAAGATAGACTCGGTGAGGGCCGCCCATCGTATTGAACTGTTGAAGTTCGTAATGATCGACTGGTTGGAAGGAACGAACGTGGTTGAGAAAGCTGATCGATAAGTCCAGAATATCGGCCCTTGGAGTGACTACTTATCTTCCTCACCTTCAGCCTCGTGCTGTACCGCACCGGACTAGACCCCACGACGTGCATTCCAGATACTGGACTCCCACGCCACGAGGAGGTTGCCCGGGTACCGAATTCAAGCACCGTCCTAATGCCCTCCAGTGATTTGAGCCCGGCGTTGGGAAGGCGTTGAGTCCATCATGTCCTTTGAGGATAGTGCAGTCTGGGAAGTATTCGGCGCGCATCTGTTCGCTCTGCCGGGAACTAATTGGGGAGCCATGTCTCGCAGCATCGCTGACTGAGCCTTGGCGGCTGGACTATCCTTATGGTATAGCAGTGGTGATCCCCCTTCGGTGGCCGACCGGCGTGCAATGAGAGGCTGGCTTGTGGTATGTTGCCTGTGTGCGAATTTTACCTGATGAGCTTCAGAGATATGAGAATTGCATGTTGCCAGAATAGATGACTGGTGAGCAAACGGTGTAGCCGTTCCATGTGTCATCTTTCATCCTTTTGATCAACAGAGTAGAAAGCGCCAAGCACAGCCATATCTCCTTGCAGCGCCAGTTGGGGCATTCTAAACAGGAGACGACCGCACTGTGCCGCAGCTGGCGTGGGAATCCTTCAATGTGCTCTACGTCAGCATCAAGAGCATGCCAACACAAGCTTCACTGTAGACGCCAACCGGGCTAGTGAGCTTGGTCACAATTAGAGATCGGGTAAAGCCAGACTGCAAATGTCAAATACCACCAAAACCCTACACATCCTCGGCGCTTTGATGCAGCTGCGTGAGAGCTGCGTTGCGACAAAGGTCTCGAATGTTCTTTCCTCATCATCCATGATTACGTGGCTCAGGTGGATGCACAGAGGCGGCTCTGGCGAGTTTGGTCAGCCCAGGAAGTATGACAGCTCACCTCTATACAATCCTGGCATCACATGTCAGGACGACTCCCCCAGTACAAAAAACAGGAATGGATAAGTCTGTCCCTTGTCATCCGGCTTTCGTATATTCTTGCCCTGGCTGGTTTGAGGAAAGAGGCTTGAGCAGCCTTCCAAATCCGAACATATGATATGCGATGGAATGCAAGGCGATCGTGCCTGGCGAGACAGTGAAGGTGGAGGAGAGGTTCGGGCAGGATTCAGGAGGCCGACACAGTGAGGTGAGGTGTTTCCGCCCGGCTGTGGCGGCGATGTTGGTCCGAGCGGGCGCCTTGTCTCATTTGTGCAACTGCCGAACCTTATTTCAACCTCTCCCCTGCTTCTTCCTTGACCTCCTCCTATCGTCCTAAGCCGGCTTTGAGCCTACCGTGTCTGCAATTGGGCAAGATGGAAAATGAAACAACACCACGAGTTCATCTCTTCCTACCAGCAGACGCTTGACCGAGCTTGCTACCTTGCTGCTTTCTCAAACCTACCCGGCGGCCAGCATTCTTCCACATGCCTTCTGCTGCCGTTCCTACCACGCCTTACCGACTCGTCACACCTGGCCAGCGCGAGGCAGATCTCGAATACACACAGCTGCCGTCCGCTCCACATGGCTATACAGCGCTTCGTAGGAGTGATCAGAGCCCTGAACCGATCTACCAGTAGCTGAGAAACAACACACTGCGGTGGTTGTGTTTGACTCTCACACAGACGCTCCGGGCTGGGGAGCATATCTTTGATTCGGCTTTGCCCACCAAAGGTAGTGTTCTGTTTGCTCAGTCTGCTTACAGAGCTGTGTGCCAAGCATTACAAGCACTGCAAGACATTCTCTCACCCCGGTCTCAGTTGTAGCTCTCAACGACTATGCCTATAAGGCGATCCCTGGCTTCGAACACTGCAGATCCACGTGCGCTTCTATTGCTGGTCTCACTGCCAAGCCACTTGCTCCAACCTTCTTCAGGTACCACACCGGCTCCAGACGCACCCTGCCATAACAACTCATTAGGCCCTTGGCAACAGCACTAAGTCGACAATACTGAACGGTGTTCGTGGATCCCTATCGTTCTGTGGGGTCAGAGAGATTAAGCACCGTCTTGCTCAGCATGTCGCCGACTACCAAGACGCATGTTCAAAAGTAAGAGTCAGATTGATCTCAAGGTTTCGATCTTGAGTTGAGATGTATCGTCAACATGACGACTCAACCCAGCTCCCATATGCTGCAAAGTTGTGGGAGCAGGTCAGCATTTGCTGGGCGTTGTCATCATTCTGCCTGGTCGATCGGGGTCAAGTTCGCGTAGTTAGCGATCGCACTGGCTGGTTCCCTGTGTGTGGAGAACTCAATCCAGGACCGGTAATAGTACGGTCTCACCTCCACGACCTATGATTGGCCTAATTGAGGTCGTACCACTACCAACACATCCATTGATCACATGCTACCCGATGAGAAAGCGGCCGTACCTGCATCTGGAGCATGAGTGGGTCTTCGTCTTTGCCAGACCTGCTCGTACCACTGATCTGGAATACATATCAAGTCGTACCTCATACGCAGGTCCATGGGCTTCCATGTCTAACTCTGAACTCTTCACTGCGTACTTCCTATTCCAACACTACTCCCCTCATCATGTCACAAATCAAATACCGCGCAGCGTGCGACCATTGCTCCGCCACCAAGATCAAATGCACACAAGAAAGACCACAGTGCGCAAGATGCCGTGCCCTCGGCCGAGACTGCCACTACAGCAGATCACTCCGGGCTGGCAAGCCTCCTCGCTCCAGTCAAGGCCTCAATAGGAAACTCTCCAACCCACCGGTTCTCCCTCGACAGAGCACCCCCACAGAAACTATTGTGGCGGCACCCTATCCAACACCCCCAGCAGTTGTACCCAACAATGGCGCAGATGGCTTCCAGTTTCCAGAGTTACCACCGACGGACGGAAGCTCCTCATCAACCTCGCCAATGGGTCCAGAATGGTTCTTCGACTTCAACAACGGCTCTGATCTGATCAATGACCTACGACTACCAAATCTACCCGAACATGGTCACGAAATCAACCCGTCCGATCTATCACCTGGCCACAATAAGCAAGGCCAAACACCGTCGAGCATGGAGTTCACCCGCTTCGAGGATCTCATCAACATGCCGCCTCCAACTCCAGTCATGATCCCAAGCAGCAACAGCAGCAACAGCGACACCGACAAATGCGCCAGACTCGCCACAGAAACTCTCCACAGCCTCTACGAGATGCCAACCACTCACATCGACTCCACCGGTGCCAAGCAACCATCCGTCGACCAAGCGCTGAGCACCACCGCACGTGCGGTCCAGAACACCCACGACCTCATCACCTGCTCCTGCGCCAAGGACTTCTACCTGCCCATGCTGATCGCCATCATCGCATCCAAGATCATCGCCTGGTATCAAGCCGTCGCATTCGTGCGAGATCCTTACACGGAGCTACCAGAGGGAAAGCAATGCTCCAAGGAAGTCGTTGTCGAGGCACCGCTCACACTGGGCGCTTATCAACTCGATGATAAAGTCGGCTGGGTGCTCAAGAACCAGATCGTGCTGGGTCAGCTGCAGAGACTCAACGAGGTCATTTCCCGCTACAATGCTCTGTATTGCGTTGAAGGCTCATCTGGCCATCTCGCGGAGGGAACCAGATTGTACGGTTCTATGGGCGGTTTCCTGAAATCACGATTGCAGTTTACCGTCCAGGAGATCGAGAGCCGACTGAAGGCTAGTGGTCACGGCAGCCAGTGAAGTACAGGGAGAGGCTATGTACATTTTTCACCTATTCTTTGTACGTATCTTGGGCGGCGGGCGGCGGGCGCAGGTTAGTATAGATTCGTTAATATACCCATAAATGAACCCTGTATTGTTATGCTACACCTTCACCTCAACCTTTCAAGGACACTTTGGCTACTGACTCCACACGATTCGTCCACTCGTTGTCTAGTCCGTCCCCTCGTACCACCCACCCTCTGCATGTGACAGTAACCGGGTTTCCACACAGCCCAGTCCAGGCATTCCTTGCTAGCCATTAAGCGCCATAGTTTCGGCCTCCTCGGGCCTCGCGCCAGGCCTACAAGCTAAATACGAGCCAAGAGTGGAGAGAGTGGAGAGATGGGCTATACTTGACAGAGAGAAGAGCTAAGATCGAAGCAGGCTTTCATGTGAAAGACGCTATTGTTTCGTCTATATTAGGCAGAGCGTTTGTGTCGGTCCCCTCTCGAGGCTGGCTGTCATGAATGCTGGATGCTACCTTTGTTCAATGCGATGCAATACTGTAAAATACCCAGTCTATAAGTCCTCCTCCTCCTCGTTGAATGGTACCATGCGTCTCGGTAGTCGTCCGTCGTGGCGTCATTGTTTTGACAATCTTCCTTCCCATGCTCTCCCATCGTCATCTGATTTCATGCTTTATGCCTTGTAGGAGCTAGCAACGGCCGTTGGGCCAGGCACGGCGTAGATGCCCGTGCCAACGATCTTTCCATCCTCGCAAGCGGTACCTAGAGCTACCGATTGCCACACAACATGACCAAAGTTGCAGAGTCCAAACAAGTTCGGTCCATTGCAGACGACCGCGCCGTCAACGGGACATGTCGAGCTGCCGGTCGCTACCGGCACAGGTGGGTATGATGGAGCCACTCCCGTTGGATATGGAATAGGCGGTAGCGAAGAGACTGAAAGGGACGAAGAATAGCCTGTTGGGTATGGGATAGGTCGAAAGGTATAAAGTCCAGTGCCTGTCGGGTATGGGTATCCAACTTGACGAGCGTCGAGTGGTGCCTTGGCTTCGTGGCCGATATCGTTTGCTCTTCGGATGTTGTCGGCAGGGGCCGCGGAGGCGAGGATGGTCAGGCCGATGAGGCCTGCGAAGATCGAGGACTTCATTTTTGGTGCTGATGGATAGGTGCTCTTTGGGAGGACGTAGATGCGAGATGGAGGAAGACGAGAAGAACTGCTGTGGAGACTTGCCCTACCTTTTCATCATCCGGACTTCCATGGCCCAGTCTTACATACTCGCCGAACGCATCCCACCACCACGGTGGCATGATGGCAGCGGAGGCGCAGGATGGAGCGCACGTTCGGGCGATGATTACTGCCAACTGGCCTGTTCTCCCCCCGGTGCTGGGGTTTGCCGCGCGTCCACGCAGCGCAGGGCGGAGAACGAGAGTGAGATCGGTCGAGTATGTTCTTTGTGCCTGCGTCTAGGTTGCCTTTTGCCTCTTGCTTTGCGTAAGACGAATGCACAAGGCGAAGCAGATGGACGTGTGCGGTGCTCTGCGGGCTTGGACTCGTTCCCATATCCGGTGGCCCTAGCCCTATTTCGGGCATCTCATCAGGGATCGTCGTGCGAGAGTGACGTAGCCCGGCAACTTTCACTTGGAAGTTCTTGTTGTTGCTCTGCCGGACTTCCCTTCACTAACAGATGCAAGGGTTTACGCATGTCGGCACTCCAACTGCTGCTGCGAGCGCTGCTTCTAATTTCGTATTCGTACACCTGGCAGGGGGAATTCCTGGGACCGCGAGACCGATGGTGGACAGTGCAAATATTTGATCAGGGCATGTGGCATCGTCTGACCTTTCGCGAGGAGTACAGAGCGTGACGCAGGCCTCCCCGCTTCTGAGCGAGAACAATTGCAGCAGAACTACCAGCACGCTCTAAAGTTCAACGATCTTTAGACCAGTACAAGTACTTTCTGCTCGGCGAAAAGGTGACATCTCCGGTGAGGAGAAATTCGCTCGTCTCAATCCTTGGCAAACAGAACTCCTGACAACCTTGCGAAACTACCGTAGCGGAGCGCTATACAACATCTTCGCAGATTTGAGCTCAATCACTCTCGACTGGGACGCATTCAAGCTGGACAGATTGCGTGTTGTCATGCAACTAAGAAGTACGCTGTACGTGGAGTAACCAAAAACATACCTGCGAATTGCGTAGGAGATCGAATGATCTAATGTGATCTGGACGCAGTTCATCGGCTTTGGACGGGCCTGATGTCGCCACAACTTGTCTTGATGCCGAGTCTGTTTGCCCATATTCGCGAAACGGTAGAGAAACCCTAAAACACGAGCGAATTGTCACGCTAGCTTCCTTCTTTTAACATGCAGTGTATCTCACAGCGTGTTCTAACAGCCTTTACTAGCTTGTTCCCTACGCACTGCCTCACTTTACTTTTGTTTCCTTCGCACCAACATCCCCGGCATGTCGCAACGAACTGACTAGCGCCTTGTCAACTAAGCCATTTATGCTGCCGGATCCTCGGAGAAGCAAGATTTGGCTACGGCAGCGCTTGAATAGAGCTTTGAGAAACTCGGCAGTGACCAAATCGGTTACGATGTCCTAAATATCCTGGTATCTGCTACGGGCATAGACAGTGCGAACCACCCCACACACTTTTACAGTTAGTACCTATAGACACGGCCCTCGAAAGCCTCAAAGTGCTTGCCCAACGTCTTCCTATGTGTCCCCGCAAGCAATCTCGCGCCTTTGGGGATTGCAACTGGACATCGGTCGACTTGATCGGAGAAATTCAAAACGACCAACACGCATTCACAGCCTGCCGTCTTCCTGTACACCATGAACGTCTCGCTCTCATTGTCCACAAACTCAAGATCGCCATAGACGAACAGGTCCTTGTTATATTTCCTGAGGTCGAGCATGCTTCTCCAAAAGTTGTACACACTATCGCTATCCGTCATTTGATCGGCGAGGTTGATCTCAGGGTGGACTTGGGGCAACCATGCCGTTTTGTTCGCCGAGAAGCCATAAGTGCTGTTCCAATTGAACGGCATCCGCGCGTTGTCTCGAGCGAGCTTTTGCACGTTCGAAAGTGCCTGGGATGTATTCCCGCCAGCAGTTTTCACCCCGTCGTAGTAACTCTGCGATAAGTAATCCTGATAGTCGGAGATGTTCCAGGTCGACGGTACATTGATCATGCCGAGCTCCTGTCCCTGGAATAGGAAAAGAGTTCCGGAGAGTGTAGACAGCAGCATGCTCAGCAGCTTCGCACTTTGCACCCTATACTCAGGGCTATCATCACCAAATATGCTGACCGACCGAGGGGTATCGTGGTTCTCCAGGAAGACCGTGTTCCAACCATCCCCTCTCCCCGAGCTCCTGATGGCATCGTTGAAAACGAGCGTGTCTCGCCACGTAGACAAATTCCACGGTATTGGCTCATAGCCGCTCCTTCCTATCCCGACCATGTTGAAATAGAAGATCGTGTCTATCTCTCGCCGATGAGCACCGACATACTCTTGCATGATGGTCATATTGGTCGTGGCGTTGGCGTATTCTCCGACAGTAAATGCGTCATAGTGAGAAAGCACCTTTTGGTTCATCTCCTGCAGGTACTTGTGCTCGTTGGGGCCGTTCACGTAGAATTGCGCTCCAGAATAGAATCCGTCGTCGTTCGCAGGCACGTTTGGTAGGCCAGGAGTCTTGCTGTAGTACGAGATGACATCGATTCGGAAGCCGTCGATGCCCATGTCTAACCAGATCCTCAGTGCATCTTGGTAGACGGCCTCGCGGACATCTGGGTTGTCCCAATTGAGATCGACCTGGTAGGGGCTGAAGATTCCCAAATAGTATTCGCCGGTGTGCTTATCCCAGACCCACGCACTTTCTCCGTTGTATCCCACCCAGTTGTTCGGAGGATATCTCGTGCCGTTCTTGTATTGCGGCTGTCTCCAGAAGTACCAGTCCCGCTTTGGACTCGTCACGGAGCTCTTGGACTCTTTGAACCACGGATGGTCATCGCTGGTGTGGTTTATGACAAGATCGAAGATGCACCTCATTCCTCTCTTATGCACTTCATGGATGAACTTCTTGATGTCCTTTAAGCTTCCGCCAAACTTTGCATTCACAGAAGTATAATTGCTGATGTCGTATCCCAAGTCGAATAAGGGAGAGTCATAGAATGGTGACAGCCAGATGATGTCCGCTCCGAGCATTTGGATATGGTCGAGATTCTCGAAGATACCGTTAATGTCTCCCCATCCTATTGCATCTTCAGCGGATCGACTTTCCTTGAAGCTGGCTGGGTACACTTGGTACACTACACCTTCCTTCCACCAAGCTTTGGGCTGGCGAAGCTGAGTAGCAGCGGCGATTGTAACAAAAAGCAAAAACCAACGCATCTTTTGGATTGCCGTACGCAATTCTTGTGCTACAAAGTCGAGAAAGGCTGTTGTAGTCGTACGTATTGTACATTAGGTTTCACCAGCGCTGCCTTGCTCTTTGGATACTTGCACTCAACCAGCGTACGGCAAAGCTGCCTCACAGTGACGAAGGATGGCTCATCCGATCGACAGACAGCATGCATGAATGCATTTCCGATATTATTGACTCCACATCAAAGTGCGGAGCTTCGAAATCCGTGTGTAGCGATCTGATCTCGGGCAAGTTCTTGCCGGGCAGGGTGTCCAGATACAGATATATAGGCGCACGTATGCTAAGGATGAGGAGCCACAATCTGGGCATCGCCAGAGCTCGGCCGTGGAGAAATCAATGCCTTTGCTTCCTAAGCGGTCTGCCCACAGGAACGGCACCGAGTACATTGATGAAGAGGAGTGTTGTATTCCGTTGGTACACGGCCGCCCTGAATGGTCATATGAAAGACTGGCAAAAGACAGAAATGCGCAAGTTACAAAGCTACTATGATGGAGCACTGCTACAGATGTTCGAGAGCCTCGCATCGTTCCCTATCGGATGGGACTATTTTCGTTTTGGCCGACTGTCTCTAGCTATACAAGTAAACTGCGAGGAGGTGAGTAGTGCAATCGCTGTCGAATGCTAGGGACTAAGTTTTGCGTAGGAAGTCTAAAAATACTTAGGTAAGGTCACTTCACATGCTTTGGACTAACATTTTGGGAGATGCAATACCTATCCAAGATCTTAATAAGATAACAGTAAAGTTCCTTTATCTTAAGATGCCCGCTCATTCCACGGCGGACGCTAGGGAAATTTAATAGAAACTTCGTAATAGGGAGATTTTCCGTACAATTTACGATCCCTCCACTCGTAAAGCTTTAGAAGTTAAACTTCTTAAACGCCGACGTTTTATAACGCTTAAGGCATTCTTTAACGATGTGATCTACCTCAAGGCTTGCTCTAATGGCCTACATGAGCTCCTACCAAGCAAGAAGCCACGAACGAAGGCGGTCTCGAACAGCCTACGATCTTCTCTTGGATACTACTTCAATGGTCCCACAGACCAATTCCCGATGAGGTATCTCAAGTTGTGGCTTTTCGGCGTGAGAAACTTTCCCTATGTTGCAGCTAAGAAATTCAATGCGCCTTTGGTGGAAAACGAAAAGCAAATCATAAGTGTTGATGAGTATTAGCAGTGATTCAGGCCAAGTCGCACACGATGCCCTATCACTAGGGTTTTGGTCCGAGAGGATAGAGACTACTGCTCGAAGAAGGACGAATTCTGTCAACTTCGATCTCGTCTCCTCGGAACCTCCAACATTGAGCACAAATGACAAGGATCTTCCCAAGAAAGAGAGGTCTAACCGACCATTTGAACGGTCTTATCATCGAAACCGCGGCTTCATCGTTTTGGAAAACATGGTGGCAACTTTCCCTTACGAGCCCGGAGCGTTTGCTTCGCTCTTTGCAGTAACGAGGGATACCATCCCTTTAGATCCTTTGGAGGTTCCGTCTGAACCGACTCTTCAAGAAAAGGTATTGGATCAGGATGGTGGAATCTCGTTGCGACCGCCATCATCCAATTACGATCGTTCGATCCGCTCTCCTTCTACAAGATCGGAAATACGACCGAAGACTTCTGGTCCAGAGGAAGGATGGAATGAGCATGACTTTTCCAATATACAGATGTATCCAATTGGTTCCGCTGGCTGCTCATCTATCGAACAGCCGACCCTGCAGCATATCGACACCTGCATGACCATCCAGGGACTTAACAATGAGAGATTCAGACCGGTGGGGCCCCTGGATCACGACTTGATCAAAGACCGTAGACTACTATTGCGAGCCTCGTCTAGAAGCTCTTAGCCGACAACAATAAGCCCAGTCCAAGTAAATGGATCTCACGACGACGCAACATTGAAATCCAGCTACCTTGGCGGTGAAGCCAAATCGCAAGCTGGCTCCGAGGAAGGAAATGATAATGACTACATGGATACTTTGGAAGAAAGCGACCAGAATGCCGATGAATACATTACGAGGGCGCAACAGATAAATGCCAAAGATGTCGATATTTCACACCGTCATGCATCTGACGATCAACGGCCGGACCCTGAACAACAAATCCGCGATAGCGCTGAGATAGCTGGCGCAGTTTATGAGGGACGCTTGGATACAGGCTCTTCTCAAATGACACGTGAGCTTGAGACGGAAGATCGCCTGGAGGGACCAAAGACAGGTTCACTAGATTCCCTGGCGAGCTATCCAAACGAGAAGGTCATGTCTTCGAGCCGGACCAAGTGGCACACCTCGGACTCAGTCCTGTGGACCAATTCCCGGAGCGTGCCACAGATGTTGCAGGAAAGACATCTCACAAAGATGGAAGGACTGCATGGGGCGGAAGATCGAACCTAGGTATCGAGTTGGAGCATCTTAGCTCCGAGACAGGTCCCGATCAGCCTGGTCAGTCGAACGCCCAAATCACCCTAACTTCTAAACACAAGACCGTGTTTCTGGGACCTATGGTTGAGACATCTAATGATTTCAAATCGAATCAAACAGCAGTGGCGACAAGATTCAGTGTATTGCTTTCGTTCGAAATCCCAGCGAGCTTCTCGTCGAACTCCTCCGGAAGCCAGACATCGATCTTGTAAGTAAGCATTGGCAGTACTGCAGCATCAACGATATCAACAGTTGGCGAGATGATACGGCCTCGAGCAGAGTGTAAATTGCTATGCGGCTGTGCCGAGTGCTCGAACGCATGAAGTGCAAGCTGGTGCTCTATGAATCTTGGCTGACGTCTTGCAATATCTGTTGTAGGCTGCATCGGAATCTGCTAATCGCTGTATGTAACATGGTGAGGTCGTATGCCCAGCTCGTATGCTCCACTATAGCGTCAAGCAGCAGACCATAGAGGGTTTTCAGGCTGCGACTGGCTTTGTGCTTACGCAGCGCCAACCTACGCAAACATCACGCCAAGGCAAACTTGCTCCTCGCTTGAGTTACCTAGATGAACTCTCTGCACAGGTATGGGCATTGCAAAGCTCGATCAAATCATCTTTGACGTATTCTGCGCATGCTGACGTCCGGATGCTGCCTGCCCCGATGCTGCCTGCCCCTAAACGCCCTAGAACATAAACTGTGCCTTAAAGTTGCAGCTTGCCTCGGGAACATGCTGCTTTTGACAAGATCAGTTGAGAGGAGATTTCGAGGACAAAATCTTCGTGTACTCATCTTCGTGTATTTCACCGTCGCAAAATGTGGTTAATGAAAACGTGTGTGGAAAGGAGTGGACGCTGTACATCTCCCTCTAAGCAGCGTGCTCACGATAGGGCTCCAATAGCAGCGTTTACATATAGCTATGGAGTTGGACCATAGCAAAGAGACAATAATCAGCTCTCTAATCTAAATGGCTTCGTTTCTTCTTCTTCTTCTTCTTCTTCTTCTTCTTCTTCTTCTTCTTCTTCTCGCGTCCACGGCGCTGGCTGTCGACATCATCCGGTACGGCCGCTCGGGCTGCGGCGCCCCTGAAGCAAGGTTTGACAATGCCACACCTGGAACCTGCTTCCGGCAACCGTTCAATTTTGTAATGTTCCCCAATAGGGCGGAGGCCGTCCGAGTCTCGCTTGATCAGCAAAGTATTGTAAGGTGCTCGACGACTTTAACCCACAAAGAACGAGTTTCTGACGTGAAATTTCAGAATTCAGTGGCCATTCCCTACCAGCGAAGCGACGGAAAGTTTTGCGGCACGCCTATAGAAGACGCAGCCAGATTTGGAGAGCTCAACTTCGGTTGCTACTCAGACAATCTCCTTGGCTCCGCCTTATATATTCGATGCATTCCCATGTCCGATCGAGCGCTTGATAACTCCACAGGAAGTAAAGTTGCAAGACAGGAGACTCCTGTGATCCCGCCGACGCTTGAGGGTCGTTGCCCTGGGAATCGATTGGAAAATTTCGACGCTGCTACGTCTACCTCACAGGCGGAAGATATTGCGTTCCGATTTACGGACGAGTTTCACTACGAATGGCAAGAGTCTCTGCATCTTCAACTCCTCTTTCATGAATTTCATATTCTCCTCTTATTCATGACACGTTTACACTTTGGGACTCTCGTTTCCCAGCGCGCATCATGTCCATACCCTCTCAGAGCAATGTTCGAGTTCACGCTGAGGCACGAAGTGATTATTGATAGGAGAAAGACTTGACAGGAAACCAGAATTGTCGAATTTCAGAAGACGCTTATTTCGATCGACTTCCATTGCAACTGGCGGGCGGATCTGGTAGAAATGGAATTGTGCCACTTGTCAGGTCATCAAGATGACGAGCCATGGAGTGAGAGCTGCTAGATGGGACTTTGAAGGTGAGGCGACGCATGTCTTGCTCCAGAGCACTTTTGAACTTACTGAAAGAGCTCGACAATTCAAAGAACTTCCACAAAGCTGAGACTTTCAGAAAATTCATCAAGCCAACACGAAATGACCAGTCACATACACATCCTCGGTAGATCACTTTCCAGCAGCTCCTGGAGCCTTGCAATGAATGAGACATGGAGCGAACATGGAGGACCTTCTGCCTATACATCTCCTATTTAAAGTCATGTCCATGCTCTCTTACCTCTCATCTAGTACAGACTATCCAGAAACTCCAGCAACTTCAATATGCCACCCAAGCGTAAGAAAAGCAGATCACCATCGGAGGAATAAGACTTCGGCAAGGACCCCATTCCTAATCAAACTTACACCAAGCGCACCCCAAAACGATGCAGAACATCCAGCCCAGCTCGCCCCGCTCCTTCCATGACGCGCTCCATGGCCAGAGCCGAAGCCGAAATCATCAGTGGCCGACCTACCGTTCGCATCTACATCCAGTTAGTCATGATGTCCGAGAGGTTCGCCCTTGGGATTCCCCTGTCCACAATCATCGCACAGCTGAGGGTCTTTGCGAGGAAGCGCACGGGCGTGGCTCCGGAGACTCAGCGCCTCATCTGTCGTGGGAAGCAACTCGAAGATCACCGGACGCTGAACGATGTATGTTTGAAGTATTCTCGTTTTATTCGGATCTTGCGTTGCTGACTCTGGTTGATAGTATTGTTGCTACGGAGACGACGAGATCCATGTGTTGTTGAGACTGATGGGTTCGTAATCGTCTTGTCTTTACTGGAGAGCGATGCGGGTGAGCAGAGAAGGGTGGACTGGAAAGGCTTCGAGGCAAGGAAGCAGCTTCGCACGGCGGAAGTTTTTGCACTTCAAAGCCAATGAATCCAATCATAAAGACAACCTGTTCTCCCTGCTCGCCGCTGTCAGGGTTATACCCTACAAAGTTACACCAACCCGGAAGCGTGAAGTGAAGTCTCGCGTCAACGTCAGAACCTTGCAGGGGAGGTTTCATACGTTCGACATACCGCTTACCACTACGATTGGCGAGTTGAAGGTCCTGGTGGCCGAGGCGGAAGGTGTTGATCCAGGAGATGTGCTTTTTGTTTTCCAGGGATGGCGGCTAGGGACGCTTTTTGAAAACTACAGGGGTAGTTTGGAGGATGTTAGTCTGGATAAGGTATGTGTGGAGCATTTCTCTCGGGCTATTTCGTTTTGCTGATGCATCTTAATAGTGTGGTGTACGAGATGGAAGTGAGGTACTCATGATTCTTCGTGGGAGGAAAAAGTGAGAAGTCGATTTATGATCTGGTGGTTCATAAATCTGACGAGACCATCTGCCGGGGCCTTGCTATCTGTACGAGGTTCTTCATCTGAACTCTTTAGCAACCAAGAAATTGTGAGCCCGAGTCGGAGCTGCACACATGTCAATGATACAAGCTTTCGCCGAGAAGCTCGCGCGCAATCTCAAGTCTTCTTCTCGTTATCAACAGCCACGACCAGAGCCCCTGAAGCCCCCTGATCCTGTGCATCCAGCTTCATGATGTCGTCGTGATCCAGCGCAAAGTCGTAGATGCTCCCATTCTGCTTGATACGTTCGGGATTATCGCTCTTCGGCAGTGGTGACCAAGCCTTCTCCAGACAATATCGTAGCAACACTTGAGCTGTCGACTTGCCATGCTTCTCAGAAATAGCCTTGAGGGTGGGGTCGTTTGCCTTCTGGTTTCGTACAAGCGGACAGTAGGCTTCTACAGCGACTCCATTCTTGTGGCAGTATTCGACGATGTCTCGCTGTTGGCACCACGGATGCAGCTGAGATTGTATGTCAGTGTGATGTCGTTCAAAAAGTGCTAAAGTACTCACCTCCAACTGATTGACGTGCGGAGGCCAAACTTTTGCGTACGACTTCATTCCCTCAATCATCCCTATCCCCATGTTGCTCACTCCAATCGACTTGAATCTGCCTTCCTCATGTAGCCTCTCCATCGCTTGCCACAACAGCTTTACTCCCTTGGCCCCAGAAGTGACATTGTGAATCAAGAATAAATCGAGATATCCATTCTCGCCATCGATATTTTTCACACTATCCAAACACTTCTGATACGTCGATTCCTCGTCGTCTGCTGGCTTGACTGCCTTGCTCGTGATGAAGACGTCCCTTCTTGAGAGGCGAGATTTACGGACTGCCTCGCCGACTTCTTCTTCGTTGCCGTAGACTTGTGCTGTGTCGATGTGACGATAGCCGTCTTTGAGAGCCTCCTGACAGGATTGGACTGTGAGATGTTTCGGACTGTCCCAGACTCCAAACCCCAGAATTGGAAGCTCGTGGCCGCTTTTCAAGGCGAACTTTGAGGTGATCGTCAGGTCTTTTGTCATCTTGAATAATCTTCTAGCTTTATGGCTCTCGATTTGAAGGAGGTACGTTGATCAAAACGTGAAACGGAGTAAATTTCAAGCAAGTTTCAAGTCACAATATATATCAATGATTCATCACGTGTTTCAAAGTGGGTCGTGAATAGCAGGGATGTGGCCAATCGGAGAGCTCTCAAAAGTTTCACTTCACCTGCTCTTTCTTCAACCGTAAAGTCTCCAGAAATCTCGCCGCATCTGCAACTCACGACTCAAGATGGTCCTCGAAGCGATCCGCTACAAGCCTGGAAGCTTGCACATCCTCAACCAGCTCAAACTACCTCACCAGGAAGAATACGATGAGATCCGATCTGCTGAAGATGGCTGGCATGCGATCAAGGACATGCGAACTCGTGGAGCTCCCGCCATCGCTATAGTTGCCGCTCTTTCTCTCGCCGTGGAGTTGACGAATAACAATACCTCCGACAAGGCAGACGAAGTGGCCGCGTTCATCCTCGAGAAGTTGGATTACCTCGTCACCAGCAGACCAACAGCTGTCAATCTCGCCGATGCCGCGGGCAAGCTCAAGAAGATCGTGGAGACCGCTGCCAAGGCCAATGATAGTGATGGAGCTTCGGTCTCGAAAGCGTACTGCGATGCTGCTGCTCAGATGCTGATTGCGGATGTTGCGGACAATCAAGGCATTGGGAAATATGGTGCCGAGTGGATTTCAAAGGCAGCAGGTGGTGGTCAAGTCAGCGTGCTCACTCACTGCAATACTGGATCACTTGCTACTGCCGGCTATGGCACTGCGTTGGGAGTAATTCGCTCACTACATGCCAACGGATCACTCAAGCATGCCTTCTGCACGGAGACTCGGCCTTACAATCAGGGATCAAGGCTGACGGCCTTTGAGCTTGTTCACGACAAGATCCCTGCAACACTCGTGACCGACTCCATGGCTTCCGCTTTGTTGAGATTGAAAGGACCTTCGGAACGCATTGCAGCCATTGTTGTTGGTGCAGACCGTGTTGCCGCTAATGGAGATACTGCCAACAAGATTGGCACCTACCAGCTTGCCGTCACAGCCAAATACCATGGCGTCAAGTTCCTCGTTGCAGCGCCACGAACGACAATCGACCTCAAGAGCAAGTCAGGTGCAGATATTGTCATCGAAGAACGGCCGGGCAAGGAGATGACTTTTTTGAAAGGACCTCGCTTCGATGGTGTTGACCTCGATCTGAGCCAGGTTGAGACCATCAGCATTGCGGCGAAGGGCATTGATGTGTGGAATCCTTCGTTCGATGTGACGCCTGCAGAGCTCATCGATGGGATCATCACTGAGATTGGTGTGTTTGAGAAGGGTGCGAACGGCTCGTTTGATCTCACAGCTGCGTTGGAGGCGCATAATGAGGGCATCAAGCCGAAGACCGTGGGCGGTCTCTGAAAAGTTTCTAGTTACTCGATACCCTTCAACAATTGTTGCCTACGGGCGTGCGATGCCGTTCCCATCCCAGCTTCTGCCTCTGCTTGGTGCAACTGCTCGCTTCAACGTAGGATGGCCTGTCCCTGAAGCTAAGTTTCATGGCAAGTTGCCACGCACAGTGCTGGTTTTACCTGTGTTGTGTCCGCTGTCTGGATCACAAGACGAGTTTTGCTTTCCAGAAATGTGTTCTGTGTCCCGGGAGTGATCTTTGCTGTCAACCAGGGGCCGTGTTGGTCACAGACGTAGCCATCAAATCCCATCGAACGAGGCGGCCGAGCAGATAGTTTTCATGACCTGCCGTGCTTTGTCGAAACGAATTTATCGTCTTGATTTCTTCAGCTCTTCTTTCCATCGCTCTCGTCGTCCTGATGGCCGCTCTGCTCTTCACCATTTGAGCTTGCTTTATCGCCCTTCAACTGTGTGAACTCTCTCTGTTGGCTCTCTGCTTGGTCGAGCAGCGCCTGGATCCTGGCTTCCATCTTACTGAGCTGATTCTCCAGCGCGGTCGCGGTTCGTTCTCCTTTGGCGAGCTCTTGGAATGCCTGCTCTCGATCAGCCTCCAATTCGCTTCAGAGAACGTTCCGATGCCCACAGTACCTTTTCGAGGTCCGCCGCATCTCCGGTGCCATTTGGTTGCGCTCCTGATCTGCCCGAAGCCATCTTGGACGGTGTTTCTTTACAAGTTTCCGGCGGCTTTGTCGAGGTGATGTCAAGATGAGCTTGGAACGGAAAGGCGGTGGAAGTCTCGCCGAAGGCCGTTACGAGTCACTTGCAGCTTGGTAATCGACCGGACTGCGACGACAACAGCTCTATGTCTATACTCACAAAGCTCTTGAGGAGTTCAGAAGCTTTCGAGACTGATATTTGATGAGATCAGGTTCATCGACAGTCGCACAGTCATCATCACATGCTATGGAGTCCCGGTCTTTGGCCAGCGCTTACTCATTTGAGCACGCCATTCGGAGTACGACCACGAATCAGCAAGGATCGGTGAACTCTCCACCACCCCAACCTTCGACCTCACGTCTTCAATCCTCCCTGAAGGAGCGGCCGTTCTGCGTGAAGCAGTTCGTCAAAGAAGCAGCAACAAAGCCTCATAAGGAGACAGTCCTGTATCTCGCCTATGGCTCCAACCTGGCAAATGAGAAGTTCCGTAAGGATCGGAAGGTCAACCCGCTGTCCCAGATCAATGTCCAGGTGCCATCTCTGAGGTTGGTGTTTGACCTTCCTGGGATTCCGTACTCGGAGCCATGCTTTGCGAATACTGCCCGACGAGATCCGTATCACGATCCTCCACAATACGCGACAACAAAGACGAGTGAGAAGACCGCCCTTCTTGGCGACGCATCAAGGCAGAAGCGTGAAAAGAGTTGGACGAAAGGCTTGATCGGTGTGGTATACGAGGTGACGCCGCAGGACTATGCGCACATTATAGCCACAGAGGGAGGCGGGTCTGGATATCAGGATATCTTGGTGGACTGCCACCCGTTTGTGAGCTCCGATCCGAACGATCCAGTTCCCTCTGAACCAATCCTACCTCCCTTCAAAGCCCACACACTCTTCGCGCCTGCAGTGCCCGAGGACGGATCGCCGCCGAAGAGAGGACACCGGGTTCGCCCTGATCCAGACTTCTCTCAGCCTTCGGCAAGGTATCTCAAGCTGATAACAGATGGGGCAGCGGAGTGCAAATTGCCTTACGAATATCAGGGCTATCTGCTCTCACTGCATCCCTTCACAATAACTTCGACCAGGCAGCGCATAGGCCAGTATGCGTTCTTGGCGGTCTGGATGCCGCTGGTTCTGCTTGTGTTCACAGTCAGCAGGTTGTTCGCAGACAAGAACGGAATCGTGCCGAAGTGGATCGCGAAGCTCGTTAACTCGATCTTTGAGGCAGCTTGGGCAAGTTACGATTATGTTTTCAAGCCGACGTTCGGTGAGGGAGAGAGGACTGTGGGTGATGATGACGGCAGTGACAATGAAGATATCGTTGAGAACGACAGAAAGCTGCGCAGAGCAGCACCAGATGCGGAGGTTGAGAAAGGCGTATTGTAATGTACCAACGACTGCATATGATTATGAAAATAATGAAGTGATGTTGACTGCACCCGGGAGCACCCTTGCTCCTTCCTCAAGTATACGCATAGGCAATCGCGTGCGCGCTCCTGCTTCTGGAGACGCGCCAACCTTCGACCTCATCTCAACCTCACTCTCCCACGTTCGGCCTTCACCAACATGTCGCTCGCTCCAACTGCATGATGACGCCGCCACTGAGGTGTCTGAGAAGCCAAGAAATTATCAATTGCAGTGAAGGCTACATGACGCCGAAACCATCGCCACGCGCGCTGCGATCGCAATCGCAACACTCTCAAGCCACGACCTTAGTCGAAGACTCGTTCAAGGACGGTGCGAAGATCAAGCAGGCCGACCAGCCACGCGAATCTACCACTGCGCACACCGGTGAAGACGAAGACGAAGATCTTTACGGCATCAGTCCGGGAAGAGAGGCGCTTCGCACCATCAGTGCAACGCAACCGAGCCAAGGAAAAGAGACTGAGGAGGCCGACGACAACATCAACTACAGCCGAGCAGGAGCTGTTGCAAAGGCCGCTCTTGACCTTCATCCGAGCGTTAGCAACGGCCATCACGTCGCTCAAGGCATCTTTCCCGCCCATACGCCACCTGCGAAGCTGAAGCTACTCACGCAACGCACAAGTGAGGCCGATACCATCCAGCCTGCCTTCGAAAAGTCTGGCACTCTGAAGAGTACCATGAGCTCCATTAGTCGCGGCGGTCAGCAGAGCAGCACGTCACTCAAAGCAGGACCCACGTCGCAAACGAGCGCCATGGTGTCCGCACGCAAAGTTGAATTGGGTGCCGCACCACCACCAACCAGCACCCAGTCTGTCGGGAAGAACTCGGCCCTTGATGCTTTACGGGAAAGGAAAGGTTTCATCGGGAAGTCGCAACCTGCTCAGTGGGTCCAACAGGCCGTTGATCTCGAGCCAGCAGCCTCCAACAATCAGCAGCAGACTGCATCACCCGGGAAGAAAGCGGCCAAGGTGACTGCTACGACCAAGAATGCAGCTCGAGAGAAGCAGTCACAAGGCAAGAACGCTATGTCGGCGTCTACAAAGAGTCAAGGTGCAGTCAGTCCTCCCACCCAAAAGCGAAGATCTCTCCGAGAGACGATGCAGGTTGAGACATCACGGACAAAGACGACGGACCCGCCTGATGGCACTCAGCCGGGCGCTTCAACGCATGGACCTATGCCCGACGACCCATATACCGCCCCTAAGGAAGAAGCCCGAAAGGGGAAGCTCAAGAAACCGAGTCTCACAGGCAAAGGCAAAGGAAAGAGACCTGTCGATAACGCGGCTGATGGTGATGCTACCGATCGAAATGCAGTCAGCAAGTCCAAGAATCCTTTCAAACCTGAGCCACTATCGGCACAACGTCAGTTTCAGCATTCTGAGCGTGATGATGACAACAATGAAGACGACGAAGAGGAGCCATCCCAGCCACGCAAGCGAGGCAAAGGCGCCCTCCCAAGCAAACCGAAGCAAGCGACCCTTACGAAGCGGAGACCAAACGACAGCTCACAAATTGGAGAGCCTGACTCCGACTTTGAGCTCACTTCGTCGCCGAAGAAGGCGAATCGCAAGAAGAAGTCCTTAGCGCCTCAAGCGCCAAAGAAGTCGGCACCTAAGGCAAAGGATGCTGCTGCCAGCACTACGGCCAGAACCACTAGAGCGCAGGCGGCTGCCGCCCAGAAGTCGGAATCTGATCATGCAGACAGCGAAGAAGTTTCTTCTGCACCGGCGGACACGAAGGGTGCAAAGAAACCGCAGCAGAAGAAATCCGCCACAGCCGACATACCACCAAGTCGAGCTGCCGATCAATCTGATGAACTGAACGACAATGCAGCTGAGGTCGACGAAGATGTCGCTCCTCAGGAGAAGATGTCGTTGAGCAAGGGCAAACCGAAGGCAAGCGGCCTACCAACAGTGAAGGCCCAGCGTAGTCCACCAAAGCCAGCCACTCGTGCCAGCCCACGACTTACGAAGCCTGGTGGCACGCAGGAGAATGCGATTGAGCTATTTGACCGCATCCAGAGTAGCTCTCCTCTCCCGCCTACGCCGGCAAGAGAGACTGAAAACCCCGCGGAAAACTTGATCCAAGAAGACTCGCCGTCGCGGAACACGCGCAGTCGGACTCACGCACGAACGCCAGCAAACGTCCCATCAAGTCCTCCTTTCCAGTCGTGGTACGGTGATGGACAAGTGGATCCCGTTACTGCTACCGCGAGGTCCCGTAAGACGAACATCATCGGGTTCAGCAAAGACGGCCCTCTGAATCAAGGCATATCGAAAGGCAAGACCCCTGGTTCGCGATCTGCCAGGGGTAACCGTTCGCCAATGCAGTCGACCAAACTATCGCTTGCGTTTGCCGACGACGGCTCGAGGATGGACGCAACTCGTAGGAAGCGTGCTTCATCTGTAGCTACGACGGCACGTACGACAAAGACGGCCAAAGCAGCGGCTCCAAGCAATGTTGCTGATGACGTTGGAGATGCTCTAGCTGGCCTGAAAGGAAAAGCCAACGTTGCCGAAGATATCGGTGATGCTCTGGCCGGACTGAAAAAGAGGATGTCCCGTGATCTAGTCACTGAATCAGCACCCAAGCAAAAGATAGCGGCAGCCGTGGCGCCACGCCCTGAAGAGGATGATGGCGGCTTCGTACCCATCGACGACTACGAAGAGACGACTCTTGTCGAACCCGATGTTCAGGAAGCACATTCTCCCAAGCCATTGAGCTTCAATCGTTCGGCCTCGCAGCTTGCTATGCCACCGCCGGCGGCAAAGATCCCCGCAAAGACCATGATGTCGACCATGATAACCGCGCAGGATGACGCTGAACATTCGGTCCCCTCTGAGGTAGTGCCAAAGAGTTCGAGACCGAAGCGCACGAGAGACTCAGAGCCTACTGCTGAGCGTGCTACGAAACGTAGCAAGGCTTCTGAGACATACTTACCGCGCCAGGAGATCGCCACGGCCAAAGCGTCCGTGGCTGCTGGCAAAGCGAAGAGCATTGCCGCGAAAGAAGACACTCCCATCCCAGCGAAGGGGTACTTTACTGCTGCCGAAAGCTTCCAAGAGACCTCCGTCAAGAGAGCACATGGTGCGGAAGCCCCAATTCAATTTTCGGCGAAGCGTGTCAAGCTTGATCCCCAACAAGATGAAGAGCGTCCTGTCAAGGTGCCTGCCATTTCCCAGGAGAGCTTGGCCAACAAAGCGTCAAGCTCCAGGCACGAGACCCGTGCAGCCCGACGTACAGTGCAGCGTCGACAGACATCACAGAACTCGCAAACCGTGGACATGGGCGGCAGTCCTGTGCCGCCAGACATGGAAGTGACTGGCGAGACCACAGTGCTTGAGACATTCTCACAGCATGCTCGCCTGTCGTCAGACGTCTCGAGCGAACTGCCAATGGCATGGGGACAGCATTTCGAGCGTGAGAGGGCTGGGAGCCAACGAAGCGATGAGATCAACGCATACCGTCCGCCGCCTTCTCATCAGGCTGGAGTCCTCTCGAGCAATATCAAGCCACGTCCTGCCGCTCCTGAAGCAGAGTCGGCGATCATTCCAAGGGTCACCCTCCGTGACTTGCAAGATTTGAATCGACACAGCCCGCTTGCAGTGGAAGAGGACCCCTTCAATTCTTCGCAGGAAAGTGCCCCCGAGGAAGATGATCAGGTTTCAGATCGTCGAGCACCATATATCTCACACCTGGCAGCAACGACGAAGAAGTTCGATCGTCTGGGCGATCGATTCGAGCATCGCGATCCCGTGAAGAAGAACAGCAACTTCTTTGCGACCGCGCGATCGCCATCTCGACGCAGTCCGCCAGGACCAGTCGTCACCAATGAGTATATCAAGAGTACTCAGAAGCAGTATGACCAGCTGCGTAAGATGGCTCGTCCTCGTCGACATGTGCAAGAAGAGGAAGAGGATCCAGACAAGACTCTGGTGAATGACGACGAGGAACGTTATGCAGCTGCAGAGGTTGAGGACGAGCAGCACGTCCTTGACGGATACGACCAAGACGAGGAGGAGGAGTACAACGTTGCTGCTGACGAGATGGACCTCTCTGATGACGATCCTGACGACCTCATGTCCTGGCGCAAGACCTTGCGCCCTCACCAGCTGAACCTGTTCGAAGAACTCATCAAATGCTCCCACCGCATCACGCAGTTCTTCAGCGAGCAGGAGAACAACATCGAGCGCACCCTGGCAGAGCAGCACGAGATGAACATCCATGTCATCGAGCAAGACGAGCTCCTCCGAGCGAAGAAGTACGAACAGCTGAAAGAGAAGCTGTCGCGAGCCAAGCTCGAGACGAAGAGGGACATCAAGCTCCAGCAGGAGCAGATGAAGAAGAACATGACTGCTCGTGCGAAAGAGAAGTCTTCGCGGATCATTGCGGCGGGATTGAGGGAGCAGGCGAACAAAGAGTTGGAGGCTTTGCTTGAGCGGCTGGAGTCGTCGTAATGGGTGTGCGTGTGCAAGTGACTGATTGTGATGGAGGGATGTTTTGCTATCGTTATGTACGGGAGATGGCTGCGCGGGTGAGTAATGAGGCCAGTCTGGTCATCGGTCGAACGGATGTCTGCTCGAGATGTTGGTAGGAAGTAGTCGTACATCGCTCAATGAGAGAAAGTCTTTCAAATGGTCCTCCTTGATTTTCAACTCCACGCCTTTTTCATTCTCATGCTCTCGATTTCTTCTTGCCCACCCGATCAACTACCTTGGCACACCGAGAAACGTCACGTTCACCACCTACCTCCACGTAATCTCCCCGTCGAGTGGAGTCGTCCAAGGCACTTCGACCCCTGCTAATACATGCAAGCAAGCAACGAGTCCCACCACACAAACCGCGCAAGCCAAGGACAAATCCCCAACCAAGAAAGACGAAGCAGGAAACCAAAGCAAAAAACAAAAAAATTACTTGGTATTAACACAAATTTTCTAAATTCCTCCTCCCATCTCCGTCTCCTTCTGCTTCCTCTCCTCCGTCCCAGTCCTCCCTCGGTCACTCCTTCCTTCTATCAATCCATCCATCCAAAACAATCCTCCACCCCCTCCTCTCGCAGCAAATTTCCAAAAAAGTCCTCCTATCCCTATCCGTATCCGGTCCTATCCCAAGCTTTCCCACCCTTTTGTATCCAGTTTTCGCAATGCAAGAAAGAGACAGAAACAATATTCACAAGAACCCGGGGGGTGGCGGTCTTCCATCCAAAGCCCCTGATAAGTAAAAGCAAAAAGTCGAGATGCGATTCGATGCGATGCGGACTGACAAAAAAGGCCAGGGTTCCCTTTTTCGTCTTACATCCAGTGCATGCTGCTTCATCCCGCATGACTTTCGATTTCTATGCAATTTTTCCGTTTCAGTTCGCGAACGCGCGCCGACAATCATCTTCGGCGTTTCCATCGAGTCCTCGTTCGTTCGAAAGACTTTCTCTCAAAACAGACATTATATCCTGCGTCGCGTAAATGCTCTCTCGGTCGTAACACAAATTTTTCTTTCTTTTCTTCTTCAACACCAGAACCGGCTCATGTCGACTGATACTCCGCGAGGCTTCCTGGATCTCTATTCCAGGCCCTGGTAGAGATCACTCAGAGTCGGTTCCTGTTGACTTTGGCTGGCCGTCTTGGACTTGGAACCCCATTTTGACTTTTTCTTATCCTCGCGCTTCTTGCGCATCTCCGCCCAGCCTTCATCCTCATCTTCATCCACCGGTCGGGACGCCACCTTTGGTGCACCCTTGGGCTTGTCAACGATCCGGATGGTGGACTTCGGTGTTTGCACTTCCTTGGCATTCCAAGGTGTGCCCGGCAAATTGGGCGAGGTCTGTTGCTTCTGGAACGAGGCTGGTTGGTTCTGGAAGGCCTGCAGAGTGAGGGAGGAGGTCATGCTCTGCGATCGCGACGTCTCGCCATTCTGGGTCACGGGTCGATATCGAGAGGGCATGCCGATGTTGCTTCGCTCACTTGGGGCAATCGATGGGGTGTAACCAGCTCCTGGACCTCCACCGGATATATTAAGTCCATTCACCGAAGGGGCGTAAGATCCATTGCTCAGAGGCATGGCGCTGTTGGGCCGTGGGGCACCAGGTTGGGATGCTTGGTTCCAGCCAGGAGGAGGATTCATCATGGTCATTGCTCGGCCTTGATTGGGAGGTTGAGGCTGCAACTGCGACTGCTGGCTGGCAATCGACATGGGTCGCTGCATGTTGTTGAAGTTGACGCCAAGGTAGTCTCCAGCCTGTTGCTGAGGCTGCTGCATCTGAGGTTGTGGTGTTTGCGGTCCTTGACCCATCTGCGCTTGCTGCATCGACAACATGTTTTGCATGAGTTGCATCTGCATCTGCATGAACTGTTGCATTTGCTGCTGTCCAGGGTCCATCGCGGGCATCTGTGGCATCATTCCCATCTGACCCATGCCCATGCCCATGCCCATACCCATTCCCGGCATTTGTGGCATGGAAGGGACAGGAGGCGCACCGTACATCGAAGGCGGTGGAAGATTGCCCATGGACATAGTCCGTGGCATTCCCATATTCGACGGCAGAGGCGAGCTGCCCATGGGGTTGTACATCCCAGAGACCGGATTGGGGCTTCCTCTCCTCGCTGCTTTGGCCCTCTCTTCTCCAGCGATGATACCGACCAAGCCTCCAGGATGACCCGGTGACTGCTGTTGCATCTGAGGAGGCATCGGGCCGGTGGGCATGCCAACGACCGACGCACCCGAGCTGTTCATAGCGAGTGATTCTCTTGTACTCTGGTTGACCAGACCGGCGCCAAAGTATGGATCTGCTGGCAGTCTTCGAGCGAATGGTGGTAAGTTGCCTTGACCTGCCCCGCCGTTTACGACAGAGCCAGCCATGGAAGTGCGCCTTTGGTGCGACATGTCAAGTCCGTCTTGCCTCGTGGGAGGCCGAGAGCCGCTTGGAAAGCCATGTGCTTGCAGAATGCCAAGTGGCACATCATCGTCGTCGCCATCGTCATCTTTGCCCTTGAGAGTCTCGGTAGGTGGTGTTCCTCCAATGCCACCAAAGTGAAGGCCAACGCCGCCGGCAGCAGGCGGAGCGCTTGAGCCACGTTCCATTGAAGGCCTCACAGTTGAAGCAGAGGATGACGGCAAGTCAGTCGGGCCTCCACCAGTGACTTTCTTCATCTGCTGGCGGTAAACCGACATGTTGGCCTCCTGCTTTTGTCTCTGCTTGGCCATGTTCTTAGCTCTTTGAATGTCATCGTCGTCATCGTAGTCATCCCCAGAAAGATCCTCCTCTTCGCTCTGTTCCGCACTGCTCTGCTCGTGTCTCTGAAGTGCCTGAAACTGCGCCTTGGTCATCTTTTTCAGCGTGCCGCTTTCGGTGCGTTCGTGTGCGGGAGGGCGAACGGCCCGAGAAGGAGGACCGACCGGCGAAGAGTCGAACATGCTGTTATCCGCACGACCTTTGCCTTTCAGGTCCACCCTTCCTGCGCGTGGCGTCGTGGTGTTGGATTCAGCAGCCCAGGAGTCGCCGGTCGAGCTGTTGGGGCTGACGGCAGCAGGCCTCGATCCACTGGGCGTCGCTTGAGTCGTGTTCAGGGCCGGCCTGGTGATTGTCGACTGGGTGGAAAGTGTAGCTTTGCTGGACTCGGGACTTGCTACTGTGTTTGATCCCTGAGGATCCCGCAGCTCAACTCTCCTGACCCAGCGATCGTCATCATCAACGTGCGCTTGCCTGTTCGGGTATTCTGATTCTTTTTCTTTCCCATCATCCATCACAGAGCTGTAGCTGTCCACTGACGCTGTTCGCTGCGGGCCAGGAGAGTTGTAGCGTTCAGGAACGCGAGAGTAGCCTGACTTGGAATTGCCAAGGAAAGCTTGGGTAATTCCATTTCCAACGGCCGGCCCGGGCGCGCTACCGTCAAGTGTATTAGGTGAGCTGAGCGCTGAATTAGACACGAGCGCGTCATTCGAACTGCGTGCATCCCAAGAGTAGGGCGATTCGGTGTCTTCGCGTGAGAGTTTGAGGGGTTTTGGTGAGGAGGAGAGGGCGTTTCTGGAGAGTGTTCTGGGCGGAAACATGGGCTCGGACTCCTGCAACGAGTCAGCATGCAAAAACGAAGAATCATTCGTGCCGCGTACAGTTCTGTGGAATGAGCCAGCCGTCGGTGGTGGTGGAAGGGGATGGTCGCGTTTCAGGCTCTCAAACATGTTGCTAAAATCATCGTCCCTCCCGAAATCTCCATCCAGCGTCAGCTCAGTCTTGACAGGCACGGCAGTGCTCGCATAGCTGCTCGTGGTCATCGCACGTTCTCTGTACGGGCTCTGACTTCTTGCAGAGTTGAGTGGAGCGCCATTGGCAACGTGTGGGGGTGGTACCGGCGGAATGTCCTGTGGCAGATCCTTCGAGGCTTTGGCATTCTTGTTGCCGAATGATAGAGCCCGCGCTGCACGGGTGGTGAATGAGCGTGGTGGAGGAGGCTCGTCCGCATTGGCGGTCACGGTTTGGTACATGCCCATCGTCTGGACTCTTTTCACGGGAAAAAGGTCTTCCTCGTTGTGATCCTGGTCGAGGGAAGAGGGTAGTGTCGAAGTCGAACTGTGACGGGCCGACGCCGATGAGCTCTCGTAGTATCCGCTCGAGCCTGAATTGGTGGTCCCACCGCTGCCCCTAGCGCCGCTAAGAGGCCACCCTGGACGGCTTCTAGAGGAGTCCACCGATCTGTTCGGGCCCAAGCCCAGGTCGTCTGCAGACTTGCCTCGAAGCGCGTTAAGCGGCGATGCGAATGGGCGGGTTACAGTGCTGTCTCGCGAGCCATAGGTCACCGACTTCTTGTCCGATCTCTCGAGCACGCGAAACGAGGACTGTGTGGACGCGGGGGGGGCTTCTTGCTCAAAGTCAAGAGCGTTGGCGGAGGACTTGCGCCGGCCAAAGTTCTTGAGGTTCAGACCTTTCGGCATGTAGCCGGTGTTGGTTGGATGTGTGATGGAGGCCGAGTGGGGAGGTCGGCGACGGCAGAAGGATCAAGCGCGTCCGGTAGCCGTGTTGCCCGGTATTGCTACCGTCCCATATATCTCTTGCGGTGGTGCAGTATTACGGAGGATGTACAAGGCGGGCTCGTGGATGGTGTCACGGGCGCGGGTCGTGTAGACAATGGATGGCGCAAATCTCAGCGGCGAAAGCAGGGAGCGAGCGGCGACGGGTCTAGCAGGGCGGAGAGTCAGCAGGCGTGGCTCAGTCGGTGCGGTGCGCTCTCGTCAGAATAGTGAGTGTATGGGTGGTATTGTAGTAGAGCGAGGGTGATTGTCGGGTGGATGTGGTGAATGGAAATTGGGAGGTTGCACCTGCACTCACAGCGAACGTTGGCGGCCACGCCCCTCTCCAGACACAGATAATACTGCAGCACAGCGATCTCTTCGAAGCGAGCGTCGACGGTTGACGGTGGTGGTGGTCCAGCGGTAGGGCGGTGGATGGACGATGAGGTGGACGCTGGACGGGGTGGATGGACGGAGCAGTGACGCTGATCCTCCCGCCCAGGAGACTTCGGCCACGCCCAAAATAATACGAGCGGACGAGTGCAGGCCACCAGCTGAGCCTCACCCTCTGCCATGCACGCATGAAATCGCTAGCCCCCGTCCTGGGCGTGTGAGCGAAGCGCCGTCGCCATTGGTCCGCCCACGCCGCAGCTCACCAAAATTTCACGACTCCCAAGCCACGTCCTTAATCAATTTGCCTTCCAACAAGCACTCTCTACCTCATCTCCCTCTGGTCATCTCTCCCGCTTACGATAGACCCACGTATAGCTTCACGAAGGACCCGAGGCATCGTGTTCGACTCGACGACGATGATGATGATGCGTTGGGAGCTCGACTCTTCCCCTTCAGTCTCGCGGCTGCATGCATGTATCTGCATGTTGCGCCGCCACACCCATCCTAGCAACACGAATCCGGTAATCAACCTCTTCGAGTCTGTGCGGCCGCCTCTATATTTTTCTGCTTCTCTCATCATCCAGCCGCCTTGTTTTCCACCCGGCCTCGTTGATCCGCTCCCGTCCGCCACCATCGATCGCGTCTACTAATTTTTAGTGCATTGCAGCAAGAATTCATCATACTCTCTGGAACTCTCCATCATTGCGTCCAGGTGTGTCGTGATGGGCAATGATGGCAGATGGCGGTGGAGAATGATGCGAAACAAAGTCTCAGCATCGTGTACCCACCAGTTCAGCCGACCGATGCGTACCACGTCGCATTGTCACCCTCGCCACGAGGTCCATCCACCTCGTGCGGGCATCTCACTGCTGTACCAAGGTAACCGTAACCTGCCTGTTCATCGACTTGTTGCAACGTTCAACAACAAAGTCGTGCAAACCTCCCTCGATCACGTAACTTAATTCTTCTTCTTCACATGCAATCGCATCATCTTCGCGTGCGGATATATCATAAATTAACCCAAAATGCAGAAAATCTCGATCGGACTACAGAATGCCGCCGTTGTCTTGCAGATGCAGAAACCTGAAACGTAGCCGGAAACCTGCTTTAACGACGGCTCGCGCACCACCGCCGCCGAACCACGGTTTACAGACTTCCCGAGCCGCGAGGAGGCAGGGGTGGCTTCAGCCACTTTTTCACTACCCGCTTGAAGTTCACCACGACTTTGACGAAAGCAATATTCTGAGACATAGCTGGATGTCGAAGAGTTAAATGTCGTGTACGTTGGCCTATAATGACAGGAAACGCGCCATTTCGCGAGACAACGGCGACATGACGTCTGTGAAGAGAGGAGCGCTAGCCAAACCTTACCTCTTCACCTTCAATGGACGAGCGGTCTTTCACCGAACACCACCAACCATCAAGATTGAAACGCCTTGTCGCCGTATAGATGCCATAACAACACAACCCCTTGGTATGCGACATCGGACCAATCGAGTCCACAAAACCCATCACGACATCAGACCAAGGCGCAAGACGCCCGCATTCAAAACCTGCATACCAAGCTACTGCAAACCCTCCATCCATTAACCGCCTCGGGAAAACGCAACAGAGTAACAGATCTACTTCCCTACACAGTCAAAATGTCCGGAAAAACATTCAACACCCACGCCCAATCCTCCTTCGCCGCCTCCGCCGCCTACGACCAACACCGCCCAACCTACTCCCCAACCATCGTGCAATTCCTGCTCGAAAACCTCAACGTCGCGGGCAAACATGGCGCCCACATCGTCGACCTCGCCGCCGGCACAGGGAAATTGACGGAAGCGCTGGCAGCCCGCGAGGAGCAGTTCGATATCACTGCTGTGGAGCCGCACGATGGGATGAGAGAGGTGCTCGAGGCGAAGAAATTGCCCCGCGTGAGGGTTGTCGAGGGGACGGGGGAGAGCATGCCTGCTGTGGCGAGCGGGAGTGTGGATGCGGTATTGGTCGCACAGGTAAGGTCCATGATTGAATTCCTCAAGTTTCACATTCGGCACCCACAAACACAAACCACTCTTTCTCTCGTCCGATCAACAAGAGATATCAGAATGTGAGTATTTACTTGTTTTCTCCTCCAACAGGCCTTCCATTGGTTCGCCAACATGCCCGCCCTGAAAGAAATCCACCGCGTGCTGCGTCGCCACGGCGGCCTCGGCCTCGTCTGGAATGCGGAAGAATACAACCAACCGCGAGACCAGCCCACGTCCACCCCGGGCGAGACGCGGCTCCGAGAAATCTTGTTGGAGGTCATCGCGGAAGCCGGGGACCGCGAGCCGCGCTTCAGAGATCTGGAGTGGCGGAAAGTGTTCGATGAGCAGGTGAAGAAGACGCCTTTGTCGTTGATCAAAGCGAGTGATGATCAGCTGTTTTCGCTGCCTATTGGACAGCATTTGGAGCCTTTTGAGGTGGCGTTGTCGGTGGAGCAGGCGTGGCAGAGGTATAATACGCTGGGACATATTTCGACTTTGCAGGGGGAGGCGAAGGAGAGGGTGTATAAGGAGTTTTTGGATGCTTTGACGGAGGGGGTGGAGCAGGATGAGAAGGGGAATGTGATTCTTCATGGCAATACTTGGGCTGTGTGGACTATGAAGATTCCGGCTGAGGGGGCGGATGGTCTGGCTGATGTTCAGTCGGAGACTTCTTGATTCTGGTAATGGTGGGATCTCCCTTCACTCTGCTGGTAGCCTGGGAGCTTATTGCTGGCTTGCCCTCCAGCGCCGTATCCCTCCTCGCTTTGATAGTCCTCATAGAGTAGACAGCGTCTCCATCGCCTTTGCCTGATGCATGCCCGTCCTCAAGTCATCTCTCATTGTGAAGCCGCATCCGCAGAGATGTACATGACTGTAAGAACAAAAGTCAGCAAACAACACCTGCCGTCCCCAACGGCCACAAAAATCACCATTTCCCATAACACAATTCCCTCCGAGAAAGATGAAAAATCAGAAGGACTGACCATTATTCCCCCTCACAAACGCATCCCCATAATTCCGCCTCAGCTTCCCCTCCACATACTCCTTCGTGTCCTCGAGCGCAATGTTCATGTAGCCGTCTACCGACTGCAATTCTCCTACAGCGCATCATCAGCACCGCACCCAAACTCCACAAGTCCGTTCCCGACGGCCTGGTCACTTCACTTCACTTACCTCTGTAAACCACCCCCGAATTCAACTTCACCGTCACGGGGGCGCCGATGATTTCGCTGAGAAAGCCGCTGGGGTCGCGGGCGTCGCCTGGTGCTGCTCCTGCTTGGCCGTTAGGTCCGGAGGGGGGTGGGGTGTCTGGTTCGGCGCTCATTTTGGTGAAGTGTTGTTTGTATATGATGTTGTTGTATTTGAGATGGTGTTGGTGAAGAGCGAACGTGGAAAGCCGCTAGCGAAAGAAAGTGGTGAGATGTGATGTGATTGGCTGGAGGACATTTTTTGTGCTGCCCTTCGACTTACACTCCAACTCCAACTCCAAGATCACCACTGAAAACCACATCAAACGCTCGACCTCACCGCACAGTAAAAGACCAGAACCAGGAAATACGCGAGAAAGAGAGACCGTCAAGATGAAGTTACTAACCCTCAACTTCCTCACCTGCGCCATCAAAACCTGCAAATCCTCGCCCGCGTCTTTCCCCCTCCACCCCAAGGACGCCGAACTCGAACAGATCGAAATCGACCTCAATTCGCTCTTCATCCAAAACATCCTGCCTCGATTAGACTGGAACGCCCTGAAAACACTCACCTCAGAAGTACCCCTTTCCCCAACCACCACACCTCAACATCAACACCCGCTAATTTTTGGTTTGTAGCTCGGCCTCCCAGCTTTACCGGACGAAGTGCCTGAGGCTGAAGCTCTGGTGAGCGAGGAAGGGGACGCTACGCAGATGGCGAAAGACTTGCATGGGCTGTTGATGGAGACGGGGATTGCGAGTGGGAAGTTGTGTTGTGGGAATTGTGGGCATGAGTATGCGGTTAAGGAGGGGATTGCGAATTTTTTGTTGCCGAGCCATTTGGTTTGAAGGGATGGATCGACGAGAACGAGGTGAACCATCTGTGGGTCTGGGGCTGGTTAAGATGGAGTGGTGGAAGGGTTGGCATCGCTCGCTGGTTCTTCTCGTCGTTATGCCATGGCCATATGGGAACTTCCCTGGCCCGCTCGATTGCTTCCAGGAGGACTACGGACGCTGGACGAGGACTATCACACGAAATTTCGGGGAGCACGCTCTTCGATGATGGCAGTCAAGGCTTCGGGAACCAGAGAATGTGATCACGCGATACCTCAACACCAGGAGTCCCCAGATTGCAGAAAGTCAAAAGTACGCAGCTTCAAGGACCACTGGACGAAATCAACACGACTTCCTGTCACCAAAAGGCAACATTCCCATTCGCAAGCGAACAATCCAGACTCTGACGTCGAGTCCATGGGCCAAGTGGAGACCGGTGGAGGTTGCGAAGAGGGTCCATGTTCGTTTCAGATCCATCTTTGACACGATGAGGCTGGACGGGTATCTCGTCCCGTGAAATTAGAAGAGGATTTCCCTGTCCAATGACCCATTTCACTTCCTGTCTGAACCCCAATGTCTCAGTTGAAACATCCCTTAGCGCTGAGTGTCTTGCGGCCAGTGAGGTTTGAATAATATTCTGCTTAGATGCTGTCTTTATGTGAGGTTGGTGTTCTTCAGCGAGATGTTCCCTCTCATCTGCTAGATCCAACGTCTCGGGCCGCCACGCGCACGCGAGAGAGGAAAGTTCAAAAGCTTGGCACTTTGTACGTCAGTGGCCCTGCTTCTCAGTCTCGGCCTCGGACCTTTGCGCTCATGTCTGGACTCTACGACACTTTTTCCACCTCTGCATCCAGTTCCCATTTGCAAGCCTAGCCCGCCTATCCTCATGACCGCCGACCTCACCTTCTAAGCATCACTCAACCACCGCGCTCTCCCGCCGCCGGTGCCACTCGGGGCCGACATCATTCATCACCACCCACCTATTTACTTTATTACTTCACGACCCTCGCCAACCTTCCCTCCAACATCCCCAACCCCCACGTGTGCGAACGAACCATGCCCCTCCAAAAGCATAACCACCACAACTCGCATAGCGCGCGCTCCTCTCCCTCCGGCTTCCACCCCTTCGGCGGCCGCGTGAGCAGATACCTCGGCGACAACCTCTCCCCCGACGATGCATACCTCAGCTACTACGACATCCGGCTCACGCGCGAGGACATGGACTCGATCAAAGACGACTGGCTCACAGACAATGCGATTGCGTTTTGGGAGGAGTATCTCGAAAGGGAGAAGTTGAACAAATACCCTAAAGCGGATATCGTGCTGCTGCGGCCGTCGATGAGTTTCATGTTGCAGAAGACGCAGGACCCGTTGAGTCTGAAGAGTGCGTTGCCGGATTTTGCGAAGACGACGCATGTGTTCTTGCCGGTGAACGATTGCCGGAGCGTGGATGTGGCAGAGGGCGGATCGCATTGGTCGTTGCTGCTGGTGTCTATTATCGATGGGGTCGCATTCCACTACGATTCCCTTTCACCCTCAAACTTTAACGACGCGAAGTTGGTCGCGTACCGGATATCGCAGCTCCTGGGCAAGCCGTTACGATTTATCAATCTGGAAGACTCGCCTCAGCAGGACAATGGCATGGACTGTGGGGTGTATGTGTGTCTCTTGATGCAGCACCTGCTCATCTCGCGGCTGTTACGCGCGCATGCACAGGACAAGATCTCCATGTCTATGCGTGGGAAGGAGGTGGATGCTCGTGGTGGCAGAAAGGAGATGATCAAAGTCATTGAAGAGAGGAGGAAGGAGGGCGAGAGAAGGCGATCGTGAGTGAAAACGGAAAGCGAGGAGAGTGTAAGGATGAGCTAACAGTTCAATAGACGAAGTCATAGTCCATACGGCAGACACTCAAAGTCACATAGTCCGCCGCGCATCGGCGCAGAGAACGCGGATTACTAGACGGAACGACATCGTAGTTCGACAACAGGGATTTTATGAATCTGAGGGGGAAGAGCGTGCATTGCTTGCTTTTTCAGCGAAGGCGTTGGAGGGACAGGGAATCATCATTTGCTTTTGCGGCATCCATCATCGACATGGGAATCAGCGATGTACGGCATGAAGGTTGCATCTTGACATTTCTTCATCTTTCATCGAAAGCGATTACTCACAACATGAGAACGACGTTTGAAGAAGCACTTTTAGCTTCTGCTTTTCACCAGTTGCATGTCCTTACCACGTTTGGCCAATGTAGAATTGTTGATATACCTCTCCGCATACCGCGGATCCCGGCTGCTGCTCGGTTGGACGTGGAGCAGCTGGAACGAGTGCGAGCGAGCGAGGCATTGAACTTGTGGCTTTCAAGGTTCTTTTCAGCTCCAGGGGAAGGCCCAAGGTGGTCCCGCACTTAAAGTGCTTTTGTGTGCGGAAGAATCAATGCTTTAGCGGAGAATGCATGCCAGGCTAGGCAGCTACTAATAAGTAACATTGCAGCTGCGAAACCATGTCAGTATATCATGGGCCCTGGCCTGGAGACTGTCTGGCTCTTTGCGATTCGGCTTCGACATTACTTCGAACAAGACTTTCTTAGGCGGTGATGGCGGAGGTGAAGATTACGACCGCTGAGAATGGGCATGGTAAGGAATAAATTGTCGATCGAGTTGAGATGTAAGACGAGAAAGCTGATGTTGATTTTCACTGGAATAGAATACAAAGACGAAGCAGCCAACCGACTTGCAAAGATCTTTCGCGATGGTACACCCTCCCCTCCCCTCACCCACCACCCCATCCAAAACCAAAAACGCAAAAAAACACTAACTTTCACCGCCCAGACCCGATCATACGCTACATGCTTTCCTCGCTCGACCCAACCGCCCGCGCAGCCTACATGCAAGAATACTTCCACACGCTCCTGAAAGCCGCCGCACTCAGCGCAGGAATCTTCCAACAAGCCGCCTCCTGGTCCTGCATCGCCGTCTGGCTCCCGCCGGGCTCCCGCCTCGACGGGCCCCTCACAATCCTGCGGGCGGGTTTCATCCCTTGCATCCTCAAACTCGGGCTCGGAGGCGCGAAGCGGATGTTGATGGACTTCCAAGCGCAAGCCGACGCGCTTAAGAAACGGCACCTGAAAGGTGTGAAGAGGTTCTATTACCTCTTCTTTATCGGCACTGAGGAGGCGGCGCGGGAACAGGGGCTGGCCGGGAGGGTTATTGGGCTTTGGCAGGAGCGGGCGGGGAGGGAGGGGTTGCCGATTTGGTTGGAGGCGACGACGGAGAGGTCCAAGAGGGTTTATGAGAGGTGTGGGTTTGCGGTTTGTGGGGAGATTTGTATGGGGAGGGGGTCGCATGGGGCGGATGGGGAGAGGG